ATTTAAATAATATTTTATTTATATTTATAAAAGTTTTTATATTTTAATTTATATTTAGAAATAATTCGAATATATTATATAATAAATTAAATTTCAAAAATAGTACCGAAATCTTTAGATGCTTAAAATCGTGGTTATAAAATATTTTATCTTTTCATTAAACATATATTCCTCAGTACAGCTCGTTGGAGCCGGCCACCGCATGGTCAATAAGGCAATTGGAGCACTGGGGCATGGTATTGTAAGCGTGAGCCTCACTGTGCGTCGATCGGGCCTCGTATGATCACCGCCCACACGAAGCGTGGTGAGATGATAGCCATATCAATCTGAGCCTGATGATCCGAAAAGCTCGTGAATTATCTCGGGGTTCTGCTTAGAGCCAAGGGTCCAATGTTTAACTGCAAGTTTGCGAAGAGACCACAAACCTCACTTCCTCTATCATAAAAATTATAGACCGACCGTGAGAGAGTCACTAATGGGTTGTGGAACGGTTTGTGTTTGCCATACAAAAGTCACGGCTGGGAAAGGGGACTTGGGTAGTTAGGAGTTGTTCCTTCTCACAACATTTGTCTGGCCGAGGCAAGAAGGTGCGGTCGTTGCAAGTCAGATAACCACGACTTAGAACCCTATGCAATCGGCACAAAATCACTGAACATAAATACTACTGACTTCAGTGTACGTTATGCAGAGGATAACAAGTTTTTGCTTCATATCGTTGTAAAGGACCACGCACAACTGGCCACGCGCATCCGCAAGAGGCAGCAGCCATTAGATTGTAAAAGTCACCCAAAAAAGTACGAATACAGCGTCGACTTCTCTAACAGCTATCATCGTGGTAAAAGTGAAAAAAAGGTGAGCGGATGATTCGCTATCCATAATGAGAGCCAAGAGAGAATTTGTCTCTCCACTACTTACGAGGAAAGATATAGACAAGCACGAATACATTCTACTACCATTGCCAATACTCTCAGAATATATCGGAGTGTACGTTCTAAATGTGAAACTAATATTCAGTGACTGGGTAACGAACGCAAAGCACACCCAGAATGCTACTTGCTATTGTATGTACTTCCAAAGTGCGCCTAAAACGACTCGCAATCACCAGTGATTGTCGGAGAAAAAGACAGTGGATGAGGTGCATACAACAAGCAAATTGAAATGAATTGTATTCAATCGGAGTTTAGAGAAGCTCAAGCTGACATTGCCAATACATGATTTCAGGCATGTAACATAAACAATGCATATCGCTCTATCATCAGATTGTTGGAGGATGTGTGATATGATGCACATTATAAACGGCAAGACGAAGGTGATCAAAATAATGAAAGCTCTAACTAGTTGAGGTTGGACAAACATTAATTCCAAGTCTCGTACAGTTAGTCGAGATATTGTTGTCGTGGGGCTTATGTTTCCCCGGACGCGTTTCCGCGTTTAGGCCGATACTAGGCAGAAGAGACCGACCATATTAAAATACAGGGGTAAATGTACAGCAACAACGTGAGCGAATCTTGAACTGGAGTACGCTGTCCTCTACAAACGCGATTCCAAGGCACCACTCCCCGCTGTGGTCTTGGTTATCTGGCATCTTATCGATACGATATATAAGCTGCAGTCCACTGCTCTCTCTGTGAGTCTGCGAGCGAGACTTTTGACATTCGATAACGCTTTGTTAATCGTTCAGCTGCCCCGCAAACACTGTACTAATTTTGTACGCAAGCAAAACCTCTCAATAGCCTCCATACCACGGGGACAAGATGTCGGCCTTCTTCACTCAGCTTTTCGAATCCATATTCACACCTGGGCCCACCCCTACCCTCCTCGTCGCAACGAACGTCTCATTCGCATGCCTCCAACTCGTCCTTCTCGCTCTTCTCATCGCAACGTACAGCGTTCATTTTGTGATACTCTCATTTCTGAGCGCTGGGCTATGGTGGTCAATCAACTGGTTTGTCGCCGAGTTGAATGCCGCTCAGGCACGGGAGGACGAGAAGAAGCGTCGCATGGAGGAGACTGCAGCCGGGGACGATACGGAGACGGAAGCAGAAACCGTGATAGATACTGGCGATGCTGGATTTAGCAGCAAAGAAGTGGAACCTCTGGAGCGAAAGGGCGAATTAAAGGATCGTGGACATTCGACTGGTACTAAATCTGAAATTAGTACGGAGGATGAGTGGGAAAGAGTTTCGGAGAATGAGAAGGACAAATGAAGAAGCATATTCAAGCAGATGAGACAGTGCCTATGTTTGAACTTATACCCAACATTGTGGAAGGCTGTATACATCTACGAGTTACGAATGGTGGGATTCATTTGCCTATAGCTTATCGAGGCTCTAGTCAAGACTTTGGAAGTGCCACAGTGACCATTCTCAATCAAATCAACGTGCCATCTTCAGCTTGCTATTGATAATGACTTTCCTCTTCTCTCAACTGCTAGATTGGGAAGAAAAGACCTTAGGTAACTAAGGAGCGCTACCTACTAAAGCTCAAAATATCACGTGACTACAAAATTTATCGCGATCGGGAAACTTTTGAGCTTTATTTGTGTGCTGAACCTCATCTACCAACAACCATTTGGTGAACCTACGAACCCGTTGCGCATCTTCTCCAAACCCGATCACCGGCACATTTCGTGCAAGACTCTCAAAATGAAGCTCGTCAGGTAAGCACCCTCTATGATTGGCCATATGGCACCAGCTGAGCTCTCTTCCTCAAGGCTCCCCCGCGAAGCTCCTCACTGACTCTGCTGGTTATGGTAGGTTTTTGATGAAATGTGCAAATGAGACGGTTACTATTGAGCTCAAGAATGGTAACTACTTCTTCCCCTACGGCACGCGACTCTCTTATTGACCTATTCCCGTAGGCACTATCATCCACGGCACCATCACCTCAGTTTCACCCCAGATGAATACTGCGCTGCGCACAGTCAAGATGACCCAGCGTGGCCGAGATCCAATCTCACTCGATACGATCAATCTTCGAGGGTCAACCATTAGATATTACATCCTGCCCGATTCATTGCCGTTGGACACCCTCCTGATCGATGATGCGCCAAAGCCCAAGAACAAAGCCAGAAAGGAGGTTGCGGACAGAGGCGGTGCCCGAGGTGGACGAGGACGCGGCGGTCCTAGAGGACGAGGAGGTTTCAGAGGTGGACGTGGTCGAGGCGGTGGTAGAGGATTCTAAAGCAATTGACGAGGATTGGGATTTGATGCCTTGAGATTGGTTTCTTATATCCCCCAGATTTCTTGCTGATCTTCACAACAAGGAACTGGATACTTGCTTGGGGCCGATTGCTTGTGCATGGACGGTTGACTGGTATTACTGGCGTTTGTGGACATGAAAATTAGGGAGCAGCACTTCATGAAAGAACCAAATATGGCTTCGGATCCATCTCACGCGTTCTCTCGCCAGATTCGAATTATCTGAAGCTTTTCCCAGCCGCCTTTCTTTCCACTGGTACTGACTGTCTCTGCTTTCCAACCAGATCCCCAGCCCTTGATTCTTTCCTTGACCTTGTCTGGCTTGTTTTGAGCACAGAGCAGAATGTAAGCGCAACCCGTTTGATGGCTCAAGACCTCTGGCAAGCTCAAAAGTAGGCGATCTGTGATCTCCATTCCATCCACCCCTCCAGCATATGACAATGCAAGTAGTTTTGAATCGTCTGCGAATGAAGTCTCAGTGGTGTTTTCTCCTGGGGAAGGTATACCTGGAAGCTCGGCAGTAGGGACATAGGGAGGGTTGAAAACCAAAATATCTACTACTCCAGCTTTCAATGTGTTGGTGAGGTCGCCTAATATATTTCCCATGTAGAAGCCATGTGATAAATCGTGCGTGATCTGCTCTTGACTGGTTACAGAGACCGTCTGTTCCGTAGCCTTGCATGCGAACCTGTTCACATCAATTCCAAATGTCAATATATCGGCACGGCCCAGGATGGTTTGTGCATGTGCATTGAGGAATGAGAGGACAACTCCGGATCCGGTGCCTACTTCGACAACCAGCGGCGACGGTGAGTGGGCAGCACTGTATCGGGTCCGTAGGAAGTCCTTCTCAGTCTCAGATGATAAAGTATCAAGCAACAGGTATGAATCCTCTGCAGGCTCGTAAATCCGCTCGAAATCTACATGCGAGGTTGACGGCGTGGGAAGCATGGTCGAATGAGCAATGAGTTGGTGCAAGGCTGAGAAGAGTTGACCTTTCTCTTTCTCTTTTGCCGACTTCGCTAAAATGGTTCGGTCATGACGCTCTCTAGGCTTAGACAATCCGAGGTCCTCGACCATCTTCTCAACAACAATATATCACACATTGAAAATGAGAATCAATCCACGTTTGAGGCTGGCTACACCTGCTATGACTGGTACTGCTAGGGGACTCAGACCTCCCCCATTGGCCTTGTTACCGCCCATTCCACTATACCGACGCCTTTTGCGAGCTCATCGCAAGCATTTACCGCAGGACATGCGATTGATGGGCGATGAATATATAAAGAGCGAATTCAGAGCCCATAGAAATGTCGAGAATCCAGTGCATATTGTAGGTGACATTCGGACAAATGGAAACTTGTGCTGACACTCTGGCAGATAGGGTTCCTGACCGAATGGCAGATGTATGCTCAGAAATTGGAAGGAGATTCTTGGTTGGGAGAGCGCATGGATCCCGGGAAAATAGAGAAGATGAGTGGTATGTAGAAAGAGGAAAGATGACTGTCAGACATTTTAACCCTTTTCTAGATCAACAATTAGGTCAAATGTATGAATTGTTGCAGGCGATACGGAAGAAACAACTCGAAGATGGGGATAGGGAACATCAATAAGTTAAAGTGAACACTCACGACTCGCGATGGAATAACAATGAACACCGCATGGATTCTCGTTTTTCGTTGGAGGTCTAGTCATTTCTGATTGTCCAATGGTAGAACCAGGCCAGCGAAATGACAAAAAGTTCACATACTATATGTGATGACTGTATGGACGATTTGAGTCAGGACCTTACCAAGACTTCCAATGGCTTCCAGTTTCGATTTTTTCGATTCTTATCTCCAACATTAAGACCAAGCTTACAAGCCGGTCTCTACTCGAATAGAATATTGTCTACCTACAGGTAGTCTGACAATATCTACACTCGATATGTGTACATACAACGCCTATGTTTCAGAAGACTGTCGACACAGATGGGGTAAGTCCTATTCCATTACTTACAGTCTTGTACCACCTGGAATACTGTATCCTTATATATTTCTCAGTTGTCCCAAGCATCAGTCATACTGGTAAGTCACAGTTGCTGTCAAGATACCATGTGGTATTGGAAAAGGGGTCAGGAATTGTGACACGTTTAAACCAGTCAGACCCGTGTATTGGTATAGGACTACCAAGGAATTTTGTCCGAAGCACACTTGTGGGGACAATTACGACGGCAATAAGTTTCGAATGATAAAGGAAATCAAAGCCTATTGCATCCAGTAACATCTTCGGGGGATGAGTATTTATTTGTCTTGCAATGTACGCCCAGATACTACAATGAATGGTGGCCCATGTTTTCTAACTACAAGATTCACTTTGAATATTCCCCTGCGGGATGCTCTAAGTTGTGCTTCGACACTTTATGCTAATCAAAACGATTTTCTCAGCGTGCCCCCAACTTGTTGTATATGCTAATTTCTTTTCCCGGGTGTAAACTTGCATGTTGCTCACTCCGCGTCGAGGGGACAAACATGAGGCTGATCGTTGACCTGAATTCCACCTCTCTTTTTCTCCGCTGAATCGTGGAAGGGTAGTTTCCAACCACCCTCACTCTCCGGTGTAGCTAACCATAACCTCATCAAGTGCCTTCGAGGCATCGGCGGGGCGTGATCCTTGTACTCTGTTCGTGCGTGAAGTACGTGTTCGTTGCTCAAAAATTGAATATCGCCAACTTCCAGGATCATGTGAAGTCTCAAGCGGTGGCAAGTCTCTTCTAGAACTTTAGCAGCCTCCACTTGCTCCGGTGACAGGTGCGGAATAACACCAGCATCCATAAAGCGATCCAAACTTTTCACATAGTAGGGATCCCATTTTGAATAGACTCTGCCGTTCGGGCCCTTTTCCAAGTAAAACACAGAAGTTTTAATGTAAGGCTCCTCGCCCTCACTTGTTTCGCCTTTGCGATCGAAGTACCAGATTGGCTTGGTCAAAGTTTCGGCGACATCAGGACGTTCTCGTTGAAGGGTGTTCCAAACGTGATGAGAAGACACTATGTCAGACTCGCCTCCTTCGAGAGCTCGTGCAATGCAAAGCAAACCAACTATATCTGAATCATCGGCATGGAAAAATTGTCTGTGGCAGGATGAGTATGGGCCATTAGTGGTGGCATTCTCCAGTGAGGAACATACCGAGCATTTGTGCGATAGATGCGAACTTTGTCGATTTGTTTTGGATCATCACCAAGGTCCTTGACGTGTCCTAGAACGTGGCCACGACCATTCTGGCTGACAAAATAACCCAAATATGTACCGAGTCCCATATATGCAACAGCAGATTTGTGGTTTCCCCACTTCTCGACAGGAAATCCCTTGAACAAGATAAAACCTTTGCCATTAAGTATCTCGGCGCGGATGGACTTGAGCAGAACAGAAAGTCTCGGCAGGGCGAACGTATCCTAAGACGGGGTGAGTTACAAGCTAAGCTAAGTGCAAGTCACGCATCACTTTCTCACCTGCGAAATACCGGTCAGGGGAGTCTTGTCAGCTAAGAATTTATCGGCAGTAGCGCTGAGTTCATCGATTTCCTCTGAACTGAACACCTGAAGAGAAGAATGACAAGAGTCAGTACAGGTATTCAGACTGGACGAAATGATATCAATGATTGGAGTGGAACCTACATGGACCCATCGTTCTGGGTTACTGGTGTAATCCTCTGCTTTCCACACAGTGGGGCCATCGATCGTTTTCGGAAATTTAGAATAAGGCTTTTCGAACGGGTCAGCTCTACATGTCGAAGTTGCCAGAGAGAATGAGGATCAGAGGATAGGGTTGAGATAGTGATGCCTGTTATGCTGGGGGTTCCTTCTTCAGAAATCACTCACTCTTATCAGGTCGTACAATGGGGGATGCTGCCCCGATGTCTTGATTCCATCAGGGAAATTTTTCTTGTCAACAACCTTTTGGCTCGACAACTGGTGGGGTGGGGTTGGCTGCAGGTCAACCTGCACTCCGGGTGCCATTTTGAACGATTCCGAGATCGGTCGGTAGAGAGAGAAAGAGAGAGAGAGGGCTGCGAAAAGGAGCAAAATTTATGAGGCAAGGAAAGGGAAAGGAGAGGAGAGGAGACGAAACGTTACAAGACAAGACAAGACAAGACTACAAGATTATATTGTGTTACTTAAGTAGTCGTCCTAGAACTTCCGAGTGGATGATGAATGGCGTATGCACCATGTATGCGTGGTGCTTTTACCGGGAGGCTTGGAGGGGCTTGGAGGGGCAGCACAATGAGGTATATTGCAGATCAGATGGCGTGCTCGAAGCCCTGCCGTAAGGAGGTAGTGAAGCGCGGCCGCATTGCATCCCAGCCACCCGAGCCACCGTACTGAAAGGCGGGGAAACAGCGGCGCTTCTTTAGCGTCTCCTGGAAGCGGTGAGACATCGCGAAGCTAGAAATACTTTTTTTTAATTCTGCCACCATTTCCAAAAAAAAATTGGGATACTGGACTTCACAAAGCTTCCAAGCAATGGAATTACAATAATCGTCTGCCACAATGCCGGAAAAAGTCCACTTCAAGTTTGACGACGACAATAAAGCCGCCTCCAAACTCGAGGTATCTCGAGGCGTATCTAGCCCGTCATCCCGACACACTGTCGCCAATGGTGCTGGTCCGACAAATGGAGTCAAACGCCTTCGAGATGGCAAACCGAAAACAGATCTCGGTCTGCTGGCAATTAAAGACGGAAATACTGGCGTGAAAGCTCGTGTAGCTAGCAATGCCAGTGGAAATAGCGGAAAGGGGACCCCGAGACAGGCCATCTCAAATGCAGAAAGCAGGTTGGCAGAAACGAAGGCCCCAAAAAACCAAAAGTTCTTGGCTAGATCTCCACCAAATGGAGCACGAAATGTCTTGCGTGCCAGAGGAGATGGTATCAAGAAGTCCGGGCAGGACAAGTCGATTCCTTCCGGCCATCGAAGTACTGCTGCCCAGTTACAGAAAGCCCGCGAAAGCTTGCCCATTTGGTCGAAACGGCTGGATATACGATTCGCGTTAAGAGTGAACGACATTCTGCTCATCAATGGAGAAACTGGATCTGGAAAGAGTACACAGGTTCCACAATATTTGTACAAAGAGCCATGGTGCACGAGGCAGAAGGTCAAGGTCGACTCCGGTAACGGCAAGTCAGAAGAACTACCTGTTGGAGGTATGATCGCCATCACTCAGCCCCGTCGAGTAGCTGCTATAACTCTGGCTCATCGGGTTGCGCGAGAGATGGGCTCGCAGCTCCAGAAAGGGTCATCGTCTGGGGAAGTTGGGTATTCAGTTCGATTCGAGTCGATTGTACCTCCAGGAACCAAAATCAAATTTGTCACAGAAGGAATGCTGCTTCAGGAGATGTTGCATGACCCAAACCTCAGAAGATACAGTGCAGTCATTGTTGACGAAATCCACGAACGAAGCGTTGATGTGGACTTGATAACAGGCTTCCTCAGAACTATAGTCCATGGCGACAAGGCAGGGCGAGGAGGTATCCCGTTAAAAGTTGTCGTAATGAGTGCAACCTTGGACCTTGGGGGAATCGAAGCTTTCTTTGCAAAGCCAGAGACCTTACCGAGGTATCAGCCAGGCACCAACCATGGCAAGATACTTTTGCGTCATATGCCTGGATATGAATTTCGGGCCTCCAGCTCAAAAAGCTCCAGACGAACATCGAAAGACTCATATTCCTCCTGGGAGGGGCTCAGTGACGACCAAGACAATACGACGAAGCGCGACCTAATCTCTGCACCTCTGGTTTCTCATATAGACTCTGACGTCGAAATCCCCTTGGACTGGTCAGATTCGGAAGATGAACACGAACTCGGGAAGAAAAAAAACGGGGTTGCCATTGAATATGTCCAAGGCCGTGAGTACGAGGTAGAAATATTCTATAAAACACATCCTCAACCAGACTACATGCACAGTATGTTAGAGAAAATCCTTCATCTGCATGTCCAGGAGCCTCTACCAGGAGATATTCTCGCTTTCCTGACTGGCCAAGATGAGATCGAAACTTTGCAGGCCGAGCTTGAAAGCCATGCTGCTAAGCTTATCAAGACTGTTCCCAAGATGAAAGTGATGCCGCTTTATGGAGCTCTTTCAGCTCAAGCTCAGCAAGACGTATTTGAAAAGATCAAGGAGCCCTTCACCCGCAAAATTGTTCTTGCGACGAATATTGCAGAAACCTCGGTTACTGTTTCTGGGGTTCGCTTCGTTGTAGACTGTGGAAAGTCAAAGGTCAAGCAATATCGTGCTCGCCTTGGTATGGAGTCTCTTTTAGCAAAGCCTATATCTAGGGTTTCTGCTATCCAGCGGGCTGGGCGGGCTGGAAGAGAAGCAAAGGGGAAGTGTTTCAGATTGTACACGGAGTCAGACTATCTTAATCTCGACCAGGATGAACTTCCAGAGATCCTACGTTGTGATGTCGTTGAAGCAGTCCTCAAGATGAAAGCTCGAGGTATAGAAGACGTCCTAGCCTTTCCATTGATGGATTCACCAAAAACTGCAGCCATGGAAAAGGCCCTCATCCAGCTTCACATGATGGGAGCACTCGATGACTCAGGGGGATTGACAGATGCAGGACGAAAAATGGCTCAATACCCGCTACCTGCAGCGTTGGGCCGCGTTCTTGTTGCGGCTGCGGAGGTGTCCTCAGATGTATTGATCGATATCATTGATATCATTTCGTCACTAACTACTGATTCCGAGGTTTTCCTCCAACCTAAATCGGAAGAGGATCAAGGGGTGATCGAAGAAGCTCGAGGAGATATCTACGGGCCTCAAGGGATTGCGGGACGTGGAGGTGATATTATCACTCTTCTCACGACGATGCAGAGGTATGCTTCAGAGAAGTCAGATAGAGTAGAATGGTGTCGCAAGCGATTGATATCTGTCCGGGCGATGAAGATGGCAATGCAGATTCGGAAGCAGCTCCGTCAACTGTGCGGCCAGCAGAAGCTACTGGAAGACCTGCCCCCTCCGGATCCTTTACCTTTCGAGCCCGTCGCACCAGAGCGCGCCGAAGTTCTGTTGAAAGCCTTCCTCAAAGCCTTTGCTATCAAGACCGCACTGCTAGGGCCGGATGGGAGCTATGTCACCACACAGGGTAGAAATCCCATAACCATCCACCCGTCGAGTGTCCTTTACGGACAAGAGAAGTTCGAAGCTATCATGTTCCTCGACCACGTATTTACAGCCAAAAGTTATGCAAAGAAAGTCAGTCCTGTACAAGCTGCGTGGATAGAGCAAGCTTTCGGATCCTAGATAAGATGCACAAATAGGAAGACGAAATAGACCCATTCGAGTATAGCATCTATAGAAATGTAGAGGCCAAGTGCATTTATGTACGTTGGGTAACAATAGAGACAATACAGGTGACGAATACAAATTTTTGGGGAGTACGAACACAAGCATCCCAAGTATCGACTTTGCCCTCAATGTCCAGCCTCTCCTTGATCTTTTTGATTCTCTGAAACTAAATGCTACACGAAATTCACAGTACATAAAGGCAGCCCGTACAGTAGATACACTTAGTCATCAATGTCTGCTGTCCCACTCACGTCGAGGTCATCCATAGTACCTGTCTCTTTGCCTTGGACAATATCACTTTTCCCTGAGCTGTCGTCGAGTTCCTCACACAATCTTCCTAGCATGCCCTCAATCCTCGCCGTAGCCTCTTCCAGAGCCTCCAGCCTCTTCTTGATTGTAATATCGCCATCGCCGTCTTCGCTACCTTCTATAAGGAGATCCCTTAATCTACCGGTGATTCCGGCGAACGGGGCAACCGAGTCTCTTCTGCTCTTTGACGTATTGGTTCTCGTTCTCTTCACTCCCATTTCGGGGCCAAACTCTCTCTCAAAGTCATTCTCCAGCGAATGGTGGCCAAGGTCGTCTTCATTGGCAATTTCTTGTTCGATTGACGGTGGTGGCTCGACATCAAAGACGGTTTGGATGTCTCCATGTACAGAGAAACCTCTAGAAAGTCGCCATAGGCTAGGACGGACAGGCGATTTAGGTAATTGCTCGACATCACGGAAACGCGGAGTACCTGACCACAATGTCCGTCGTTCAATGATGGCGATAAGAAGCAGGAGTGGAGCGTCTATTACTATATCAGTACGTATTTTATACAAATATCGAGGACTTAAGGTGAATATATCTGAAGAGAGTGTTTGGAGAACTCGGCTTCCAAATTGTCCTTAAGATTAAGGATGATTTTGACGTACTCAGGGCTCGAACTGCTGCTACGTTGATTTTGTGGAACCAACGAGGAGTTAAAGCAAATTTGAGAGGCAGAAGGACCACCAAAGCGAGAAGATTGAAGGGTGGCTGGTAGGCAAATATTGCGTCTGACTTTACACCTTCCAAGGTGAGAACAGCGCGCCTGAATTGTATCTCGGCTGTAGCGTTCGCAACGATGGTCGAGAAAGTAGTGCTGAGCATAGAGACCAGGATAGTCAAGAAGAGGGTATTGCCTAGGAATGCGAACGCAACCATAAGTATTGGTCCCAGTAGCCAATGAAAATCAACGGAGCGTTGTATTCCCGTCCCATCTAAGCCGAACCAGACCCATAACATCCACTTTGAGATAGTAATGGGCTCGTGGGTGCCGTCACTCAACCATGTCATTGAGAGAAGGAAGCCGGCAAAACACCTAGTAGAAGTCAGAATCGTCTAACAATGCAACAATGGTGGTGCGAGTCTTCAATAAACAGCCCTGTTCATCGAAGTAGCTTGCAGATCATCGTTGGTCAACATGGTCGATGCCGCTTCCAGCGGCTTGCAAGTGTGCATGAAAGGTCTTACCACACAGCTAGCAACGTAAGGACCTTCGACTATTAGCGCAGCCATCAATAGATAAATTCTAAGGGTTCTCACAGTAAAGTCCTTCATCATCGCACGCAGAGAGACAAACAGCACTTTCAAAAGAATCAGTATACACTTCAACAGAGATCTGGAGAGAGGGGGTAATATCCGACTAGTTGAAACACATTTTCTCCAATGAGCGCCTCCCGAAGACGGACAACTAACAAGTGAATGATTTGACATACTGTTCTCGGACATCAAGTTGAAGGCCAACCGCGGGACTAGAACGGGGGCACCCATGGCAAGAACATCCATCGCCTGCTGGCCTTGTTCAGGCTCATCAGTCCGCCAGCCATATAAACGCAGGACAAGATACACGGCGAAAACGGCTGAGAAGGTCACATCCAGAAATGACCAAAGATTCTGCGTGTACACATGCCAGCCTATTGAAAAATTAGCCACGATCACTAAAGCCGACCCAAAATTGCTTACCATGCTCTAACATACTCGCCTATAATAGACACTCTGATTAGCTCCATTGGCAACTATTGTTTTGTCGGCAATGACTATTTGTAGAAAAAAAAAGGCAAAAGTCCATACGCCCGTCTGATAATAGGTTGAACTCACAAATTGATCTAATACCCACCCTAGGGTATAGATTATGAACAATCCTTCAAAGAATCCGAAGGTGGACGGGTTGCGGTCTACCATCACAAATAAGAACAACGCTAGCAGTACCACAAATTGACAGATCTCTAGGATACTCCTCGTCCTTGGCACAATGAGTCGGTATTGATTGAGAAGAGGCGCTTTTCTTGGATTGTATAACGAGATAGGCTTTTGCTTGTAGTGGTCTGGCAAGATATCGATAAACGACGTGGGTGTATAAATCACTCGTCCCTCATAAATGGCGTTTACAACCTTTTGGCACGCTGAGGAGCTGAGAAATACCTTGCTCTCAGATATTATGGCAATCTCGAGAGCCGGAAGTTTGCGTTTAGCACCCGTTCTTGTATGACTTGTCCATGGGACATGGTTGCCTTCCTCGACAATTTCAGCAGGAGCGCCCTGGAACGGGTCAAAACCGCCCACGAGAATTTGAGCCAACAGCAATAATCCCCGTGTGCCTGTATTATCCTCATGAAAACGTCTTAGAATCCTGTTGGCTAGTAGCTCGCATAAGATAGCGCGAGTTGCACAGACACTTTGCTGGTGGGCTTGAGACAGCTGCTCCCTCTGGAAGCGAGCACGGTTCACTAAGAGACAGTATACTGCAGACTCAAGTTAGCCTAATCAGTTGTGCAACCTTGTGATATGCCGGTCAGTACCGAAATCACCCGAATCTCAGTGCTGCAGCGCATTGAACGTGACAACGATACGAAGAGACATCCACAGTCAAGATATTCATCGGTGACAAAGAAAAAGAGAAGTGACAGACGGACTAGAATTTCCTAACATAAACTAGAACTCGAAGTCAAGCTTGGTCAAAGCTTTATGAAAGCTGCTAAGTTGAAAAGGTAGAGTATCTCGGGATGGCACGGCCACCAAAGAATCGGGAGGGCCATGGAGGATAGGAAAAACAGGCAACCGAGGAGAAAGAGAAAGAAAATTGTGGCTGGAAAACTAAATCTAATATCTTGGGCGAAAAATTGGGACTGGTGCAAAGGTAACAATATACAAAAGCTTACCCATAGAGACATCGTTTGCCTCGTAGAGCTTGTCTACCAGCGGTCTGACCACGGACATGTTCATGCGTGGATCGCGAAGCTGCTCAATGCTGTATGGATCATCAATAGCTTCTATAATATCCCGTCGTATCCTTCCGAACAATTGTTGTCAATACAGTTTCTTTTGTGATCAGCTCGTGAAACGTACCGATGAATCGTCGTATAGACAGGTAGATTAGCATAAGGGTTTGCTGGGCACGGATCCCGGGCCGAGTGAGGAGGGAAGCAGCCATCATGATCTATGTCGTCAGGACCCAAAGGGAGTAGTCGATCTGTTTCTCTGCTGCCGTGGCGAGCCACAGACGATTGTTGGCCCATCGTCGAGAGCGGCTTGGCACAGCGTGCAAGAGCAGCGAAGGATCAATTATGAAAACGGCAGCGTCACTCCGAGTATGTAGAATCGTCTAAAGACTTTATGTGCATGGTTTCTGGTGGTGCTGATAGGTTTAGTATTATGTAGTTGGGGAAGTGAGCATGAGAAAGAAACAAGATAACGGATTCGGATAAGAGCGAGCGAGCGAGACAGAAACGTGTAGGGTTTAGCTCATCTAGCGAATCCCAGCCTATCGTCACAGACTGGCCAACCAGAAAAGGCGTTGGTCGAGTAAAGGAGTTCTTAACCACGACTTCACAGAAGAATAAAAATTGCGAGCACCAACCCATTCACACGGTAAGGAGACACCGCGTGCGGCAGTGTTCTGTCTCACGGAAAAAATACCTGACCTCGGTAGCCACAATGGAGAAGCAGATGAGGACATCGCTCACAAGGCCTATGGGGTAGACGACGCGAGGTAGGCAAGCTTAATTGGAAGAAGACTTGATGCATTTTGAAAGAAGACCTTGCCTAAGATCCAGCGCTCTATTGTGAATGACTAACTCCTTTACAATGATGCAAAACCCTGAAAACCCCAACTCAAACAGTCCTAATGGATGCGGTCCAGTCTGGCCCTGTTCATGGCGATTTGATCGTCCACACGATCGCTCTGTACGGAGGTCAGCTACTTTCTCGACCAAGTCTAGAGGGGAAAGGATTACCTTTTGAATGATTCTGTCAATATGCTTGTTCTGCTCATCCACTTCCTTGCCTGTGGCCCTGGCCAGTGCGTTCAGTCGCCCCGCAGCGTGACCCAGGGCATCCAGATTGCTGTCAATCTCGTTTTCCATCTCATCGTCCTCCGAATCTGCTTCGAACTGGTACTTGGACCGTTCTGCGAGGCTAGCTTTGGTCTGCGGAGCCCGATATCCAACATCTCCCGGCTGGAGTTCACTAAAAGCGCGCTCCATTCGCTGCTGCGTCCCAAAGGCGGCTTGTCGCGTCGCGTCACGCTGCTCACGTTCCTGTCGATGTTTCTCAATGATTTCTTGATCTCGTTCGGCTCGGCGAGAACTGGCCGTGAAGGGGTTTGAGACGTGAACAGCAAACATGCTCCTATTCAAGGTCTTAAGCTCCTTTGCCTTCTCTTCGGCGATTCGATTATGATTAGCAGCAAGATCCAAGTTCTTCTCTGTATTGTGAATCCGTTCTCCCTGGGCACCAAGTCTGGCCAGAGTAGCTCGGCCGGTCTCCTCAGCTTGGGCTGCAATGCGAAGAGCATTGCGGGTACTTGAAACATCCTCTTGCTTCATGAAACGAATCTGCTGCTTCGTAGCTGCGACATCTTCTTCCTCTTCCTCCTCTGCGGTCAATTGTCTCTCCTCCCCATATGCACCATATCCACTATCTTGACCTGATGTCCCCGAATCAGCAGAGTAACCACCTCCGGGGCGCCCATTGCTTGGTGGTATAGCACCCCGCTGGGAATATCTGTCCTTGGCGCCTCCAAAGAGAGCCTCCCGATTGTCCTCGGTGGTCGTCGTCTCATTGCTGTTTGTTCGACCCAATCCCCCGTAGCCTCCCGGACCGTACTTGGAGCCGGATTCCGCACCGTAGCTGGGCGCTCCATCGTATCGATTGGCACCGTAACCACCACCGCTGCCGTACTTCTCAGCTCCATATCCCCCACCACTTGCGGCTGGGCCACGATCGACAGCAGGTGCTCCTCCGTATCCTCCACGATTGGCCCCGGGCCCACTTGGAAGTCCCCCTCGAGCAGGCCCAGGTCCGCTCGGAAGGCCTTGTCGTGCTGCTTGGTATGGTGATGGACCAGAAGGTCCCACCGAGCCCATATTCGCATACTTGTTGTTGTCTTGAGCATACGGATCTGCAGCCTGTTGCGGTTGGGCGTAAGGGTTTGACGCTGCCGGAGCGGGCGATGCGTTCTTCGAAGAGCGTGAGAACAATGAAGCCTTCAGAGAGTCTTCGTCCCCCCCCTCGCTCTTCTTGAAGCCGAATTTCTTCATGTTGGATAGAAAGAATGGTTAGGTTTTTGGACGTCGGGAGGGAAATAGAAGGAGAAAGTAAGTTCGAAATTGGGACCAGGGAGTGGATTTTATGTTGTACTGCTCTGTTGCCGCACTGTCAGGGAATTTGTTAGAGGTGGTGGTTCCGGTTGCCTTGCTGAGTTTCGGCTGAGTCTCAAGCGTTCGTGGATTCGGGAGTCTGCGCCCCGCTGAGTTGAGCGGGACTGGCGAGACTGGAGCACAATAAACGCTAAAATAGGCCTCCAATCAGCAACCTGGTCTGTGGCACCCCACTCACAAGTCCACAAGTCATCCAGATCTCTCGTTGTGACTAACTGCTGTAGCTTCCCCGGTGACACATCTACTTCTACTTCTATATATGTCTTCAGAGTCTTCATGCGTTGAATCTGCCATCTGCTCCTCCCATCTTCACGATTTACAGTCACCGCAAGCAAAATTTGTCACATACACACAACAATAGTATCTTCGAGCGTCGCCATGACTTCACAGTAAACAGCATGATTCTGGGTCCCTCCATCGAGTCGCACAGCCCTTCTATAGACCTCACCCCGATGGTCAAGATGGTTCTCCAATTGTCCCAACCTTTCCGCCGGATACATCACGCTCACACGAACACCCGGTCTTTACTGAATGCAAAAACGGAAAGAATAAACCGGCGGAGGATAGTCTGAGGCATCGTTCCCACCACGAAGTTCTGAGCATAAACCCTATCCTATTGGTGGCAATTCCAGGGACAGACTGCATCCAAAGCATCTATATCAATGGCATCGATATTCACTTATGATCCGGATCCCCCGAGGGTTGCATCTCCGTGGTTGACGCCCACTGATAGCCCTAAGCCATCCACTCCCCAGCCGAAAGAGGCTCTCCCAAGTTCAAACGCATCTCCAGTCACATCGCATCTTGCAGATTATGGAGTGACTCGACTGGAAGCAGAGCCTCAAGAAGGGCCAACAGAATACAAATTGCATTTACTATTGAGACCCAGAAGAAATTGTATGCCCTTTTTGCACATCTCCCGCTTCCTTACCCCTCACTCGAACTTTATGTTGTATTTGGTATACTTATTGTTGGCTACTAACGCGACTTCACTACAGACTCGAGTTCCTCAACTGGATCATTAGTAACTGGATCACAGCAGCACAAGCAGAGAATACCCAGCCAGCCTGTTACAAATGAACCTGGTCCTATATTAGCTCCTTCAAACCAATCCCGACAAAATCGTCTAGAACAGTTAACGACACAACTCTTGTGGCGTCTACAACAATCTTCTCCTTACCATGCGTCTTCTATCAGTAATCTAGTTTTACCAAAACTCCCAGAAGCTACAGAGAACTTGTCTACACCTCCTAGACCTGGGAAACTGCTTGCTGGTTTGGAAGAAAGTCGGGGTGCCCTCTATGAAATTGGTGTCTCTGACGACGGAACCTTTGTAGGCCTGACAAAGGATGAAATGGATGAAAGTCTTACCAATCTTCGAGCCATGGCTGCAAGTCTCGGATGTAACGTTGAAGTTGTTCGCATGGTAGTAGTCGGAGATTGTGAATGGCAAGAACTGTCTGTTCCAAAGACCGATTTCGAGAAACGTGCTACAAAGCGTGGGCAGCGAGCCTCTAGACCGTTACAGGAGTCAATTGGCGAACCCGAAAACCTACGGCACCAAGCTCAACTATGGGTTGCTGAAGCTCTGGTCACCCCGGATTTACGCTCTAGGAAGAATTTTCAGCAAGTTGATATCAATCCCGTCTCACTTGATGAGACACCGCCTCCGACCCAGCTCGGAAATCTGTCCCTAGAGCATTCGCCAGCTTCACATGATACAACTGAACAACTACGCATCACTTTGACAGGTCCAACCACCTCCGGAAAATCGAGTCTGTTGGGTACTTTGTCCACTGCAACACTAGACAACGGTCGAGGTAAAAGTAGACTGAGTCTTCTCAAACATCGTCACGAGATAGAGTCTGGGGTGACTAGCTCCGTGGCTCAAGAGTTGATTGGGTACAGAGGTAACAAGATCATTTTTCCGTTATTAAATTTCAAAGATAGCTTTTCATGTTAACTGCTCTAAGTAACTGTAAATCCAGCTACCTAAGCTGGCACTGCTTCGTATAACTTCCCTTAGTAAAGCTAGAACTGACAACTTGCAGGTACAGAAGTCGTTAACTATGCTGCGGGTAATGTGACTTCATGGACGGATATTCATGCATCAGCACAGAAAGGTCGCCTAGTGTTTGTATCAGATACAGGTGGCCATCCCAGATACCGTAGAACGACCGTTCGAGGCCTCGTTGGTTGGGCCCCTCATTGGACTGTACTTTGTATTGCTGCTGACGACAGTGATAATGCTCCGAATAGTGCTGGTGGCACCTCATCGGCCCAAGAAATCCTTGGGGCTGCTGGAGCAGGTATTGACCTAGCCAAAGCACATCTCGAGCTCTGTTTAAAGTTTGATAAGCCTTTGGCAATAGTTATCACCAAACTTGACCTTGCTTCGAGAGTCAGCTTGAGGCAGACTCTGTCCAAAATCTTGACAGCTGTGAAAGCCACAGGACGAACCCCAATCATCGTTCCGCCAGACCAAACTAAGGTGGTGCTCGAGACGGACCTTTCAAGCATTGCGGAGAACGACGCAAATGCGGTTCAAAACATAGCGGAAAGGATGGCATTGTCTGGCGATCTTGTATCTCTTGTACCTATCGTCATGACAAGCGCTGCAAAAGGTACGGGTATACGTTCGATGCATGCTCTACTGCAAAATCTACCCATGCCGAAACTACCCACTGCACAGGACTTCGTTGGTTTGGCACTGAATCCGGAGCAACCCGCTAGTCTTTTTCACATTGAAGACGTTTTTGGCGGCTTGCAAGCATCCTATGAGCCTTTGGCATCAAATAAGACCAAGCCAGGAGATGCAGGCTCCGTGGTGGCAGGGTACTTACGCTTTGGGAGATTTACAGTCGGTGATACCGTCGTTTTGGGCCCTTTCCCATCTGATGTCGAGGAGTACGACTCACCCAGCAGAGCGCCCACAAGATCATCTCCAGCAAGTCTTGGGAATTCAATGAGCCATTCTTCTACTGTAGATTTGTCTCGGCTATCTTCTCGGAATGCTATATCAGCATCAGCAAGTAAAGTTGAATGGTAAGCATTTTAGTTGCGGTGCACATCCAGGACGGCTCAATTAACATACTTATCAGGTTCAATGCTCGAATAGTCAGCCTTCGAAACCTGCGACTTCCTGTCCACACTCTAGACGCAGCTCAGGTGGGGACTATTGGACTTGTATTTGACATACCTGAGCCAGAGCTTTCCAATGGTCCGTTTGAGCGTCCGCCACCACCAATCCCACGTATCAGGAAAGGTCTGGTAATGGCTATTCCCAATCGGCACATGATAGAAACAGGACACACCTTGCAAGCCGCCAGCGGATTCTCGGCGTCGTTCGAAGATGGTGACATTAACTCTGTCACTGTTGGTAGCCTAGTGGTAGTCTACATTGCAAGCATTCGTGCCTCGGCGAGGGTTCTGAAATTGGTACCCCATACCAATAACGATTTGGTAGATAGCGCGGACATAGAAGATCTTGAGGATGACGTTTTTGGACTCCATGACAACCTTGAGAAAGATGAGCAAGACACAGCTGAGCCACTTGTATTTGGCTCCTACGGAACGACAGACGTCACTTTTGAACTTATAACGAATCGCGAATGGATAGAGCTTGGGTCTCAAGTCTTACTTATGCCAGGTGGAGGGCATGGTTTGTACTATGGGTCAGAAAGAGGAGAAAAGGGAATAGCTGGCCTTGAAGGTTTTGTCGGCAAGGTTGTAGAGGTAATAGATTGATAGCGCTTAATTACTTGTGTACCTATGTATCCGACGACTTGACTTCACGTGCCGATCAAAAATTGTCTGAAAACTTCATGATCACAGCATCAAAGGCAGTACTCAAGGGATTAGTACCTAAGCTTGGTGTTCAGGGAAACGAAGAGAGATGACTTGAGGCTTGGCTTCTGCTATATGCTGTCATAATGCCCCCAACGCCGACAACCAAGAACACCATTCCCAATGCCACTTATGGTATCATATCTTTGTATTGCCCGTAGAGGCATTCCGCTTCGGAGATCGCGTGTCACTCCATTCTACACAACATCTAAGCTCGTACCAGCCCGTAAAACAATGTCCAAGTCAGGACAAAGCCGCTCAGCCCCTCAATCAATCCACCGGTCCATAGCTCCATGCTTCCCCTAAAATATCTCTGCATTCCCGACGAGCCGCTAGACTGGGCCTCCTTAATAATCCCCGGGCGAACGCGGAATGCATATACGAGTACCGATGTGAGCAGGGAGAAGAGGAAGTAGAAGAGGAAGCCTGGGTACGACTCGAGACCCAAAATGCCGGCACCAACACCGAAGAGGGATGCCGTGAGGTTGTGAAGGGTCGTGAGAACCTACGTCGGACACTTGATTAGCGGTTTGATTCGTACAAGAGCTTGAGATATGCCAGCTGAGTAAGTAGTTTGGGTATTACTAAAGAGGCTGAGAAGGCGGCTGAGGGTTGTGGGGTCGGCGGCGACGTTGGTTCGAGTTATGGAGGATACCGTGAGGCGTAGAAGAATGAGGAGAAGGCGTGGCAGACGCATTGGAACATGTGGTGGGGGTACGAATGGTGCACTTGAGGAAACGGCACTCATGCGCTGATGCAGGAACGGGACGAACCTTGGTATTGTGTAGAACTGACTCCTGCACCGTCGGGCTGATCTGCAGCTCTCGTTCGGTGAGCATGGTGATTCTCCACACGGATGTGATTGAGCGTGGGAAGTTGCAGATACGGAGCTTGAAAGAGAAAAAGGAGCTGCGGTTGCTTGTCGTTTAGAGATGTGATATCAAGGTTGGCCGCTGGCGGCCTTATTTTAAGCGCCGATTTCGCCAGGCATCCCATCCCATAACCTTACTGTACTCCCACCACCCTCCCCTGAAATTCGGCTCTGCGGTCACACTGCCCCGTCCTGTACCGTACCTAGGTAGCCTCGGACTTAATGTCTTCGTGCGTTTGTGCGTAGCAAAACGTGTCTGACAGAAACCTAATATTACCCAGTGGTGAATGTGAAATGTGATGGGGGTAGGGGGCCGGTGCCAATGAGACGGTCGAGAGTACAACTTTTTCCAACGTTGGATTGTGAATCTTGCTGACCTTACATGTGCGTTGCAGTGCTTCCGGTGCAGCGCTTCCCGTCATCATGGATTTGGGAAATAGGACCACACCGGCCTGAACCTTCTTTCTTGCTGGAGATTACACACTCCACCACAGCGCGCTTGCTGATGGATCATTTTCCTTCTCACTTCCTTCTCAAGACGTTATGATGAAGCAATGCCATCTGGCTTTTTATTTTATTTTCTTTGGACAAACTGAAGGTGGCATTTGATATGCAATGAATGGTCTATTGATGGAATCATGGTCGAACCTCTAACCTTTTTCTCCAAGTGTTCAACGAGCGTAGTATAATGACATCCAAACCTGTCTAATCAGTCCCAATCCGACACCCCCAAATGACCCGCCGGCATTCCCCAACATTCCGCAAACTCCCTACCATGCATGGCATCTCGACGTATCCCAAAGCTCAGTGACAAGACACCCTTAAGAAACATATCGCCCATACTCGTTAAGATACTGCTGAAGATAGATCGACAGAGAGTACCCTGGCGTTTGTTCAGCTTGGCGAAGGTAACGAATAGCCTGGGCGAACAAACGCTCGTCCCCGGGCGTGGCAGTAACATTGCCAAGCGACATGTGAGATTCTGCAGCCTATATGTATGCCGTCAGTTAAAGCACCAAGGATTTCCATACTTGAGAACTTACGGAAGCAAGGAGATCTCCTGGAGTATCGCCGAGAGACGCCGCGGATGTGACAGCTCGAGTGTAGAAGTCTACAGCGGGCTGTAGGTATCCACGAGCTTCAACATACAGAGGACCTTGCCTGCGAGGATCCGTTGGCGGTGCAGCTGAATTTTCGTCAGTATCCAAGCCGTTTGTCAGAAGCTCATTGTCGTATATCATGTTACCTGCTTGTCCGCTGCCCGAGCTTGAAGAATCTGTCCCCTCTTCTCGTTGAATTCTTGCAAGAGTCGCCTGAGCTCTCTGTAGCCAATTATGACCCAATCCTGTGAACAACGTAAGTAAAGTCGTAAATAACCCCGAATTGACATGCTTTATGTTTAGGAAGGATTGCAAGGCGGAGGGTAAAATTGTATGGGAAAAATGTTGGCAGCAGAATCGAGGGCGTACCTGTAAGTGTTTCTACATCCTCGGGATAATTCCTGAGGATCCGAAGCCATGCAGTTTGGCACCATTCCGCAACGTCACGAATTGCACCTCCATCAGGGTCGTGAAAGGCAAAGTCTTGAAGTCCATGAAGAATCCAGACCTGTTCGTCGTATCGCTGAGTACTGCGAAAGAAGCGCACATGGTCGAGTGCTGACATTGCTGAGCGAGCAGAGGGCAGATATGTCTCCCATTGATGAGGTGCTGATGCAATCACTGTATTCAACTGATTGACAACAGCCTTCGCCTGTTCGATCGTGTCTTCTGAATTGGACTCAGAGCTCCTAGGCTGGTGGGATCGATGTCGTGAAGAACCGGAATGTCTTGACATAATGAACGCCCCTAGATTGTAGAAGTCTAAAGCAATCGAGCAAAATATATTGAAAGTGCAAGAGACAAAGGCTAGCGGTTCGATGATGATACAAGAGCAAGAAATGATGCGGGGAAAAATGCAAGTGCAAACACTCGAAGAAGATGTGTAAATGTCTGCTTTTCCAAGGCAATGGATTGTGATAAGACACATGTATATAGTCAACACTCACGGCACGTACAGCCAACATCTATTCCCACGAGGACCGAATTAGAAGCAACCCGGCCGAAGAAGAGTAGTCGGGGGCAGAAAAATTGAAGAGATATGGAAAGGATGGATGTGACCTTGTCAAAATAACTTTGCGTTGAGGCAGTGGTATCGCTGACCTGTACCCATGCGAGCAGCATCCAGTGGCTTCTATACCCGCGACAAAGGACTACTAACCTTGAGTCACCAATCTGAGCCATACAGCTAGACAATCGAAGAGATCTGAGCTTGCGGGTGCTGCCCTTGGCACTGGCCGAACGGGGTAGACCGACAAAGGCCATGGCACGATGGGCCCCAAGGAGTGGAGGTTTGTCAGGGCTTATGACGCACAGCCATGGTTGAGCACAATACGGGAACGATGGGGGATGGATAGGGTCAGGTGTGAAGACAATTTTCTAAAGCTAGGAAGGATGTGATATGGCCGTTTGGCTTTCCTTGTCGTTCGACTTTTGATGTCGAGACGGACTTTAGGAAGCGAGAGACAGGGGGATGGGCAACGAGCGACCCGCAGAACAAGGCTGGATGTTGCACTATGTTGCAATGCTTAGTCGACGGTCCTGGGACAGAGGACGGAGGGCAGAAAACAGAGACCTCGGCGTCTGAGCGGCACTACCATTCGCAGACGCCATGAATCCAGGGCTTGATGGCGCGTGGGTGATGATGATGATGATGGATGGATGGTGGTGGTGGATAGGTCATGGTGAGATTCGTTTATCCGGGTGCGGTAATCAGATCCGAAGGGGGAGCAGGGAGTCTGTAATCGTGCGTAAGTAGGCAATAGACCATTAGACATACATACGAGAGACAAAACACAGCGACCTTCGACTTTGCAATTGCAGGTCGACACCGGCGCATTTGTCAGCGCCCACACATGGTGGTGGTGCCTGCATCGTATTTCCTTAGACGGGATGTGCATAGTAATCATCTCCCCTAGAACAGCTTAGTAACGGCCTTCAGCCTCGTAGTGGATGCAAATGATGGGCAAGATGGCGTGGGTGACAAATGCTCGCCTTCTTCTCGAAGGTCTATTATGCCCCTCTTATCAAGCCTCACCCAGGTTTGCCATGTGGTTCTGCTGGGTTGCTTGAACGTTCGCATGTTCCAAGGCTGGCCAAGGCTGACCGAAGATTTGGCATCTGTTTGAATCTTCATGAGTGGTGCGTGCAAAAGGACTGACAATTCTCATGTACCAATGTCTAGAAAAGATTCCACAAGCTCAAGCCGAGAAGCGTTGCTAGCTCGCACGAAGGGAGCAGCAGCAAGTTGGCGAGTGGCAATTCTATCCATCAGCATCCCAAATACTCCTTCCCGATATCTCATCTCATCTCATCTCTCCACGCATCGCATCGCGCAGATCTTGCAACCCGCGTTGCGGCCTCGGTGTTGCGGTGTGTTGAGTTTGTCGAGGAAGTATCCCCCAAGCTACCACCAGAATTACACTGGTCCGTGCATTAGTTAAGCGAGCCAACGAAAAAGCATGTTTTCAAGCTTCAGGCGGGTAAGCCTGAGATTTAGGGATCAACGCCCTAAAATTTAGCGATCAATCGCTAATTTACAGCGTGCTTCAGTAAGAGATTTTGGTGTTCCTTTGCTTAGTCAAGTGTAATTCTGGTGGCAGCTTGGGGGATACAAAAACACCACCGCCACGGGCGAACCAAAGCGCGAAGCAAGTGTCTTCCTTCGCCTGGTGCTCGTGTTCCGGCTGAGCTCTGCGGATGACGTTGTGGGGGCCAATGCTACCTACAGTCCCTCTCTGCCAGACCGTAGAAGACATTCCGTCCATCCGTAAGAGAGCTGAACGCGCAAAGGGTCATACCTGGCTGTTGTCGTTGCTGCGAGTTCTTTGAGTGCAAGTGAGTGTGGGCGTGGCCACCAATCACAAGCTGCGCTTGTCTGTCTGTCTGTATGCATACATACATGCATACATGTGGCTAGTACTGTCGTTCTATTCTGTGCGTTCTGTGCAGATGTTCTGGAAATCCCGATGGAACCCTGGGAGATCGATCATACAGGGCGTGGACATGGGACTAAAACTTCACGGGACGGAGTATGGACGAACGCCACCATCAAGCAACGATATCAACACAAAATGCAGAGACAGAGGCAGGGGCATAGGCATCCTGGCATCAACGCAACATTTTCGTCGTGCTCAAGAATAAAAGAAGAAGAAAACATCGTCATCTCGCCGTCAAGTATCCCCGGACTTCGGGTCTGCTCGCCGAGATCAGCGAGATACATCAAATGCCTGTAGGGCCTTGCTTTTGCGGGTAAGTCCATGAGGTTACCTAGGTATGTTCTGGCAACTGCATGCTATGCTCGGGGGCAGGCTCGGTACTCGGCGATCAAACGGCGCGGCTTCTTTTTCTCAGCCCTGCGCGGAAGGACTTGCGTATAGAACAGCAGCATGGGGGTGGCTTTCTCTTTGAATGATCCTATCCTCTTCTATTCTTGTTTTGCTGCCAAAAGCTGTCGATGGTTGCTTCATTTGCCCTTCTAGGCTTGTTGGCTTCACACTAGAGAGCCCGTGCCGTCAAGGAGTGAGTGCGACGCGACACGTTGCTCGAATTGCTGAAAATGAGAAAGGAGTATTGGATCTTGCGCCTCTGAAGTATTGAATCGTGATGTCAATCAATAATGTTGCTCACCTACGACTGTCCTATTCTCAGAAAGCAAAGGCCGCGGGTCTTGATAGTGCGAAGACCGAAGAGCCGAAGACCACTTTGAGGGATCTGAGACTACATTCCACCATGCGCTATTTGTAGCTATTCGAGACGAAACGTCGAATTGTAGCGTAGAAGTTGAAGTATAAGATCGTATTTGTGGAACATTATAAATAAGAAAACAGATTCTTCGAGATAGCGGGGAATTCACGTTGTACTTCGAGTGGCTCTTCCACCACTAGTCCCCTCTCAAATCTTAGATCACAATTAGAACTTAGCCCTTTGATATTGTCCTGCAAAGTCTGGAACAGTACTACATTGTATTCTAGTCTTCCAAGATATGCTGAAACAGCTTCGTACATAATTTGTACTGTGACCTGGTGGCTAGTGTCAATCAATATCTTGGTCTGTTGAAGGTCCTTGAATGGAAATGCCTTGGTGAGTCTGAGACTCCTCCATTTCACACGATGGTCGGCGGGTTATCCTTCGAAATTGGACCAATGCCTCGCCGGTCATTGTCCTAGGATCGACGCCAGGTTGTGCCTCTCGGAAGCAGAGGTAATTCGGCGTGAAATCCGTCTTTCATATCCAAATGATCGTCGTCGTCGTGTCGCAATTGTGCAAAAAAGGTGTGATATGTATGTATGATGCATATCGTCCCCAAAGAAACATCTATGCATTCTACTCGGGTCATGTTCCTGTTATTGTCTTTTCGTTGTCGTTGACGAAATAACAAGTGACAGCCAGCGATCCCTTTCTCCACAATCGGCCGCTTAAACAGCCCCTGTAAACAACCCCTGCCTCGATGGTCATTTAACACGGAAGGCTATATCGGTCCTCCGACCTGATTTCCTTTGGTTCGTGATCTGTTCCTATGGTCTCCTTTTTGTTTTGTTTGGAAGTTTGGAGTTCAGACCAAGATTAATCTTGCTCGTCTCAAACGATAAGGTGGTTCCTCAATCTACGATCTCGACTTCCAACAAGCCTATTGTGCTGATCGGCATGGAATTTCATCATTTTCAGTAACGTTCTTTACTTCCCATGGAGGCCGTAGTGTTCGAGGATTCCCCTCTTGCGGATTACCTCGAAGGTGAGTGAACCACATCCAGCACGCTGTCGCACTTTGTGTAGTACTGATTTATGCTAGGTGGTGGAGGCCATGAGTTAGAGCGCGCTCCAAGCCATGAAGACGGAGACGGAGACGCCTCTTCAAATACGTCGAGTCCCTCATTCGCGCCCCGTGGCAAACCAACTCTGCGATCGAAATTTAGACACAAATTACCTCCTCCTCTCCGCTTGGCGATACCTGCAAATAGTGCTGTTGCTGCTCTACACAATACTTGCTCCGTGGGTTCAATTACAAGCTTCGGATGAGCTCAGAGCTAATTAAACGTTGCAGAAGGCGGTCAATTCCAGATTAGGTCGCGCGGATAATGCGAGATTTTTGGAACGATTCCGGTACTTGATAGTAGCTTCGCAGCTCCTAAATGTGCACTCATACCTAGGACAAGCAGCATATGTCCCTTCTCGAGATGCGGCAGTACCCTCGCCAGATGCTCCACAACTCGGAGCATTTACACTTGCAGGAGTTACAATTACAGCCTCCTTTTCTTTTGCCTTGGCTTGGTTAATCCATTGGGCAAAGGGCGGTGCAAGCTCGACTGCTGGAAAGGGACGGATGGTTGTTCTATTCGTTGTCATAGTCCTGCTCGCAGTCACATCGTATGCGTATATGCGAAGGCAATGGCTCCAGTACCTTCGACAACAGAGCATCGTGGAGATCTCGGAGTTCATTGTCAAAGCTCACGATTTCGACACAGCAGCTGCAGGCGCATTAACGCTCGTCCAAGAGGTCGAGTTAGTTTCTCGTGGATATAGAATGTATGCGGACTTCACCAACAACAACACTTTATTGCTGATAAACAAGTAGAAGCAACCCCCTCCCTCCAATAAGTCGACTCGAAGATCGAAGCCAATCTCGAAGATGTGCACGGCTAAGGAAGCAACTTAGACTCTGTTTCGCCATCGTGATACCACGGTATCATCAAGGTTGTGCCATTTTGAAGCCTTTCGCCGAAGAAATGGACCTAGAGAAGTACTTTGACATCTACGATATCAGCGACAGCGACTTCACGGAAGCAATGGCGGGATTTTCAGAGAATGAAATCGAAGATGCCGAATCTCTACGCGTCCTCAAGATCCTAGCAGCGAGGTTTGATATCACGAGAAAGATTTTCCTTTGCTGCTTGATGGCATTAGATGCAGACGGTGGAAAGCCTGATTTCGTTCGGTGGACCACTGCGGTTGATGAAATACAAGGTCTAGCTGCGGTGACAAGCGAAGCGGAGGATCGGCTACTTCGCATTCTCGGGGAAGAAGAGAGTTTGTAATCCCTCCTCAATACTGCTTACCATATCTGACATCACCAAGGTTTTCCTGTACCTCCAACTCCGAAGATTCCTTTAACACCAAGCCGGGAACGTTGGCGAGCACAGTTGCGGAAACTCAATTCGCTTTCCTCGGGGATCCGGGGGTTACAGGCAAAACTGCACGTGCTTCGCGAGGAATCGGACAAGAACCTGAACGAGACAGAAGATGTGTCGGAACTCGGCACAAATTTGATGATCCAATACGAATCTATTGGGATTGATCTGAAGGCTCTGATGCAGGAATGGGAAGAAGGGAAAGCCGCCTTAGCGTCTAATATCGACCGAAACGAACGTCGCATTTCGTCGATGAGTGGCATGCTTTCCCCTACATCTTCCCTAGGGGGCCTCACTGCTGTGGATGAGGGCAGTGTTCTTGATGCACTCAAAGCTTTGAATGGCGAGTCACGATCACGGAATAGCATGGACTTTAGCTCTTCTGATGCCGAAGAAGTCTTTGAGGCTGTTGCAGTTCCACGTCAACGAAGTAATCTGACGCGAGAAGAGCGGATAGCGAAAATGAAAGACGACAGGGTCAAAAGGGACTCTGTGAAGTCCAAATCGGAAGCAAATACAAAGATGCTTAGGGAACTGGAGTCTGTCATTAATATGCGGCCCAGAGGCAGAACAACAGCAGGCGGAAGAATTACGTCGATATGATACCCATGCACTTGATGATTTCCTTTAATTACATGGATTCTGCCTCTCGCTGGGGTTGAATGATACGCTGCGACGACGACAGGCTTTGCGAACATATTTTTCTCAACTGTAATGTTACACAAGGAGCTATAGATAGCACGTCGCTGGATAGCGCAAGAATATAATCTATTCAAAATAAGTGACTCAACTTGATCTGCGTTGTATATAGATAGATAGACTGAGTCCACTCTGACGATTGGGACCAATATGCTTGTTACCTCATAACACTTGGTGGTTTGGTTGAGCATGTTGATATTCTCTCTATGGATAGTTGTACCAAAACATAAATGGGTCGTTGACCCGGTCCGCCCATAAATTAACCACCTGGATCTTGCGGACTGAGAGGACTTAAGTTCATCGATCTTTGCTTTTGTATTGGCGGCGCTGAAGCTGGCACGTGCACGGACCACTTTAGCGCGCTATCTTCGCGTTCTCGGAAATAGTATGCAGGAGCCTTCTGACAACCGCATCTCAAGAACCAAAAGAGATGCACGGCAACATGTTCAGATAGGTTTCCAGAGCTGGAAAATGGTGCCTTCTCACAACAAGGATACGTCGGAATCGCCATGATGGCAGGACGAACGCTCGATACCAAAAAGCGACGCGTTTTTGACTCGGTCTTTGGCGCACCTTCAATCTCGCAACCGACTCCCGTCGCAACACCAGTCACGGGCTTCACGGCACCTGGTCAGGCGTTCGGAACACCACAAGTCCATCGTTCTCCATCCAATTCCCAGACTCCTTCTGCTTTGAAAGTCTCGCCTGAAAAGGTGACAACGGATTACGTTCAGGACCAGGTGCGATGGGACCGATCATGGCATATTGTTACGCGAGTTCTGAATCTTCCCAACTTCCCAGAACATCGAGGTGTACTGGAGCCACTCAAACCAGAGAGAGAGTCCGTTGACAAAGACTTTTACAATGCACTCGATGTCCTTCTCTACCCTCAGACTTGCGTACCACTCGCACGGCAAACAGAAGATATCATTGCCTGGCACACCTCTCAGGTGCGACGACACTTCCTTCAGCAGGTTTTACCTATCATCATAAGTCTCAAAGCTCATGGAAGTGCCGACGCTGTTCTCCTTCGGGCTGTCAAGGTCCTCGAGACTGCCCAACGTCAGTATCTTCATGGGCTTTCATTCATCAAAGAACATATTGACAATTCTGGGCCACCTGGAGCATCAGTATCAGTTATGTCAAGATTTCACAGGGATATCTATGCTGTGATTAGCAATTCGGTAGCAGACCCAATGCTGGGCGTCCTAAGAGAGGTATTGGGCCGGCATGTCTCTCGCATTCTCGGCCTTCCTTCTAAAGAAAATGCCAATACCTATTCAATAGCTCCTGAGAACGTGGAATCTGAGAAGGCTCGCCGTGATCTTCTGGCCCTCGTGGACTCCCTGAAAAGTGTGGGGCTGGCAGGCGAGCAGTTTCAGGTCTCCTTTGCTGAAATTATGAATGACTCTATGACGGAATACGTACATCGAGGCTGCAAAGGAATCTGGTCTCTAACTGGACTGTTTGAGAACCGTCCGAGTAAGAATGCTATCTTGCTGAGGGCAGCGCATCATTCAACACCGTCTCGATGTGTGACGGATCTCTGTGAATGGATCGAGAATCGGTATGCTAAACTCGCAGTTCAGGTTCTTGGTATGCTTGATCCAAAATACACCATTTCATGGACGGATAAGGAGAAGTACAAGGAGATGAGCATTAGTCGTCTTGCAGAACTTAGAATAAACGAGCTCTACGACATCGTGGTCCGCTGGCCCCATAGCAAAGGGGCTTTGGATGACCTTCGAACCGCGATCAACACACCTCAGAAACGCTTACACCTAACGGAAGTATTTGCAAACACCTTGAGCGAGAAGCTGCTGCATCCTGGTGCATCGACACTCCAGATCTTACAGACTTACATTGCCATGATATGGTCATTTCATGCTTTGGATCACTCTAAGGTGCTACTTGATAGAGTTGCTTATCCCCTTCAGTTGTACTTATCCTCTCGAGATGATACTGTGCGTATAATTATCTCTGGTTTGCTTTCGGAGACGGAAGATGCACAAGGTGATCCCATTACCACGTCTACGGAGAAGCTGGTGGAACTAGCGCAACTTTTGAACAATAACTCCGAGCAAATCGGCCCCAGGGCAGACGACGAAGAGCTGGATTGGCACGACATGGATTGGATGCCTGACCCAGTGGATGCTGGTCCCGGATACAGGAGGTCCAAAAATGCGGACATTATAGGGACCCTGATAGGAGTATTGGGGTCACAAGATGTTTTCATCAAGGAGTTTCAAAACATTATGGGTGAGAATTTATTGAAGCATGATGGGCCTTTTGACAAAGAGGTGAGTCTTGAATTCTTACTGGCATGTGACGACAGATGCTTAGATATGACGCAGGTAAAAGTGTTAGAACTCTTGAAAGTTCGCTTTGGCGAGGCACCGCTCCAGGCTTGTGAGGTCATGCTGAAGGATATCCAAGACTCTGGAAGATTAAATGGACTGTTCAGGAAAAGACTGCGCGACCGCCACGACTCACACATCGGTGAGGCTGACACTGAGAAAGTGGCAGACAGCATCGATACTCCTAACAACCAGTCGGAGCCGCCGCTACACGTTAAAGTCCTCTCGAGATTATTTTGGCCTCAACAGAATACCGAAGACTTCGGGGTACCCAGAGAGATCCTTGAATTACAGCGGGCCTATGCTGAGGGCTTCGAGTCAATTAAGTCGTCACGCGTACTTACTTGGATGCAATCGTTGGGTCAGGCCACAGTTGAACTTGAGCTCGAAGATCGCACCGTGGTAGAGGAAGTGCATACGTGGCAAGCTGCCGTTATCTCGTCATTCCAGTTCCGAACATCACAGGACCAAGAAGGTACGGCCGCCCAAAGAACGATCGAGGAACTCGTGGATGAGCTTGAAATGGACGAGACACTTCTTCGCAGCGCCCTGAAGTTTTGGGTCAACAAGCTAGTTCTGCAAGAAGTTGCTCCGGGCACATTTTGCGTACTAGAAACGCTAAATAAAGAAGATCGCGAGCGTTCAAATGCGCAAGCAGCAGCCTCCAACGCAGCGAGCAACAAAGATGAGAGCAGTGACGACACTGGACTTGCCGCCAGTGACGGAGTCGGGAACGAGAAAATGGGCATGTATTGGCAGTTTATCCAAGGCATGCTGAAGAATAGCTCTAGTCAGATGCCGCTCCAGCAGATTGCGATGATGCTGAAGATGTTGATTGTGGATGGGTTTCCTTACAGCAACGAGGAACTACAGGAGTTTTTGGGGAGGAAGGTTGCGGATGGGAGTCTAGAGATGGTAGGCGGGAAGTATAAACTTAAGAAGTGAGTGTGAAAGAATCATGGGACGTGCCTATCTTGCTTTTCCTCGTTCAAGGTGTGAATTCGCTTTCAATCTGGGGCAGAGACAGGTGTTTTGCTCTCCGAAAACACAAAATACAATTATGATGCTCCAGGACCGAATGTGATCACCAGCCAGTACTGTGATCTGGAGCATTGGCAGATATAGGACATGGCTGGGTTGATATAGCTAAGGTGAAACATCTTCTCGCTACTTCTAGCACGACCTCCACGATGAAATAGGGGCGGGCTCGCTTAACTTCACAGTTCACATTTGAAAGTATTACACCAGTCTACTCAATCTCACCTCACATACAAGGTAAAACGGGCAATTTCTGAATGTTTTTGAATTCATATATCAGTTCATTAAGCTACTGAGCGGAAAATCAAGAGCAAGGATTGAACCCAATTTGCTCCATTGACGCCTTGTCCACCCAAAGCCCAGTTCAATCCGTGCATACAGTGCATGCTAGAGTCGATCGAAAATAATGAAGCAAAAGTGGAGGAAGACACTCTCATGTTGTTGCAATTTCATGGAATCCAGGCTGTGTAATGTTTACTTTTTCACAGCATTTTCAGGACGCCTCTGGTGAATGTGAGAGGACGTTCTGCTCAGTTAGGGGGTAGACTGGCAGAAGCGTAAATCAACGCGTGGAGTTTCAATTGATGGCGCCCCAGCCGGGGGGAATACCAGCATCCATGCGACCGATACGAGCCAAGTCATCAGCGTCGTTGCTAGCATCCGACCCAAAACGAGTGGCCGAATTATTACTGACTTCAAGGAGAGCACCAAATGATGGAATACCTGGGGAAGATTCATTTTGACCTTGCCCGCGGTTTTCTCCATTATTGGCCTGATCTAGTGATTGGCGATTTCGACTTTCGCCTGAAGGCTCAAACATAAAATCGGAACTGTCGGAGTCCAGACTCAGTCGAGCAGCCGCTGAACCCGATTGATCGATCTGCCGCCTGACAGACACGCCGGACCCGACGGCTACAGGCGGTGATGTGGCTTCTGTTGGTGCCGAAGCATCGGTAGCCAGCCTTGGTGCTGGAGTTCGACCAGCAGAGCCAGAGACTTCCGAGGAAGGTTGACCCCAGCTGGCTCGAAATGGAGAGACAGCAGATGCGAGTCTGGCCTCTGCTGCTGTTCGGGCTTCTCTGTCTCGAGTATCTCTAGTTTCTCGCATAGAAGTTTCAGAGGCAACATTTCGTCTCTGCGGTGCATAGTAATCGGCAAAGTTTCTCGGAGGTTGGTGAGTGAAGGATGGATTAGAAGGTCTGGCTGAGCCGACGGAGGTTGGGCGTCCCGGGTAATGCGGTGCTCTGATTCCACTATGTCTTCCCCGTGCCTGGCGTCTTCGTTCTGGCGAATCACCATTCGCATTGCGATTCGATGGATAGTAGTATTCAGCTTGTCTTGCCATCATGAACTCGATATCTGCTTGAGCACGTTGAGCTGTTGCAGAGCTTCTGCGGATGTCAGCAAGAGATTTGTAAAAAAAGGTATCCACCAGTCTCACCTGCTACTATCTGAGTCGCCTGGGACCGAAGGCACATCTGTTGAAGCGTATGATGAATATCTTTGTCTCTGGGCTGCCATAGCTGCCAGTCTCATTTGTTCCCGATGAGCTAATCTGTAGCTTTGATACGCACCCAGACTCTTTCTAGCAGCTGATTCCGAAGGCAGCTTATCCCGACAATACGGGCAGCTATCGGAGTCCTCGAACCACTTCTTTATGCATTTGTCTCCGAAGACATGCTTGCATTTAGGCAGGCGGATAGGGTTCTCAATTTCTCCCTCTGGGTTACTAACACCGAATTCATTGTAGCAGATTATGCAAGCTGAAGACCAGTTAGAGAAGTTTGCATGTGACCAGTACAGACAACTTACTTCGGTCAGCATCCTTTAGGTCTGCGACTTTTACGGGCTCTAATGAGTCGAGGGCTTCCTTAGATGGTACTCTCTTAGCGGCAGCCACAGCGCTTCGGATAGCTGCTACAGAGCGTTCGTCATCATAGGCTCCGAACAGTGTTTCTGCGGCATGACGGCGAGCGACTTCCATTCTCTCATAAGACGCAGCAGACTCCTCGTCGTCATCAGAATCCCATGCGGTTGCCAGACGTCGTCGACCTAGTACAGCATAGTCAGCAGTGAGGCTTAATAAAAATGATCTTGACAGCCAGATGTTCGTCCCATATCTTCGAAGTAAACCAAGCAGTATCTGCAAAGGAACTTACGTGATCCTTCCAAGATATCCTCGTGTCGAGAAATATTTGATCTAGCCCGCGGCATCCCTGAAAGCTGTCAATACTCGTGTCGAATAAATGAGTACAAACAGCACAAAGGTTCCGTTGCTCTCTCAAACACCGCCCATTCTAGAAATAAAACACTTATACGGAATTGCGTCTGCTTACCTGGTCTCAAATCCGTGAAAGACGGCGGTTGCTGGAATGCTGAGGTTTCAACAGATACTGATGCTGCTCCACTGGCCTGAGGCGGTCGAGGCTCCGATGAAGCTGTGCTAGATGGCATCGGATTATACTGAGGTATAGCTGTTGCACGAGGCACGTCTCGTGAGAACAGATACGGCTGTTGCTGATCCATCCCGTAGCCTCGTAGAGATGTTGTCCTTGCTTGCAGAGCAGCGTCCGAAGACATGTTGCTCGCCCCGCTCACGGGAGGTGGGATGTACGCAGAATGACCGAATGCGTCGAAACCTCTTGACTCGTTCCAAGGAATAAAAGGTCGACGATAGTCCGGGGAATTGTAGTCTTGACTCCTGCCTGAACGGTCCATCTCTGCGAAGGGTGACCAATTATGAGGCTGATCGGTATGGGGTGAAGCCCACGGTGAGAGGTTCCCTGGAGCTGGGTATGGCGGACGGGAAGTAGCGTTTGAATTATTGTGGTGGTGGTGGTGGTGGTGGTACCACGTAGACGACTCGTGTACGGGATCGTATTGCTGGCTATCTCGAGCTTGGGAGGGACCCTGAGATGCGAAATTGGCTGCGTTTGTCTGCGAATGCGGCTGGGCTTGAGGTTGTTGACACTGGTATCGATGTGCAGATGCGGCCAGTACGTTGCTCGAGTCGTCCATGGTAAAGTCCATGGGATCCATTGCTCTGACAGATGGGGGGATGTCGGAAGTCGAGAAACGTAGCGGATGTAAGTGTTCAAGGCTTCATAAAGACGCTGGGCCTCACCCGCTCGAAGTGGACTCGTCAGATCGAGGTGGTGCACCCAGCTGTCTCGACACGGATGGTGGTCGTGGTCGCAGTTAGTCGATTGTCATGGTACGAAGTGCGCGAGTCCCGGTGGGTGATGTTGGAGGGGAATCGGCGCCTTCGATAATGGAGAACCACGATAACGGAGCAGTTGCAGTGGTCTGTCTGTGTGGAAGCAGATCGATCGTTTGATGGCCTGGCACCGCGAGCTTCGCAGAGGGAGGGGATTAGCAGGTGAAGATGAGTCGGGTGGGATTTGGACTTCTTGCTGCTCTGATATGTGGGAGTTGGGAAATGGGAATGGAGGAGGTGGAGGAAGTGGAAGTGGGCGAGAAGTGCAGTCAGTCAGTCTGTTGCAGCGGCCGTGCTGGGCTGGGCTGGGCTGGGCTGGGTTAGGCTAGCAGTGTAGCGCAGTGTGTTGGCCTCAAGGTTGGCTAGCTGGCTTATTACCTAGGTAGTAGGTACGTAGGGTAGGGCAGCGCCAGTAGGTTTCAGTGGTCAGTCAGCGGAGGCCTTCCTCTTGCGCAACCGATTCTATAAATTGGCTTCTATGATTCTCCATTCCTTCAAGTGAAGAAAAGAGAAAGAAAATAAGAACGAAATATTTGTTCATTCACGCAAACATATGAAACAGGTGAGGCACGAGTCCTTTCTGCTTTATATACCTATTATGTCGTGCGTGGCCTGCTCTGCTCTGCTCTGCTCTGGTCTGTTCAGTTCTGCGCTTTCGTCTCGTCTCCCCATGATGGCGCATCGCTCTCCCCTCACGCACCATGTCATGCCGCTGTACCACTCACTCCCTCCCACTCCGCTCCACTCCACTATCAGCAGCAGCTAATGATGACGATCCCATCTTATCGATACTCTATCAGACCTGTATCGATAGGGGATTACGGACCACAATATTTGGCACTGCTTCACGTTGGAGCCCACCATTCATTACATATAGTATATGACTGCAGCACTCGTCGCACTCTTGGTCGGAGGACGAGGACGAGGATGACAGCGGGTATCAGGACAGCGAAGATTGACCGGTGGTACTGTAGTCGAGGCTGGGCCGTGGAGGCAAAGAGGCAGAGGCAGAGGCGAAGTAAGTTGGTGGACCAGGACCGGAGAAGGAAAAAAGGGAAGAGAGCTCGCTCGGCCCATGGCCAGACGGACATCAGACTTGTATGTGTAGGTAGTTACAGTCACAGTCCTCACACCTCACACCTCACACCTCACACCTCACACCTCACACACACACGCACGCCCTCATCCATGACGCCCGTGGCAGCCCCGTCTAGAATCGCCCCTCCACTCACGCTACACCCGCGAGAATGGATCAAAATCAAGAGAGGCCAGGCAAAAGACCCACGATGGACACCGAGACCTCTCTCAAATGACTCGCTCCATGTAGTGCAGAGCCGCACTGGTCTGTCTAGTCTTCAACAGCCATGCCATTATTGGGCGAAGGAAGTCGATTGGAGATGAGAGCGAGGTATATGCATGGTATGGATTCCGGACTGTGCTTACCCTGAGATTACCTTGTCATAAGATATTATTATACAGCGATCGAACTACTTGAGGTATGCTCGTTCCTTCTGACTGCAACAACATCCCTTCGTCTGCGACAAAGCAAAAACGAAAGCGGCATCACGAACGAACAAACGGATCCCAGCCGAATGTTACCTTGAGTCAAATTGCAGGTGCTGTCTGTCCCATTCCCGTGATGATCCTGTTCCAATACCCGGTACTTTTGTTCCATCCCACTCTCTCAGGACTTCAAACAAGCAGCAGCAGCAGCACAACCCTCAAACCCCAAGCATTCTCAGACGTCGAGACCTGAGCGTTCAGCGGTGAAGTGGTGACTAGGTGAAGTGGTGGTGGCCTCGTCACATCATCTCATACACTGGCAATACTTTCCGAGTTCACTCGCATCCTGCAGTGCCAATGCCCGTACCCGCTCGTGCCCATTTATCTATTACAGTACGATACATATTTCACCGCACAGCACCGGCGCCCATTTCCTTCCGCCGTGAGTACAAAACCGATGCTTTTGGCTCTGCTTCCGAGGAACGAGGAAGTCTGGACCAGCACTGTGTCAAGTATCCCGTCGTAAGGATTTTCCCTCCACACACGCGCCCGCCATGGGCATGCAGCTCGCTCGCATGCTTGACCGTAGCAGGACCATCTTCGCCAGATGAAGAGCAGTCAGCCAAAACGCCGGATGATTGAACGACTGCCACTGCCATGGCGACTAAGCCTTCGACGAGTCGTCTCACCGAGCTGCCGTTCACGCTGAACAGGTTCCGAATCAGAACCGAACTCACCTACCTCCACTTGCCAAAAAAAAGACACCACGACCGCTCTGGACAGTATTTCCTTGCTTCACTTCGCTGCGCGGTCCGACAAACTAAGACCCAGTCTTCCGCTTCATCAGATGAATTCCGTCGTCCCAAGCCGCCAGCCCGTAATCGTGTTTCTTCAGTGTCCATTTCCAGTTCCGTACAGCAATCACGAGCAATGACCAAGAATCGACCGCTCACCAAAAACGCCGCCTTCACTAATTGTACTGCATCGGGACTTTTCCTCGTCGGTTTCTGCCAATATGAAATAAGTGCCAGCGTCTGTCTCATCAATCCGCAGCTGCTTCACTTGCCCGATTCGGATGTCGCGGCTTTTGTACGTTTTCTGAAATCGTCTCTCTCCACTCCGAGTGAAACGGGACCCAAAGTATGAACATGATCCATCAAACCACGCACCAAACTACTGTACACCTCGGAAGACGTAACATCATCTTTCATGCTAGATAGTTCGTTTCTCAGTGGTAATGTCATCATCTCGACTTGACCCCGCATCCATATAAAATAGGTTATAGTTTACGGCGCCTCGAGTCTCCAGCGAACAACTGGACATTGACATTCCGTGTTCTAGGCGCCGGGGACCAACAAGCAAAGAACATCGCTTATTCTCCGGCAGCATCTCATCCAGCCATAAACAACCATTTACCGCTACCGCTCACATGTCGAGGCAAGATTGATTCCGCCATTCAAGGTCGACATGTCACGAGGCAGAGGACGGCGTCAGCATTCCGCCTTGTATGATGAATCCACAAGCGAGTCGAAGTCCCTGGCCTCCAGTCTGTAGTAATCTTAGTTGCCAGTCTGGTCGAGCCTCGATATCTGAATTCGCAGTATGAACGCTGCCTACATGTCATAGCTCTCTCTCTCTCTGTCGTCTGTCCGCACATGCTACGAAAGAAGAGCATTTTTTGATATTTTCCTTGGAATTCTTGATTGCAAGAGCTGCGAAGTTCTATCAATTTGCTATTTCCCAAGCTAGTACGGGTAAGTCTTACAGGTTCTCATTTGGCATGATGTTACAGCAGTACAAAATGGATATTCTCTACCAAAGATTTTAACATTCATAGCAATGCTAGGATTGTGGATCTTCTTCCTCGTGAAATTGATCCACTCTCGCAATACCATTGCAACACTCTGCAAGCCCCTCATAAGTGCTACTATCTAGCACGAAATGTCCAGACGAGCCGAAGAAAAGTAATGTCCTTTAAACCTCAAAAAAATATGAAGATCACACGGCTTTCGACTTTGGCATATCGCTGAAAGAGACTATTGCTATATACTAAACCGAGCAGCAAAATGTGTTTGGTTCTCTGGGTGATCGTTCACTAAAGACCATCGATCCAAGAGCTTCAAGGCTTATTTTTATTTGTCAAAAAGAAAGGCAAGATCTATATTGGCCTGTCAGTTCTGGGACTTTTTAGTGAGTGCCTCTATGAAGAAGATCCTCAATGCCATCCACACATCTTATTTCTGATGATCTCATTGCCCATTCGCAACACAAATCTGCATGAAAGCGCCTTTTAATCAGTATTAGAAGAAGTATCTCATCTCTACAATGATGATTGATAGTTTTCACAGACACATATGATAGGAGGAAACTGTTTGGAGACACAACTTAGATTTCGTTGCAGCCCACACTTTGAATTCCTTTCCACATAACAGCTTTGATACTAGCCCGACTAGCAGCTGCAATTCTCCAGACTAGACCACCCGCAGAATAGGACTTCAGAACACATGCCTCTGTCTCGTTTTCCCCGCCATCTTTGTCCGTTACTGATCAACCATCAAATACGATCAAGACCTGCCGTTCACCAGTATCTCAACCTCTGATCATTCCGGCTGGGGAAAATCTGCCATGCAAACTCCATTACCAGTGTTCCAGCGGTTGGATGATCGGGGAAGTATTTCTTCATGACGAATTCGTCGAACAGCTTCACAGTTAAACCAAAGACAGGGACTATGTCGGGTCAGCCGTGAACTTTGATTTGATGGAAGCAATCCCGAAGGAGGAGGACAAATTGCAAGGTAGTGTTATATTTATTGGGTACTTACCTGCCAAGACGCCTCCGATAATACAGAACATAACCTTCGTGTATTTTGGGTAGGAGGGGGAGCCGAAGCTCGTATTCGTTGAGTTATCCGAGTAGTTTTGAGAGAAGGCAGACATTTTGTGGTTTCTTTGAGGTAGGACTGCGGGACTGGCACTTGTCGATACTGTGGCAACTCGGTCGAATTAGATTGAACGGTTGATGAGTATTATTGCGGAGGACAAGATCGAAGATTCGACCGGCAGCAGCAAGAGAGTCGATCTATGGACGGAGCAAAGTGGCCTTCCGTGATTCGAGAACTCGTCGTTTGAAATTGTGCTTGCAAAGTGTGTTCAAAGGGGCTTCTTCATGGACGAAGAAAGCTTCTCTGTATTCGCAGTGGTTGACTGAATCTGTGAGCTGTGTGTTGTTGAGATCGGTAGACGTGGGCAATACTCGGAGGGTAGAAGAAAGAGACGGCGGAAGTGTAAAGTGAGTGAATGAACCGACCCGAACGCGTCGCGTCTTCACTGCCAACCCTCTCAGACACTCGATTTCAACTCGATTTCAATTTGATCTCTGATCTTCAGTCCTGGGCAGAGGCGGTGATATGCTAATGGGGTGGCTTCTCGTTGTCAATGAAGCAAATAGACATTGGCATCGCGTAAGTCATACTCCCCTTTCTCAAGCGACATCTCCTGTTGAATACGTACACCTTGGGGTCGGCTTGTAGCCACATACGAAGTCCAAGCAAGCATTATATATATGTCTATGTCTATTCAATTAATCGAGACTCACTGGCTTTGTGCTCTGACTGTCCAAGAAGCCTTTGTTGATTATTGACCTTATGAGGATAGATTTGCACTGTACCATGGTAGCAATCTCGGTCTTGAGTAATCCCTATTTTGCAAACAACATGTAACAAAAGAGTTTTTCAAGCCCTCATAGGCTAATATACAAATAAACCTTGGTGGCGATGTCCGATTAGGCTCTTATTGGAATGTTGCAGGTTCATTCCGTTTTTGCATTTGCTCATGCGCTAATCGGATTGAAAGCGACTTCTCCATCTACGCAACTTCCCTATGCACTCACATTTTTTCACTGAAGTCTCTGCGTGTACTAAAAATAGATACATAGGTAGACACAATGGTATCCCCAGGTGAGCTTCCACTTCATTAATTTGCACTTGCACGTAGAAGGTACTTCTCTTGTTGACAAATGGCGGCTATTGGCACTGGACAATAAGCGGTTCCCGAAGTCATCTCCAGGGACACAATAGTTGACCATCTAGAAGACCCTCTTCCTCCAAAAGGTTTATCTGACCCTGTACAACGTCATAGATTCATCAAAAAGTGATGACGACGAAAACATTATTTCTTTCGAACCTTTTCCACACTACTAGACTCCATCTCCTGTTGGTCCTTCCCAAAAAGAGAAATGTGGGTATCCCGAGTAATAAAGTGTAACAATCAAGAAAACTTCAGAAACCCAAAAATACCACCTTCATACGAGTTGTATTGTGCAACTTTGGAAACCAACCGTACTCGATTCAATAACTGCATCACCACGGAAGGACAAGCCAGAAGAAGTCCCCAAAGGTGCAACGCCAGAACCAAGAAATATCTGTTCAAGTCAAATCAAACCTCCCCAAGGTTCGAAACGGCAACTGTGCCATACTTAAGATCTCGTTATGCATTTCTCATTTTATTTACAGCTTTGCTTTCTCCTTCGATTGCTCCCTAGCAACTTGCACAGTCTCCCATGCCAATTGACCCATTGGATGTCTACCTAACGCATTGTCTCGTGCCTTTGCACTACTGGCCTGCCTCACAGCCCATCTTGCAGCTATGCCCTGGTAAATACAAGTAGCTCTAAAGAACCCAAACGCAATACCCCAAGTCAGATCCGGATTTGGATCCCAGCCTGCGACTTCTGCATACCATTTCATTAAATCATCTCGTGACGGTAGACCAGGAGTGCTGCCAACTTGGAAAGATGGCATGTGTTTAACGAGGTTTTGTTTGATTAGGAAATATGGAGTGGTGAGATTGATTAGGTCCGAAAGAGGGTGACCAATTGTAGACATCTCCCAGCTGTATAGGAGTCAGTAGAATTCCTTTTATGAGCGTATTAACACTTACTCTAATATACCAATCACTCTCGGTTCCGACTTGTGAAAGACTAGATTATCAATCTTATAATCGCCGTGAATTGGGTTTCCCCGATCCTTTGGCTGAAACCTTTTGTCTCGGAAATATGCCAACATTTCATCGCCATGTGGTATTTGTCCAACAGGCTCCTGTGTGTCTACGTCCTTCACCTCTCCCTGCGCTTTGCTGATAGCGGAGAAGGTCTTGATTTGGCGATCGTAGAAGCCACTGGGTTTCCCAAAGTCCTCTAATCCGACATCTTTGGGATTAATTCTATGAAGCTTGGCTAATGTCCGAATAGCATCGTGCCACCTTCGAAACTGTCAGCATCTGCCCTTCCACTGCAATATACACTTACATCTCGGTCCTCTCTGCGGGCGTGACATCCGGCATGGTTGGGTCCTCGATAATCCTCCCGTCCAAAAATTCCATGATATAAAATGGTGTCCCCACAATACTGCTATCCTCGCAGAGACAGTACGCTTTTGGTACAGGCACATCGGTCTTCTCCAGGGCATGGATGACCCGGTACTCCCTCTCGACTTGATGTGCAGTTTTCGAAACCAACTTTCCAGGCGGCTTCTTTCGCATCACAAATTTGACCCCATCGCTAGCAGTGAGTTGGTAGGTCGGATTTGACTGACCAAAGCCAAACTACAGGAATTAGAACTTGGTAAAAAACAAGGATGGGAATTGGGGTACCTGCTTAATATCCACTGGAACCTTGATTTCTGGGACATGCTGGGAAATATATCGCTCCAGCGATTGTAGGTCAATAGGTTGCCTTACAGCTCCGGCCATTTTGAAGTTGGTGAAAGCAACAATTGAGCATGCCAGAACTGAATCATTGCGATGCAATTGTACTTCTTGGCAACTTGGTGAGCCTCGGCATCGGCATGTCGGTGCAGACAAGCTAAGCTGGACTAAAAGTTAGGTGGGATTTACACTGAACCCCGGCATGTTTTGAACCGCGGGGTAAACATGTGGAGCCGCGAAACTTGAGAAGGGTACCTGCTTTCCAGAAATCAACAAAATCGCACGATGTATACATTGAGCACAATTCTCAGATTCAATCTAATTCAAGAGCGGGCTCATGTTTCTATAGCCGGAGGCATGTGATCATTCGTTTTCATTTCGCATATCAGGACTTTTCCTATCCTTAGTGATACATGTCTCCAGGGTATTTTTCAAGATACTTGTACAAACCCTCTCTTCTTGGTGGCTCCCTTCTCATCCTCTTCCCAAGTATCTTCATCTACATAATCCTTCACTCCCTTTGCCTTGACTTGAGTACTGATAACCTTCAGAGCTGCAAGATTAAAACCTACTTCTTCCTTCTGTCTTTTCAGCTCTCGTCTGAGATTGCCCCGAATTTCTTCTAGCATTGGTTTCATGGTTTTGCTGGCGACGATTTGGCTGTGATGAGTTTTCAGCATGAAGAACAGGATCCGACAGGTCAGAGGAATGTTCATCGACCTCTTTGCGAAGATGTTGATAAATGTGAAAAGCATGGGTAGTTTGATGAAAGGTAGGACAAGTAGGGCATCTTGCAGTGCTGCAGCTTGTATCCCTTGCAGTACCCTCATGACGTGAGCCTCGGCGCTGATTCCCCCTAAAGCCATATAAAGAAGATTTCGTGATGGTGGTGCGATGTTGGACTGAGAAGCTTTCGCTGCCTCCCACTCGTTCATGAGCTCTAGATCTGCCATGCCAATGTCTAGAGCTTCGGTGATCTTCTCTCCTGCAGTAAGAGTTTCGCTGGTTTGCTTTGCCACATCTCCAAATTCAGCATCATCATCTTCATCTTTCTCGCCTTCCAGGGAGGCTAACATGGTACTTTCGTACAGTTCTTCAAGCTCTTTCTCCTTCTCTTCCTCCAAGAAGATCTGCTCATCAGTCTGTTCCCATACTCGAATGCTCTTATCGTGGCTTGCACTAACAAGATAGTTCCCAGTCCTGCTCACAGCAAGGGCCCAGATTTCACCGTGGTGACCGTTCAGCCTCTGGATTTGTTCAAACTTATCGCCATCCCAATATTTGATCATCTTGTCCTTGCTGCTACTGAAGAAGTGATGCCCATTGCCATCTTGGTTGTGTGGAACAAAAGCTACTTGAAGGATACTGTCTTGATGAGCAAGGAACGCCTTGTGGCAATCGCCAAAATCCAACCCCCAGAGGCGGATGTTCTTATCAGCAGAACATGTGACAATGAGCTTGCTGTCGAACGAAATATCCATATTCAGAACAGGTAACTTATGACCATACAAGTTGAGGAATAGCTTCAACGAATCTACGAAGAACACCTTGACGGTGTTGTCCAATAGAGCAACGGCTAACAGTTTGGAGTCTGGAGAGAAACGGACACTGAGGATGTCATCTGAGACTTTCAATGTTCGTGTGTGTGTTAGCCGTAATCGTGGGGTGGTTCGTTTCGTGCCAGGAATTTCTTCCTGGAAGACTTCGAAATTCCAGAACTTAGCTGTCTTGTCCGCTCCTCCAGATACGAGTGATTTTCCGTCTGGATGGACCTGTAAAGACCACACGGCACCTTCATGGGCCTTCACAGTATCAAGAACTGCAGCAGATGCAATATCAAACAGCTCCAAGTCACCGCTCTTCGTGCCTACCACCACAATTTTGTCTCCAGGCAAGAATGCACAGCACAATGCATAACCGCACTCGAAAGTACGTATGCAGCTTCTTGTGCGTACATTCCAGATCTTGAGCCCTCCATTAGATGCCGATGCTAGCATTCTGTCATCAGAACTGAGAGCGAGTGCTCGAATATCTGCTCGATGGCCAGGAAGCTCCACGGAAAGACTTCGCGAATATTCTGGAAGCTCTTCACTTTTGACCTTCTTGGCTTGATTCTTGGTCGGGACACTGTAGACCTCTAGTTGATTATTCGTTGTGGCAGCCAGTAGTTGTATGGCTTTCGAGCCCTTCATTTTGACCCAATTCATTGCACGGACTTTACCGCCAGTCCTTACTATCACATAAGGGACAAAAACATCACTGATTTCGGCTTTTGAAGCATCTTCGTCCTGCTCGTCTATTGTCGCGTCTCCTCCATCAAGATCCATCTTCTCATTTCCAGCTGCTTGCTTTTCACGCCTCCTTTTCCGCTTGCGTGCTAAAGTTTTCCTGACTTCTTCCTCTGAGCGTATCCTCCATATTTCGATTGCTTTTTCTGATCCGTGGACAGCGAAATAGTCCTGCCGAGGATGGAAAGTGACTTCTAATGCCTTTTCCTTACCCTGACGGTGAATATCACCCCGACTATGCAAGAAGTTGCTTTTCATGGCACTATCCGGCTCTCTTGATGATTCGAGGAGCGCGGTGCTGTTGATAGACCAAACTTTGAGCTCCCCATCATTGCCAGCGGTGATACAGCTGGCTCCATCAGGAGATACACCTAGAGCCCAGCACTCTCCATTGGTTTGTGCAACGTGAGTCTCTATGCAGTGTCTAGATGAGATGTCCCAGAGCTTTATAAGCGCATCTTTGCCAGTCGTGAGCAGGAAGCCTTCATCTGCTGATGAATCTTGAAAAGTAGCAATAGTTGTCTCCTCATTTTCATGGACACTGGGTCGTTCATCTGGCTGGACAAAATGCAGCCCCGTAATCTGGTCTTTATGTCCTCTCAGCTTAAACAAGCCTAGTTCAGCTACCAAATCCCAGATAATCACATCCGTATCCTTGGATCCACTTGCTAGCCTGGTCCCGGATTTGTCGAAAGCAAGAGTCGTAATCGCTGACCGATGGCCATTAAAGCTGACAATTATGGTCGCTATTGTTGAATCCCATATTCTGATACTTCCATTTTCGTAACCGACGGCGAAAACGTCTCCGTCAGTTTTGCTCTGTGCAATAGCAGTGACTGGTGCCTTGCAATTGTTGTCCCTCCAACGACTCAGAAGTTCGCCCTTTTTAATGTCCCAGCATAGCACTTCTTCATTGGCAGCTGTGATGGCTCGACCTGCGCCTGTTCCGCGCAATGACCCAGATTCGAGAGGAGATGAGGACCAGACGACATTTGCGGTACTGGAAGTGACAAGGCCAAACGTTTTCGCATGCTCGTATTTCCTTGAGAATCTGATTAGTCTATGTCCTTAAGCCTCTCGAAAAACCAGACTTACAAGTATGATTTGACCATTTTTACATCCTGAATGTGTATCTGAAGGGATATGCAGGTTAGTAATGGGATCTTCACACAATGAAGTAAAAATTGTCATTGAAAATTACCTACTCAAGTTTGAGGTTATGCGCTGCTGAACATACAAAAGACGGTTCTTGAAAGAAGCGCGAACAATTTGATGGTGAACTTTTTTTTGGCGATAAGTTCTCGATAAGCTCCACTCCACATCCTAAAACAGCCTAGCTTAAAATAGCCCACTTCCACTACTTCGTCAGCCTTCAACACAGCAGGCACCTCGACAGCAGACACGGAGAGGGGACACAACTCGACGACACGGTCTCAAAATGCTTCTCCTTGACTATCAGAATGTTCTGATTCAATCTGTGCTTACAGAGCGATTCTCAGGGTTGGTATCAAAACGCTGTCTTTGGAGGCTATTCCTAACTCTTGTTGTAGTGCCCCGCCAGTCAATATTGATCAAACTGTCTCAGACTTCGATGGCGTAACCTTTCATATCTCGACTCCCGAGTCCAAAACCAAGATTCTTGTCTCCATCCAAGTCCGGTGCTTCAATGAGCTTCTGAAGTATGGTGCACAGCAGGTTATGGAACGCGAGTATGGCCCATATGTGGTTGCGCCAGAGAGCGGCTACAACTTCTCTGTACTAGTTGACTTGGAGAGTCTTCCTGAAGACAAAGGTAGGAATACAATCTAGATAGCACGGCCGGTTACTGACCTTGGTCCTTTCCGCAGAAGCACGAGATGATCTTATTAGAAGGGTATCTCTGATGAAACGAAATGCGATGGCTGCACCTTTCGAGCATGCATTTGACGAACACCACAAACTACACGAAGAGGCATCCAAGTTCACATCAGAGGAAGCACCACAAGGTGTGCGGGAAGGAGGACAAGTCATGGCGATTCATTACCGTGATGAGGAATCTATATTCATCAAGGCAAGCCACGACAGAGTCACAGTTATCTTCAGCACGATATTCCGGGAGGAGACGGATCGAGTCTTTGGCAAGGTGTTCATCCAAGAATTCGTTGATGCGCGCAGAAGAGCTATCCAAAACGCACCCCAAGTTCTGTTCAGGACCGATCCTCCCTTGGAACTGCAAGGAGTACCTGGTGTCAAAGACTCTGGAAATGGAGAGATTGGCTATGTTACATTTGGTGCGTTGTCTCCATAGTTCTCGAGTTCCGTGCTAACATTTCACAGTTCTCTTTCCAAGGCATTTGACCCGACAAAGACGAGATGAGGTGATTTCTCACATCCAGACCTTCCGGGACTACTTCCACTATCACATTAAAGCCTCAAAGGTGCGCACCAAAGTTAATCTAATTGTAATCTATCATCTGACAATATTCAGGCCTATATCCACTCGAGAATGCGGAGACGCACTGCAGACTTCCTGCAAGGTAAAGAATCTACAGGACATAATGTCGTTGGTATTGCTTCTGACCTCGAACAGTTTTGCGTAGAGCACGCCCAGAAAACGAAGAAAAGGAGAGAAAGACAGCGAGCGGACGTACTTTCAAGGTTCAAGGAAACTAACGAAGTGCCTTTAGTGTCTCAAAATTACAAAACTATCATCAAAAATCGGTTTCGTTTTGCATTGTGATATCAACATCAGAAACGTGCAGCCCCAACTCCTCCAATGAACATACAATTATCATAGTTACATGAAACAAATTCCCCACCAGCCTATCCTTCCATCGTCATGTTTGTACATGCTGGTATAGACACCTCCGCTGGAGCTGTAAGATCGTTCAGACTGATGTTATTCCACTCTATGATTGGAGCTTACTTTGCATGATCTATCCTCTTCTGTCTCCTTCTCTCTTCTTTATATTTCTTCTTTTGAGCTTTAGCACGCGCTTCCTTTTTCTGTCGCAAAGCTTCTGCCTTCTCTTCGAACGCAAAATTCACGGTAGCAGCAGGCTTGCTTTTGAATCTTTCTAGCATGGTTTGCTGCAAGTTTGGGAGAAGATGATGAGGTGTTGAATGTTGGTGGAAGTGACAGAATGAACAATTAGCGCAAGGACTCGTAGTGAATCAATGATATCGGTGTCGAGTTCAAGTGCATTCATATATCTGCCTCCCCGTGATCTTCAAGCCAAGGGAGGCTTCACCTTCTTGGCACTACAGAAAAATGGCTGAGCATACCGAACTTGACAAAGAGTGTATATAATAAGCAATGTACTAGCATTCCAGCATTAACTTGACGCGGAGATCATGGCATCCAACGTTGCCTTCAATTGGCGTTCAAAGACTTGGCTACCTAGGTAATACGCTGTTGCCAAAACCAGGAATATTCTAGAGATTCCATAGAATTGATTTCAAGTGATTTAGAACAGAGCCAGCAGCGATGAATTACTAAGGTTTTCAATATCGATGATACTCCCTCGTGTATACGTGACTCAAAATGGTCTTGGAGCAACTGCACCTCGCAGCAGATACTTTTCCTTTTCGAACGAGCTATATACATAAAAACTGGTTTGAAATATGGGCTAGTCCACACATAGGGAAAAGTAGAGGATGTAACACGATATCATACATTGTTTTACCTTTGAATATGAGTGATACAGTACGTACAAGTGGTTAGCAGGTGCATAGTGCCTTTAATCATGTCTGAATATATATCCTATCCCAAAGACGTTGGCCAACAAAGTTCATCTCCTTAATTACAAACTAATAAAAATGCTGTAGACAATATCTTGCTTCCCTTTGCACCACAAAGTCTCCCAGAGCAGCGACCACGCTCTTGAAATGGCCTCCGGCTGTAATATAATCACGTGATCTTGGGCTACCTGAAGACTATCTAGTCAGTTCTGAAGGAGACATGAGTCTCTGAGTTTCGTCAGAGAACCGATTTCGAAGTCCTTTCTGGCATCTGAAATGGATCGTACCTACCTATACGATGCCACGCATGAAGTCATGCGACCTTAGACTTCTTTGAAGTACGCTAATCCTAATGCAGAATAGCCGCTCTCAGCCGCATAATCAATATCAAAATCTAGATTAGCAAACAACTTCCACCACAGACAACGACAACACACACCCGCCAACATGTCTGACGCCGACTTTGAAACGATCAGGAAGCTTCAGGCGGAGAGGAATGCCGCCTCTGCTGGTAAGAAGGGGTCAAAGACGTTTGATCCATCTAATCAGCGAACTGATGTCTCCACCAAGGCCTCCTTGACCGAAAGCTTCGACACCTCCCTATACGAACGTGACGGTGGCGATAAGTTTGCTGGATACAACACATCTATCGCAGTCAACGATGGCAATGACGATGAGGAAATGGAAGACACCAGCAGGCGCCTGGTAGGCCAATACACAGCATCAAAGGAACAGATCAATGAGTTTGCGCATGGCAATGGGTTTGAAGAAGAAGATATTCTTTTGGGCCGCGAGAAGAGCGCAAGAATAGCTGATCGAGAAACTGATTACCAAAAGCGAAGACTGAATCGTGTCCTCACACCAACCCGAGCGGACCCATTCGCTGCGAATAGGCAGGCAGGCGCGGCTGAGGATGGCGAAAGCTATCGGGAAATCATGGCGCGGAGGGATCTCGAGAGAGAAGAGGAGAGAGTTAAGAGAGCTATCGAGGAGAAGGCATCCAACGGCGAAGTTACACATCACAAGCCTACGCTGATCAAAGATGGTAGTGGTTCTCCTAGCGATAAAGAGAATAAGGAGGCAGGATCCACGGAAGTTGTCACAGCTGGACGAAAGAGAAAACAACGATGGGACGTCGCTTCTGACGCCACCGAGGTCTCTACACAACCTGCTGAAGCCAAAACAAAGCGTTCACGATGGGATCAGACACCTGCAATCGGAGGCGCTACTGTTGATGACACGCCGGTGTCTAAACGACGCTCGAGATGGGATCAAGCGCCAGCAGCAACACCTATTGGAAACCAAGGTCTCGTTACGCCTATGCACCCCTCACAAATGGGAGGACCAGTGATGCCTACCGCATTTGGGACAGATATATCCGCCCGCAATGCACCACTATCTGATGAAGAGCTTGATATGATGCTCCCAACGGAAGGTTACAAGATTCTGGATCCCCCGCCAGGATATGCACCGATCAGAACAGCAGCACAGAAGATCATGGCTACTCCTACTCCTGCTGGAGGTGCCTCTGGATTCGGGGGCTTCATGATGCAAGATCCAGAGAGTGGAAGAGCACTTGGTAAGCAACTGCCAACTGAGATTCCTGGAGTTGGAGACCTCCAATTTTTCAAGGCCGAGGACATGGCCTACTTTGGAAAGCTCACAGACGGAAGTGATGAGAATACCATGAGTGTGGAGGAACTCAAGGAACGAAAGATCATGAGACTGCTGCTCAAGGTGAAGAACGGAACACCACCCATGCGAAAGACTGCTTTACGTCAGCTCACAGACAATGCTCGGCAATTTGGAGCTGGACCCCTTTTCAACCAAATTCTTCCCTTGCTAATGGAAAAAACTTTGGAGGACCAGGAGAGGCATTTACTCGTCAAAGTCATTGATCGTGTTCTTTACAAGCTTGACGAGCTTGTCCGACCTTACGTTCATAAGATTTTGGTCGTCATTGAGCCTCTGCTTATTGATCAGGATTATTATGCCAGAGTTGAGGGACGAGAGATTATCTCCAATCTCAGTAAAGCTGCTGGTCTCGCACATATGATCAGTACTATGCGTCCAGATATTGATCACGTTGACGAGTATGTTAGAAACACTACTGCACGAGCTTTTGCAGTCGTCGCTTCTGCACTCGGAATTCCCGCGCTACTTCCATTCTTGAGAGCTGTATGTCGAAGCAAGAAGAGTTGGCAAGCAAGACATACAGGATGTAAGATCATTCAGCAAATTCCTATCCTGATGGGCTGTGCGGTACTTCCACATCTGAAGGGTTTGGTGGACTGCATTGGTCCAGCACTCAACGACGAACAGGCGAAAGTCAGGACTTGTGTGGCTCTGGCTCTTGCAGCTTTAGCTGAAGCTGCAAATCCATATGGTATTGAGAGCTTCGATGATGTCCTCAATCCGTTGTGGAGTGGAAGCAGAAAGCAACGTGGAAAGGGTCTCGCAGGATTCTTGAAAGCTGTCGGTTACATTATTCCACTGATGGACGAAGAATATGCAAATTACTACACCAGTCAGATCATGGAAATTTTGCTGAGAGAGTTTTCATCACCTGACGAGGAGATGAAGAAGGTAGTCCTCAAGGTTGTGTCCCAGTGTGCTGGCACGGATGGTGTTACGGCTGGGTATTTGAAAGAGCATGTTCTCGATGAGTTCTTCAAAAGTTTCTGGGTTCGACGAATGGCTCTGGACAAGCGCAATTATCGACAGGTCGTCGAAACAACTGTGGATCTTGGCCAGAAGGTCGGAGTTGGCGAGATTGTTGAGAGGATCGTCAATAACCTCAAGGATGAAAGCGAGGCGTACAGAAAGATGACTGTCGAGACTGTCGAGAAAGTTACTGCTAGTCTTGGAGCTGCTGACATTGGTGAGCGACTGGAAGAGCGCTTGATCGACGGTATTCTTCATTCGTTCCAGGAACAAAGCGTTGAGGACATCGTCATGCTGAATGGATTCGGCACTGTGGTCAACGCTTTGGGTACACGATGCAAGCCATACCTGCCGCAAATTGTCTCCACCATCTTGTGGCGTCTCAATAACAAGTCTGCTACTGTTCGACAACAGGCGGCAGATTTGATCTCACGAATCGCAATGGTTATGAAACAATGTGGAGAGGATGCGCTGATGGGCAAATTGGGCGTGGTTCTTTATGAATATCTAGGAGAAGAATACCCAGAAGTTCTTGGCTCTATTCTTGGTGCCCTGCGTTCGATTGTTACGGTCGTGGGTATTAGCCAAATGCAACCACCCATCAAGGATCTTTTACCACGACTAACGCCAATTCTACGAAATCGACACGAGAAGGTGCAGGAGAATACCATCGACTTGGTTGGGCGTATTGCTGATCGTGGTCCCGAAAGTGTCAATGCAAGAGAGTGGATGAGAATCTGCTTCGAATTGCTTGACATGTTGAAGGCTCATAAGAAGGGTATCCGAAGAGCAGCAAATAACACGTTTGGTTTCATTGCTAAGGCTATAGGACCGCAGGATGTTTTGGCTACGCTACTGAACAATCTGCGAGTACAAGAACGTCAATCTCGAGTTTGTACTGCAGTTGCCATTGGTATCGTTGCTGAGACTTGCGCACCTTTCACCGTCTTACCAGCCTTGATGAATGAGTATCGGGTGCCTGAACTCAACGTTCAGAACGGTGTCCTAAAATCGTTGTCCTTCCTATTTGAGTATATCGGCGAGATGGCAAAAGACTACGTTTATGCCGTCACTCCATTACTTGAAGATGCACTCATCGACAGAGACCAAGTCCATAGACAAACTGTAAGTGCCTTCTACCTGTGATAATGAATTTTGCTAACGTATTCATAGGCTGCTAGTGTTACCAAGCATGTTGCACTCGGTGTTGTTGGACTTGGTTGCGAGGATGCCATGATCCATCTCCTCAACTTGTTATGGCCCAACCTTTTCGAGACCAGTCCCCATGTCATTGACCGAATCATCGAAGCAATTGATGGCATTCGAATGGCTATCGGCCCAGGACTCGTCCTTAATTATCTCTTCGCAGGACTGTTCCACCCAGCACGTAAGGTTCGAACCGCGTACTGGAGAATTCACAACGACATGTACTGCCATGTAGCAGATTCGATGATCCCTTATTATGGACCTGTTGGGGGCGAGCAGATTATCCGACCAGAACTGGCAATTGTTATATAGGCGAGGGACATAACGGCAACGGTGCATGGGAATGGGGTGGGAATGTATCATAGCGAGTATAGTGTAAAATGAAAGCAAGAATCAAAGATAGGCACATCAAACATGTGGAATAGTTGCGGCACTCGACTCGATTTCATCTTTGCCAAAGGTGAGCGGATTAAGAGCTATGTGCTAGAGTCAAGTCCCTTCGTATAAACTTTAAGGCTTCCCACGGTGTATTCACTAGACCCTTAACACAGTACCGACTTTTCCTCGCAATAATCTCTGTCCGCGTGTTGCATTCAGAATCAACCATCAATTTCTCGCAAGCAGCAATCGTATCTCGCTACCTCTAGCACTCTCCAAGTTCTGCTATTAGTTTATAAGCTCCTTCTAGACAGCGTATGCTGCTACTTACTATCTGCGAATTTGCACAAGCTGTTATATCTTCGAGGAAGGTGCTTTAGTGAAGAGGTCGAGCTTTCGAGCGGTCGTTGTACTTTGGTCTTGATATCAAGCTTATTTGTTTATTATTCGTTCGGGAATGGGGAATAGGAAGGGACTTTTGGTTGGTTTTGGTTTGGTTGTCAAAGAATGAAGGGGTTCTGATAGAGTGTTAGCATGTTTCAGTTGTAAGTAGAGTTTACCATCTCTTCTTACCTGCTTTCTTCTGGTGTGGTATAGATTTGGGTTTCGTTGCAAAGGGCTGCTGAGTATAGCTAGTTCGTTGTTTCGATATCCATGAAGTAGAGATGGATAGGACTTTATGAGAGGAGGCTTAGACGCTGTTAATCTTAGCTTGATTTGTGTCTTTAGTAAGTAGAAGCTATTCAGACTTCTCATTAGGAACTTGCTGACTGCTTGTAGGAGATTATTGGCGGTGCTAGCTTGCTTCACTTGAGTTTGCTGAGTTCCTTCGCTTCGACTTACTGAACGAGTGCTTTAAGGAATGTTCCTTCTGCTACTGACGTGAAAGAGGTCTGAGGTTTTCACCATTGCCGTTCACTCTTGTCAGGCTTGAAATCGCCTTCAGAGGTCCACCGTGGCGCTTCGAAACGATCTTTGGCATCGTCAAGGAATGCTGACTGATTTGGTGTAGAACACATCGTTCCAAAGGGACAGTACTCTCCTTGACAGAGAGCTCTCACTGCCCATCGACCTGGACTGCCAAGTCTCACAAGACGTCAATATCATGTCATATCGACAAAGGTCAAGAAAACATCAGACCAATCCAACATTCGGCCCTTTCAAAAATGAGGAGATTGAGATCCTCGCCATTGAGAAAATTGCCTTTTACGAAGATGCAATTATGTGGCTGGGAAGAGAATCGTCCTGGTGATGCATCACTTGCCCGTCGTCAAGACTTCTTGATTTCGAGGCGGGGTGACTCGGGATCTTCCAAATCATCACTGCGCTCTGAGAAGAAGGGATCATCGCGGCTCTTTTGAGGTACGATAATGAGCAGGTAGCGGATAAAATCATCGTCACTTGAGCATCCTAGACATCATCTTGATGGGTTGAGGATAGTTTAGGAAAACAGATTGACCAACAGAATGATTCTAGCCTTGTTTGCTTGTTGACAGATTCTGATCCTTGCTTGTTGCTGCAAAGAAGATTGCGTGGTGAGATGGGGCCATACCTCTATTCGGAAAAGATAGCTGGACCTGTCACTTGAGGATCCCGGAAAACGCGTGGTGCTGGGAAGTTGTGAAGATGGATGGATAGCTCTTTTGGGATAGAGATGGCCACTGAGACCGGGTCAAGTGTTGAAGATACTGATCTTCGCTGCAAGAGATGGGTCGTGTCTCTGTCTGGACAAGATGCCAAGACTGAGGAGGGTGCCGGATCAGAGCTGGCCCAGCCTCATTCAACGAGTATGCTGGGGTCTTGGTGGACTTGAAGATAGCTAGACTGCAAAGCTGGGCTTGGACATCACTTGAAGGTCTTTGGGATCTTCGTCGTGATGAGATTGCATTCTGCAAAGATGGGGTCATGGACTGAGCATCCACCAGGTGATGAAGGGTTCCAGCCTTATCCATCTGAGACCCGGGGTGCTTCGACAGTTGGGAAGATAGGAAAGACAACAACAAGCAAAGCTGGGCTCGGCCGGGCGAAAAGCAAGCAAACAACTAACTTTCAATATCTCGATGGCATCTCGAAAAAGGTTGAGTCGGATCATCATCATTAACAATAGGCCCTTTTTCTCGAGTGGTGAGCTTGGGATGTCTCTCTGGTCAGGGAAGATTCTGTCGTGAAGGGGCTTGAGCCTTCACTATCTCCATCTTCATCTCACCATGTCACCCATACTCAACAAATGTTTGGACATGAAGTCCCCGACGTCGCCGGAAGCTTCCCTCAAATCCCCATGTCTTGGTCTCGTATTATGGCCCAAGTCTCATTTCATTTCATCTCATCTCATCTGTGGATGTCGAAATTCTCCTTTCCTTGTCCATCTCTTTTTCCCGTCTAGCCTGGACAGTTGTTGCCCTTTTCTCGCGGACCCGTGACTGTGAATGACAACGAAATGGCATAAAGGGTCTCCTCGGCCAGATACTCGGACGCACTCGACAAAGGTTAAGCTCGCCAGCTCTTCACACGCGTCGATCCATCACGTTCTCATCCATCCGCCGTGCTGGAGTAGGAAATGAGCATCGACGCACGTCCCGAATGTGGGGGATCGCTCTGCTCGATTCTGCATGGTGCGTAAAGCTCAGACCAAGTATCAGCAGGGGAGCGTTCAAAAGGAGGGAAACACAGACGCCAAGAGAGAAACATAAGATGAAGATCCACACGCCTTACTGCATTGAGGGGAGAGACATCCTTGAGGGGGGGAAACATGAAACAATCGCGTGGTCAGGGGTACGAGGTTTAGGGCTTGAAAGGACGAGGGAGTGAGATGAGGGAAACCAGGAGGAGAGGGAGTGAGACATGGGTTTTGATCTTTCTCTCACCGTGCCCTCGGCATTGATGGGAGACGGCCTGCTAGTCTCTCTCCATTCTCTGCTCTCTCGAGTGCTCAGACTCGACCAGGACAAGCAAAATTTCCAAATCGCGGTGGAGCAGACTTCATCATTCATGGCATGGACCGGTTTGGGGGCTGCACGATGGGGCTTTTCGAGATTGACAGGTACGGACTGGGTAAGAAAGGGTGATCATCATGATCACGATTTGGTTTTGACCAGGTTGCTGGGAGATGAGCAGCATGAAGCAGCAGCAGAGAGGATGGAACTCTGGGAGAGCGGCCAGGTCAGGGATGGCAAGTGGACGACGACGACGCCGCCGCCGTCCAACTCTCTTTTTTTCTTCTTGACAGGGCAGCGGCTTGGTTGCGGAAAAAGTCTTTGCGCTGCGAAGATGGGCTTTTGCGAATTCTCCTATCTGGACGTTGGAGGTTATGCATTAATTGCAATTTTATCAACCCGTACTATTTTGAGGGGTGCAGCGGGAGGGTGTGAAATTATCATGGACTGCAGTGAGACTGCATTGAGGCTTGAAGAACGTTATTGACGGGGAATATGCTTCTATGTGCCGAAGAACCGATTTGAATTTGGTTACTATTCGACGTGTACGTTTGTACGTATGTACGTATATACGAACGTCCAACTGCAGCGCACCTGACCTGTAAGGTGATTCGGGGATATCTCAAGTGTCTAACTAACTTCAGTTCAGCTATCGCCGCAGTCAGAATCTGCTCGTCCTAGAAACAACGAATCAAGTCAATCCCCAGGACGCCGTATCTGCACGGCCGGCTACTTCTTTTTGCTCCTGCTCCTGCTGTGCTGTGCTGTGCCATAGCTGTCTGTTGCTTGATACCTCCCTCATGCATGCAAGGCTCATCAGGGTCTTGGGACGTTGGGAGACCTTTCTTCAGTGGCTTCACTTTTTTTTCGATGGCTTGCTCGTGCTCTCGGTGGCTTTTCCCGGGAACTCCTCTTTCCAGAGTTCGTCGTCGAAGACCTCGGGCGAACTACAGCTCGTCAATTCTCCTTTTGATAGCCCCCAGCGAGCCAGGACGCTGAGAAGTGTGACGCCAACTGCGGAAGTTGCAGCCAGGGCGTTGCGGATGCGAACTCCAACCCGTCAGGTGGCACCAAACCAAGCCCACCCGATGTGGGCTCAAAGTCAAAACTTTATCTCTCTGCTGCTGCTGCTGCTGCTCGAGTCAACGCTGCGATCTGGTGCTAAGACAGACGGTGCTCCATCGTGAATCGGGATCCATTTATTGATGGCCATCGGCACCGTTGGAACCGTTTTTTTGGTTCCATCGTCGGTGCTAACTTTAGCCTTGTTTCAACACTGAGGGTCCCATGAGCATGGAGTGAGTAGACTTGGGGAGGCCCGCCGACATGGACGCGCACGCATGTGTCCCGCCCCTCTCCCGTACAATTGTGGGCATCCTCACTGAATCTCTGGTTCTGGTGTGCTGGATGACGATGGATGATGAGTTTTGGTTTGGAGTCAAATATGGATGGCTCCATCCGTGCTGTCTCCGCGGCGCAAGGCTGCTGCTAGCTAGCTGTGCTGGGCGTCTGATGGAGCGATTGATAGGTGGGCCGTGAGAGGGGAGTGTTCCCCAGCATGAAAAACTTTACAGGATTGGATGCGCGCAAGACAAGCCTATTCTCCGTCCAGAGAGGAGGACCTACTAAATTGCGTACTCCTCATCTGATTACCTACTTAGACATTTTACCCAGGACACAGGACATTGGACATTCTGCGGCGAGTGGAGTGGAGGTTCTCATCAATTGACGTTCAAGGGTATACAGTACAGTACGCACGCACACCCTCTCAGCCTGCAAGGGTCAAGGGTCTGCTCTCAGTCACTAACTCAGTTCGGACCAGCATCGCGGTGTTTCAACCAGGGATGCTGGCACCCGCATTGAATTCCGACGTCACTCTGCCGTCCTCGTCCTTTCTCCTGACCAATCCCATGCGGCCAGAAGATGGAGGCTGCCCGCCTCTTTTCAGGAACCACCGGTCACTGGCCAGCAATTCGAGATGCGTGTGCGGCCTTGCTGCATTTCCCAGCGCATCCCAGCCTGGAGCTGCTCGAGCAGTACAGTATCCGTCCGTGACTTGTTCAATTCGATAGTGCGCTGTTCTCCCTCCAATACGTTGACATCTTTAGCATGTATCCTCTGGCCGGAGAAAGGACTCCGCCCGCCCGTGTCAACAGCCAGTCGCCTCTCGGCATTGGAGATGCAGACGACAGTGTCCACCGCGTCCTGCCTGCACGCCACGATCTGGGAGTTCGAAAAGGCAATTTTGAGTTTGACTTTTTTTCTTTTCGTCTCGTCCTCGATTGCCGTCCGGATCTGCAGAGATCCCGGTGGGAGACTGGGAGACGGTGTCAAGCCTCACACGCCTCAAAAGCGGGAGACAGTCGTGATTGGCTCCGTCTGTCCAGAGTCCAGAGTGGAGCGCGTCAGCCGCCTTCCTCGGCCCTTTGTCAGAAACGGGTGCAACAACAACACTGCAACACTGCAACCGCAACCTCTCCTCTCCTCCAATCCACTCCACGTCAGATAGGAGTATGTAGCTAGGGAGCTCACTGCAGCAGAAGCGTACGCCACCAACCGCAAAAAGCCCTACCTTATTTTCACCACCGCGATGTCAAAAGGAAATTGTGTGGAGTAGAAAGACCCTGGACGTCACCGTTATCGAGAGCTGACGAACTCCCAGCAGCAGGAACCACGAAGCCGCAGGGGATGCTTGCGAAAGCGAGAGCCAGATTGATCTTGTTGCCTGTGATCTTTTTCGGATGACTCGATTCGGCTGGTCGTGTTTGTTTGTCGTTCTCCTCTCCGGTCTTCTCCTCCACCTCGGGACAGTCCTCGGCCCTGCTTGCACCGAACTTGGAGGTATCTTGGATCTGACTTCATGGGGACACGGGAGAGCAGCTCCAAATCGAACCAGCATCGGGGAATGGAGCTTAGCACACAGTTCGCCATCGACGGATGCATGTTGGCCCGCACACTTGTCGTTGCAAGCGTCGACGCCACCATTTAAAGTGCAGACTACGGCTCCAAGCTTCCGTCTGGACGCCCAAATTGACTGCTTGATAGAGGAGAACGAGAGTGAGTAATGGCCTTGAGCAACGTGACATAACTCTTTCTCAACATCACGACTTTGCACCCGGATGTATTGTCCGGAAACAGCATGGCTACTAACGTGGATAAATTATACTCGCTTGACGGAATTTGGCGTCTATCAATTTCGACATCTCGGTGGATTTGTGAGACGCACAGACTTATCAGATGAATGATTTAAACTTTACGAGCCAAAAGCAATTACACAAAAGAAGATTGGGAGTCAAGGAGAATCTCATCCGGTTCCGTCTAGCGAGTAAGGCGTGCTCGTGTAGCAAAGCAATCGGCCCTCTTCACCTTGTTTCTTTTGTTGACTTCTTGAAATTCCTGCATCACTCACAGGGACGAGGAATGCACTCGCCTCGCCCTACTGATATTACCAGGTCGTCAGATCATCGCAAAAATGCCGGAGTGAGAGATATCCTTAGCTAGGTCGTCCCAGCCCTAACCAACCATGCTTGCAACTTGAAGGCGGGAGAGCAACCATTTGCTCGCCTTGCACTTCCTGAAAGGTCGTCGATGTGAGGTTCAACCTACAGTACGTCCGCTTCCCCACACGCACATCTGCCGAGGCCGGTTCAGGCTGTGCGTAGAAACGGCTTACACTTCACAACTGGCTTTTTCCTCTGATTCCTGCTCGCAACGAGTAGGCGAAGGGACTAGAGAAAAGCCACTTGCAGCCTACGAAAGGGAGAGGCTTACGTTAAGTTTGAGGGGTACTCGTAGCAGAGACAAAAGACCCTCCGAGCATATGATTTGGGCGTAGTCTCAGAGACAGTCGACTTGATTGCACAGACAACGATTGCGCCAAGCCGAGAAAACAAAGTGTGGATCTTGTGGCTTAAGCCTCAGCGGCTGGGAGGTTTCTGTCAAAAAGAACCAAGGGAGGACTATCTGTATTTGCTTGTCTAGGTGTAAATTGGTCATCGAATGCTCGATTCGAGTACCGAGAACGACCAAGAGACACAACATGACTCTGCAAGTCTTACAACGATCATCAGACTCTCGTATCGACTACTAGGGGGACCGTCAAAAGCTTACTTGCACATGCTCCGAGGTCAAGTACATAGCTAGATAAGATGGCGCATTGCGGTGTTTTCCATAGCAGAAGCCATTCAGATTGTCGATATCGGGATCTATTATTGTTCGCCATCGACGGGGATGGGAAGGGAAAGAGAAAATGGTGGCGCTGATACCGCATCTGTTTGCAGGGCTTGGCCTGTTCCCTGACGCCACCAAGCAGAGCCAAAAGGACACTGCTGCACGCCTCACGTCGGCCCCTGCTCTGGTGGTGTCTGGCACAACCCTGCCTCAGCGTCATTTCGGGGTCCATCTGAAGTCAAGACGCTGTAAGTTACTCGAGTACTCCAGTCAAGAGACTTCAGGGCCAGCGTAGCCCTGCATCGCATTACACCATGGGCGGCCAGTGGTGGTGAGGACAGCCCAGCCACTGAATCAGTGGATTACGAGCATGCCCAGTGACTGGCTGCACCACCGACACAATCGATGACTTTGACTTTGCGAAGGCGATGGCGATGGCGATGGCGTGCAACGCTGAAGTGCGTTCAGATCCGTACTCCACTATGTCCAGTACTCTGCCCTCCGACTTGCTAGAAGGATAGTGAGGGGAGAATGCGATTGTATCTTGCCTGCTACTATATGTCAAATAGGCTTGGTTGAACTGGCTTGTTTCGTTTGCTGACTTGGCCGTCCCTGGTTCTGGCGGCCGTCATCATCATCATCATCATCATCATTCCCATCCCTCGCTCTCCTTCTCCCATCCTTCATACAAAACGGCCTGTCTGTATGGACGGAAAGAGAAGCGTAGCTTTTTCCAGCCCAATTGGGCCGTGGCAGTTGGTGTCCACCTACGCCATGGCTGAATCCCATTACCGCAATTGTCGTGCACATCCATATCTGGGATCCCAAAGCAGGCGGGAGGCATGCTTCTCCAGCCAGTCGGGATGGTGAGACGCATCGCCAAGTACGTGCTGTTCATATGGATGGATGTTGAAAGAGTGTGGTGCGTGCAGACGTGACCAGGAAGCAGGAGGACCAAGAAGAAGCACACGCATAAGGCTTCCCCATCCCAGGGTTCTTGTGTTTGTATGAACAGTATAATTCTTGTAAATACGTTGATTCGTTTCAGCACCGCAGTGCTCTCCGTCACTATTCAGCATTCCCTCGTGGAGCTATGCCCTCTTGAGTAGGGACCCCAATTCGCTACGGCCACGCCCCCTTGTATCGCTACACACACTCCTATGGGAAGCCCGTCCTTATTCCCATCCGCGTGTGCTCATTCGTCCTAGTGTCTGTCACGGTGTCTCACGCGGCGGCGCACTACGCTGGAGCTGTCTCTCAGGGAACTTGAACACCCGTTGTGGAGATGCGACACTAATGTCTGTACCTAATCTGTACCCGAATGTTATCCCTATTCACCCTTTTCACTGGCTTGAGACTACCGGAGTCAGACACAGTGCTAATGTTCCTGCCAACGCCTACCGCGTACCGTTCGAGTCCCCAACTTTCCAGGGTCCGCAAGTCATACGCCTCACTGCAATCCGATGGAAAACCGGGGCAGGGAGGCAACATTTTTCGAACTTGTTTGTTTTGGTCTGTCGAAATGCTGCTTCCGTCCCTCTTCATATCTGCTACAGACTAATTCTACACTGCTGCTACGTATTAACTATTAATTACTCTTTTATCCACGACCCATGGATGACTGCTAGTCCACGAGGAGGTTAGTAGATGCTCGTACTATTCTCCTCGCACGCCCTGTCCTGTCGGTACTGTACTCTGCTCATACGGTATCCTCTTCTTGTTGACGGCCCTCGGTTGTCCCAACATAAACTGGAATTGTACCGTACAGTTGTTTGCCTGTGCAACAGCAACAGCAACAGCGACGACTACGACTACGCGGACAGGTCCGGCGGCAACTGAGATCTTGGTTCTCTGTTGTCTTGGCCGATGCCAAAAAGTACCGTGCTCCCCTCTCCCGGTTTAGACTGTCCTGCTCGGGATTTTTTGGCTGAGGAACTCTGCATCCCTGCACTTTCCTCATCATAGATAGATAGCCCCAAAAGCACTAAGGCCAGCACTAGGACCAGCACCAGCACCAGCACCAGCACCAGCACCAGCAAGCCCAAGCCCAGAGAAAAGCATACCCATGCTCCCGTATCCACACCCACCACCACCACCACCACTGCGCACCCGCCATATCTTCTCCACCTTAAACCACCACCGCCATCACAGCCAACCGAACATCGACCTCATCCCTCATCCTTGAACCCGTACCATTTCCATACCCTTCTCCTCCTCCTGTACCCTGTTCTGCCCTTCACATCTCCATCTTCCATCATACCCACCTCATACCTCACCTCGCACCTCATACACCTATGGAATTCTTATGTAAAGGCCCTTTGCCCCCCCGCCTTGTGATCGTCCATATACATTCCCAATCCCTCGACCACGGTCTCCATTCTTCCCACACCCAATCTTCTTCAGACAATCACCACTACAACTAAAGAAGACTACGATCTCCCGTCGCAGAAGGTCTCAAACACTCGTGGCCTCCGATCTTCACCTGCTTCATCCAAGTTCGTCCAGCTGCCCCCCCCCCCCGTCGGCCCAATACATCATCGACCGACCACCACGCTTTGGTATTCATATACCAGCCGATCACCAGACTGCCGAAGGACTTGACAGCTTCAAACCCTCCTCGACTACTCTCGAAGTGGAACCTGTCTGATGAGCTTAATCTCCTCCCACGCCGCCAACCTTCAAACTAGCATCTCCGCATTGCACGAGTAAGACCGCAGCAGCATCGAGGGGAATCAGGAGAACTTCACAATCGTCGATCTTTCCTGAAGATATCTCAAGTCGCCCACGGCCCCACTGTTCAACCACCACCCCAGGCATTGCAGACTGACGAAAGAAAGTCAGCTCCTACGCTACGCTCCGCCTTGTCTATCAGACGAATCGTAGCTGTCCAGTGCCCAGAGGACGGTATCCCTTTCCTAGACGGCCAACCATCTGCTTGGATCTGTCTTCGTACATCTGTTGCACCGACAAGCACATAAGGACGCTGATCCCACCCGTCAGGACGAAACTGATCGTCTCTCCATCTCTTGCGACTCTCGCCTCGGCCGGAACAAAGTGACACGACCACGAATCTTTACTACGGGATCTTGCATCTGATCCACGTCTCTTTGAAACGACTATTCTTCCTCCTTGTCAGCAAGAGAATCTTTCTGCTCCTGTCACGTTTGACAACTTGATCGTCTTTAAGATGACTATGGCCATCGACAATCAACAACGCTTCGGCGGCATGAACTTCGACCACATGTCTTATTCCAATCCCCCTCAATTCACCAATCCATGGTCTGCGTCGTCCGCGCCCGCCCAGAACCACAGCCTCTATGCCTCCTCGCACAACATCAACCCCAATCTGGGGCTGGAGCACATTGCAAAGCAGCAGCAGCAGCAGCAACCCCGTGTGAACAGCAATGTCTCCATGGGATCTTATGCCAGCGTACCAATGTCCGCGGCATCAGCAGGTAGCCCTCTCTTGGCGGATGTATATGGCTCTCAGGATTTACTCACCATGCCCCAAGATTTGTTGAGTCCAACCCGTTCTGTGTCTACTGGATATGGGAATGAGAACGCCTACTCGAGTGCTCCCTCGCCGGTTCACAACTACGCGCCTACGTCGACGCCGTATGAACATATGGGTTATGCCCCCGCCCCCGTGCGGTCGACCTATGCCATCCCACAACAGGATAATTCAAGACGACTGTCACAACCGTCAGTACCCTCTAGCTCATTCCTCGATATGTCGGAGGACGCGCAACGCCTTCAACGCCAGAATTCACTTATTGACTTCAATGACAGAGGACTTCAACAGGAGTCAACACGAAGCTTCGGCGACGCAATTGATGCCAGCAGAGGCATGATTGCTATGAGCCAGAATACGACACCACGCAACATTTATGGCGGACAAGGACGTGTAGGAAGGGGGTCAGGTGATTCATATGGATTCCCCACTGCCCACTCGACCAGCTCCTCGATCTCCTCATCAGGGACATATCCCTCATATTTCGGTGGCTCAGTCGATTCATCAGTGAGCGACTACTCGAACGCTGGCTCTGACATTGAATCCGTCTCGTCGCGAACACTACCCAGACCCTCAGGTCTCCTCAATGGAGGCATTCCTCCAGCGCCACAATCGATGATGGGTCAATTCAGCTCCAAAGTCTCTTCAAGCACACAGAAGAAGCACAAGTGCAAAGTCTGCGACAAGCGATTTACGCGCCCAAGCTCTCTGCAAACACATATGTATAGTCACACTGGCGAGAAGCGTAAGTTTTTGACCCCAATTTGACGAGAGTTTTCACTAAACTAGCATAGCATTCTCTTGCGAAGTGGAAGGTTGCGGAAGACACTTCTCAGTAGTCTCCAACTTGCGCCGACACCGAAAAGTGCACAAGGGCGAAGCGCGTTCAGAGGCGGGATCTGAAGATCACCAATCGGACGAATAAAAGTGGCTTTTGTTTCCACTCCGCTACGTTTACGATCCCTTCATCTCGAAAATGTTGATATACGTCTTCGCTTGCGCGGCCTAAAAAAAAGTCGGAAATTACGCGCTGTACCTCTTGACGACCTTTGTGTGTTTATGTTGTTACTCTGTTTGCGATATCCCTTCAGCGTGTTGATATCCCAGTGTGCGGAGGAAACCTGTCTGTTTACGCCTTGCTATTGCTTTTTTGCTGTGGACTGTACGCGCGTTACTAGACAATTATTCTCTTCTAATACTTTCATTCAACAAAAAGAGTCCAGACTACACCACAGCTGGATAATCTATTGGGGAAAAGGGGAATTGTTGTTTTTGCACAGCTTAGATCTATGAATCGAGATGCTGTCTTGCTTTTATGGCGTTGCAGGAAGGGAAGATCTCCCGTACCGCGCTCTTGGGCTGCAGATGAAAGGGCCTGGGTCTTCGGGAATGGGAATTGTACGATTAGGATCAGAGTTGATGGATGGAAGGGTTGCGCGGACTTTGCTTGTTTTTTCTTCACCCTCGTTTACATATACCCCCACGGTTGGCTCGGAATCAATACGGATACATAGCTATAAGCAACAGTCGCTACGACTAGAATAATGATATTAGAACATAAAAACTTAGATCTTGGCTCTTGGGCTGCTACGTGATTGTCTGAATGTCTTCAATTCTTCTGTGCCTAACAGAGCTTGATTGCCCCTTCTCCTTTCTTTCCCTACCTCCCCTCCTTTCGAAGCCCGGCGCCAATGGCGGCTCCTCTCACACCGCTCTCCTGCAACCCTCACTCAAAAATTCTCTCATCGCATGACGAACCCTCTCACGCATCGCAATTCCAACCTATCCAATTTGCTTTCCTTTCCCTTCACTTCTACCCAAATTCACCCAACCCGCCTCTCCCATCCATAAAATTACCCATCCCCTCGATTCCCAAAAGTCCCATCAAAGTTAACCCCACCATGCACCACCCACCGACGATCACCGCCCAAACAGCGCTCACATCGCCGACCATGTGTGCTGTTGATCACCACCCTGGTCCCGTGATGTCGAACAGGGGAGGGGAGGGACCGCCACGCCCGCCCGGAATAAGGCTTATCTGAAAAGAGAGGGTATACCCGTTTTCCTTCTGTACAGTACGGACCCAGTGTGGAGTTTTGACTGGGTGGGTAAGACAACATGAAACGAGCAGGGAGAGGGCTATATTGTGTGTGGCTGTGTCTCCGTCATTTCTCTTTATCAAAACTCATGACATAGGAGCAAAAAAAAGGGGAGAGGATGATGATTTTCGCCACTCGACGACAATACTAACTGGCACCGAGTTTTGGGTTCGGTGTGTTTTGAGTGAGGCTGGGGTCCTGAATGGGATGGGCGGGCTGATTGGTAGGGATGGAAATTCAGGGTCTATGGTACTGTACTGTGCTGTACCGCTGGCTGCGAAGCACAGCACACCCCAAGGCTGAGTTTGGAAGGTTGGGATCCATGTTGTGGTTTGGAAGGTGAGGATGGTTGGTTTGGAAGCACGGGTAAGGCGATGAGAAGGGACCAAACGGAGACCGCCAACAACAAACTGTCTGTGGTTTCGTGAGGGGGGTATGATATCAATGGTGCTTCATCAGAAAATCAATTCGTTCGCCTTGCTTCGTTGCGGGCTTCTATTCTGGGGTTCGAGCGAAGGAAGGTGATGCTTCCATCGTCACAAGAAGCATGATGATGAGAGAGGCAAACCATTCATGTTGGCGTGAGGTCAACTATGATGCTGTGTCTGATACGGGCGAGCAAGGCGCAATCTTATCCTGGCGCGCGCGCAAAGTAACTTTGTATCTATCTATCTAATCTCTGTGATGGCTTCACCAATTAGATGTTGAGATAACAATAAGTACGCATTTCATCATCTATCTATCATCAATCGAGTGGAGATACCGAGGACCCTGAGAATCTTAAGTACAAACTCAACCAGTCCAAGCAAGACTCAACTCACCAACCACTCCACTCCAAAACATGAGCCTATGCCCGATGACATGTGGATGATGCTATTCCCCTCCCCATGACGACGGAATGAAAACTGACTTCCTAAATTGTACGTTGTCCGTCACGTCGCACCTTGTCCTTTCTCTACTCCAATCTTCTTCGGCGCAAGAGAAGGGAAGGGAGAGGTCAGGGGTGAAGTGAGACCGATGATGAAGTGGCGTTCTTAGCCGCATCTCATATCCCCGTCATCTCTGTGCATCCTTGTTGTGCATCAAGGGTGCGGGATGTCTTGCTACCCTTGAGTTTAAGGCAGAGATGATGTATATTGCAAGGCAGCTTTGAGTAAGCAAGGGGTGTTCGGCTTGAGATGATCCGGAGATTTGATATCTGCACACCCGCATCTTGACTGGGATCTGATGCAGACAAGAATATCTCAGCACTTCCTCATTCCAAAGACTTGTTTTAGATGTCTTACCTTTGGAATGCTCAGAATAACCAAAACAGCAGCAATCAAGAATGCCAATAAGAAACGGTCAGATGTCTCTCCACCTCCGAAGCCCAGCATCAAGAAAGGCGCTCACTCAATTCATAATCTGAATCACGAAGCTGCAGCTAAACAAGCCGCCAGACAATAACAAACGGCTCACGGCCCACAAGCCCTCCTGCAGCCAGAACCTTATCGAGATAGGGCTATACATTCAAAAGGAGCTATCAGAAGAAAAAGAAATATAAATTCTAGTAGCACTACTATCGGTATTGCTTCTAAGACATCAACAAGCCAGAGCGATGTGACGATAAGTGAGAAGTGACGGTCGACCAACCAACACCAATGCAAGTCAACGACCAAGCTCGTAGCACAAAAATGTCTCCCCCAGACTTTTCGGCCTCGGGACTCGCAGGCGGCACTGTAGTGCAAAGACGGGAGATGCGCTGGTGCAGATGCTGATCGTGTGCGCTATCACCCTGTTGTGCATCTACGGGCCACTTAGCGCAAGAAAGGGCAGCCAACAACGTGAGGGTAGCACAATCTCTGGATGCAATTGCGAGAAGACGGCTCTCGCGCAGTTGCACAATGTAAAGCATGTTGCTGAGTGAGCAAGTGGTCGGTGGGGAAGTAACGCCCAGGTGAAAACGGGTTGTTTGGATGACTTCATGACATCCCGAGCAAGAGGTTGTTGGGGCCTTCAGGATAGGTACTATTCGCCGGTTTGTTATCTGTCATTTTGCGAGTCGAGAAGACGGGAGAAGGAGTTCCACGACCATGGAGGTAGGTCCGGGAAGAAAAGGACATGTAACAACCTCAACCTCGGACGGCAAGTTCTGTTCCCGTGGAGACGGGTCTATTGTACTATGATGGACCCATATGAGTTGAGCGAGCGAATTTCGAGTAATACTTGGGACAAGTGTTACAATTTGAAGTGTGTTCCGACGTTGACCATTCCGGTGGTGATGATGTGCGAGAGCTCTCGGAAGCAAATCAACCGAGGCAGATAATACTCGAGTGATAGGTTGGACATTGAACACATGAGATTGTTAGTCCAGCAAAAACAGATATTTTGCGACAAAAATGTTTGTATTCAAGAGTGGTACGAGTTTGTATAAAGGTGAGAGAGTCAGGAACAGGCACTTGGTCTGATTTTCTCATCCAATCGTCTAGCGTTTTAGCTCAAAAGCTAAAAAGTCACGATAGTTGAAATCTCAACTTCAAAATTGGGAAGTAAACAATTCTACTACTTTCGTGTGCAACTTTCCTCTCTCGACAACTAGATCTTGGAAGAAACCACTCCACATCCCTTTCAAGTCCTTGCGCTGTTTCATACGTCACAAATCCAAGCAGAAGCCCACACCAGCCACCCTTTTTGATCACACGACATCTCCCGCCATTCCCTCCGAATTTGCCAACTTCAACTCAACACTTCCGCAAACGGCCAGAAATATGGTCACAACCCGCTCCCACTCCACCGTCCCAGATGCCGATACTCACCCATTATCAAATGGCCAGAAGAAAGGTCCCTCGGTCTCCATAGACGCACCGGCAAAACAAGCGTCCTCAACACCCCGCAGACCACCAAACAAACGTGCCTTGTCGAGTAACCATATCGGTGCACCACCCGACCTATTCCCCCGACTCTCTGCTCACGCCTCGAGAATCCATAAGGCGAAATCGCACATCCTGCTTTTCTTCCTCCTCTGTATTCTTTCTACGGGTATTTACTTCTTGAACCCTAGTCTGCTTGGTTTTGTTGTCAAATCCCTGGCTGCGTCTTCATGGACCACCGTGGGAACAGTGGCCGTGGGTGTCTTGGGCATTGGGATGGGAATGGTGTGCTGGACGAATGTCTATAAAGTGGATTGGTATGAGGTTGTAGCTGGGTACTGGTGGTTAGTGATACCTGCTCTTGGAGCCGTAGGATGGGCTATTGCTATTGTGCAAGAAGGAGAGAAGGAATAGGTCGAACTTGATTGAGTTTGAATTGAGTAAGATTGTCAAGTTGAGAGTGACTACCCAGGTGGCCCCATACTTGCTTTGAGAATGCTGTATCCATTTAGAAACCAACAATGTTGGTGGTAGCTTACAGCTCAGACACTGCGAATGGTGGAATCAATCTGCAGCCGATGCTGAGCAGGCAGTTCGCCCGGCAGCAGGAGACATCAAACATAGACCAAGAAATAACGATACTAAGATATCACGTAGAATGAGTGCAGAAGCGGTCTCATTTTAAATCGTTGAATTTTGAAGTTCATGCCTTTTGTTTGCCCCTCCTTATCCACTCAACACCAGCCACTTTACATTACACCCCGCCGAACATACATGAGCGGTAGCCTAGATGCCACCCTCGCAGGCCTTGTGACGTGACCGCAGAAGAGTATCTTACAAAGAGAAGATCGAGGTGTAAAAACATCGGGAGTAATAGCGGTAAACATTAGGCTCGTCCGTTATGTGAAGCAGAAAAAACAACGAAAAGGGAACCCGTAGATTCGGCACATGGTGCTCGTCGTAAAGGTCGTCAAAGTATCCCCAGAAAAAGAGCAAAGAGCACTAGGCTCTGTATGTAGAAAACGCCAAGGGTATGCCGCAAAAGATTCACAGAAAGGTAGAAGACCACCCAAATCAGTCCGTCCAGAAACGCCTCTAAACCAACCCAGTCGCCGCCATAGTACTGAAATCAGAGTCTCGTGCTTTGCTTCTCAACAGCGCTGCGACCACCTGCTAGCGAGCCAAATAATTGCTCAGGAGGGACTCTGGCGAAGCCTTGGCTCCTGTCAAAGGCCGCAGAGGGGGCTGGAATATAGCCTTCGCGCTTCTTCCGGATGCGCTCAGCCACAATGCCAAAGACAACTGAGAGGAAGATGGTGCCAAGTGCGATACCAAGTCCGATCAATACAATGAAGCCTACGGCGAGTTTGCCACCTGATATTTATTAGCTTGAGAACGATGATAGAAGAAAGAGACAACATACCAGAGTTGGAGAAGAAATTTTGATTCTGGACAAAGATTTGAGACAAGCTTCCACCTGTATTAGATGCGCTTGTTGTTAAAGCGAAAGGTTGGAAGGTGGTGCCATTGAACAGCACAGAAGAGGCATTGCCAAATCCTGGTATGTTCAAAGCACCCATGATCATTAAAGTCTGACTGGCGGAAACGAGAGCCGTGGATCCATGACTCTTTGTCAGCGAAAGGACTTGGAGACCTCGAATCTCACTGCCAGTTCCGAAACTACTCCCAGGGGATTGGAAACTCGTGCCATCAAATTTCATAAGGAATGCGGAGCCATTCGTTGCAGTGCCAGCGATCCAGAACTGGCTATTGTCGCTGCTCGCCGGCGTGATTGCGCTGACTGGTCCTGGGACGCCAGTAGAATTTGCAGCGACTGCCCATGTCTGTGATTTCGCATCGTAGGTAGCGAGAGAGGTATCAACACCATTGACTGTGAGAGTTCCGCCCACTAGTAATGCGCTTGTGCTAGTCCAGATCATGGCGTTGGCAGTACCTTCCAATGTATTACTTGGCCGGTTCCATTGCGCGACCCCTGTAGAAAAAACACATACAGCAGGACAACTGAGTGAACCTGCTGCAGTGAAGCTTCCACCAACGTAGACATCATTTGTATTAGGCCTGGTAGATATTGAGTTGACGTTTCCACCAGACAGCGATGGAGGCTGGGTTCCGAAGGAGGAAGTGATGAGATCAAATGATATTAAGCCAGTGATACTATTGCCATTTACTGTTCCAGTGAGAGAGCCTCCAGCAAATAGAGTGTCTCCTTCGAGAGCCACAGCTAAGATTGTAGAGTCATTTGATAAGGAAGGACCAACACCGGTGACCGTGTTAGAGTCAGACCCATTGATGAAAAGCAGGTTATTAACAGCTGACCCATTCGTGCCTGTCGCAGTAAACTGGCCACCAAGGACAGTGACGTTGCGTCCACCGTTGCTGTAAAATAGACCAGTGACAACGCCGCTGATATTTTGACTGGTAGTGGCTCTTTTCGTGAGGGTGCTCGAGGATTGCGATTCAGTAGGCTGGATGTGTACGGGTAAAGCGCTAAGTCCTGCTGAAAGTGCCACTGCACCACTTGCACTAAGCTCAGAAGTAGACAAAGATCCAGAGAAAATATTGCCGCCTCCGGGGAGATCAACAGAAGCAGTAAGTTGTCCTGTAATTCCCATACTTGCAGTATTCAAGTTCCGCAACCAATTGTTCTTGGATGGGACCCAGACAGCAAATCCAGTGACGGCGATTGAGCTATTACTGCCTGTTGCAAGAATCTCGGTGAAGTCTCCAGTCAAGGTAATGACAGTCTCAGGGACGTTGGTGGTGATATTCATCGATAGAGGCACAATGCTCGTCACCAAGTCATTCACACCGGCTCCAAGAGCAGTCCAGGTGTTTTTCGATATATCGTACGCTGCTACATTGTTCAAGCCAGTGTTTCCGCCTGTGCTGGTATTGGAAAACTTGCCGCCAACGTAAAGAAGAGTGCCGTTCAAGAACATTGTGATGACCTCGCCATTGAGACCACTGCCAGTAAGGGGGGTGGTACCGGTGCTCGTTACCGAGAAGATGTTATCCAAATTGTTAGCGCTGAAATTCCCACCCACGAACGTGGTAGTCCCAGATGTCTGAAGCGCATTGACACCAGATCCTGTTGGAAGACTCATGCCAGCCACGTCGAAGGTCGAGTTGGAGAAGTCGGCAGTATTAATCGTGGCTTGGGTAGGATCATACTCGAATATGTTGTTAAGTCCACCGCTAGACGAGATGAGAGTGAAGCCGACACGCTGAGCAACAATGGTGAGGTTCTGCAGGTTTTGACCGGCTAAAGGCGAGAGAGTTACCGAAGGTCGGAAGGAGCTGCTACCTGCTTCGATATAGCCGAAATATATTTGATCGTACTTATCAAAGTTGTTGGTTTGGAAAATCGAAGTCGTGAACCCCGTACTGTCCGTACCAGTTGACATAAGACCTGTAATGTTGACCTGGCCACGATTCGAACACGAGTTATCCTGAATGCACCCTGGCGTATACATGTTGACGGAATAGTTACCAGACTGCTTGATATCTGGCAGGAAAACTACTGAAGCCTCAGTTGAGCCTCCGATCAGCGAAGCAGTGAGGTACTCGGATACGCTTGAATGAGAAGGTGATACCACCCACGGTCCCGTGGTAGTGGCGTTCGAAGCGTCCGAGATCGAGGCGCAAGCAGGCTCGTCAAAGTCGTTGATCGCGTAGGCGAAGATATCATTCTCAAATAGTTCGATTCCATCTAAGCCTCCTCCACTGCCATACCAGGCCGAAAGGTCAATCTGGAAAGCATTCATGCCGATAACGTTGACGAAGTGGAAGTCCTGGTACTTAACGCTGCTGTTATTGCTCAAGGGACACTCTGAAGAGCAGGAAGCATTCTGGCCAGTTACCGGATCAATATAGGTGAAGTTCATGATACCGTTGATTGGCATGGCTGTATATCGCCAGGTCTGTGTTCCCCGTCCATCCTGATGAGTGTTCCACAATCTTAGCTTCGTAGGCTGAAATCCAAACTGGAATGTTGCCTTCCAGAAGCCAGGGGTGTTGTCAGCAAGCAGCCAGGTATTGCCAGCTCCATCAGTTCCGCTTGTCTTGCAAACGATATTAGTGGGGTCGCTGAAGCCAGTGGTTGTGCTTGATGAACCGCTTGTAATATTTGCTCCAGAGATGTTGATGACCTGTTGATCTGGAAGACTCGGGCCAGTAGCATTTCCCAGTCCTGTGAATGAACCTCCCCAAATTATATGACCATTTGAAGCTTTGGTGATGGATGTGACGGGTCCATTGAAGCCTAAGAATGGGAGATTTGTCCAGCCAGCCGTACCAACCCAGGCAATCGCGTTAGTCGAATTAGCGCCCTTGAAGCTGCCTCCAACATAGACTGTGTTTGAAGCTTCATCGCAGAGCAATGCCGAGACTTGTCCAGAAAGTCCGGTTAGAGGTGTGATGGCAGAGGTATTGGGATTGAATAGAGCAGCCCCTGGCGATTCTATGCCGCCCAAACTGGTGAAATTGCCTCCAATTACCACACCTGCCATTGAGCCCGATGAGAGAATAAAGGTGCACATTGCCTGAATTCCCGCGTCTGCAGCTGCCAGATTCGCGAAACCGCCATTTGGAAATCTTGATAAGACGGACTGACTGCCATTCGTACTGAATCCAGCTTCACTCTGGCCTGCGAATTGATATAGGGAGATTCCATTGAAATCACCAGCAAGACCAACTGATCCCAGCGCCGAGAGATCGAGGTCGGGACTAGGAACTGGGTTGAAAGTGATGGCACGAGAGATTTGTGCGAGAGATGTCAACAAAACACCAGCTCGAATTGAAGGCGGCAGGTCGAAGGCTGAAGTACTCAGCCATGATGGAAGCTTCATCGCAGAAGCGCAGGGCGCGCAGCGATATTGATTTCGGGAAGGGTGAAAAGCTCAGGAGTCGACCGGGCCTTCACGAAAACATCGAGCGCGACCTCCTTACTCCATCTAAACAGAGGCACGAATTGATCTGCCGTTGTCCGCTCTTCGTCTGCCAATTGTTTGTAATGAATCGCGTCGTGTCCTTTATCGCGCTGTCGTCGTCTCGATTTCTCCCCCAAAAGAGTGTTGTCGCACAAAGGTCGTTGTGGAGGAGAGGATGGGGCGTTACCGTAGATCGATGAAGCGTTGTCGCTAGATGAATTAGACCAGCCACCAATCTTGTTTATCGACCTCAGGAGGACCAGTGAACCTCGGCGGAATCTACCCAGAAGACGAAAGTTCGACTTTGAGAGTCTTGACAGTTTGATGAATGGTGACTGTCACTTCGGAAGAGTGCGCGGTGCTCAGACGGGTCGTTTTTCGATCCTTCGCTGCTGTTCAGGGGCGGAGACCCGGGAGCCAAGCGTCGTCGTCGTCTGAAGTTGAGGTTTGTAGTACTGCTCTGAGCTTTCGGGCCGTTGATTGAGTGAATGTGAATGTTTCTGAATGTGAGTGTGCGTGACTGTGAGAGTGCGCAAGGAAAATGTATGATTGTTCTGTTGCTGCTGTAAAGGAGTGTGAGGTCACTATTCTTTCTGTTCGTTCATCAACCCTGACCGTTATGCATCCTATTATCATGCAAGACGTACCGAGTGATAAACAAGAAGACAAGGAACGAAAACTTGGTTGAAATGAGCGTGGTTTGTTCGAGTTTGTGATTCACTCAAATATTTGTGTATTGAAATTTGGACATCACAGAGGTGGCGGGATAATCTCGTTTGTCACCAGCCCTTTCTCGTTTGAATTTTGTTCCTCGTCCTACTTTGCCTGCACGCGCAGCAACGCTGAGATCGCAGCCAGGCCAGTGGGTGTTTCAACCCTCGAGTTGCAAGTCAGGTCTCTGGCCTATTAATAACAAACACATTTCTTATTATTCTGGTTCACGTCTCCCGAACACCATCTATATCTCATACTATAACTATATGGCCAATATCAACAAGTTTGAATTCCGGGGCCGTCACCTGGTTACCTCGAGAATTTGATTCCGAAAATGTTTGCAGCGACCAATAGGATGCCCGGAAATCAAAGGCCAATCTCAAACACGTTGCAGCAAGATCTCCAGTTTCCACAGTGCTCCAGAGCGCATAGAGCACGACAGCCTTCACATGCAATTGACACGTTTGGATGGCCTCGAGCACGGTGCAGTTGGTTTGTTGCTCCAGGCCTGTGTCAAGTCTGGGGTCATAGCTCTATTTCCTGCGATCCGTATCATCCCTCTTAATACCCCGCATGTATATTGGATGAGGCTCAACACCACGAACCATATAAGAGGGCTTTTATGTCCTGTCCCGGAAACGCTATATCTGGGGCTACCCAGAGATGAGACGAGCCAGCTATTCCTCAAACCATGGTGTATGTGCAACACGGACCGGTCTCGTTAGTAGTGACAGGAGCTCTGAGATGGGATGAAATGGCTGCAATAAATGGGGTCTCCGCGCTAGAAGTGTGTCTTTAGTCACTGCAATGTAAGATGTTGAAATTGAAATTGTTGCTGAAAGCATGGTCATTGAAGTTATAAAATAATCGTAGTTATTACTAAGCTGAGAAAAGGCTTGAATAAAACTCAAGTCTCTACTATTTTGAATTGGCAAGCAATAAGGAGACTGAGCCTGTACAGATTTAGAACTTGGAGCTCTGGTTGATAGCAGCCGTATAACGGCTTGATCTGTGATCCTTCATCTGCATAGGTTCAGAGATATCATGGTCTTGGTGGTCGCTGGGAACCATAGCTTGGACTTTCCGGTTTCAATAAAGATACACAAACCAAGGCACGGGGTTCAAGTGCCACAATTGACTCGATTTTCTTTGAGCTCAAATTATATAAATCAGTAGTGGTCAAACAAATATGTATGCACTCTTATCTTTGATATAAATGAAAGAAATATCTTCAAATAGAAACTTTCCGTACTAACAATCAGCCAATCACAGTTTCCCTTACAGTCCTCGTTGGTAGTTACTGGAGTTTCGCGGCAGTATGAAATAGCTCCAATGGATGGGCGATAATGATACAAGTGTGCTCAATTTTGAACGTACTACTTTCATGATATTTAATATGATATCAATTAATGTCCAGAGATTCTTGTTATTAGCAAGGGGTTGCCATATTATTCCTTATTTCACCTCTTGTGTTTATGTTTCTGTTAAATGACCATTCACGTCGAAGTTCCTTCCATGATGACACACGACTTGACTTCCTCTAGTTCTGAGTTGCCAGATTTTGCCAACTACGGTAGTATCATTGCTCTTGTCTCGTTCTGTTTGATTACCGGTTTCTTTACCCAATACCTTGCATCCACCTCAACCTGGTTGACGATTGAACACAATTTTCTCATCCAGACTCACCCCTCCCAGCGAGATACCGATCTTAGCTATCGTGCTTCAAACTGGTACAACATAAATCATTACTTAGCTCGACCCCAATTACAAAGATTATCAAACATGGGAAGCTTCTCTGGTGAACACTGATACGCAAGCAGACAGACAACAAGCACGGACGCCCAAGTTGAGCAAAATCGTGGGGTCGAGATGCAGTTGAAGGACGAAACATCGAAACAAGCTATATCGGGTGGGAGTGTCTAAGCTATGACAATCCATCCTTCTTAGCCTAAATCCCTGAATGGCAGACGGAATTTGGAGAGCCAGGAGCAATGCACCGCACTGGCTTTGCATCTTTTCATACAGAGGCGGTTCTCCTCATCGAGTTCTCACCTGCGATTGCAACGACAAGCGTGCGTGCTTTGAGACCATCGCATGCACAGATATTCCATATCTGGTCTTGCGTGTAACTTACGGTCCTGAGAGCTCAGGTCCCGTCTGCCGAATCCAGATGAGCTTCATAGCTCCCTCCATATCAAGTAGATCCATCCGCTTTTATGTGTATTCTAGATCTGATCGTTGTCGCCGTCCAAGTGCTCTGTGCAAATGATAAGATATCTGTGTATATTCGAAATATAGAAATGAAAACAAACTGAATGCTTAGAGGATCACTTGAATCTCCTAAAAGCGCCAATCAGGAACAGATGATCACTCACTTCACGTCTACCATTCATTGAAAGTGTTGTCGAGACGCCTCTTCAATGTTGTTCGTTCTGAGCTGCAGTCCTCTTTTTGTAGTCCATCGGACTCTCATAATCCTTTCCAGACCACATCCCAAGCTTTTTCCGCTTGGCAACCTTCTCTACCTTCCTATATTCTTCTTCAAAATCTCCAAACTCGGCACCCATCTTCGCATCGTATATCGTAGCAAGCCCCCTCTTGAGCATCTCCTTGCCTACATCTCTCCGAAACAGAAACCGTCTCACAAAGACAGTGGCTACTATCCGCGAGTATTGGTCTTGTTTATAGATATACGCCCTCACTCGTCGATTCAAAATATAGCTCTTCAGCCATTCCATTGCCTCCGCCGAATATGGTTGAGCGGTCTTGCCGAAGTGAGCACCCTCAGGCGCATCGATTCCAGCTAATCGAATGGATATCGTATTATTCTTCAGATCTGATACGTTCGATGGGACTTTCCGCCATGGTAGCCAACCCCATCCCATTAATCTGCCACCTGGCGTGTGCTAGTAGTTTGTTAGCTACCCATATCAACATTCAGTACTTCGGGTCTCGAACAAATAATCGACAGCCATCAGCATCCCCAACTCTTGTGACTGTGCCAAAGAGACTTCTTTTCCTGAAGAACGTCGGCTTGATGTGTGCGGCTTCAGGTATGCGTCGCAAGTATGTACGGTAAAGGCGTGCGGAGGCCAAGATTGTTGTGGTGAGGAGGATGGTAGGAATTATGGTGCGCGGATCCGTGTAATGGGACCAATCGGTGGCATTAAGATTATCTGTCCATGATACAGGCTTCTTCTTCTCATCGCGATCCCTTTCAGATTCTGTCGACCATGGTGGCCATCGCATTGTGTTGAAGGGTGCAAAAACGTGGGGAAGCTCTTCTCAGATGTCTCGCTTGAAGCGTTGAAGAAGTCAGGGTCAGGGATCATCAGCCTCTCAAAGCCGAGGAGCAAGCATCCACGACAACAGGTACCTACTCAATTTCGAGATGTTTTATTAAGCAGATAGTGAGTGCTAGATTTACAATATGGATAGAGTCTTTTGCTTATGCTTCGTTTACCTAGTTTACATAATCTACATACTACCAAAGAACATTCTTCTCATGCCCTTCTTCGTTTTGCTCTTTGTGACCTCGAAGTCTCTATGTCTATGATACTGGCTTTATCATCATCGGGCTCTTCCTTGACCTCGTCTACAACATACTGACGCTTGACCACAACTTTGGACTCCACAATGGTGCCATCTTCCTGCTTGATCTTTACCTCATCAACATCGACCTCGATTTTGGTTGCCACCCTTTCCGAGAACGTCCTCAAGTTGGCGGCGAACAGAATGCTTTGCGACCAACCCGCTTCTTTACCCCATAGCTGTCTAAAACGGTCGCCGATCGCATCATAGGTTGCTTTGGTTAGACTCTTGTGCTTTCCTTTGCCAAATCCGTAATCTCGCTGAGCAATCTGCCACACGTGCGTGTCAACAGGGACAGCTTCTCCCCATCCCAATCCCATCAGGCAAACACAGTCAGCTACTTTAGGCCCAACGCCTTGAAGCTGTAGCAATTCCTCATGTGCTTCACGATACCCTTCACGGCCTCCTTCTGGTAAGGGTTTCTGATCAGGATTAGGATCGTAGGGTTCCGGATTGCACAAATTCTGGAGCCAGCCGTCTGGTTTCTCGTTTGCAACTATCTTTGCTGTCTTGGCAATATAGGCTGCTCGGTACCCAAAGCCAAGCTCTCTGAGATGCGATTCGACACCAGGTCCTGTGAGGGCTTCTGGTGGCGGAAAGTCATGAAATGCCTGATCATCAATATGACCTACGAGAGGACCATAATGTAAGCATAAGTTATTAACCTGGTAAGTCCGTTAACAATTGGTCATGAAACTTATAGACTACTCATACCATTTGTGATATTCTTATAATATTATTATTACTGCTACATATGAACCCAACAAGAGCTTCCCATGCATCTTGCTTAAGGATCCGAATTCCAGTGAACTTGGGGGCTCTCTTCTTAAAGTTGGAATCTACCGATGACCATTGTTCATACATCGCGGTCAGATTAGGTGTGAGGTTGAAATAATGCTTCAACAAAGCCTCCGTTTCTTCATCTTCAGCATTTGGTGTAACGGCGGAAGATCTGGCCGATGAAGGTGGGCTAGGAGGGTATAAAATATTGGATCTTGTGGTTCGATAATGTACATGGGTAGAGTCTTGTCTTAGAGACAATATTCGACCATGAAGTGCACAAGACCTGTTCAGTGATTAGCCCCTATAATGAGCTCAACGCGAATGGACTCACCACTCATCATCTCGGAGCTTCTTCCACCTGAAGGATTGACCGCAGCGCAGCGTTGTGTCTATACAAAGTTCTGCAAGACTTACAGGTAGCTTGCGCCATTCTGAGACACGAAAATTCGCCATTGTCAGAAGAACTGGACATGTGCAGAGTCTAGACTGGCGCGTCTTAAGAAAAGTAGCCTCGCCGCGAGCAAGGAGTTGACGCTAGCAGCCGCATTACTTTCGCGACCCTCGCAGAAAATTAGGCCCATCAAAGCCTCAGAGCAACTCCATTAATTTTTTCAACTGGGAGCTTGTCAAATACATCGGACAATCTCTAATTGCGATCGCCAACATGAACGGCGACAGCTACTCATCAAGAGGCATGGCACCTTCGTCGTCTTCAGCAAATTCTAAACAGCAAAGTGGAGCTACTACTGACAAGCAAGCATCAGCAGATACTGGTCGCCATGGCTCATCCAGAGATTATCCTGTAAGTCTTTTTTAAAGCTTATCAATGCCAATAGCTAATTCATGCAGTCCTCGCGTGATGATCGTCGGGACAGAGGTGATCGCGACAGGCGGCGTTCGAGATCTCCCGGACATCGAGGCTCACGACCGTCTCGCCGCGACGGCGACGTAGATTCCTACTCTAGCAGCCGCGATTACAGAGAGCGAGAACGAGAGGACAGATACTCTGGCAGAGATCGAAGAGGAGGTGGTGATAGAGAATGGGACCGAGACCGTGGGAATTCCAGGCGCGAAGCTCGACGGGATGATGACCGGCCACAAAGAAGAGACCGGGACCTATTTGACGACCGGAGAGGCGGTGGTGGAGGACGACGAGGTGGTAGAGGAGGCGACAGAGACAGAGGCGATCGCAATGACCACGACGAGTTTGCAGCGCAACGCAAGAAAAGTCCAACCCCTCCACCCAAGAAGAAGGAGCCTACCCCGGATCTGACAGATGTGGTACCTATCCTTGAGCGCAAGAGACGTTTGACTCAATGGGATATCAAGCCACCTGGTTATGAAAATGTTACCGCTGAGCAGGCAAAGCTATCCGGAATGTTCCCACTCCCTGGAGCTCCAAGACAACAACCCATGGATCCTAGCAAATTACAGGCTTTCATGGCCCAACCCAGTGGCTCAGTAACAAATGCAGCTCTCAAGCCATCCAACTCTCGGCAAGCAAAGCGTCTTCTCGTCCATAATCTCCCTACATCTGTTACTGAAGAGTCGGTGGTCAACTTCTTCAATTTACAGCTGAACGGTTTGAATATCACGGAAGGCTCTGATCCATGTATCACAGCACAGATTTCGAAGGACAGGTCATTCGCATTACTCGAATTCAAGCTACCTCTTGATGCTACCATGGCTCTTGCGCTTGACGGAATCACCATGGAGGATGAACACATGAATGGAGCAGCAAATGGTGATACCAAAGGTCTTTCGATTCGCCGACCAAAAGACTATATTGTTCCTGCAGTTACTGACGAAACTCCATACGAGCCTGGAGTTGTCTCAAACGTAGTCGTGGATACGCAGAACAAGATCTGCATATCTAATATTCCTCTTTATCTCACTGATGAGCAGGTAACTGAACTATTGGTCTCATTCGGAGAGCTGAAGGCGTTTGTACTGGTAAAGGATAATGGCACTGAAGAGTCACGGGTAAGTCTCGTGTGCAAATTGATGACTACCCTACTAATCAAATATAGGGGATCGCTTTCTGTGAATACTCTGACCCTGCGGCAACTGATATCGCTGTAGAAGGACTCAACGGTATGGAGCTTGGAGACAAGCATCTCAAGGTACAAAGAGCAAGTATCGGACACACCCAAGTCTCTGGCCTTGAGATGGGAGTCAATGCTATGTCTATGCTTGCTGGTACTACTTCGACAGGACTGGAGGACGGTCGTGTACTCCAACTGCTGAACATGGTTACCGCTGAGGAACTGATTGACAATGATGATTACGATGGTATGTTGTCCGTGTTTTGTTGTTATCTCGCGCTGACAGTGTTGCGCAGAAATCTGCGAAGACGTGAAGGAAGAGTGCGAAAAGTATGGCAGAGTCTTGGATATGAAAGTACCAAGACCAAGTGGAGGCAGCAGGCAATCCAATGGCGTTGGAAAGATCTTCGTCAAATTTGATACTCCCGAATCCGCAGGCAAAGCACTTCGTGCTCTAGCAGGCAGAAAATTTGCAGACCGTACTGTGGTCACAACCTACTTCTCTGAGGTAAACGCTCGAGACCCTCTTTTTTAAAGCCCTTTTACTAACAGACATAGGAAAACTTCGAAGTTTCTGCTTGGTAAATTGCTCCAGCTACTACGATATACCCCGACGCATTCAAATGGAGGCAGCGAATGGTTCTGGAGCTTGATTGGCGGCCAAGGCAAGTCTCACACGTTTCGGATTCAAAATCCCATTCTGTACTTTTAGTATTGCCAATTGGCACACATACGGCGTAAATCAAAAAGCAATTTGAACCTGGCCTAAAGGATGTGTTTGCAATATGCATTTGAAATCAATTTGCGGCTTGCGTAAGACTGCGACTTTGGTGGGCTCTTCTTCGTGTCCACTTTAACAAACCGGAGGTAAAAGCCGCTTCGATTCTTTTTTCCAACAGTGCAGCACAGTAAATCCATGGAAGATTATTCGTTCACATTTGATATCAAGTCTACGACGGCACTGATGGCTGTTTGGGAGATGATAAATGCATTCTGAAAGTGAGAGCAACCTCGTGTATTCCTAAACTATCTACCTACCTATCCTCCATCCAGATCTTATTTCTTCTCCCGCCTTCAACGTAATCCGATGTAATGGGTATGATGAGATCCGCCATAAGTATAACTGCAAAGTACTTGAAGCATTAGCAATGGTACAGCAGCTTGGATGATCCAGTATCGCCAACGCATGTATCGAGATGAAATCAGAAGTCCAGTGAGATCATTGTCACTCCCGCAGGAGTTTCTAAATCAAGCTATGAAATATGTCAGTACTGAAACCCCTTGCAACAGAAGAGGAGACTTACAGGTACCAGAAAATATAAAAATGGTGTATCATCATTTGAATATCTCGTAATGCGCAATGCGTGGAAGTGAAAATGATGCAGATACTCACAAGAATGAAAATTGCGCAAGTCATGAGCTTGAATGCGAGATCATGCTGTTGCGCGCTTCGAGTAGTCCACCTCTCTGATGGAATGAAGTTTTGTTTTGATGCCAGTGACGAAGATGCAGAGAGTTCGGTCGAGATTTTATTTGATGTAGTAGCTCCTCAATTGGGATTAGCGCGAAAACAATCTCAAGCGAGCTCGCACTTTCACCCACAAACTCAAAACTCCATCTCGACCAATTTCAACACCAAAGCGACTTCACGACAACGACAACGACAACCACTCCCGTCAATTATCGTCAAAATGGGTCGTCTTCATTCCAACGGAAAGGGCATATCAGCCTCTGCTCTCCCATACTCCCGCACTCCTCCTGCGTGGTTGAAGACCACCCCCGAGCAAGTTGTCGACCAAATCTGCAAGCTTGCAAAGAAGGGTGCTACCCCATCGCAAATTGGTGTCGTCCTCCGTGACTCCCACGGTATTGCCCAAGTCAAGGTTGTCACTGGTATGTTTTTCAACGCTGCGCAGCGTCCGTGGTGTTAATAAACTATGCTAAATCTCCATGCAGGTAACAAGATTCTGCGAATCCTCAAGTCAAATGGTACGACTATACCCCACAACACACATCGCTGGATAAGCCCACGATACTTGCAATTTATTGCAAGAAATTACTGCCTCCGCTTGGTCTCTGACTGACGGAGTGAAATTCGAACTGAACAAAACTGCCGTCCCAATTCATAAACTGATTTTTCCTACAGGCCTCGCCCCAGAGATCCCAGAGGATTTGTACATGTTGATCAAGAAGGTGAGCAAATACCTACAAATGACTTAGATGATTGCTAATTTTCCCCAGGCCGTTGCTGTTCGCAAGCATCTTGAGCGCAACCGAAAGGACAAGGACTCCAAGTTCCGTCTCATTCTCATCGAGTCCCGTATCCACCGTCTTTCCCGATACTACAAGACCGTCGGTGTTCTTCCACCAACCTGGAGATACGAGAGTGCCACCGCCAGCACCATGGTCGCATAAGTGTAGATTGATATTGGTCACGGTTGCTTTGGCATGGAGTTGGGGTGTGGACAATTTGCATTGAATGCTAATCTGCTTCGGTGGACTTTATGGTAGCATGAAAACCGCATAAAAGAATCAGATCTCGAACACAATCCAGAACCTTTGCGCCAGAATTTCAATAGCCCCATATCATGCTCGAATGTGCTTGTGAATGCAAAGCTATCCCAAATGCGCCTTCCCTCAATGATTGCCAGTTCTGCCCATGCTCCATTCAAGTAGTGACTATCTGAACATACCCCTCGATTATTGTCATCCATATAGGTCGCATCAATGCCAATTCTCTCATGTTCCTTCCAACTCGCGAGATTTCTGCAAGAGATATTCACCCAGCATTCGGAGAGGATCTTTGGGCCTGAAAGTAATGTCAGCATGCCAACTAACAATTCATTGTCTGGTCTGTTGCTGGACAAGAGGACATAGCTCAATGCCAAATAGTAGAACTTACTTCTCCTTTGCGACAAGCTTCATCCCGTCGATCAGTGGCCCCGTCACCTTGCTGTTGATGTATTGTCTCGTAGGCGCACCGTGTGGAGGAGCTTCCTTGGGTATAGTAGCAGCGGGATCAGGGTGTTGAGAGGTAGCTCGAGACGTCACATCGTTGCCATTCGTCCTCGAGGGGGTTCCCATCCGTCCAGGAAGAGGGCTTGGAGCATTGGCTGCTGCGCTGGCCACGACAGCTGGAGACTTTAGACAGATCAGTTACGAATACACAGGTATCATGCTTAGAGACTCACAGCAACTTCGACAGGTGTGCTATCCGCCATCACTATGTCGTTGCTTGCGATTGGCACAGACGGAGGAGTAGAGGATTGTTGTTGCATTGCGATCTGATACGCGTGTGCTGCTGCGCTGATACTGGAAATTACTTGTTCTTGTGCGGTCGTATCGCTCGGAGTACCTGGTTGAGACATGGCTGGAGATGTTGACTTATGAAGCTGGGAGAAGAATTCACCATTCTCAAATTGGAACTTTGAGATGAAAACACGAGGTCGCGTGATGTCGCGTCGGTGCCTTAATGACGCGCCGAACTGGAAAGCTTTCAACACCAATGAATGAATGAGACATTGACTTTCCTTTCAGACTCGAGCAATGAATTATGGTACTCGATCATCAACGCGCTTCCAAACACAATACAATGTTGGGACGCAGGATCCCGCATCCAGCATCCACACAATTTCATGATGATGTCTCACCCCCTGCAAAGCGATTGAAGACCTTCGAAAGTACGGATGGCGAGGACTCTCGAGATGTTTCTGATGCAGAATCAATCGTACAGACGCCTCGTCGCCATCGTGAAGAGATCCCGGATTCCGATGACGAGAACGAATCTGGAGACGATGGCCCATCTACCATTCAACGGCCTGCTGAGCTCGAAAGTGCTTTACCTCCAATTAAAACGGACAAGGAGGCAATTGACGAGTATGAGGCAATGCGAGCAGCTGAAGATGTCCCAGAAGATCTGAAGCCTCGCTTAAGTCAAAGAAATTGGACCAAAGGAAAGAGCTCTATTTACGTAGATGCTTTTAACCTTGCTCTAGAAACTGTCTTGGAAGATGAAGGACATCTTTTTGATGAGAAAGAGATGGAGGTCTTCAGGCAGTGGAGAGACTTGAGTTACGAAGCTCAATACTTGTAAGTGAAGAGACCGTATATCATGGCAATGACTAATGTGTGAAAGATATGTTCGATTATTTCTCAGGAAAACCTCTGCATGGCATCGTATCAACCGTCTCGGATACTATGGCGATGTCTCAGATCTACCATCTACCGCCCAGGCATTGCAAATCGTTAAGATTTTGCCCGACTCAACTGCAGACGTCCATGCAAACCCTGCTGAACTCAGTCCACCTGAAGGGACAATGCTTGAATCATGTTTCAGCTTTGCAGACTGTTCAGAGGAGATGATTACGACCATGGAAGAAGCGTCTTCTTTGCTCAATCTTGAGGAAGTCAAAACCCTTGCAAAAGAAGCTAGGGTCCAAGGAAAGAATAAGTCCGGTCTACTTCAAGCTCTTCGAAAGATGAGTCGAAAGCAGAGCGGTCTTGCCTGGGTTGGTCTGAAACGATCTGACAGCGAGCAGACCAATGCTTCTGAATCTGGAGAGAATGATGACGAGGAAGACTCGATGTCAGATTCGAACAGAGACAAGCACTTCCTCAAGAAAATATTGGCAACCACGGGATCTTGTATTCGGCTCTCGTTGGTTACATTGAAACTTTTCGAGAGGGTGCATCTGGTCTTCTACAGGTCTACTGAATGGACTGATAAGTCTTTGACAACCATTATACTTGCTCGCATATCTCGTCGAAACTTTCCAGACTATATTGTCTCACGGTCTGCAAACATCTTCCCATCCAGATCAGAGTTACTAGAATTCGAAGCAGCTCTTCGAACGCAATTTAGAGTCGACAATATCTTAGAACTCAATGGCAACCCGGGCAAAGCTGGTCTGGAAGAAGTGCTTTCCATATTCGAGGCAGTCTACCCGCGTTGGCAAGTATTGTTGAAAGAAGAGCAACGAAAAGAAGACCGAGTCTACGAGAGTGGCGAAGGTGCCTATCTTCGCCGTTTCTCACCAGCATGGGTCTATACACGTATCGTTCACAAAGGTATGTATGTCCTTGGACGCTTTAAAATGCACGAACGAGAGCATGCTGTCACTTCTGAGCTTCTTGATCAGCGACTGTTCCATGCAGCTCGACGTGGTGCTTGGTATCAGCGAAAAGCACTTCTGGAAGAACACTACATGTATGCTCTACAACCACCTTTTGGTAGCTCAGATATCGAGCAGCAAAAGAGACATTGGAAGCGAGTCTCTCTGCGAACTTGCGAGGCTGGACTACAGGATAAAGATTGCCACATGATCTACCACTACGACCTCCAAAAACGGATCCGAAAGCTTGAAAAGAACTTGAAAATTCCGAAGCGTGAGCAACATGATTTCGGACATGTCTCCTTAGCAAAACCAATCGAAGTCACAGTCAAGGGTGTTCAAATCAAGAAGGAATATCCACCTGCTAAACGGCGTCCAAGTGCTCAAGGTGAAGAGCGTCAACGTAGCACAAAGACAATTTGGATTGATGAAGCGGAGGGTGGTGGTGAATGCAGCGTCGAAGCTATGTGCTTGTCTGATTACCGATCAAGAGGATACAAAGGCTATCATGCTGAAGGCGGTATCATCCGTACCTTGTTTGCATATATGTTCTATGATGTGCTTTTCGTGTACATCCCCAACGTGTTTCAGACGGCATATCAGACCTGTCCATTGGACCTGCATACGGATGCATTCTTTCCTTCTCGAGCGTCCGAAATCAACCATCGATTAGTTGAGATTGGGAACGGGTCAGCAGCCGATATAATCCGTGCTGTTGATGCGAGGGAAAGAGAAAAGCGCACTTGTATCATTGGTCTGAATTGGGATTTTGAGCTAGACGATTTATTGGAAATCGTTGGCTGTTTTGATGGACAGGCGCTTGCCACTGTTTGTAAAGTGATGGCGCAAGAGTACAGAGTACGAGGTGGTGGTATGCCTGATCTCTTTTTGTGGGATACGGAGAAGAAGGAAGTTGTCTTCTCTGAGGTCAAGAGCGAGAATGACAGGTTGAGCGATACTCAGAGGTTATGGATCCATGTCCTGACAGGTGCGGGCATCAGAGTCGAACTCTGTAATGCGGTGGCAAGAGAAGTCAGGATTGTAGCTGCTGAGTGAGCTAGGTGCAAGTCTTTTGCAATTTGGATAGCGATATAACTTGTAATCATAAGCAATATCGACTACATACGACATGTTCTATCACAGGAACCTGGCAATATTCGATATTTTGTTCGCATCTCATCTTCTTGCATGTCGTTGGAAATCGTCACTTTAAACTTGATATCTTATTCTACGACTTCTTTGAGAGAACGAAGTTCGGCGGACGTGTGGGCTAGTGAGAGATGTACACTGCATTGAAGACTCGTACATCACTCATAAGCATTCGGGGAGGAATCTTTAAACACCTGGGTGATGTAAAAGCACAAAAATGCTCTGCATTGATGAAATTTGATACTGACAGCTCTTGTCACTTTATGCAAAAATCTATAATGTTGACAGACTCGAGGAGCGTCTGTATTAGTGGTTTGACCCAATTTTCGCCTAAGAAAAGGGGGGCCTGAAATCACTGCTCTCGCTTGGACTGAACCACAAGCATCGATCGTCACAAAGTGCAAAGCAAGGATCTACTGTCCTTCCGGTATTGTCTTGAAAGTAAAGGCCAATAGTTAAATTTATGCAAATGCTAAACTCTTCTCGCCCTTTTGTGGCAGAGCCAAGAGTAACCCAACACCAAACACCACGCATGGGTATCATATCGTTTCTCATCTCATCTCAACTCGTCTCATCTTATCTCACATCAAAGCACCACATCCCAATGACCGCTCCTATCAAAACCTGCTCCTCGACGATCCCCCTAACCTTGGACTCCTCAAGTTACTCCTCAAATTCTGCGCCGTCTTGTCTTTATCCTTCGAGTTCTTAATAGCTTTCCTCTTCCTGATCCCGTCCAGGATATTAGAATCCAGCCGCCTATTCTCGTTTGGCGCCGCAATAGTAGCTCCTTCTAACCACTCTACCCTGATACTGTTAGGCTTGTTGTATTGTTGTTCTTTGAACCAGAGCTCGAACTTGATGTCCGTCGACCCGATGACGACTCGGACTTCGTGTTCGGCGATTCGCCATTTTTCGCGGGAGCCAATTTTGTACCATGACTTGTGCTCTTTGACGATCTCGAATTCGCTCATTGGTACCGAAGAGAGGTTGGATGTGATGTTGCACAAGACGAAGCAATCGGCATGATCCGAATTACTTGGTAGGCGATGTATGTCAGCGTGTGAAATGACGACTCTGTTTCTCCATATCCGTCTGTTATCATTCGTCTCCGTCTTCTCTTCTTTTACTTTGCACACGATCTTTGTAAAATTATGAGCAACGTGTTTGTCGATGTCGATCATTTCGCCCTAGAAAATCGTGTCAGCAACTTTTCAGTCAATTGACATCAATCGTACAAACCTTCTTGATCATCCAATCGACTTGATTCCTTACATAAAGAAGCCCGTTGATTGGGTCCTTGTAAGGAGTTTGGTTGATATGTTGAGGATTATCTTCGTCGTAAGGCATATCGCACAGAATACCATAAGAGGCCGGGCAGATCCGCCCAGTCAACACATTTCTGTTTGTTGTGATTCTCTGCATTCGATCGATCACCAGTCCTCTACAAACTGCTAATTGCCTAGAGGATATCAATGAAAGAACATCTTGTAGGTTGAAAATACGTACGGTTCGTCAGATAATAAGATCTCGAGATATGGTGCGGCCTGGTGCTTGTTGAGAACGAATGCGGTTCGAAGCTTTTTGAGAAGATATGGAGAGCTTCCCAAACCACCAGACAAAATGAGATAATTCTAAATTGTCATCAGTCAAGCCCTCTGTTTCATTTCAGATGTTCTTCTTACCACGAATCTACCAGGATGTGTCTGCCTCAGACGATCCAGCTGCTGTCTAATCACTCTGACTATTTCCCTCACTTGAGGGTCAAACAAGTCCTCGAAATCAGAGCTGTTGACATTGTCAGCAAATTTCCACTCCTTCTTAAGATTCCTGCTATTTTACTCACTGTGAGAAAGTCATCTTGCCTCCTTCAATTCCAGCCTCTCTGTTGGAAACCCCTTCGTCGAGATAAGGAACAGTTACTGTGAATCTTGGAGTGTCTTCCGTTGAAGCATGACCAAAACTGCACTTCCACATCTGAAATTCTGTGCTGTTCATCACTATAGACAAATCAGTATACACTTTTGACGGAGATCTAGGAGCTAAGGAGCTCATCCGAGCAGTTGGAATGAATCATTTCCTAAGGTTTTGCTCCCGAGGTTGACCACAAAAGGCTCGCCTCCTAGAATGAATACAAAGTAGGGGAAAATTTGACATACTCGTCCACGAAGTATTTTCAGCAAGATGCAAGCGTCCGGCTCGAAGGCGACTGTCGACCAAAGTTTCGAAGGCTGTGTCACTAGAAGACGGGCATTAGCTATTTGATCTTTCACAAGGGTTGAAGGGTCCGTTTCACGAATCTATGCCTAGCGGTCAAAGCACAGGAGGAAATAGATGACGGATCAAATTCAAGAGGAAAGAGATGTCCACACTCACATGTTTGTAGACCCCACGTCGATACCAGGAACAGTGGTTAGTTCTCGAAGCTCAGGTCTCGCCCCTCGGGCAGTCATTTGTTCGAGAAGTGCAAAATCAGTCGTTCCACCACCAGCGTCACATACCAATAAAATATCACCACCATTGAGAGATTTTGTGCTGTGTTTTGCAGCGTCCACCGCCGCCGCCTGAGGTTCTGTGAGACCAAAATCTAATGTATGATGGGTTCCTCTGCCAAATCCCGCCTGCCTCAGCAGGTCTCGTAAGGTAGTACTAATCTCCTGCGACCTGAATGTGGTCGGTAAACTGAAAATGAACTCAACACGCCGCGCGTGCCAATCGCCCATGATGTCTTGAAGGTAACGACTAATGTATGTGAAAAGACATGACATATAGTCTCGATACCACCTTCTGACTTCATCAATCGTTGGCAGGTCATTATCGGGTACTTGTCTTCGACAATCCTCTAGGTGAGCCGGGTCAAGATAACGCTTAAACCATTCGTGTTTTCCATCAACGAACTGGCAAGGGAATCCCCATTCCGGAGAGCCACCCATTGGAGGATAATGCAACACCGTAGGTACTTTTCGGTTCGACTCGTGAGCTCGCATGGGCCATTTTTGGATGAAAATGGGAGCAGGCATATGCGTCCTAAGATAGGAAACACCTGGGAGGCCCTGTAAGGAATAGTCCAGAGAAGGGATTCCGAAGATACTGACCAGTAAATGTCATCCCAAAATCAATCCCCTATTCGCAATTTCAGTACACAATTTATTGGAGGGTAGCCATTTAGACGCACCACAACGATCTCTGGCTGCATCGAAGACATGCTTCCTGTCAAAGTTTCATGAAGAGACGAACTCGCGGGGAATGGTAACTATTTTACAGGGAACGACAGAGGAACAAGAATTGAGAGCAGCGAGGAAATTCCGCCTCACATGTCTGACAGCCGTATGAGCTCGTTTCGGGGCCGTTAAAAGGGCGAACCGTGAGGCTGGGCGGCGAGGCTCTAGGTGGCGTAATCTACACCGATCGGTGTGACCCAAGACATGGCTTGGCTGTGTTCTTCCGGGCGCTTGCGCAGCCTGATGGATGAAACCCATGATTCAATAAAAGACGCACGTCCAAATTAGAAAACGCCTGCAGTGTGCATTGTGTTTGTGAGAATGAGGCGGTCCAGTCAATTAGTGGTAATACCCTTCAGCCTTCGCACATGCAATCCCCCCAGCCGAGATCTTTCCTCGTAAAAGTTCAAGATCTCCGTCGGACTTTGAAACTCAATTAGCATGCAAGATGAACTCTCCAGTATCGAGGAAATCTTTCTCTGCTCGAGTGTTTGGCAGCGCTCGGGATAAACTGGAAACTCTTTCGGTGTCCAGGCAGCCTCCAACGCAAGCTCCCACACGAGTGGAGAGTTACCGAACTACCCTCATGAACCTCGATGATTATCTTCCACAACCCGAAGAAGATCAGAAAATTGCATCGAAAGTAAAGCAACTTCAGGGCTTGATAGAGGCGCATGCAATCTATCATTATTACCACGACAGACCATTGGGTCTTGAGACAGAAGACATACAGAATCTCTTACAGAAGAGGCTCTTCAAATCAGACGACGAAGAAACGACGAGAAGACTCGCAAGCAATCTGCTTAGACCTTCTCACCGAGCAACATTTATTCGAATTGTAATTGCGAGAGCATTGGTTGCAGCAATAGATCTTCATGGCGAGCCAGCGAGTTCCCTTCTCCCCAAGGAGATTGTGCTGTTCATGACTGCTTTCAAGAACACCCCTCGTTTAAAAGATGATGATCCAGGTGCGTAATAACTCTTACCAGCCTACGGATTAAACTAATAGTAAACAAAGTGGACGAGGTTGCCTTGTGCGAATGGCGGAGACTGGGGCTATATCTGCTCACTGGAGCGCAAGACAGAACCGTTCAGCTCCATAACACGACTTTGAGAATTAACTTGATGGTGGATTCGCTTGATGAGATATTGTGTCCCTTCGCGGAACCAGATCACATCGGAGTTGGTGGTGGAAGACGATTAGGAAATCTCCGATCAATTGTCACCGCAGCGACGGACATTGGAGTGCTTCTTTTCGGCCAACCTTGTGGTTGGGAACTCAACTGGAAAAGGAGGCCTACAAATGATATGCATGGAGCAAACATGACACCAAATGGTCTTTACCAAATCAATTCGCAGGTATCCCAGCAGCAGTCAAATGCTCTAACGGTACGGAGTTCAACATCGCATAGCGATGTGCTGCCTCAGTTACCCCCAGAGCAGCGTAAAAGAAGAAGACGACTACAGATAGGGAGAAGTCATTCTACAAAGGAAAAGGAGAGAGACAAGCCCGAAAAGTCTCGCAAGGATAGAGACCGCCCGCCTGTAACCGCAAGTATTATGAGACTTTCAGCTCAGCAAGATGGGGCATACAGTGAAGGAGCACCTATGTATCGGACACGCACCGGCGAGACTCCAAATCAGTATGATGGTTCGCAGAATTACCAAGGCTACGATAGACAACAATTGGCGGAGCAAGAAGGGTTCCGATCTTTGACCCAAAGGTCTCGATCCGAGCCTCACTTTACACCGATATTCCAGCAAGAGGCTACGCAACACCGCAATATAAACGCCAATTCAAGTCCGCTGAGAGAAATTGAGATTAATGGCACAAATGAGATATTCATTTCGAATGCAGGAGTCGAAGATAGTGTGCCATCAACAATTCCAAGTAACAAATACGATAACAGCTTGCAAACGCCGCAGATAATTCCCGGGGAACGACCAGACCCTCCACCGAAGCATATCGGAGCACAAGAATCATTCTTGGATGGACCTGATCAGTCGAGGTTCAGACGAGAATCACGCACAACAATCGTACCTCCCAATCAGCCTAGCCGACCCATAATATACTTCCCTGCTCTCATCAAGGTCAACGACGAGTATGGATGCAAACTACCTGAACCATTGTTGGTATTGGAGCCAATGATAGATAGGTCTTTCGTAACACCGTGGTATTAAACGGGTTTATTGATGCCCGTTTGGAGGACGATAACTTGAAAGAATACATTCTGTCACTAGCGAACAAATCTAGATGGTATCTGAGAAGTTGTAACATAAAATCTAAACTTGATTTCTTGCCGTGAGCCTCAAATGACTTGAAACAATATCTCATGTCTTGATGGCTCGATATTAGTTTAAAGAACAGGACTTGCAACCTATGCCAATCACACAACTCCCTCCAAACTCATGACCTAGCAGAGTGTTCCCAACGCCATCAAACAAATGCCAAACCCAATAACGACTCATGCCAACATAATAACTTTAAACTCCAATCGTGTCTCCCAAATTCAGTAGCTTCCAATGTACTCTCCAAACTCCGACTCTTCAGCTACAGAGTCTATCATCGATCCGTATCTCGCACGACTCATGGTTCGATAAAGATCTCTTTCTGTGGGGAGACTTGCAGACGAGGGCGCAGGCGATGTTTGTCCCGATTGAAGAATCTCGGATACGGTAACCGTTGTTCCTTGCCGATATCTATCCTCAGATCGTAGCAGCATGGAGCTCTTGCCCCTCAGGGCTCGCTGTTGACTCGGACTTCTCAAGATCTTCGTCTCCGTTTGAGGTGCCAAGTGGGAATAGGGTTGTGAATAAGTTGGAGGATTATAAGGAGGAGGAGGAGGAGCGAATTGCGAAGTGTACGTTTCTGGAATGTATGCAGTGACGTTGCCTAAACGTTGTATCACTCCCACAAGACTTGTGTGTGCCATCCTTAAGACATCCTGGCGATTGGCAAATTTATCTTTGCCTTGCAAAACCCATTTGAATCTACTTGGAATCGAGATGCTGTTTTTGACGTCGCGTTCCACACGATAACCTCGAACCAGTTTCCCCAGGTTGAGTGCTGCTTGATCCAACTTCTCAATACACCGCTCAAAGTACTGGAAATCAATTGCAGAGAATTCGGTTTGCCGACTTGTCTTGCGGCTGTTTAGCTGACGCCTGGCATAGTTGATGTCTCGTTCGGCATTGTCAAGAAGCTCCAGACAGATCGCCAAGTCCTCGTCCGCAGCAGCAAGCTTGTAGCAATTTTGTATGAGTGTAAATGTACCGTTGACGACAGTGATCGAGCCTGCCACGGCAGCCGTAGCGATCATAGGCATTTTGCGGCAGATCAGCAGGAACCTAGATCAACAGGAACAGAAAGCAGATCGACGAACGTGGTAAAGAAACCGATAGATCGCAACCGTGCCTGGCTCGACTTTTGAAGATCGACGTACAACTTGATTGAGGCTCGGTGACAAAGTTCAGATTAGCTCTCTGCTTGTCTGACGGAGGGTCATGCCGTGACTGTTCGGCGGAGCCTTGCTCGAGATGTCCAGCCAAGCTCGCAATCCACGCCCATGCCTGCCATCGGACTAAAATGGACGACTGGCCCAATTCACGAACTATCACATCTGCAGGTGTGTTTGAGCCAAAAGATTGGGTCTCCCTCGCAGCCACTGGCTGTATGATGTGCTGTCTTGCTTCAAGAATTGCTTCAAGAGCGGAAGCGGGGAGCACAGTCTCACCACTCAAACGCCGGCAAATACGCCACGGTGATACTCGTGAGAAGGCTTTTGCAGAATCACAGTTCACGACCGTGTGACTCGGGCTTGCGGCTGCATGAGCTGAGCAGAATTGTCGTTCTGGTAGGCGGTCCGCATATAGGGTCGAGTATGAAAAGCAAGCATGATTACCAACAAAAGAGGGGGGTCCAATCATCATCGCACGGTAAAAAACAGAGCCTCGTGTGGAATCTTTCACGAGAAAGAGGGCATTCGCAAAAGCATGCAAACGTAATATGAGGCTGCTCGCTAGTCTGAATGCAGACACCTTCGGTCGACAAGCTGGCATTCTTGGTGAGTGAGGCTTGGATGGATTTGGGGGTGAGATGTCGTCGGACTTTGAAATGAGGCGCCTTGCTTGCCGCTTTAGTTAGAGCCTCTTAGTGGGGTTGCCTTGTGAAGGAAATCCTCATATGGTTCGCACTTGCACTTTTGGGAGCTGAATCATGGGAAACTATCTTGAATTGAGCTGAAAATGATCTAAAAATGACTATGTCATCGATTGGGGGATAAATTCGGCCGGGGCATTTAAGGAGGCTCTGGACAGGTTGACTTGGTGCGGCTTTGCGCTGTAAGTCGTTTGGAATCAGTCATTGTGCCTTTGCTTTTTTTGGGAGTTGAAGAACACGCACTGAGAAGCCTCTAAGCCTAAAGTAGAGACGTCCAAGTTTGGGACTGTCTGAATACTCAAGCTGAGGTATCTTTCCCTCCTAGCGAGGAGGAAGATATGCGCCCACCCATTCTGCTTGTCCATTTCAATTGCCATGATATATTGTTTTTTATCTTGCAATCTCAACAGTAATAGAAACACAATATATGAACTTTTACTTCTTCATCGACCCTTTTCCCCCACTACCCGCGAACATTTTCCCTAAAATCCAATACGGCTGGCTAAATTCATATCGCTCCCTGTTCTCTACACTATTCCCTCATATTCTAAATTATTAGATTCTAAACCATCAATCATTGTAAGAGCCCTAGCTTCTTCATTCTTTTTTTTTCATATCGTTGAAAGAAAATCCCTCGCTGAGTTGACTTTCCTCCATGAGGGAAAAATGAGACTTCATGGACTCCTAGATTCCTGAAAGTTGGACTCAAGCAGACTGTAGTTGTCTTATGGAAGTTAGATTGGCCTATTTGTGACGCATCTCAAGTCTTTGAGAGCATGAATAGCATCTACTCTTGAGATAGCTTCACTCTTGAAACCCATTGAAATTGAGGGTTTCGTAACGCTCTACAACGCTATACAAACTTAAAGATAAAGAGTTAAAGAGCCTGGAAACAGCTCTTCAGAATTCATGGCGTTCTCAAAGAAAAAGATCTGAGTTATTTCGAAGTCAACCAGATCAGGACAGAGGTAGGTTTGTCTTTATTCGAATCTGGCAGTTTTACGATTTGGTAATCTTACCTAAGTCCTTCTCAATCACTCGGAGCGTAAGCATACGCTGAGTTTATTTTATAGTACTAAGCCAATACGATAGACAGTGATGGAAGGGCATGATATGGCCTTCTCAGCATGCTCTACCCCGCATTGGCAACTCTCATCCAATGTACCACTGTTCTAGCTCACCCCCACAAACGAAAGATCCGAAACCCTAGAGTCTTAGAGCCCAAAAGGCGATTTTCAGACTCAATAACCATGTGTTTAGCTTCGATGACTAGTTTTGAACGTCCAGTTCTCTTGACACCGGCTAGTTGGATGCTTGGAGGAGACTAGGTGTCGTCTAAAAACAAGATGAGGAAGATCAGGTCTGTGAGAGACTCTAGAAATGCCCGAACTGCTTACACTCACGATAGAGCCTCAATTGAAAGTCGAATCATTGAAGATGACGCCCTGTTCAAGCCTAACTACTCGCCATTAGACGAGCATTCTTCTTAACAGAAGCATTCTCGAGAGGATAGATATTCTGAGGTACACAAGTCCCCGTGACAACTATACCTTTTAAAACGGACAATCTCGTCATACGAAACGATTCTAGGGGACGATGAAAACATCGTACAGATATAGTACATATATCCACACAGCTTGGAGATGGATAGAAATACCACGATGCTATTTCTCTTTCCAATGGCGAGAAAATCAACGAGAAATAAAGAAAACAGACTTGAATTGGAGCATAGCTATAACTATTGTCTATACCACACCAGCTGTAGCATGAACAAGGTTCCCAGAAAGTGAATCTAGCTCGGTTTGTGCCTTGTTCTCTCCTGACGTAGAGTTGTGGGTGAATCTGTCATAAACAGATCTCAGACAGACCGTGCGAAATTGGGTATATAAACTCTCCCACGCCCTTCCTCCCAGGTATCAAAGCTGCAAAAGGATAGCAAGGATCTGTCAGGGCGCCTGGCGAGTCGACCATGTAGCTGCATCGCCCTCTTCTTCCTCCTGAATTTTGTCTTCTGAACTCAACGTGAAGCTCGCTCAGTGCGGTATTGTTATTTGCAATAGAAACCAGACAGTTGACGACAACAACAACAACAACAAGTGAATAAAGTCAGACAGATAGACATCTTAAGACCAATGCTCTTTACCTCATCGTCTCTCGGTGAGGAAATCCAATCTGATTCCAAAGGAAAATTGTCGTCAATTTTTTGACCACTGCCACCTGACCTTCCCTAGCAAGCTCTATCAATTGTCATTCAAAAACCATGACAAGAAAGACAAACAAAATATGACAAGATGAAGCATGGGTGGCACCCGGAGGTGGGTCAAGTCTAGCTCTTTTGGCATCCATTCTCTTCTTAGCCATTTCAGCAGTCTGAAGATGAGATTTGTCTAATTGAAAAGACTAGACGCTGCGAGGAGTATATATACCCCAAATACTGGCAAAGAAAAGCTTCGAATACGCAAGGTAGGGAGAGGCGTATTTTTCAAGTGAATTGATATCATTCGCCATTCCAGAGCCTCACACTCTGACTGGCATTTTGTCAAGGAACGGCCTTAAGTATAGAGGAAGAGTAACTTTTTCGAGTGAATTGGCACCATTCACCATTTGCAACAGTCAAACCTGTCTCGCTCTAATCGTCTTAGAGGCTGCTTACGAACTATAAATACATGCCCTCGATTCGAAAAGTTTACTCGTTACGCCCGCGCAAATTCTCATACCAGCAACACACAGGTGACACTGGCGTAGAGGACATGAATGAGGTCACCTAAGGATGCTGCAATTGTGAAAGCTCGTAGGGTTTCAAACGTGAATTTCTATCTCAAGCTTCCCCAAAGTCTTGCTTTGAAGCGACAACACTCGCTCTCTCCGGTGTTGACAAGAGACGGATGATTGACAGCAGCAGCTCGATCTTGGAATGAGGACTGCTGGCTCACCAAGCTCAATATGGATGACGATTGTAATAAAGACAAACAGGCACTCGACGAGAAGTCATTAAGCCTAAGAAGACTGGGATCAAGTGTTCGAGAACCTCAAGTGCCCAGTTTCACTCCGCTAAGCTCTGGAAGCCGTGAGTTGTGGAAAGAATAGCACCATATATCATTTCCTCATTATATAAGAACAGAGATCGAAGCTTACGAAAAAGTCTTTCTTTATGTAAAGACTCTTTCGTGGTCAACACAGCGTGTCGACCTCAAATTACTTCATGAGATGAAGTGTGGAAAGAATGAGTTGCTGTACATTATTGAAAGTAACTTCAATAGCTATATCGATGGATGTACAGACATCTAGAAGACAATAAGAAAGAAGATGGTGTCTGTTAATTGTAGTAAACAGAACAGAAACGGTGCTTGATCGATCCTTGGGCGTACCCGAGTCTGTTACGCTGCAAGCTCAGGTCTGAGGCGAGGAAAGACGAAGGGGAGGCTGTTGACCTCCAGTCCGCCACTGCCGCAACCCAAACAAAAAAGAAAACATAATCGCGTGCCTCTTTTGAAAACCCGAGAACTGTTTCCAAATGATATCATTCCCCAACTTCCCTCCCGCACAGAATCCCGCCTGCACCAAGCACCTTCCCCATCCAACCCGCCACAAATCTCCACTCTACGATAGAATCTTCCATCCCTTCCACTCCTTCCTCATCCAGATCTGCCAAACTGACAAGAACTCAAAAATCCAAATTCAAATAAGCATCTTGGCCTGCGCCTCTACCGGAGAGAGGTCCTGAACAGGTAGGCAAGGAGGAAGATCTCAATACAACGTACCGAGAGCCTGGCTAGGTTCCACTGCACGCCTAAACACACAGACGCCGAGAGATCATACTCAAATGAAATTATGCGCTACTGAGCGTTGACCGTCGTATTGCACGCAAGAAGAAAGCAATGCGGTTGATCCTTGGTGGAGATGTGATGGAAAAAGTAAAATTATGGGAATGGGGAAACGGAGAAAAGAATTTCCTCGTCAGTGTTTGATTCGCAGCGCCAGAAACGGGAGAGGGAAAAGAAAGTTGACATCTGTAACCAGGAGGTCAAGATGCAACGTTCAGCGGCCGCTGGACCCTGTTCCTTGACCCCCCTTTCCACGTGAAAAGCTTCGTGTTCCCACGAGTTCCTCACTTCCTCCCACGCTCATCCCCACGTCGGTCCCGCTTGAGAACGAACTATCATATCTCACACCCGGCTTCATTCTCTATCACTCTCGTGCATAAAAATAGATCAAACATAAGCAGACTCATACATAATCTGAAGCACATATCAACGCGTCTTCTGCATCCGTCAATCACCTCACCTGCGTATCAACAACAATGGGGATTGGTAGACCGGTCCATCGGCACCGTCATTCCAGGTATCGGTCCCTTCTCGGACTCTCTACTAGTCATTCCATGAAAGCCTCTCGCCTGTTCTTGCAGCATTCGACATGCATGAGAGGAAATAACAGAAATGGGGAATAATAAGCTGTTCTGAAGCATGGGTGGGGTGAGCGAATGCGGGGAGAGACGGAACTGGGCCCACTGGTGTGATTGCAGAGGGTCGGCCCATCTTCTGGGGATTTGCACTCCGTGAGCTTCATCTAGTTTGGTAAATTTGCTCCGGGGAGAATCTCAAATCCTGGGGACATGGCCACGGGATCATTCCAGAGTCAATTGTTGAACTGAAAATAGTTACCCTCGGTCACTTGTGATTGAGGGATTTCTGGGTGACGTTGATGATTTCCCTTTTTAGAGGTAGCATAAAGTGATTTATGCAGGAACGACAGAGTGGATTGTGTGTGACCAGAAATATCCAATCAAGGAGAATTTGCTGACGGTTGAGATTGGAGAGGCTGGGTTGCAGATATTGAAAGCTGAAACGCGGTGCCGAGCGAAGAGATGAACATCGGTGGAAACCGCCCTTCGATGAAAGATAGTGTTTTGTGTGACTACTGGATATCACAACCAGAAATCCCAAGAATTTGGATGACTATTTCTGGACCTTCTGGAAGATATCAAGCCGCGTTGAAATCTCAAACTTGGAACTCACACGGCATGGGCAGAACGTGGCTTTGTCATTTGGGCTCTGTGCACCGAGTCGAACTTTTACCCGGCCTTGAAGAAGATTTCTAAGGCAAGCGGCTCGGTGGTGTACCCGTTGTCGGATCTACCTCCGGTCACTGTACCGTGGATGGACGACGCGGGTATGTAGAGTGCTGCCGCAGATAAAGCCATCATCAAACGTGTGGATGGCTTGAACAAAGTTATCGGAGACGTTACATCGCATCGAGGGCTTGCTGACGGATTTGCTCTGTGTCTGAGTTGACATTTACAGAGGAAATAAGCTCAAGTTGTGAAAAATGCGGCGCAGCAGAAGAAACTGAAATCCAAAACCATGTCGGTAGATTCAACCATATCGAGGTGCAGGTCATTCACCCGCAACCGTAGACGGCCTGGAACGGACCATGTACGCCCAGAAGAGGCCATGTCGGTCCCTGTCGTGACCAGGAGAGCTTATTGAACAACTGTAACCGAATCACTAAAAGGTACGGTCAGCTTACGGAGTGTAATCAATTGGAAATTTAGCCTTCAGCCTTGCAGAAAACCGAAGCAGTCGGCGATGAACTGAGATTGCGAACCAGGTGTGCAAAAAGGGGTCAGCCGGGACAAGCCCTAAACTTCACCAAGAGAGCTCTTGGAGGCTTGGAGCTGATATTGGGTTTCCAAGTCGCCAGCTATGCCTGACGGATGCTGACAGGAAATGGGACGGATGATAGCATATCGATATTGCTGTCGTGTATCCACGTCGTACACGAGGCTGATATGATGGATATATATTGTCGTGCTTCGGTGGGAATCCTTCTGTATGAACGCCGAACGGTAACTTTGTGGTCGAAAATATGAAACGAATGACTTTTCTGGAGAAGAATCGAATCATTCGCCGTCTGAGCGAGTTGCGAACTTGCGGGTACGCTTCGTCGAGTGCGCGATACGAAGTGCAGGTTTTGGAAGTCTTTTTGCTATGCTCTTCTAGGAGAGAAAGCCGTCCCGCGTCAATGGCGTCGTCATTTCATTATCGCTGGGACCAGGATGACTATGCTCAGATGTCTGTCAGTGCGTGTGCAGAATTGACCGTGCTTCACAGGACCGCTCTCGGAGAGTTCTTCAGAGATCAGTGCTAAGACACATCAGGAATATTGCAGATTCAGTAACTTGGCGCGTTTGATCTGCATTGCCGGTGAAGAATTTTGACATCGTGGTATCTTTGGGATTGAAAATAAGGCCACAATAATGCCTTAGTACCAGCTTATACCAGAAAGAAATGTGACATGTCGTGGCATGAACTATTCAGCAAGAGCCATGATGAGGACGATCAAACTTGACAGCAAAGTGGAAGCGTGGAGCATAAACCCCACTTCTTAGTGGAAGTCTGTCATTGTCTCACTCTATCATGATAGCGGAAAATATTTCGGTTTCGTGAATCGTGAATAAACTTTTTAGCGGTTTGAAGCCGGAACCTCCTTGTGCCGGTGTGGAGAGAGAGGACAGTGTGAGGACGGCAAGGTTTCGAAGTATGGAGTAGAGTTCACAACCGAGACGACGTTGTAGCCAAACAATGATGTGTCGTCGTGATCAGTGGATTTGTACCATAATGTCAAGGCCTTATGTTTGCGATATATGCAATGCTTCACGGGGTCCAAGAATTGATTCTATACTCAGGATAAGTCAATACGACGATCCCGCACCAACCAACGTGGTTGTTTGTAGATCTTCTGGCACAGCAGAGATTCGCGAGACTCGATGCAAGTCATATTTCCATTGATATGGAAGCCGACAAGGCGGAACGGAACAGTACGACGACGCCACCAGGCTGTTCCATCTGTGTTTTGAGGCACTTTAATTGACCTTTCTCGAAGATTGTTGGGTCAGACTTGAAGCATGAGTTTTATTTCTCCTGAAAGCTTACGCTGTGTCGTTGAGATCCATACAGCTGCTCATCACATTTGGACGTTGTTCTTGCGCTTGATAGGCTTCTTCGTTTCGACAACGTTGAACTGTGCCTTCGGGCTCTTTCACCGCCACCGACGCCATCCGTGTAGATCAAATGTTGGATTATCATCGTCGGAGAAGTCCTTGTGTCACTGTTTCCAGGTTAGCCTCTACAGCAAAAGCTGCCATGGAACAGAACAGGCACGTGCCAGCTGTTTCCTGAGCTGGACCTTGGTGTCGCCGCTCGCGGGGTCACCGCTGCATGTTCTTCTCGTTGTCGTCGGACATTGTGAGTCTGGTGCACAGGGAGAGGACTTGTCTCACGAGTTGGATCCGCGATCCATCAGGCATGACCAGCCAAAGAACACTCCGCCAGCATGAGAAAGGGCTTCGAGATCAGCCGCTAAGAGGCCCAGCCTTGCCCCTCGTTGTGCCTCTTGACGACAGCGAGGCTGTTCGTTCTCTGAGAGGTCGACGACAGACCAATTGAAACACGGCGTTCCTTCGGTCATGTTCTTTGCCTCGAGTGAACGCTGTCTGCGCTTAATCATGCAACCTCATTCGGTGGGCGCACGTAAATCATCCAACAATATCGGCAATTCCGTCACCGTCTCGAATTGCAGGAGAGCTCAGAGCAGAGCGATCCTCGATGGCAGGCAGGCACTTGCATCGGCAATAGGGCGGGTGCCTGTCCTGGGAAACATTGGTAGCGAACAAGCTGTGAATCTGTTTTTGTCTCAGCGGAAGAGAATCAGAGCGGTGCCGATTTCGAATGCAGCTTCCATGCAGGAGCGACGGTGGATCGAGGTACTGTACTGTAACCCTGAGGCGTAAAGTAGATTGGTGCAGCAGTTGCACCAAAACGGCTGCTCAACGATAATGGCTAAATTGGGAAGTCGAGATGTCTAGACATTTCCACCCGATCTGTCAATCGACTCAATCTGCCTTGAGTTGCGCATTGCATCACGCTGCCATGCCGTCCAGTGGGAAACGTGGCTGGTGATGGGGTTCCCGTTACTTGTTGAGGCCGTCGTGACCTCGGGACGTAGGTGGAAGGTCGGCCTGCTCGAGTCACGCCTTCGTAACCCGTTCAACAATATCTACCCAGGTGCGTATTTGCAGTCGAATCATCTTCATGCAGTGAGTCTTTTTTTTCTCCTGGGAAGACTTTGGCAAGCTTTGGTGCGACCAATTGCTCAGGGGAGGGGAAAGGGACCTTGCCGAGAGACGGTAGACCCGTACAGGCGTAGCTTGGCCTTTTAGCTCAAGGAACCGGGAGCGAGCGGTCTCCATTCCGTACAGCTGCAGCCATTTGACCAGACAAGCACGCGACTAAGGCATCGATCGATAACATTTGCCTCACCGTTACGTCTCTGCTTTTTCACAGACTCACAGACTCACTCACTCACTCACTCACTCACTCGCCCTCGGTCAGTCCTCGACATAAGTGGCGCGCACGCGACCGCCAATTTGCATTGAGAGACGCCTGGAAATGCGGGTGGCGAATCGGGCGTCGTGGTGACTCAGTCAGCAGCAGTACGAAGCTTTGTACCCAGCACTGCCAACAGACCACTCGAGCGAGTCCTCAGCGCGCTCAGCCCAGATTGTTGGACCGCCGTGACTGGCACAGGGATACATCATGCTCTTTTCTCTTGTCCCACCCGCGACTCTCGCGTGTAGCCGTGGCTGGCCCTTCCGACGGAGACCTCGTCGCTGGTGCTCGTGGCCCTTCTTCGCACTGCCCAGTGCCCACCGCCGCCGAGTCCACTGAGTTGCCCCAAGCAGTTTAGACCGGTCCCACCTGCCAATGCTCTTGTCGGCCACTGTTCAAGCAAGTACGGGGTACCGCCGTGACGATCGACAGAATCTGCTCGCCGTGGCCTCCCGTGCTCTCCTGGACTTACTGTACCCTGGACCCAGGAGAATGGGGGAGTTCATGGACACTAAAAACGTTAGGCCCGCTTTTTCTCTCTCTCCAGCCGACAACGGTAACCTCACTCCAGTGCTCCATAGAACTTTGCTCCTTCTGTTCCAACCCCCGTTCCTCCAAGTGGGTGTCCCACCTTCTTCTTGTCGTCTCATTGCTCCATTGATACCCAATCAGTAGCCCTAGGCTGCCGTCCCGACAACCTTTGTCGACCACCATGGGTCCAGAGACTTTCCACTCGCAGACCACACCAGGCCCTGGTGGCCTTTCGCGTCCTGGCAATGCATCTCCTTCTCCCCTGACAAGCCACTTGACAAGGTTCTCATTATGCTCTTCCCTGGGTGGCTTTCCCCAGCAAATATCTTCTATGCTTGTCCTCGTACTGGATACCTTGACTGGTTCTGGCTCCTCATTTATTATCTCACTCTTTCCCGTCACGTCGAAATCTCTTTTGGCGACTCTCCATATTCACATTGACGTTCAGATATTTCATACTCTTGTCAATGGCTTCATGAACTTTCTATACTCACCACGGGCCCACGCACCACATAGCGTCGAAACAGTCTGCTCGGATCTTCTAATCCGCAATCGATTCTAGTCCCGTCGAGTTGATCAGTATACTTTTGTCCCGGGACCCCGCATACCTCAGAAGCGCGCCGTTACAAGTACAACGCACTGCTACTGGTTTCTTTCCGATCTGCAGCATCTGTTCTGTGCATTGTGTCTAAATATCAAAGTTATGTCGAATACAACGACAGTCGCAGGACAGGGCCTATGCCCAGCCCCATTCTTACAAGCTGATCTTTTTTCCACGACGGGTGGCTGTAAGTTTGAATCATTATGACCCCTCTGATCTAGTACTTACATACATACAGTTGTTGAAGGAAGATTTTGTTCTGCTATCTTGGGACCAACATGTTGCCTACCATGTCCACAGACCGAATGGTTATACCCAGACAACTTCAAAACAATAACAGACTCGGCCAGTTGGGTCAATGTGGCTAGCATGGCGTGTTCGGTATTCTTGGTTGTATCTTTTGCTGTCCTCCCAATCGAAAAGACACACCGGCATTACCTTAGTGTCTGCTTGGCTATTGGAGTGACGTTGATGCAGGTATGTTGATGTCATGTTTTGTTCTTGCCGTTGGAACTCACTCCTTGATAGCTCGGATTTATTATTCCCCTGGGCGCGAAACCAAACCCGTGTTATAATTCCATCACACCAAATGACCAGGACACCAACAAAACTTGCGCGTTTAGTGGTGCCTTTCTAATTGCAGGAGGATGGTGTGGTGTCATGTGGGTGTTTCTAAGAGCTCTAGCATTGCATCTTCAGATCTGTTGGCAAGTTGTCATCGGCAAGAATTTCATGTGGGGAGCATTGGCCGCTGGCTGGGGCATACCTGCCATTGGATTGACTGTTGCCATGGTGTTCAGTGGGGTCTCTTTTCGATTCGGAGACACCTGTCACATCAACCACAAGAACAGTCTCGCGGATTTATGGATCCCGTTGTTGATCTTTGCTGGTGTCACGGTCATCATCCAATTTGGTACTTTTGGATACTGCATCAAGGTCTACCTGGCTTCTCTTACGGACGATTCGACCACAACCAACAGTTCAGGAGTTCGATCATACAACAACAGTCTTCGAGGTACAATCTCACCTCGACAAGCTTATCGAAGGATTCGTCGCGTCATCGAACTTCAATGGAGAGGGATTGTCATTGTGTTACTCATTATTGCGGATGTCATCTTCTTTGCTGTCGTCTTTGTGTTCATGGACGATCTCGAAACGAATATTCTCAAAAATCCTACAAAGTCTGAAGATTGGTTGGCATGTCTGGTTAAGACAGGAGGAGACAAGAACGCCTGCCTCAGCTTTGCTAATTCCCTTGTTGTCAATGAAGCTACCGTCATGTCGGTGCTCATTCTACTATCCGTAAGTCTATTATGCTTGTCACATTACACGTCACTAACACCTTCAGTTGAACGGCGTGTGGTGCCTTCTTCTCCTCGGTCGGTTTTCCATGTTCACAGGCTGGTACGAAATGGTCATGGGCAAATTCCGACCCAACAACGAATTCGTCAGTGCCGACGTCCGAGCCTTCAAAGATCCCAGGGACTACGAAATGCTCAGCCGCGATCGCGAAACGGGCAAGACCCCTGAACCATTAGTATCTCAACCTATTACACCATTATCACCTTCGGTTGCAAAAAGCGGCCGAGAAACCCCAGATTACTTCTCAAGAGAAGCACGATATCAACCACCAGCACGATCATTTTCGAATCCAAAACCACCTCAGGGTCACGGTTGGGACCCGACAGCTACGCAAGCGAGGCCGTACATGTATCCGGGAATGGATCCTCTTTCTATGAATAAGATATGAGCACTCACGTGCGGCGGTCATCTGTTTTGAATATCTTTTTGCGAGCATTTAGCGTTTTCTTGTGTGAATATTTCACTTTATATGATATCTATGGTGTATGGGTGGGCGCCTGGTGTCATGGCTGGTTCGGGACAGGCATAATGAGATGAATTGGTGTATTACAGTGGGAATTGGGAGGAGAATTGGATACTGTAGGACAACAAGGTTGGAAGGCCGAAGTGGGAAGGACGGAAAAGGACGGAATGGAGGATCCTGCATGTACAGCAGTCGAGAGATATCCAAAAAGGGCTTAAGGAAGTCTAGAATGAAAAGCTCTGTATGTACCAAAGACATAATCAAAGCACGAAGCTCTCCGAGCTTGAATCAAAATATTCTCAAAACACACACACAAACCTCGATTTGTGACAAGCATCTCTTACATCTTTAAAGATGTTTCAATTCATGCGATGCGATGCGACCCGCAGGCACAGCACAGCAGATAACCACAGACAATACTGCCGTTGCTCCCGCTGTCGATCTTCTCTATCTTCTGTGCGACTGAGTTTAACAGAACCCCGTCATGACGAACCCAACGTCTTCATGCAATGCAATGCAAACCAAACCACATTCTTTCTGGTCCTACATACCCACAGACAACCTATAATTACACCTTCTATGTACAGCACATCTCCAGGTACCCCGCATCCCACCCACCAGACCTTGCGGGGTACTAGCACGCACACACCCAACCCCAACACTGCGCGTCCGAGGCCCAAACATGTGAAGAAACTCAAAATTGCACACTACTTGGATTCCGATACCCTTCTGCGTTCTGCTGCAGAAAAACCAACCTCTAGCACGAAACCCCGGAATTCGGCGCAAAGAGAAAAAAAAAAACCTTCACCGAACGTGTGAAACACATCGGGCGGATGATCTACGTTAGTGCTGGAGGCCTGGACGGACGGGAGGATTCCCTTTTTTCTTTTCGTCTCCGAGGTTCTGAGCTGGGGTTGTTACACGAGATAAGGGCCGATTGGGAAACAGCTCGTTAGTTAGTAAGGAAGAGGCACACGAGCAGTTGCCTGATTGAATCGCTGGCTGCCAGAGCTGAGAGAGGGATGGGTGTGACGAAGTTGTTGGGAGTTTCTGTTAGTGGAACGAACCCCTTTTTTGTTAGGGGAGCTGATTCGTGTACCTGGCGGATGGGAGGGTATGGTTAGGAGGAGGCTAAAATATTACGTGGGAGCGGAGGGAGAGAATTTTTGGTGGGGGACACGGAGAGATAGTGTGAACTTTCTTGGAGGTAGGAGGACGAGTGAGTGTTTGAAGTGGAGGGCAAAGTTTTGGAAGGTGTAGAAGTCTGGATTTTCGTGGGTTGTTTTTGAAAGTTGTAGCTGGTCTTCAAGTTGAAGACGCACATTCTCCTGAATTTCTGTCGTCTTTCGGGCTTTACTAACAGCTTCACTCATTGTTCTTTGTCTTTTCAATTCTTGTACTCCTTGATGTTTCGGATCTCTGTACGAGTCGTAATGCTGGCTCTCCGCTCCTTACTTCACTTCATTGCGGCACGGCTGACTTCGCACTTGAACCGGTATCGCAGATGCTCTGCCGACATATTTTCACTCCTCTATCACTTCTCCATCTTTATCTTACCTTCTCGATCTCCCACCTCTCGTTCTGAATATATCTTCATCCCGTTCTGCGTCTTTACTGTCCTCTCAACTACGATTTCAAACCCCCTGGGCAGCTGCAGGCTTCCCAATTGTCACATTCAGTGATTTCATACCCCGATTCCACTCGAGCTTGAGAAGGAGAAGACCAAAACATACTGCATTTTCAATAAGTTCGCCAATTCATGGCTCTTGCAACCTTGCTCGATTCAATCTCTTCTGCAGCACTTGCATCTCACTGGAATATGCGATGTAGCAAATCGTGATAGGTAAGTGTTTCTTACTTTGGGCCATCATAGTCGAGGTAGATCTAAATAGCAGGAGATGCAGCTGGTCACTTTGGTGGCAAAACTCACAAGCAACGTCCATGGGATGTCAGCTCATGATTAAGAAGCGGAAGATCTTGAATAGCCAAGGGCGAGAAGATTGAAAGAAATGTGACTACACTTGAAGAAGAACAAAGCTTTCCAGCATCAACTTAGAGAAACATCGGTTCCGCCTTGGATTGTCAGACATGAAAGCCTCAAAGTCCAGCAAATCTTAGGACTTCCGCAACAGATAAATTAGACCGGACTGCAAGAAATGCATCAAAACCAATATAATATTACAATCGAATCCGCTCTCAACTTAGATATTTACACCATGAAATTCTCTAAAGTGACGGATCACATATTTCATTCGATTGGCGAAAAGTGAATAATTGCAGAAGCACACGACAATTTTCATTTTAACACGAATTTGATTCAGGGCTTTCACTGACGAGTCCAAAAAGGTTTGGTAAACATCGTTCCATAAAGTCGCTAACTAGCAACTTAACGTCGAAAGTCCAAGAGCTCCTGGATCTTTCTCTAAGGAATTTCTAGAAAGTGAAATCCATCTGGCAAGCATATATGCCACAAGAAACAATATAAAATTGCAATGGAAAGAAGTTACCGTCCATTATCACGAGATTACTTAAGTGCCAGGTGTCGGCTTGTCACGGAAGGTTCCCGACGTTCGTTCATTCATTCATTCATTCATTCATTATGATCGCTGTTTTGTGGCTTAGTTTTGCGCTGGTAATGCAGAGTCTGCCAATTACCAGCTTAATCTTTAATCTAACATGCAAGCTCCCTCCAAACCCACGTCTCGAATCTCCTCCCATTTCCCCATGAAAAACCTGACCTGCGCAGCATACATGAAGACCAGGCGATGTTGCAGATTCGGCTGTCAGTGCGTATTAGTATGCCGGCTGTTTTGATAACTCGGATCATGTAATCAATGTCCTCTCGTTGCTGAATGTCATCGTGGCTGGAGCTGAATGCCGACTTGCGGACCTATGGACCTCCGTTCATGGCATACGAGACTACCAACACTCTCAGACATTTCTGCAGCCTCAATACTTTCTTCATAGACTTGTATGTCCTTATCGAACTAACTCAAGTGGCTCATTGATCGAATTTATCGTTTCGAGGATGCGTGTTTTCGATGTGGCAGCTCGAATGGCTGTAGCTGGACTGACATCAGCACTAAGGGCGCACGAGGGCACTGGTAGAACATTTCTCCCGTGTATGCTCGCCGATCTGACTAGCGTCGACCATCTCTCATATTGCGGGCAAGCAACAGGATCTCGAATGCATGGACGCTGTTTATGTGTTTTGAGACCTCGCCCGCTCGAAGGGTTGGCGACCCATAAAAACATCTCAAACGTAGAGTTCGATGCTTTCATCGTGCAAGTATCACGCTTTTGGAAGTCCATGGCCGATCGGGACTTTAGACCAAACCCTGGAGCTCTTGAACTCGTAAAGAGTAGAGGACATCTTGGCAGTGTGCATGGCAGGTTGTGAATTGCAGACGTTTCAAGAGGTTCGGTTCTTTACTCCGGCTTGATAGGCTAGCTTTGCGAAGTTGAGACAGATTTTCGACATGTATCCTCATTGCTGCTCGACTCTTCTTGATGTTGGCGGTGTCGCAGAATGCACATTTCCAGGTGTCAAGCCGTTGGATGATCTTGACGACGGCGTGGTTGATTGAAGCAGCAATAGCTTTGGACTTGGAAACATTTTCATGTAGTGAGCAAGTGATTCCAGTGTCATCTGACCTCAATCAACCATGAGCGGTTTTGTCCGCCAAGAGGTAGGTTCTCGAGCAACAACTGAGTTAATTTTGACAGACAGTGGCTAGTGGTATCAGATGGTACATCTCTACAACTGATAGTTAGCAGTGATTCTCGATTTCGAATTTGGCCCACTTACTCTTTGCATGCAATGCCTGTCAGACCATGAGGATAGCTGGCGTAATAACACTCCTCGCAGAACCGACGCCAATCTGCACGTCAAGGATCATCGTCAGAACATGCCAGCTGTGCTTGAGAGTCTGGTTGAATGTCTATATTGCGAAATGTTATTGACAGAGCAGCAATTGTAATTCCACGGCGTTGGGGATTGAAAGTCGGCCAAGATGAAGACTGGAAGCGAAATGCTCGCTCAAGAAGCGGAAGCTCTTGCCTCTCTAGGATACATAAAGGAGTGAGTTCCGAGTAAGGAAGCATGAGAAGCCGCACAAAGTGTGCCACAGATTTGAGTAGCAAGAGCGATGAAAATTCTTTATTGATATGAGCCGGCGGTATGCAGGGCTCCTTCCAGACTGCGTGTGATGTTGTTCCTGGGTACAAGCGGTCATGGTATTATGTCGATTGCGGACGGGATGTTGCCTTGAGTCGTTGAGAACTCAACAGCCATATTCAGTCGTAGTCCATTCTCACTGGGAATTGAAGGTAGAGAAAGAAGGACAATTGTATGGAAGCTTGCTGGACTAGGTGATGAATCTGCAGGCATGAGTATGAGATGGCAATTCATTTCTCCCAGACGCCATGGCGTTCTTGAGACTTGTGAAGCTGGTATGTAATGTCAGGCTACCGAACTTTGAGCAAACGTCCAGGAAAATTGAATACCAAGCGATTAGAACTGGAACTAAAGTTAGTTAAATCCGCTTACACAAGGAGCAGATCTGAATACATACAGAAATAAGTCCTGAATTGAGGAGCATGAGAAACCTGCACACTTCGAGTGGCAGCAGAATGTTGCGTTCGTGGACATTGCGCGATTCGGAAGCGACGCAAGATTGAAAAGGTGAATGTTCAGGCAAAGGACGGAAGATTCAAGGCCACTGACACATCATCGTGCAAACTGGTCGCATTGTGAGCTTTAGGGATCCGGAAGGGAATGGAAATCGCAGCTCTGAATGCGGAGGTGTTGGAAGTGCGAAGGAGGAAGTAATCGTCATGCAATTTGACCGCATTGTAGTTGTTCGAAGGTTGGAGAGAAAATGCCAACACGATAAACATCTTCACGCATCGATGTCCACATTGGCGATCAAGAGTGCTCGTTGATCTGTTGGAGATTGTCGATTTTTCTCAAATATGTGAATTTCGAGATTTGTGAAAGTGAAAGTAAAAGCAGGTCCAGCACAACCGCCGGACCGAGTGACAGTCGTAACCCGTTGCAAAATGCCACGGGATCAAATCATGGGATAGTGCCCAACTGTCGGGGTCCACGTTGGCGATCGAGGGGGCGTCTTGTCGATCTATGGGATATTGTCGATAGAAGGAGTCGGTGATGAGAGAGAGAAAGAGGGTTTGGTGGTCGCGTCGCGTAGAGTTGAAATTGAAAAAAAAAGAGTATTCGCGTGCAGAAAAGTAGTAAAAAAGGTCCAGCACAACCGCCGGAACGGGGTAGCTAGTCCAAGAGCACCGGCTCGCCCCAGGGGTCCACATTTGCGATCGAGAGGGCCTCTTGTCGATCTTTGGGAGAAGGTCGATTTGTGTGAAGTGTAAACATGAGTTGGCCTGACGGTGTTCCCATAACTTCACATCCACATTGGCAATCGAGATAGGTACTCTTCGATCTATGGGAGATTGTCGATGATCAGGCTCCGGCGGTCGGACATCCTTCTCGGCTTACGCCTTTGATCAAGAGCAGAATTGCAGTGATCGACTTTGGGGGGTTTGTTTACGAGAGCTTACGCTCTCGCTCGTACCATCTCATTCGAGCTTTCTGGTACTAGGGTCCACACTGGCGATCGCGAGGGAGCGTGTCGATCTGTGGGAAGTTGTCGATTTTTTTGGATTTTTTTGTTGTGTGTAGAAAGAGGAGAGGAAGAGGAACGCATGGTGGTATATAATTTTTTAGCGCGTTGCAATTTTAGCGCCATAAAAGTGAAAGCGAATATCAAACTTTTGGCGAAGAACTTCGAAGGTGATCTGACTTATGCTACTCGCACAATACAACTGATGATTGTTAACGAAAAGCAGCTACTATCGAATATCAACGCATACCAAAGACAATAGGCCACTGCAGTTTTTCGGGACAGGACGGCTTAGAAGCTAGGAAGCATCGCAGACACAAAATGAAATGTGATATGAGAACATTAAATGCTACTACAGTAGTCTTCTACTATTTATAGAGTCTGGTCTTGTAGACTGGAGTTAACTTGATCATTCTCAAAGTAGATGCGAACACTTCAGATTTGCAGCCATAACCTTTAATGACAGGCAGAATCTCGGGGCTTGAGAAGGTTGCCCAGATGACTTTGATAAATCGGCCTCCAAAGCACTTCATATTTCGGCAATGTCCAAGGAGTTGACAGGTTGAGAATATAATTTGAGAGACTCAAGATGATTGTCGTCGTTTGTTCACGGCCCCACATGAGCACCCTGCTAGTGAGACACAGTCTTAAACCATGTTCTAACTGTCCTATGCTTAAAAAATCAATCATTGTTACTTCGTGGATCGAAAGTAGAGGAGAAAAAATACACTGCTCGAGCTACCCAGAAAGTCCTGCAGGATTTAAATGAAATTTCTACTTGCTAGTCCTTATTCGTGCCGCATGATGAAATACAATATTGTCAAGTTCGCTTATCGCACACTTGGATCTCGCTAAGCAATAGGCTGTAAAGGCAGTTGAAGAAGCGAGAAGGGCCAAAAAAAGGTTTGAAATCCACATCTAGATTGAAGTATCACCAAAGAAAGCAACTGGCATTTCCCTGAAGATAAAGCTGAGAGGGGCAAAAAGGTGTACACATTACACATGTACTGTAGTTCTATACTCCAGGTCTTACGTAATCATCAGTATAGTTACTTCATAATTAAGGATTTGATACTCACGGGTGTCGAACCCACGACTTTCGCATTTCTTCATATTAAGCAGTTGCCCGCAGAATATAAGAACGACACGCTAACCACTCTATGCACAAAATTAGCCTATGATTTAAATTCATGGGCAGTAACGATTTAACTTACGCGTCACTGGAGTTTGGCATGTTTGAATGAAAATTTTGCTTATTTAACTTTATACGACCTTTAACAAATTTCGGCCGAATCAGGACTAGTGTAGCCTGCGTCATAAGGCTACGATTTTTACACTTTGAATCACGGAAATGTCACAAGCATCATAAGGTCTTTTACGACAACATGGCCGACCCCGTCGATGAGGAGGATGATTACATGAATATGGTCATCGCAGAACCGTCCAAGCCCAAAGAAAAAGAAACCTACACCCAACGTCGCCTGCGCAAAGAGCGCGAATCTGAAGCTCGAGGTAGAGTCAAATCAAAAGCAGAGCAGGAAGCAGATGAAGCTGCAGCTCGTGAAGCTGCACTCTCAAAATCACTACTCGAAGATGCCTCTGCTACTAAGAGCAAGGGTCTTGCGATGATGGCAAAGATGGGCTTCAAGCCTGGCGTCGCATTGGGAAGTAAGGACAATATCGATGCCCGGACTGAACCTATTCACGTCACAATGAAAGAGGACCGAGGTGGAATTGGCTTGGATTCGGAGAAGAAGAGAAAGTTCCGGGAGGAAGTCGAGAAGGAGGGCAAGCGGGTTAAGGCCGAAGAAGGAGAATACAGGGATCGAGTAAGGCAAGAAAGAGAAGATACCAGACTCGAGGGCATGGTTGGTGCAGTTATGAGAGTTGCAGAACGCATGACGGGAGAAAGAGAGGAAGACGCAGAGGATGAAAAGAAAATATCCACCAAACCTCTCAAGCAGATTAATGTCTTGTGGCGAGGACTGATCCGAAAAAGGGAAGAGAAAGAACGGGACAGGAGGATGCGTTACGATCTTCATCAAAGTCTCTCACGACTACCTACATACGACGATCCCGATGAAGATGCGGATGACAAGAGAGCTTTGGGCAAGGATAGGATCCAGCATACTCTTGTGGAAGACCTTGAAGAAGAAGACCCCGAACTGGACGAGTTCAATGCATTGGAACCAGCAGAACGACTTCACAAGCTTGTCTTGTATCTGAGAGAGGTATTCAATTACTGCTTTTATTGTAAATTTACGTACCCGGACAAGGACATGGAAGGTTGTCCTGGTTTAACAGAAGAAGATCACGATTAAAAGGTTATCGGTGCTTAGGAATGATACCCAATTTGAATTTGAGGAGATCAGGTTACTATTGTACACTTGATTTATACATCGCTCTCGCTCTCCCACGGCTTACACTCTGGCACCCCCATCTGCTTAGCAGCTCTTCGACACGCTTCGGGAGCCGCTTCGAGTTCAACACCCGTGACTGGTTTATGCTCATACCCGTATCTGAGTAGTTGGGACAATAGCAGCAAGGTTTCTTCCAACTTGACGTCTCCTTCGAGACCTTCAAAGTCGATGCCTTGTTCACTCAAGACTTCGACCCTGTGCTCCCTGAGAGATGCAAGGGCTTGTGTAACAACGTGAATTCTTCGTTGAGTGACCTCTGCTTTCACGTTTAGTCTTCGACTTGCTGAAAGTCCAGCTTCGTTCATCAAGCCTTGACGAGCGATTTGGAGAACGACTGCTCGAGCTGTGACCTCTGTTGGAAAGTTGCCAAAGAAAAATTGTAACGCTCTTAAAGCCACAGCGGTCCCAACTTGATCCTTGTGCAAACAGAAGCACAATATCATTGTTTGATAAAGGTCATTTGGAATGGGACCCTTTTGTGATTTCAAGTGGTACACCATTTCTTTAAACATGGTCCTAGGCTGGACTAATTTGTAGGGATTCTTACTCCGAACGCTTACAGGATCGGAGTCACGAGCCATCATTTCCCATAAGATCTGGTATGTATCGAAATTGGGCCGCACAATGCTGCCGGCTGATTTCGTAGGATCCGTCAAGGAACGATATGTGTTCAGAGCCCACAACGGCGACTGCGCCTTCATGTCAGTCATAAGCAACTGATTCATGAAACCAACATTTGGCTTAATCCGAGCCTCTGTCAGAGCTTCGAACAGGCTGGGTATAAGGGAGTACTTTTGTCGTTGCCTATACTGCTCGAGCAGTATTTCGAATGTTTCAATAGTTGCATATGAAACCAGGTTGACGGGTCTGGAATCTGGTTTGTCTTCGGAAATGACTGGACGAATTGGGCGTTGAAGTCTTTCTGTACTTAATTTCTGGTCGCGCAAAGCAACCACGTTCTGTCTTTCTCTGATCATCTGCCAAGCAAGAGCATCCGCCTTCTCGCGATACTTCATATTCCCTTTGCGGTACCAAGCACCAATCAATCCATTCGTGGAAATAGAGCTAGGGCGAATTCCATGATCCTGCATAAGATGGAAAACTTTTTCGGCAGACTCAATTTCTCCGTCGCCAATAAGCTTTTTCATCCAGCTGGCGAAGAATACACGGTTATTGAGACGTGCTGGAAGTCTGTCCACGACCTTAAAGTCCTGCCAGTCAAGTTCCGACGGTAGTATCTTGAGGGAGCTTAGAATAGCGGACCTTCCCACACCGTTCGTATAGCGACTGATAGAATCTCGATCCGCTCTTCTAGCATCACCAGTGAGCATCATGTCTTTGAATACCGATAATGCCTGCTCTCGATGATTGGCTTCCATGAACATTGAGATAAGTGAGTCGTAATCTTCCATGGTAATTTTCGCTCCAATATTGAACCTCAAACGAATGTACAAAGCCCATGCGCGTTGCATAGAAGACTTGTCGTCCGACCTGAGAACGGCCCCAATTATAGGAAGCAATAAACGGAAATCGGTAGGATCTTTTGTGTGGTCAAGGATATTCTCCGCACAGCTGATAGCACGGTCAATCAAACCGTGGCGACAGAACATTCGGGTCCCAAGATCCCAATACTTTCCACGACTGCTTGACTCCGCCAAATTCCGGCCCATGAACTCCCACGTTTGAATGGCACTGGCTTGGTCGGCTACAATGAAGGTAGCTTCAATGTACAGCAGTCGTTGATCTAGACGCATGTGCACTCCAGCTTTCAACATGTCGTCTCCTAGAGTTTTAAGGTGGAGTAGTCGATCAAGGTTATGGACATCTTCCAGCCCAAGTATATCCCACAAGGCTGCCCAAAATCTCAGAGGAACTAGCTGTGGAGAGGATACCAGAGCACTGCGACACATGGCATATGATCTCCAAGTCTTCCGTGTTCTGATGGCATCGTCGGAAAGAGCAGATTCAAGCCGTGACCGCCTACGCAAAGGTCTCTTGAAAGATGACCCTTCTGCACCAGTATGGTAAACACACTTCTCAAGGCCCCGAAGATACGTATGGCTTCTCGTAGGAAATGAAGAGATAGGTAGAACGGGAAAGTTAGTTTCGTTAGAGCCTCTGTTGCCTCCTGGCACTCTGCTCTCCGGTTGATGGGGGATTGGGGGACTTTTGTCTGCACAGCCGTGTTAGCAAGAATAGTCACATAAGAAGGCGTTTTTCATGCCTTTCTTCACGGATCCAAGTAATCCTTCTCTTAACCGCACACGGTCTTCTTCAGATAGATTTTCTAGATCAAATGAATTGATCAAATCCATCTGAGCTTGAATATCCTGATTATGTGCTGCCATTGCTGTCAAGTCCTTTTCGATTTCGGCAGGATCCGGGAAACCCTTCAGAGGATCTTCTTCTTGTGTATTCGCTAGGGTGCCATGTAGTATATCCTGTAGATCCTGCTCGTCCAAATCGTACATAGTCTTCCCAGTCCTTTCCTCTAGCTGCCTCAGTTGTTCTTTCACAGACTCTGTGAACTCGGCGTCATCGTCGTCTTCTTCATCCTTAAGCTCCGTGCGGACACCATCTCGCGTCTGCTCGAAATATCTGACAGTGCCATGGGGCAAATCCCATGCTCCTTTTCGTCTCTTCGGTTTATCATCGCTGGCATATGTTCGTGTTACCCATGGTAATTGCTGTCGTCGAGGTGCCCGTAATTTGGACAGACATGATTTACACACAAAGCCTCGGAGTCTAGGTGACAGGAGATGTTGTGGAGGCGGCATAAGTGTTCATGAAAATGCTGTTTGTTGAACTCGGACACCCGAACTTTTTTTTTGGAGAGAACATTTTGGCGATGTCATCCCGCGCTCTGAACGCGTCTCCCAAAAGCATCCCCCAGAACCAAATGTCCGATCACGAAGACGACAACAGCCATGCAGGCTATCATGACACTGATCATCAGGTTGGATTGCTCATGCGAATCAATTGGCAGTAGCTAATATCAGATATAGTCCGCATATGTTTACATACCATCAAATGCTGTCGCAAATGAGCCTACGCGACCGTCCAAAAGGCGCAAAATAGGAAAGCAGAAAAGCTCAGATGAGCAGCCAGGAGACCCTACTACCTTAGAATTCGATGCTCTACTCAATGGGAAAGAAACCTCGGAATGGATACAGCGACGACATGAGCTTTACGTACGAGCTTGGTCTCACACAGAATCGCAGATTCAAGTAAGGATGAATCTAGACAATGTTTATCGATGTAGCTGATCAAGTGTGCAGTCTATCCTGGATGAAGCAAACGAGGACACTCTTCAAGATGTCACTAAATTTGTGCAAGAATCAAGCCAGGAAAGATTTGACCAGACAGAAACAATTCCTTCTGGCTTCATCATCACTGGCCCCAACATTGCGTCTCAAGGCCTACTCTTTGACCAGTTGTCTGCTCGTCTGAGAGCTGAAATACATGGACCGGCAGTTATCTTACGCTCAGGGGATGCTCCAAACTTGAAAGCCGTGTTGAAAAGAGTCATTCGAGACGCTACTAATCAAAAGAACAACTTAGAAGACGATGATGAAATCAGCTCGGGTCTTGGTGTAAGTCGGACACCACCTTTGAGAATATTTTTTAAAACAATAAATAGGGGCGAAAACTGCTTAACTACGACCTCGAAGTACTTCATACGTTTGTACGAGCTCAAGGAAGTCAAGCAGTTATTGTGGCATTTCAAGACAGTGAAGCATTTGATACAAGCTTGATTACAGATCTAATAGCTCTGTTCAGGTTAGTCTGATTGCATCAATTTCCATATCTGGAGCTGACATGCCTAGTTCCTGGAGTGATCGCATACCCTTCGTTCTTCTGTTCGGTATTGCCACCTCGCTGGATCTCTTCCAAGAAAGACTGCCAAGAATAGCAAGCAAGTCACTTCGTGGAACGCAATTCGACGTGGAGCAGACCAGTTCACTAGTAGAGAGGATGTTTAAGAAGATTCTTGCAGGCGGCAACGCTCCATTGCGTCTCAGCCCTTCGCTCGTAGCCAGCCTGGTCGAAAGACAACAAGAGCATGCCCAGAGCGTACAGTCTTTCACAGCTGCTCTCAAGGTTGGTCCGGTGAGGAATCATTATTGGAAGAATACTAACTTTGCAGTACTCCTATATGTGCCATTTCTTTGCAGATGCGCTGAGCATTCTGACTCCTGTCTTAGGTGCCTCACCGTCTCTCGATCATTTGCAGCCTGAGCATTACGAGGCTGTGCGTATGCTTCCATCTTTCAAATCTCATATCAAGAGTCTAGTGGAGACACAAGATCTTGATCGCGTTGTGGATTTGCTAGAGGACGACACCATCCTCCTTGATGAGCTTGAAGCATGTCTCTCGAACAAGCCAGTCTTACATCTCCTTCGAACTATGAGCGTAATATCAATATCATTACCCGATCCGGTCTCAAGCATTGATCTGTACATGGCAACCTTCGACGGAACTCTTAGAGACTCGGACTTTGTGGATCGGATTCTTGAGTCAACCAAGCGAATGGCTCCTGATGAACTGGTGTCATTCCTGCAGAGAATCTGTGGTGTTGTCCAGGATGGGAGCTCAGAGATGGACTTAGATGGTTGGGCCGATGAGGACGAAGAATTTCTCGCAGAAATCATTAGTTTCCAATCGCAAGCATCGGACTTGGCTAATGAAGCTTCGAAGACGGGAAAACCCATTCGCAGTAGCTATGCAATCAGAAGCCAGGGTTTACGAACGACAGTGATTGCACAGAGAGTTCAATTAAGCTACGAAGACTCGACACTTTCTCAGCAAGATAAGCAATATACAACTCTTGTCGACAAGTTAAATGATCGGTTGAAGAACTACTTTGATATTGGGAGTCCTCAGGAGATCTTCCTTCATGAAGTCTGGCTTTACGATTCCATGTTACCATATCGTGAGGTCTTCACCCCAAAGCCGCGCGCAACGATCGAGCGTGCGCTCTCTGCGCCATACGACTATTTGAAGTGCGAATGCTGTGAATCAGTAGAAGGCTTGTCGTCCACCCATCCTGCGACTGCGATCCTTTACCAGATGTATCTCGAGACCTGCTCTCTCATCAACGTCTTCGATTTATGGTCAGCATTTTTTGAAATGGTCAGTGGAGGCGACGAGCAAAAGATGGAGGAGAGAGATGCCCTCGTATTATTCTACAGCGCTTTAGCAGACTTGAAGTCGTTAGGTATGATCAAACCGAGCAAGAAGAAGGCAGATCACTTGGCAAAGACGACATGGAAAGGACTTTGATAGAATGTACAATACCAGAATCCATGGAGCATCGCAAAATATACACATGACAAACAACAAATACATCAGAGTTCCAAACCATCATTGTAAGCAAGCCACCCAAGTGCGTGTCTTATTCAAAATGCTTCCTTCCCCGAAAGTTCATGAAGTCCGATCAATACCGTCTCATCTTCCGCTTGAATATCTCATCCTCCTCATCTCCCCACCTCCTTTCTCTGACATCCTTCCCAATCTCTTCTTCACTCTTCATCTCTACCGGACTTTCACATCCTCTCAACCCGATGAACCTTCCAATCCGTCTCCGTTTCTCCTCCAGTGTAGCATCAGTCCTCCATTCTTGATGTACAGGACAAGGATAGTGTCTCGTGTACACACTTGGCGTCCGTTGGTGGTAGAAGTGCGCTAGGTCGCCTAGTTGCTCGGATGTTAAGAGCCAGAAGTTGAGGAGTGTTGTCGGGAAGGAGGGATGGACTTCTCCTGTTGTGAGTCTGACGAGGGGAGCGAGTGGTAGTGCCATTTGTTGTATTTTGGCGGCGAAGAGGGGGTTGTTGGCTCTTCTTGAAGGAGGCATCGTAGATTTGATTTGTTGAAGTCTTTGGTAAAATATGAGGTATCAGTTGTTTGGGATAATCGTTAAGAATGCGAGTTGGGTTGCTATGTACGAATATAACGTTGTACGTGTGGGTATATGTATGAGAAAATGGGCTTATGAGATGAGTACAGTCAATGAGAGTGTGTGAATATGTTGTTTCAACAGCTGCCAGCAGCCTGTGAGGAGAGACTTGAAGACGAGTAATGAAAGAAGAAGAACGGGCCGCAATGACTTTGACTTGACGATTCCAGACATTGAGAGAAAGAAGAGAAGAGAAGAGCTGGAACGAGAACAGACGGCCTTTTGTATGATGGTTGCAGGCTTTGAGGGAAATCATCCTTTATGCCCGAGGAGCATATGCCTTTGTTAAACTCGAAATGTGGGGTTATAGTGCACTATTTCGGGATGCTCGAGTTCTTTGTGATTGTGATAGAACTTTAAGTCTCACTTGAGTTCTTTGAGGCTCTATGAGCACGTACCGCATTTCTTTAAAGACATGGGATTTTGCCACATAAGGAGCCTGGACTTTGAGCAAGGAAGTATCATGAGGTAGATAAGACTGAAAATTCGAGGAGCTATCAGCGTTATGGGATAGTTTAAGTGGGGCTGGTCTGAGAATGAAGACTTAAAAAGTGACTTATGTGATGTCGAATTCAAAAGCTATCAACTCTGCTGATCCGCATATCTTACAGATGCGGTATTCCATGCGCCATAACGCCCATATTTACCGTCCCAATGCATCATTTTACAGAAGCTGCCACCCGTACTGGAAAGACTCATTTCTTGCCCTTCTTCTTTCTGATGCTTCCTGTTGCTGCGGGACCACCGCCTTCAACAAGAACTGCATCCTCATCGCTTCCGGGTTTGCTGGCCTTGGCTGCTGCACCTGATTCGCCATCAAGCTCCTTCATGAATTCATCTTGGATCGACGCGCGCCTGGTCTTCCACCATTCCACCTCGGCCTCTGTTTGTGACTGAATATCATCCAGCTTTTGACGGAACATCGTGTTGGCTGCCATCTCGTTTGCAGATTGGAAAATCGTAGTGCCCCAATTCGGTGTAAGAGCATTTGCCTCCATAACTACGTCTTTAAGCTCTGCTTCCATCTCTTGCTCGGCCCTCAAAAACCGTTGCCACAGTGCATCTCCAACGCTGCCACGCTGTAGCAGTGTACTGCATGCTTGCTTTGCCGTTCTGATCTGAATTATTCGGTGGATGTCTTCGACGGCTCTTCTCAGGAGCGCAGCTCGTAGAACACTGTCCGGTACATTGGGAGCTTTCTCTTGCCCTTCAGCTGGCTCAAGATGAAGAAGTGAGAGGTAGATATTCCGTTGCATATGTGGAGGAAACCATGGCGCAAGAGTTGCAGATTGTGCTGCAATATCAATCAGTATATCATCTTTCTGCTGGGGATATCCATACTAACCAGCTTTCCGTTTTCGATAAACCGAAGAAAATGTGATCAAAGAGCCCACTAAAACCCCAATGTATCCAAATGCCATTGAGAGCCCAACCCAGTCAATTTCGAACATGGTGGGCAGAATTTAATGCGTCCCTGGATGTCCTGGCTGAGACCGGTGATGGTGTTTCTGGGATATGTATTAAGTAAGAGCGTGCGGAGTGAGTGTCCTGGTTGAAAATGGGAAAGAAATTATCGTATGCTCAGGATTGACAGTTGCGGGCGCAAAAATGTGTTCTCTGTGAATGATTTTAAGGCCAAGTATCGCTTTCACTTGGTTGCCCACTAAAATTAAACTTCGGAGACGGAATAACCCCTGTCGCTTCAGCCCGGAGCTAAGAGCCAGGCGCACCAGGCGGCACATATGACGACCACCATGCGTGAATCTTTGTCTTTCGGTCTGCTAAGGAGAAGAGCTCTCCGAAGCTTTCTTTCCACTTCTGCGCAGTCATATTTGCCCCTCGTTCTTCAACGTTCCCGCCGATACTCCATCCTTCATACATTCTCTACCCTGCTGCGATACAGTCGGTCCAGTCATTGCTGAATCGTCTGGAGTTCTGAAGTATCCATTTCTCAGCCTTTCCCCCACCATATCGGATATACAAACGCAACCATGTTGCTCCGATTTCGAGGTCCAGACGCGATGGTGCGCGTGAATATTGAACCATCGGACACCTTTGCGAAGCTTGGGGAGAAGGTTGGTAGACATAATATGGTTGTGTGTTTAGATTATTGATTGTTTTATAGCTTTCGGAAGTGCTCCCTTCGACGGTTGACTTCAATACCCTTACGCTGTCGCCAAAGCCCACTGGTGGAGAGATCAAGCTGCTGAAGGAAATAGCCAGACACAAGGTCTCGAAGATCGGACTGAAGTAAGTTGTAATGTCTTGCAGCGCAGAGTATCACCATTAATGGTGACCTTCAGACATGGCGACATGGTATTCATAACCTACAAGCACAAAGACGCATTAGCAAACGGCAACTCAAACGGTGCATCATATTCTACAAACGCATCTCAACCCTTCTCATCCTCGAACCGCCTCAACGGAACTGTAGTTCTACCCGCCGAAGACGTTCCAGTGATTGCGGAAGCCTTGAAGTCACCATCGGAGAAGATCAAGAACCCTTGGGAGGTGGTCAAGCAATCAGCGGTTGATGATAGGTTGGACAAGCAAAATGGCAAGATCCCTCGGAAGAAAGATCAGAAGATGTGCCAACACGGGGACAAGGGGATGTGCGATTACTGCATGCCGTTGGAGCCCTATAATGCAGAATATCTGGCAGAGAAGAAGATCAAGAATCTTTCCTTCCACTCACACCTACGAAAGATCAACTCCGCGACAAACAAGCCAGAATTGGGAAGCTCGTTCATGCCACCTCTGAGCGAACCATACTACAGAGTCAAGAAAAACTGCCCTTCGGGACATCCACAATGGCCAGAGGGTATCTGCACAAAATGTCAACCAAGCGCAATCACCTTACAGCCACAACCTTTCCGAATGGTCGATCATGTCGAGTTTGCGAATCCAGCTTTGATTGAGACTTTGCTCAACTTTTGGCGTCACTCGGGAGCACAACGTCTAGGATACTTATATGGACGATATGCCGAGTATACAGAGGTTCCTCTGGGCATCAAAGCCGTCATTGAAGCCATTTACGAGCCACCACAAGTCGACGAGGTGGATGGTGTTACTCTGAATGAATGGGAAAATGAGAAGGAGATCGATGAGGTTGCAAGACTATGTGGCCTGCAGAAGGTTGGAGTGATCTGGACTGATCTGCTGGATTCGGGCGTTGGTGACGGAACCGTTGTTTGCAAGAGACACATCGATTCCTACTACCTCTCTTCCCTTGAAATCACCTTTGCCGCACGACTCCAGGCCTTACACCCAAAGCCAACCAAGTGGAGCGACACTGGCATATTCGGCTCGAATTTTGTTACCTGCGTCGTAACCGGCGACGAAGCAGGCCAAATTGCGATATCTGCATATCAAGTCTCAAATTCGGCGGTGGAGATGGTTAGAGCCGACATTATCGAGCCATCTGCTGATCCTACAGTCATGATCGTCCGGAACGAAGAGGAAGACGAAGAAGCTGAGAACCGCGCCCGATATATCCCAGAAGTCTTCTATCGGAGAATTAACGAATATGGCAGAGCCGTCCAGGAAAACGCGAAGCCCTCGTTCCCAGTCGAATATCTTCTTGTCACGCTGACGCATGGCTTCCCAAGCGAAGCAAAGCCCCTCTTCACAGCTAATCCACCCTGCTTCCCCATTGAGAACCGCGCTGTCCTTGGCCAAGATCAAGAACTTCAAGATGTTTCTAAATGCTTAGGTCTTACCAAATCCTCCTCGAAGCAGAATGACGGCATCAATGCAGTATCCGACTTCCATCTTCTTTGCTTCCTCCACGGTGTTGGCATCTTGGGCAAGGTAATCCTTGCGTTGATCTTTCTTTCTTCGATTGTCCATACTAACAATTTCATAGGAGGAAGAAGCACTTCTCTGCCGCGTTGCAACGCAACACGATTTAGCTGATGGAACTGAGTTGACATCTACCCCTGGTTGGGCAACATTACTTACCATATTACAAACGACTGGTGAGAGACCCCCCAAAAGACCATCACCGTTTGAAGACGGTGATGGCGCCAGCGAACGCCTAGCTAAGAGGGTTGGCGGGGTAAGGCTAGAATAAGTGTAGGTGCACTATATAGCTTGATCCTCGAGGAATATAGGAAATTTGACGATTCGATAGACGATAGATTGGTTGGGTCTAGAAGGAAAGACTGGGACTCATCTTTCTGTCCTACGGGATGCTGGTAAAAGAAGCGATGATATCTGGGGAGGTTTGGGATTTCAGGTAGCGCGGTGCATATATGGCGTAGAAAAGGCTCGGGGCATTGCGAAGGTGCAAGTGAGCTATCAAGCCAAATACAATGCAATACAAGTACATACAAGCACACAACCTTGCCTCCCGTGACATTACAATAGCTAATTTGGAATATCATAACCTGTAAGAATTAGTGAGGCTAGATCATCATATGCTCTAACACCGAGACTACGTGCAACTAGGGTTTCGTCTGAAACATAAGGATTAGAAAAGCAGTTGTAATTCCATTGCTATGAACATCTAAAAGCTTTTGTGTATCTCATGCTTCGCACCGCTGAAGTCAATTTTTCAATTTTTCCTTTCCGCCAAGAAGAACGCCAAGGAGGAGATAGCAAGTCGGATTATGGCTATCTACAAAGGCTTGCCACCGATAAAGTCAGACCATCTGCGGACTTCCCCTGGGACACCCTCCTTTCGTGGGAGCTTTTCGCTCATGCAACGGGCGAACAGTTCAGCGGTCTGGTGGTGGATTAGTATTCATTTCAAGTAGGTAAGGATGGGGAGGGCATACCTTTGGCTCCATGAAGAGTGGGACACCGAAGTCAACTGCGTTACGACGCATCACATAGTCAACGTCCAAGACAGTCTTTCCTCTAGCTTGGGCAAGGTTGAAAACTCCGCGGATATCGTACTTCTGGAATACTTCTCTCAATGCTCTCTTGTCTGCCGTAGGAAACTCGATGACCTCAACAGAGACATTGTTCTTAGCAGTTAATTCGAGGAATTCCTTGACTTCCTTCTCGGCAGCATAGAGCTTGTACCCAAGAGGGGAGAGGTAATCAACAATAGCAGCGAGGACAGGCTTGGTTACATCTCCACCAAAGAGGAGACCCTCACCGGGCTCAGGCATGCGGAAGTTCATAGTTGCTTGCAGGGATGCCCAGTAAGCTTCCACAAGATCCTTTCCGAAGCAGGCAATTTCACCAGTGCTGGCCATTTCGACACCCAAGAAGGGGTCAGCGCCTGCGAGACGAGTCCAGGAGAATTGAGGAACTTTGGTCGCGAGATAGTCACGCTTGACAGCCATGAGATCAGTTGGTTCGGGAACATCGGTCCCAACGAGAGCTTTGGTGGCGACATCGATGAAGTTAAGGCCAAGGACTTTGCTGACGAAGGGGAAAGAACGAGAGGCACGCAAGTTACACTCGATGACCTTCAAGTGAGGAAGACCTCCCTCGGGATCATCAGCTTTGATAATTTGCATGTTAAATGGGCCTGTAGTCAGATTCAGTAAATTTCTTTTGTGTGCTTAGGAGAAAATATGCGTGTTTTAGGACTGCACCGACTCCGGAGTATGAATTCCAAGACAGCAAGGAATAGGAAGTTATCATGAGACTTACCAGTGATGCTCCAAGCCTTGGCGACCTTGACGGCAATTTCTTTGACACGGTCCATGGTGGATTGATCTAGAGAAGCAGGGGGGAGAACAAGGGTAGCATCACCAGAGTGGACACCGGCTTGCTCCACGTGTTCACTGACAGCACTACAGACAAATCAGTACACGCTCTTGACGGAGACTTAAACAAGAGCAAAATTTGACTTACTGAATAATTAATTGACCCTTTGAGGCGACGGCGTCAACATCAATTTCTTGAGCTCCTTCAATGAATTTGGTGATGACAACTGGGTGGTCTGGTGAAACGTTGCTGGCAGCCTCAAGTTTGTCTTTAAGGTCATCCTTGCTGCGAATGACAGTCATGGCAGCGCCGGACAGAACATAGGAAGGTCGAACGAGGACGGGGTAGCCAACTTCATCGGCAAAGGCTTCGGCATCAGCGACTGAAGTGAGCTCATTCCAGGCGGGCTGATCAACCCCAATACTGTCGAGAATGGCAGAGAACTTTTGTCTGTCCTCGGCCTTGTCAATGTCTTTAGGGTCAGTACCGAGAACCTTGCAATGGCCGGTTTCTTGGAGGCGGAGGGCGATGTTTTGGGGAAGTTGACTGGAGGAATTAGTATGTCAATGGCAGGTTCAGAGTGGAATTAAGCTTACCCGCCGACGGAGACGACAACGCCGGAAGCACTTTCGAGTTCACTGTAGCATGTTAGAACTGGGATTATCAACAAGGGAGAGTGAGCTAACTAGATGTCCAGAACACGCTAAAGAACCAATTAGCATTGCACGAAAGAGCTCTGCGAGCCGGAAGCAGGGTCATACCTCGTAGCTTAACTCCTCGAAGAAGAGCCTATCTGCCGTGTCGAAGTCTGTGGAGTATGTCTCGGGGTTGTACTGATGAGGAAGTTAGTATTGAGCAATGAACATGGAGGGCATTATCCTCTTACGTTAATCATTACGGTCTTCTTCCCCATGTCTCTGAGAGCAAGCACTGAACTGCTCGCGCACCAGTCGAACTCCACTGAAGAGCCGATCCTTTGATCAAATTAGCACCAGAGACGACCAAAAGATTGAAGGCGTGGGGAAACTTGCCTATAGACTCCGCTTCCTAACACGATGATTCCTCTATCATTGAATTCAACGTCATGGCTTGTAGCATTATAAGTTGTGTACTAAATGTCAATTAGCAGAAACGAATTAGAATTCAAGAAAAAGACTAACCAAATAATTTGTACTAGCAGGGAACTGGTATGACATTAGCAAGAATTTCAGCTGTATGTTAGGGAGCATAGAAGCCGACGTCTCATGCGAGCTTGATTTCCAAAATGTCCCAGAAATAAGGAATATTTGACGTCCTCTGAGAGCTCGACTTCCAAAATGACCCAGAAATAAGGGACAATTTGACGTATCGAAGAGCCAGACCTGCAAATATCCCAGAAATCGAAGGAGATTATGACATACCTCTGCAGCAAGAGTATCGATTCTCTTGACAAATGGCGTGATGCCAAAATTCTTTCTGCGAGCTCTAACCTCGTCCTCAGTGCTACCAACTGCTTTTGCAATCTGGCGATCACTGAATCCCATCTTCTTTGCTTTTTGCATGATTTCCTTCTTAATGCCATAGAGACTTCCGATGTCCTCGAGCTCATGGGTACAATCGACAATGTTTTGTAGCTTGTACAAAAACCACTTGTCAATCTTGCTCAACTCGTGAACGCGATCAACGGTATAGCCTTCATGAAGCATAGCTTGACCGACTGCCAACCATCGACGATCTGTTGGATTTGCCAACTCGTAGTCCAGATCCTCAAACTTATCGCCTTGGAGACCGATGAAGCGAGGGTCGACTTGGCGAATGGCTTTTTGAATAGACTCTTCAAATGTCCTACCGATAGCCATGACTTCTCCTACAGACTTCATAGCACTTCCAATATCACGCTTCACGTGCTGGAACTTGGCCAAATCCCAACGAGGAATCTTTGTAACTACATAGTCCAGAGAAGGTTCGAAGTTGGCGGTAGTAGTCTTGGTGACGGCATTTGGTAATTCTGGTAGAGTATGACCAAGTCCGATTTTCGCAGCAGTGTAAGCGAGGGGGTATCCAGTAGCCTTGGAAGCAAGAGCAGATGACCGGGAGAGACGAGCGTTGACTTCGATGACACGGTAGTCAAGTCCATCTGGCTGCAACGCATATTGAACGTTACACTCGCCAACTACACCTAAGTGTCTGACGATTTTGATAGCAGCAGAACGGAGCATGTGATATTCCTCATCACTCAAAGTCTGACTTGGTGCCACGACAATAGAGTCACCGGTGTGAATGCCGAGAGGGTCGAAGTTTTCCATGTTACAAACCGTGATGCAATTGTTACTCGCATCTCGAACAACCTCATACTCGACTTCTTTCCATCCCTTGAGAGATTTCTCAACCAAGATCTGGGGAGACAGAGTAAGGGATCTTGCAGCCATGTTTCGAAGTTCTTCTTCATTGTTTGCAAAGCCCGAGCCAAGACCACCAAGAGCATAGGCGGCTCTGACAATAATTGGGTAGCCAATTCCTTTGGCAGCTTCCAATGCATCGTCTACGGTGCCAACTGCAATCGACTTAGCAATTGGGATGTTGATCTCTCCAAGAGCCTTTGCGAAGAGATCTCGGTCTTCACTAGTCTCAAGTGTCTTGATGCTAGTACCGAGGACCTTAACACCATACCTCTCGAATATGCCCATACGCTCCATTTGTACACCAAGATTAAGGGCGGTCTGACCACCAAACGTGAGGAAGATACCATCTGGTCTCTCCCTCTCGATGACATATGTAACGTATTCCGGAGTGACTGGCAGGTAGTATACTTCGTCTGTGAGGACATGACTATAGAGACATTAGTATGGCATCCACCAATACATGAAGGGACTGGGGCCCTACGAAGTTTGGATGGTAGCAATGTTAGGATTGATGAGCACGGATGATACTCCAGCTTCCTTGAGAGCTTTCAATGCTTGAGAACCTGTGTAATAGTGTGTTAACGATGTTTCTACCACAATGACACTGGACTGCAACATGAATCCAAGCTGGAATAACTTTGAAGCTATTCCCAGAGTGACTCATTCTGCAGAGAACATTTTCACTGACCTGAATAATCAAACTCTCCTGCTTGTCCAATGCTCAAACCGCCAGATCCAATGACCAAAACTTTCTTCACATCAACGGGATTCGCTGCTCCCTTTATGACTCCACTCTCTAGGTATGCTTTCGCGTTTGGTGCAGTCTGTGACTGGTTTCGTGAGACGATGGAGCTCGAGAAAAGGCGGATCGATCTGGCATTCTTCGCAGCCTGGACTGGGCTTCTAGCGTAGAGGCATTGAGAAGAGGCTCTGGTGGTGAAACTCCTGCTTGCAGGTGCTCTGGCCTGGCGAAGGAGGGAGGAGCATGTTCTCCCTGCAATGCGAGTTGAGATGGCCATTGTGTGGAAGAGACTTCAATTGAAAGAGAAATCACTCAATTGAGTTTCCACAACAATGTAAAGCTCGTACGAGCCTTGTCGAAGTACTCTGGATTTTCTTTCGTGGAAAGAATTCGAGGTGTTGATCGTCGATCAGATGCCCCAAGGCGGTCTGATAAAATAGCTTCTGATAACAAACAAAGATTGGCGAGAGGGATGTTAAGTTTGTAATTTGGAAGGCTCGAAGTCACGCAGCATTGTCAACGAGGAGGAGGTAGCAGGTGCAGAGTATTCAGAGGCAAGAAGTTGGGAAGTTCAATGAGTTTTCTTTGCTAGGTACTTCAGAAATTTTTTAAGCACGACTGCGGGGTGGAGAGAACCCTGCGACATGGTCACCTTCGGTGAAAAAACCAAAGCACGATTTTACAATGCTAGACTAAACCCTTTTCGGCGCCCGCACGCAATCTTGCCTGGAAGAGACCAAATCATAAGATCCTCGTGGTTCACTACTGCAGACTTATGGATGGGTAAAGGAGGGGCGCCGCCATGTGAGGTGGGCAAGCTCGAAGACTTTTTGCTTCTTGCATTTCGGGTATGCACTTTGAAGCACGGGAGACCAATCGTAGATACGCCCAGGGGTAGCATGAGGTCAGGCCAATTACATCACAATATGTCGGAAGGTACCTGTTGAATTCTATATAGGTCTAATATTTACGTTGTCGCTTTTCCACTCGAGTGAAGTAGACTCCTCCTCCTAGACACTTTGTTAGATTCTACAGTACAAGAGTCTGATAATGGAAAGACGTGAATATTTCTCACGATGAGCATATCTCTCCCGAATAAGGCACCATGAAGGGCAAATTAGGTTAGGAGTAGCATTATACAGCATACGCACAAGGTCGCGTACAGCATAGAGACCACTTCCCCGCTGTTGTGGATCATCTCCTGCAAGAAAACACAGTTTCAAGCACTCATCAGTCAAATGCACATTTGTAACCAAATGCCGCAACGAGCTAGCTTGGTACCCAGGATTTCAACAATGTTAAACACGTGATGGAAGAGACTTCCAAGGTTGTTGAGACTTCGAGAGAGCTTTATTGGGTATCTCGTTGTACCAAGCTATATTGGACATCAACATCTAAGTTTTCTCTAGCCTGACAGCTGGGTTTCTTTCTATGAAAGCAAGGTCGCATTTGTGGCCTAACAACTCTCGAATATTATTCACCTGTGTTGGAGTTAGTAGATGTCCTAATTGTTGTTAACTTTTGATGACTTGCCTTGTATTTGATCATCGTCGGACGCTCCAAAGACAACCCCCAACCGAAAACGCGCAAATCTTTAGGCAGACCCATAGCCTCTAACATCTCAGGTCTGAACATGCCGCTGTTGCCAATCTCAACCAGCTTGTTCAGGCCCTTGTGGAAACTGAAAATCTCCATACTTGGCTCGGTGTAGGGATTATAGGCAGGTTTGAATCTCAAATCTTCAATGCCCATCTTGTTGAAGAAGATTTGCATGAATTCCATGAGTCCACCTAGTGACAATCCATAATCCGCAATGACACCTTCGACCTGATGAAACTCAGCAAGATGGGTGGCATCAACAGTCTCATTCCTAAAAACGCGGTCAATTGAGAAGTATCGAGCTGGAGGCGGTCTTCCGTCGGGACCCTTCTGAGAGGCCAGTTTGTGCAGCATGGCTGTCGAGATGGCGGTTGTATGAGTGCGGAGAACAAGCCGTAATGACTCATCTTCAGCCCAAGGATATCTGTACCCGATGGAGCCATACTTTCCTTCTTGATGGACTTCCTTCACGTTGTTCCAGTAACTCTCATAGTCCGCCGTATCGTCTTCTGTCTCGGCGTGGGGCTTGTCTGCTACTTTAGGGTCGGAGATGTAGAAGGTGTCTTGAAGGTCACGAGCGGGGTGTTGTTGTGGAACGAAGAGGGCGTCGAAGTTCCAGAAACCGGTCTCGACGAAACGGTTGGTCGGCATCTCTTCAAAGCCCATCTCGAAGAAGATTTGACGGAATTCGTGTCGGACCTTGTTCAATGGATGAAGAGCGCCAGCATTTTGATCTGCTCCGAGAGATTTGAAGTTATAAGGCTTGAAAGCAGCAGTTTTCCATGCACCCCTGGAAACTGTTAGCAATGTCATGCAGGGGTAGATACGGTAATTACGAGGCAAGCATGTCTGCTGTCAGGTCTGTCTCCTCCTTCACTATTTCAAGAGCGAACTTTGGCCCTTTGCGAACCTTGTAGCTGATGACCTTCTGCATCTTGACGAGCTTGCGCTTCTTCAAATCCGTAATAACTTTCGAGTCTGGATGTGTACGTGTCTTCGCTATGATCTGAAGTTGCTCTCGAGTTTCATCCTTTATTGACTCAGTCTGCAGTTGTTAGTCTAGGCATGAAGACATTGGACCATCATAACCTACAGAAGCTACTAGGCGCCCATCCTTTCCTTTGGCAATCCATTTTGACTTGAAAGCCTTGCCTTGACCAACCTTCACGACATTCTTGTCTCCGATAGCCTTCTCCAGTTCCTGAACGGTGAGCCCATCCATAGCCTTCTGCAACGCCTCGAAAACTCGCGCTTCATGGCTGCCATTGGCCTCAATTTCCACAGCTTCGGGTTCCAAGATGGCTTCTTCTCTGTCAATTGTATCATATGTGATCATAGCACGCGATCCCAGTCGGTCCAAGGCACTCTTAACATCGGCGGACTTATACCCAGCAAAGGCTTCCGAGGTAAGAATAGGTTCGGAATTGGACAGCTCGCGGAGAATTTCTGAGGTGAGATCTCCCTGCTGGCCATTTTGACTGGCGGCCATCGTATCGGAAGCTTTTGCACACTTCAAAGAAGTTGCGCGGGGTGTTTGTTCTCTGTGTCGAATTTTTGAGTCACAGTTGTATTTGATATAAATTTATCGTCAGCGGTCTCAGATTCGCTTGTCTAAAACAACCCCGCGTGCCCCGCTACGTTCACCCCTCTAGAGCAAGGCGGATCTGAAGAGACTCTAAAACCGACAATGCAGCTCTGGAGGTCCTAAGAGCTCATTCCCAGATTACACTAAAATTTAGAAACATGTCGCAGAAAATCGTTGTTCCGAAAACCCTTGACATACTCATCATCATTCGGGGCAATTCGATTCCATGAGAAATGGGAGGGTTCACAACGGAAAAGTGGTATCACCAAAACACACTGGAGTAAAGATCACAGGATAAGTCTGATATCTACATTCATTCTCGGACATAAAGTCTACCTTGATTCAGGTACATCGCCTTTTATGACACCTAGAGAGCCATCTAGAACCGTCCATATGTCTTTTTTCTGAGCCTTCTCCTTTCCCACGGACGGATCATCATACCCCAATAGCTGATGCAACCCCGACAGCCAGCGCTGCGACTCCTCCATAGCGCTACCACCAGCTTCTAGCTGATCTGAGATTATGTCCTTTGTTGCATTTCCGGAAGCTTTTGCTGCGAATGTCCAAGTCCGAGCCCGGTCTGAAGAATCTGGTTTTTCATGATGCATGAGTTCATCGTTGAAGGAAAGTGGACCTTCCAGACCTTTCCGTTGCAAACTCGACGTTGGCATAGGATGAGCTGGCAGTAAATGACTTTCTTCAGCAAGTCGGTCCAGACCTTGACTAGCTTCTTTGACTTGCTTGGCTAGACTGATTGTGAGGTGTGATCTTTGCTGAATAGCAGCCTTCTGTTCATTTGCTGTGAAGACCATTCTCTCCAAATACGGATACACAATTTGCATAGTATGAGATTGACGTGAGTCGTCCCAGGACTCTGCTATGCCAAACGCCTCTTCTTTCGATTCGGAGGTTGGAAGCTGCGAAACTCCTGTTGCTGAAACGATCAACTCCTCTCTTGCCTCTATATATCGCCCGTATTGCCTCTGAATAGATGCTAACTGGGCTGCGATGTAATCTTTTGCTCCATCGTCGTGACTTAGATTTTCTGGACCATCAGTCTCCGATGATCCATCTCCAGCTTTTTCCATCTCTGCCTCGATCCAATTAATCAACGCGTTTCGAGTCAGTCCTAGAGCTTGCATTCGGTCTCCTGGGCTGGCGGAAGTCATATCACTATCGGATCTGACTTTAGCTAACAGTTTCTGTTCCTTCTTCAAAAGGATTTTTGCTCGTAAGACAGATTTCTCTAACTGGTCAACCAAATCTTTGAGGTTCGTTCCCTGGGTCATAGAGCTAGAGGCGGTGTTGTTCAGAACTTCGGCTGGCACTTTCGGTAGCGACTCCACATCTTTGAGCGCTACCTTGGGATCAAGGTGCTCTGTGTTGGCAGCAGGCTTTTGCGACAAGGTATCGATATAGTCCTGGGAGATACCTAGACGCTCATGCTTTTGCTGCTGCATGATGAGATGGAGGAAGACGTCCATGCTTGAAGAGCCAGTTGACTGCGTGGGTACGCCTAGACTTCCAACTTCAGCGGCTGTTCCTTCACGGTGCTCCTTGCTGATTGCTGTGTACTCATTTTTGGCCTTGAGGTTGGCTCGGACACAGCGCAAATATTCCCTTTGAAGGCCTCTCACTCCATGAGGTGTAGGATCAGCAGTAGACGTTGGATTCACAAGCGATAAAGGTCGATTTAAGGTACGCGCTTCGGAAGTGTCCAATTGTGAGATAAGATGTGAAGACAAGACTTGTCGAACCTTTGATGCTTCATGTCTTGGCTTGATATATGGCTCTAGCGACGATTGAACCTTTTGCAAAGATACCGGAATCTCTACTCGTTCTTCCATACTGAATGTCGTTGAAGCAAGTATTGTGTTTATGCCGACTTCAAGCTGCCTTGAACTGGATCCTCGGAAAGATAGCCACCAAAATGATGTAAATAGACCCGATTGGATCTGCACAGTGTGTCGAGGTATTGGTGAATCAGAAGTACTCTCCTGAATCACTTAGGGAGGAATCATTAGGAAGTACTTTGTTGTGTTTTCCACTTCAAACCCCAAACGCGTCGCTTGGTAAGGCAACGTGCAGGGATGAGACGTGGCGAGATATTTGGTAGATACTCTAGACACAGAATATGGCCGTATGTTGATGATTTCTTAGACGTATTGATCACAGATTTCGTACTTTGACTGCACAGAGTAGTGGTGGTTTCATTAAGCTGCAAACTTGATATCCTTGCCCTAGTCGCGATGCAGATTGGTGTGGTGCGGTGCCTGAGCCGCAGATCGGGAACGTTCGCGCTAACTAAATTCTGCTTTTCTACAACAACGAAATTGTTCTTCTTGGAGGGGCAGTCGTTTTTTTATGACCACGCGAAGACCCATCTAGTATGAATCTATGGTAGGCGAATACTGGTCGATCTCATCCTGCAAATTCACTTGCGATATTCTCGACGTTCCTTAATATCGCGTGCAGTGTCTACTTCGATTCAGGTTGCCATCTTGAATACCATACCACAAGATGACGGACCAACAGCGCGATGTGTCGCAGTACAAGTACTCAGCGATGTCCAACCTGGTCCTCCAGGCGGACCGTCGCTTTGTTACTCGTCGCAACGATGAAGTTACAGGAGACCCAGAATCACTTGCTGGGAGACTCAGTATCCGGGATATGGGCTCACGAAATGCTCGCGACGATGCGCCAAAGCAGAAGAAGAAGGCTTCTGGACTGCCCGATATCGAGAGAGGTGGCCTACAAGAGGGACAAGATGTTCTAGAGCGGGAGCAACGAAAGCGAAAGCGCGGCGAACCTGCACAACTCCGTGGGACTGGAATATTGTCTGCGGCGGATGCTTTGGTAGAAGGCATCGTGTATCGACCAAGAACTTCAGCAACTAGGGCGACTTACGATTTAATTCTGACCACTGTGGCCAACAATCTTGGAGATGTCTCCCACGAAATCGTCAGGAGTGCAGCGGATGCGGTCCTGGAGTATCTGAAGGACGACGATATGAAGGATTTCGACAAGAAGAAAGAAATCGATGACCTTCTAGGTGCCTCGTTGAGCCCGAAGCAATTCAATGAGCTCGTCAATCTGGGGAAGAAAATTACAGATTATGAAGCACAGGACGAGGACGAAGTAATGGGTGACGGAGAAGCTGGCGCAGAAGACGGTGCAGAAATCGATGATCGCCAGGGAGTTGCTGTGGTGTTCGATGAGAATTCAGAAGATGAGGACGGCCAAGAAATGGTAAACGAGGTCCGCGACGAATCATCTGAGGATGAGGATGATATTGAAGATCGACCGGGTGCCGAGGAAGCTGCTACTGCTGGCGGAGCTGGAGAAGACCGAGACAATGAAGCACAAGAGCTTCCAGAGGAGGAAGCAATTATCATTGACTCCGCTACGACAGAAGATCGCGGTGGGAAGGACAAGGAGAAGAGTTTCATACCCGCCAGAGAAATTGATGCCTATTGGCTCCAGAGACAAATCGGCTCGATATATTCAGACGCCCATATTCAACAAGTCAAGACACAAGAGGCTCTTCATATCCTATCTGGTGCACCGGAAGAAGAGGGAGGGGAAGAGCGACCATTACGAGAGATTGAGAATGATCTTGCAGAATTATTTGACTGGGAGAACCATGAACTTGTCCACAAACTTATCGCTAATCGCGACAAAGTTGTTTGGCTTACTCGGTTAGCTAGAGCGGAGGATGCTGAGGCTCGAGGGGTCATCGAACGAGAGATTGCCTCTGAAGGTCTGCGTTGGATTCTGGACGAGCTGCGTGGCGTCTCATCCTCCGGTGATGGGTCAAAGAAGCGAAAATTGGAGATTAAGATGGACATTGATGCCCCTAATTCATTCGCAAATGGCACCACCAAGGCTGAAGACAACGGTGACGGTGGTCTTGTTGGTGGTCTTCAGCCGCGGAAACTCATCAACCTCGAGAATCTAATTTTCGACCAAGGAAATCATCTAATGACAAACCCGAAAGTCAAGCTGCCTGAAGGCTCAACTAAGCGAACGTTCAAGGGCTACGAAGAAATTCATGTTCCAGCGCCGAAGAAGCGTAATGAACCAGGTGATCGCGATATCCCTGTGACTGAGATGCCAGAATGGGCTCGAGTGCCTTTCAAGTCCGCAACAAAACTCAATAAGATCCAGTCAAAATGTTTCCCCCAGGCCTTCAATGATGATGGTAACATGCTGATATGTGCTCCCACTGGCAGTGGCAAGACCAATGTCGGCATGCTGACCATCTTGCGAGAGATTGGCAAGAATCGAAATCCAGACACCGGAGAGATCAATCTGGATGCATTTAAGATTGTCTACATTGCTCCATTGAAGGCTCTTGTGCAAGAGCAAGTTGGCAATTTTGGTGCTCGGCTGAAGGAATACGGTATCCAAGTCTCTGAATTGACTGGTGATCGACAACTCACGAAGCAGCAAATTGCTGATACACAGATCATTGTCACAACACCTGAGAAATGGGATGTCATCACACGAAAAGCTACAGATTTGAGTTACACCAATCTTGTCAGGCTGATCATTATCGATGAGATCCATCTTCTACATGATGACCGTGGACCAGTCTTGGAAAGTATTGTCAGCAGAACGATCAGGAAGATGGAGCAAACTGGAGATCCTGTTCGTCTTGTTGGTCTCTCTGCCACACTGCCGAATTATCGTGATGTTGCCAGCTTTCTTCGAGTCGACCCCACAAAAGGCATGTTTCATTTCGATGGCTCATACCGCCCTTGTCCTCTCCGACAAGAGTTCATTGGCATTACTGAGAAGAAAGCCATCAAGCAACTGAAGACCATGAATGATATCACCTATACCAAAGTTCTGGAACATGTCGGGACCAATCGCAACCAAATGATTATCTTTGTGCACTCTCGCAAGGAGACTGCTAAGACCGCTAGATACGTCCGAGACAAAGCACTGGAGATGGAAACCATCGGACAGATCCTCAGAAGTGATGCTGGTAGCAGGGAAGCTCTCAATGCCGAAGCTGAGACTGTGAACGACCGTGAATTGAAGGACGTTCTTCCTTATGGTTTCGGAATTCATCATGCAGGCATGAGCAGACCAGATCGTACGTCAGTTGAAGATCTGTTCAACGACGGCCTCATCCAAGTACTTGTTTGTACTGCTACTTTGGCCTGGGGTGTCAATCTTCCTGCACATACAGTTATTATCAAGGGGACACAAGTTTACTCGCCCGAGAAAGGTAGCTGGGTCGAGCTAAGTCCACAAGATGTCCTTCAGATGCTTGGACGTGCTGGTCGCCCGCAGTATGACACATATGGAGAAGGTATAATCATAACCACTCAAACCGAAATGCAGTACTACCTGTCCTTACTGAACCAACAACTTCCGATCGAAAGTCAATTTGTTAGTCGACTTGCGGACAATCTCAATGCGGAAATTGTGCTTGGAAATGTTCGTAGTCGAGACGAAGGTGTTGAATGGCTCGGGTACACGTATCTCTTTGTTCGAATGTTACGCTCTCCTGGTCTCTATAGCGTCGGCGCCGATTATGAGGATGACAATACCCTGGAGCAGAAGCGCGTTGACCTCATACACTCTGCTGCCGTCGTCTTAGAAAAGTCAAACCTAGTCAAATATGACAAGAAGACTGGAAAGTTGCAAGCTACGGAACTCGGTCGTATCGCTTCGCATTACTATATCACACACAGTTCGATGCTGACCTACAATCATCACATCCAGCCCTCCATCACGCCCATTGAGCTGTTCCGAGTCTTTGCTCTAAGCGACGAATTCAAATATATCCCAGTCCGGCAAGACGAAAAATTGGAGTTGGCAAAACTCCTAGGCCGCGTGCCAATCCCTGTTAAAGAGAGTATCGAGGAACCCCATGCGAAGATCAACGTACTCTTACAGGCCTACATTTCACGACTCAAGCTAGAGGGTCTGGCCCTGATGGCTGATCTGGTGTATGTCACACAGTCTGCTGGTCGTATCTTGAGAGCCATCTTCGAGATTACTCTCAAGAAGGGATGGTCATCCGTGGCGAAGACTGCACTGGAATTGTGCAAGATGGCCGAAAAGCGAATGTGGCCGACTATGACACCGTTGCGCCAATTTCCTGGCTGTTCACGAGACATCATCCAGAAAGCCGAAAGAATAGACGTTCCTTGGGCAAGCTACTTTGACTTGGATCCGCCACGAATGGGTGAGCTTCTCGGCCTCCCTAAGAACGGTAGAACAGTTTGCAATCTTGTGGCCAAGTTTCCACGGGTGGAGGTGCAAGCACAAGTCCAGCCAATGACTCGGTCAATGCTCCGAGTCGAGTTAACAATCACCCCTAACTTTGAATGGGACGATGAGATTCATGGTACTGCTGAAAGTTTCTGGATTATTGCAGAAGATTGCGATGGAGAGGACATCCTATTTCACGATCAATTCATTCTCCGCAAAGACTTCGCACAGGCAGAGATGAATGAACACATCGTTGAGTTCACCGTGCCGATCACAGAGCCCATGCCGCCAAATTATTTCGTCTCTGTCATCTCTGACCGATGGATGCACTCGGAAACTAAATTAGCAGTATCTTTCCAGAAACTCATCCTACCAGAGAAGTTTCCTCCCCACACGCAGCTACTAGATCTGCAACCACTTCCAGTTGCTGCGCTCAAGACTGATGATTACCGGGCACTTTATCCAAAATGGGAGCGATTCAATAAGATTCAAACACAGACTTTCAACTCTCTATTTTCCACGGATGAAAATGTATTCGTCGGGGCTCCAACTGGAAGTGGCAAGACGGTTTGTGCAGAGTTCTCCTTGCTTCGCCATTGGTCTAAGCCCGATGCTGGTCGAGCTGTGTACATCGCTCCCTTTCAAGAGTTTGTCGATCTCCGACATCAAGACTGGCAAGAACGTTTCTCTGGCCTACGCGGCGGAAAAGAAATTGTTAAGCTGACCGGGGAAACCACTGGTGATCTGAAACTTCTTGAAAGAGGCGATTTGATTCTGGCCACACCAGCTCAGTGGGACGTCCTCTCGCGGCAATGGCAACGCCGAAAGAATGTCCAAACAATTCAGCTGTTCATTGCCGACGAACTGCACATGCTTGGAGGCCAAGCTGGATTTGTGTACGAGATTGTTGTGTCACGCATGCACTACATTCGCTCTCAAACCCAACTGCCCTTGAGAATCATTGGCCTTAGTGTTTCCCTCTCGAACGCAAGAGACATTGGAGAATGGATCGATGCAAAGAAACACAATATTTACAACTTCAGCCCGCATGTTCGATCGGTCCCTCTAGAGCTTCACATTCAGTCCTTCACAATCCCTCATTTCCCATCACTTATGCTTGCTATGGCAAAGCCTACCTATCTCTCAATCTTGCAAATGTCTCCTGACAAGCCTGCCCTCGTGTTTGTCCCCAGTCGGAAACAGGCTCGTGCCACAGCAAGAGATCTGCTGGCAGCCTGCGTAGCTAGCGACGACGAAGATCGTTTCTTGCACGCCGATGTGGCACAAATGAAGCCTTTGCTGGAGCGCATTCGTGAAGAGGCATTAGCTGAGGCAGTATCTCACGGTGTTGGCTATTACCACGAGGCTCTGAGTACAAGCGATAAGCGCATCGTCAAGCATCTTTATGACAATGGAGCCATTCAGGTGTTGGTTGCATCTCGTGATGTATGCTGGGAACTGGACTGTACTGCACATTTGGTTATTGTGATGGGAACTCAATACTACGAAGGCCGGGAGCACCGATATGTCGACTACCCACTTAGTGAGGTCCTACAGATGTTTGGCAAAGCTTCCCGTCCCCTCGAAGACAAGATCAGCAAAGGGGTGCTTATGGTTCCAGCAGTCAAGCGAGAATACTACAAGAAATTCTTGAACGAGGCTCTACCTATTGAAAGTCATCTTCAAGTCTATCTCCACGATGCCTTTGTGTCTGAGATCAGCACGAAGATGATCGAGTCTGCCGAGGATGCCATCAGCTGGACCACATTCACGTACTTTTACCGTCGTCTTCTCGCCAATCCAAGCTATTACAGCTTGACAGATACGACCCACGAAGGTCTCAGTGCGCATTTATCGGAACTCGTTGAAAGCACTTTGAAGGACCTCGCCGAAACAAAGATCATTGATTTGGATGAAGAGGATGACTCCGTCACGCCACTCAATGCTGCCATGATTGCCGCATATTACAATATCTCCTACATCACCATGCAAACCTTCCTGCTCTCCCTGAGCGGGAGAACGAAGCTCAAGGGAATTCTGGAAATTATTACATCCGCTACCGAATTCGAATCTATCCAGATCAGAAGACACGAGGACAATCTACTTCGTCGGATATACGACCGAGTCCCTGTCAAGATGGCACAGCCAAGCTTCGATTCCCCCCATTTCAAAGCCTTTGTTCTTCTCCAGGCACATTTCTCCAGGATGCAGCTCCCAATCGATCTGGCTAAGGACCAGGAAATCATATTGACCAAGGTGCTTGGGCTGCTTAGTGCGACTGTTGATGTCCTCTCTTCCGATGGCCATCTCAATGCCATGAACGCTATGGAAATGTCTCAAATGGTTGTTCAGGGCATGTGGGATCGTGATAGCCCGTTGAAGCAGATACCACACTTTACCCCAGAAGTGATCAAAGCTGCCAACGAGTCCGGGTATGTTCCCCTCTCAGCTCCACCTTATTCGAGTGCTAATCATTTTTTCTACTGTAGGGTCAAAGACATCATCGAGTTCATGGAAGCCATGGACCCATCTGAAAATCCTGATTATGCAGCCCTTGTACAGCGTCTAGGACTTTCCCAAAGCCAGTTGGCTCAAGCGGCAAACTTCACGAATTCAAAATACCCCAATATCGAACTTGATTTCGAAGTCGAAGACCCCGATGAGATCACCGCTGGTGCTGCGGCTTATATTAAAGTCAAGATCACGAGAGAAGTAGACGAGGAGGACGAATCGGCAGATGTGGATACGACTGTCCATGCGCCATTCTACCCAACGAAGAAGATGGAGAACTGGTGGTTGGTAGTCGGAGACGAGAGCTCCAAGACATTGCTTGCGATCAAGCGGATCACCATAGGAAAGTCGTTGAATTTGCGACTCGAGTACACGGTGCCGACACCTGGAAAGCACGACCTGAAGCTCTTCTTGATGAGCGATAGTTATGTCGGTGTCGATCAAGATCCCAGCTTCAGTGTGAACGTCGCGGAGGGTATGGATGAAGATGAGGAGGACGAAGAGGACGAATGAGTTATGTCAGTTCCACCCAGCAGACTCGATTGTATAGTAAAGCGAAATGAAGGAAGTGCTGTTTGGTCAATAAGCCGTTGTGCCTGGCTTTCACGGCCGTTGAGGAGGGGTGGCACAATCTTTCAACCCGGCCTTGTGACGATGTTGTACCTTCTTCTGTGTGATTGGTGTCCGGCAGATAGAGAAGTTTCTCGTCAAGTTGTTGGCTCTGGTGTTCATCTGAGAACGGTGAGCTGCTTCCATCACCAATCGTTCTATCCTTCCAATTTTTGAGTCATTATTTCAGGATTGCTTTATTCCTCATTCTCACTGTCATTTCTTCGATCAAGCGTCGTCCACGCCAATTCTTATGACAATCTATTCTACAAGCTCTGAACCGTTTCTCCTTGATCAAATACCAATGCGGTCTTAGTGGACAATACCACGAATTCATCATCAACCTAGTGGCTGGTACAAGCTGCCTACAGTCACGTGTAAAGTGGAGCCAGTCCAAAGTGCACGCCCGAGGATTTTGCGTTCGCCTTTGAGCTTTTTCGATCCATCTCACACTTCAACCAACCAAGACCATCCCGCCATCGCGCGTTCACACCTTTGCTCATCGATCCATCTATCAGCAAAGTCATTGTCGTATGCGATCATCAGGGCCATCTCCTCTTGACGCGTTTACAACCACCTTACTGTTCATTGTTCCCGTTTCGCGACATTAAGCAAACAATGGCCGAAGAGGCACCTCAAGCATCTGTCCTGCAGTCTGCGCCTGCGCCTGCAGAACCTCAACCAGCAGTCCCCGAGGTCGTACCTGCTCCTAAAGCTGAGGAGACAGCTACCACGAATGGCGCAATCTCCAATGGTCCTGGGCCTAGCGCAGAAGTCGCGACGGACGCGCCAAAAGTTGAGGGTATATTACTTTTTTCTGCGTCCCTATCTCTCCTCCACTTTGTTTGCTCTTGCTGATTGATAATCTTCGATACTTAGATTCATCTTCGATCCCTGCTGCAGATTCGACCGACGACAAACAAACAGCTGCTGACAAGGTCACACAAGACGAACCATCAACAACACAAGAAGACGTCGAGATGAAGGACGCTGCTCCTACCAGCGATGCCGCTCCAGTTTCTGTTGAGTCTGCAGAGCCTGCTACTGAGACTCTTACTTCTACTGCCAAGCCTAAGGCTCCTCGCCGCAAATCGGGCGGTGTCCCAGAACACAAGGGCAAGAAGCTCAACAAGAAGGCCTCTGCCGCAAAGATGACACACATCGACGCGCAACCTGGAGATTACTTCTACGTCAGATTGAAGGGGTATCCCTTGTGGCCAGCAATTATTTGTGACGAGAGCATGCTTCCGAACACCCTACTCAAGTCAAGACCTGTCACAGCAGCACGCCCCGATGGCTCTTATCGTGCCGATTATGAGGATGGCGGTCCCAAGGCTAAGGATCGCACATTTCCAGTCATGTATCTGCACACAAATGAATTGTAGGTCTATGCCACACCTCTTTGGCACGTTGCAGAAGCTAACTTGTCCCGATAGTGGATGGATTCCCAACTATGATCTTGTTGACCTCGACTTCGAAGATGTCGGCAATGTTACCGCTGGCATGAGAAAGGACTTGACCGCTGCTCGTCAACTTGCAGCTGAAAAGCATGATCTGCCGTACTTCCAGACTCTCTTGAAGGAATTTATGGAAGCTCGAGAAGCTGAGCGCGCTGCGAAAGAAGCTGCTAAAGCTGAGAAGAAGGCCAAGAAGGCAGCATCCAAGAAGGAAAAGAAGAGTGCGAAGGCCTTCACAGAGGATGATGAGGATGTCGAGATGGCAGATGCTATTGGAGAGCCGGACTCCGAGGAAGCAGAGGTAGATGCCGAACCAGCCAAGCCAAAGAAGCGCAAGGCGGAAGACGTGAGTATCCTCTCGTTCAGTTTGAAGCACCTGGAGCGTTGCTAATATGAGGTGTCACAGACCCCCCAACGTACAGAATCCGTCAAGAAGCCTCGTCAAACCATCAAGCTGAACACGCCTAAGACTACAAATGGAACACCCAAACCCACGAAGGAATCTGCCCCGAAATCTGCGAAGTCTAAACCCAAGAAGGCTGCGAAAGTCGCTACCGAGACTCCAGAGGTAGTTGCGCAAAAGGAACCGGAACTCTCAGCTGAGGAAAAGCGAGCCAAGAAAGAGGTAGGGCGAAATGGAGAGTTTTCAATGGCACACAACTAACTGTTTTCTAGAAAGAGATCTTGTTCCTTAGACACAAGCTCCAGAAGGGCCTCCTCACCCGCGATCAGGCGCCAAAGGAAGAAGAGATGAAAAGCATGTCCGAATTCGTCAGCAAACTCGAAGGCTATGCGGACCTCGAAGTCAGCATCATCCGTGCTACGAAGATCAACAAGGTTTTGAAGGCGATCTTGAAGATGCCGTCCATTCCCAAGGAGGAGGAGTTCAAGTTCAAGACACGTTCTCAATCTCTGCTTGACAAGTGGAACAAGCTCCTTGCCAGTGAGCAAGGGGAGCCAGAAGCCACTACCGCTGCTACCAACGGAAATGCTACCGAAGCAAAGGCGGAGTCAGAGGACGCAAAGCCTTCCCCAACTGAGGTCACCAACGGCACAAAGGAATCTTCTGCTGATGAGAAGGCGGAAGAGAAGACCGAGGAGAAGCCTTCAGAGGGAGAATTAGCTGCGCCACCAGCAGTAGATGCGAAGGAAGTCCCTGCTGAGCCAGAAGCCATCCCTCAACCAACTGAGGAGCCAGCAAAGGTATGCACGATTTCTTCCTCATAGACGCAAATTATTTGAGACTGACAAGAGAATAGGATTCTGTTGCAGAGCCAACTCCAGTTGAAGCATCTGCCTAATTGATAATACTTGGTCCTCGGGGCGAAACACACAGTGAGCCTGGCTCAGAGCTCCATAGGCTTGCTGTACCGGTCTTGGTTTACAAGACGGTAAATTGATGAGAATCTGCATTACGATTGGTATTATTGGCAGTTTCCAGCAAACAGCGAGCGAAAAGCGAGTTCTGCATCTGGGCTACGATCTGGCTTCGCGATTTCGCGTGTAACATTATGCGATACAGAGTCTCTCTCTCTCTCCTGGCTCATGCTGCTAAGCATCATCTTTGTACAAATCCGATTTTTCTAAAATTGCACTGCGGTAAGGATGAAGGGGAGGATGAGGTCGGCATAGGTGGTGGTCTGTCTTCCACATGAGCTCTTGCACTCATTCGATTGAGATTAGCAATTTCCAGACTTGACTAGGCAATAAAAGCAAATTCATGACATATCCCTTGCACTGTGATTACTCCATATACAATCTGTTGACTTTGCTGAGAATCGAAAACAATTCAGACCCAAATCGAGAGCGGTGACCCAATGTAGCGACCCCAATTAGATTTTAAGCGGCAGAATAAATTATTTCGACCAAATCAGTGTCCCGCGATTCCTCAAGCCTCCAACAACATCCACACCACAACATACAATGGCAGCTCCAGCCCCCGAATATCTACGCTTCACCACCCACAAATCCCTCACGCATCGTCTCGTCCTATCCACATTAACCGGCCGCCCAGTCCACATCTCTCAGATCCGCTCCTCCTCGCCCACCAACCCAGGTCTTGCGCCGCACGAAATATCTTTCCTCCGCCTGCTCGACAGCATCACCAATGGCTCCGTCATGCAAATCTCCTACACGGGCACGACGCTCACCTATATCCCGGGTCTCATAACAGGCAGTGTCTCGACGGGCGGCGGCGATGTCGTGAGATGCGTCTTGCCGGAAACTTGTCGGAGGGGAGTTAGTTGGTTTCTATTACCGCTGTGTATGCTGGCGCCGTTTTCGAAGGCTCCGATTAATGTGCGGTTTGAGGGGGATGGTGTCATTACCTCGGCGACGGAGACGGGCGATGTTTCTGTTGATACGGTGCGGACTGCTATTCTGCCTTTATACGAAGCGTTTGGGATTATAGGCAGCAAATTGGAATTGAGGATCTTACAACGGTCGTGTGCTGGTGTGGGAGGCAAAGGTGGTGGAGGTGTAGTGGAGCTGAGGTTTGGGAGTCAGGTTAGGTTGCCGAAAACGCTGCATATGAATCGGAGTCCGGGCAGAGTGAAAAGGATTAGAGGCGTGGCGTATAGTACGGGGGTCAGCGCGAGTAACAGCGCGAGGATGATTAATGCGGCGAGGGGGGTGCTGAATCCGTTGGTGCCGGATATACATGTTGCGAGCCAGTATGATCAAGCGCCGCTAGTGGGGGATAAGGGGAGTGCGGGTGGGAAGAAGAGGACGGGGGTGGGGTTTGGGTTGAGTTTGATTGCGGAGTGTAGCTCTGAGGGAGTCATATATTCGGCGGATGTGCCAGCGCCAAGTCAAGGTGGTGTTACGCCTGAGGATATAGGGAAGAGGTGTGCGTATCAGTTATTAGAGATGGTGTCGCAAGGAGGATGTATAACGAGGGTGGGAGCTCCGACTGTCCTGACGTTAATGGCTATGGGATCAGAAGATGTCGGGAGAGTGAGGTTGGGGCGAGAAGTGGTGGGTACTGAAGATATTGTCGGACTAGGAAGAGATCTGAAGAAGTTTGGGGCCAGCGCTTGGGGCTTAAGAGATGCAGAAGAGGATGGCACCGAGGATATAATAGTCAGTGTGAAAGGCATTGGCGTTGGCAACGTGGGCAGAAAGATAGCATAATCAAATCTTGGTCTCAAAGCATCTGTAAAGTGTACGGCGCAAAGTGGTATATTGGTACGTTTTTTGATACAAAGGCTTTTCAGCCAAATCCACCCACTTGTCGCTGGAATCTTGCCCCAGCAGCATTTAATCGACGATTGGCTGCAAGAGCAGTAAACTCAGCAGAGAACCCAGCGCTATAGCCAACCGTTTGTAGTGCCGATTCCGTAGCGTTTCCATAATCTTGCCATTGTCTTCTCAGATTCTGGACAATATGGAAATTTGCTAGGACAGCAGTACCTGACCAGAATATATCCAAGCCAGTATCATCCTCTTCTTCCTCTTCCGTCCTTGGAGGAGGCTCCGCCAGTAACCTCTCTCTTTCTTCGTTCCTTTCTGCATCAGCCTCAACAGTCGCTGATGTTGTAGGTGCTCCGTTCTGCGGAGGTAGAGGTTCTAACTCAACTCCTTCATTACCCGTAATGCCATCTCTCATAATGCCCTGCTCCTCCGCATCATGGTCCTGTGCCGTAGCCACCTCTGCCCTTGGCTGGTCACTCGGAGGTAATGCCGAGCCTGACGATAATGCCGCAACATATTTCGTGAGCCTTTCCCTTTCTACATGGACAGCCAGCATAAAACATTGCAAGCCCAATATCAGCAAATCCAATAACACCAGATGTATCTTGGACGTGGGACCTTTCTGACCGATAAGATCAATGATCACCCCTCCATGTAGATACCCTCGCATAGCCTCTCCAGCTTCTGATCTCGCTGTGAAGATGTGTAGCAGGATGCAGATAATGTTCGGTCCGAAGATAGCGCCTATGTACGGACGGTGTTGCGGCGCTGGAGGGATGAAGTTGGGTTTGGGTGTCAGGAATAGCATCTGGTTGAAGACTCTCAGGAGGAGGCGGAATAACGAACAACTAAAGTCCTGTTAGTATAAATTTCAGAGGAAAGTGGCATGGCACTTACTCCATGTAATACACAATCGAGAGCTCCGCATAGATCAGTATATCCAGATTCGTCATAAGATTTGCAACGAACTCATGTCTCTTCCTCATCCCTAGCAGGACCCTCTTCTGCGCCGGAGACGTAACATCTCTTCTCCTCGTCTGTGCTTGCTGCGCGGGCTCTACGCTGTCTCCAGTTGTGTTTGCGCTGGTATCGGTCCTGGGCAGGTCGGTTGGCGTGGAGTCATTGTTCATAGCTTATGAGCCTCATTGGAAAGGACGGGAGGTTGGTGTGTGGTCTGGGATTTCACATGATTCGGTGAAGTGGTGGAGGGATGGCGGTGAGCAAAGTCGTACTTGCCTGCTCGTGTGAGGTCGAGGCGCGATGAGCTCGGAAGAAGGAACCTGGAAGTTGTCAAGCGATTTCATGTCGCACGTGATGACCTGATCACCGTCAATGCTCGTCGCGTCTCAACGTTCTCACGCTTTGTCAAGTTCTTTTCTATTCACAGACACCGGATTCATACTTTGTTGGGTCTGTTAAATGTGCTGCAAAGTCTCAGCGACATTTCTTGGGCAATAGTCTTGATTTGGAACTCTACCGCCATACTGGACAGCCCCTGAATGCTCAATATCCAGCACATTACCTCCATTGTCTCTTTACATCAGCAAAGCCGTCCTTCCATTTGACCCTTCAAACACTGATTCTCCTACCTCTACATCCCTCACCATGCCTCCCCGCCGGCGGCCAAACCCTCCCACTCCCCCAGATCCAGCAACTCCCTTCCCCTTCACCAAGCTCCCCATCGAGCTCCGCCTCTACATCTGGAACCTCTCCATCCTGCAATTCGTCCACAGCAGCATGATAAACACCATCGTGCCCCTAACCTGGGACCCCCGCCGGCGCGCCTTCCACACGGACCGCAAACCACCTCCCCTCTTACACACGTGCCAAGAATCCCGAACCGAAGCCCTCAAGACGTATCAATTACGCTTCGCTTCCTCGCCTGAACTTGCAAGAGTCTATTTCTCATACGAGCACGACATCCTCATGCTGGTATGGTCGAGCCTTGGTTCGGCGAGGGGAAGTTTGGAGCGGAAGATGGCGGTTGAGGAATGTGGCAACGTGCGGACGATGATGATTAGCGAATCGTGTTTGTTAGATCACGCCGATGACCAGATGCGTGAGTTTTCGCGCTTCACCGGTTTGCAATCCCTCTGCGTGCTCTGCGATCCCGAGAACGTGGAGTGCGGGGACGAGTACGGGGCCGAGGAGATGGCTTTCATTTCCGTAGAGACGGATATTTGGGAGAGAGGGGAGGAGGGGACGGAGGAGTGGCCTGAGTTGGTTTGTTTGCGGGCGGATCTTGAGGATGCGCCGGCTTGCTCGCGGCATTGGTGGTTTGATGGGTGGAATCAGAGGGCGGCGATCAAGCAGGGCAGAAGTGGCCTGAGTTGATGGGGAGGTGTTTGAGGGTGACGAAGGAGGATGATGGGGGAAATGATGCGGTTGTTTTGTTGAATATGCTGTATATGCATGCTACTGGACAGACGTTTCATTGAACTGGGCGGCAATAGCGAGGCGTTATATACCATTATTATTTCTTGCGGGCATTGTTGAAGCCAGTGGCTTTGTTTTTGGGAAAGGATTCTAAGGGTTACAGTCTTCTGTGGAAGGGATCCGAAGGATTTATTGTAGTACTGCCTGTACAAAATAAAATATTCGAGAATATAAATTCAAGAAATTTTGGCAACAGAAGCTGCAAATGCCATGAAAGTGCTAGAACTGACTTGTCAAGTCCAAGTGGACCAAATGCTTCAAGCACAATACCCAAACAAAAGGAGTTTACCACTTCACTACTCCGCAGGCTCAGGTTGATTCCGATATAGACAGACAATACAATGATCATTGACCTCAAGAACAAATGACAGAACACACATTGAGGACAAGTTAGGCAAATAGTTTACAAGCCCAACTTCATCTGGTGATCCGATGTCCCAAGTGGGAGTATGAGATATCAAAGAGAGCATGTCCAAGGAACAGGCTGAACACTTACAAATCGGAAGGGTTTTAAGCAGCTCAGGACTACGAGCACATCTTCTCACAACGCCCTAGTAATTCCAAAATGGCCGTAGCCATATCATTGTTTGTTATCACGCTGTTGTCTATCGCCGCTGGTCAAAACAACACAATGTCCACCAGTCAGCATTTCCATCTGACTGACCAACGCCGCTGCCATGGATGGACGATTTGTCCTCCACCAAACGCCTCGCAAATTCAATTACCGGTAGTGTATGATTCAAAAAGAAGGAAACTATCGTAACCTTGACCTCCACGCGCCGATGCTATGCCCGAAATTGTGTGTACCAGGATTTTTATGCTACCTTGCCTAATCGATCTCTATGACCTTGTGCCTTGGATTGCCTCGATCTTGACTTTGGCTCTGACTTTGACTGGGAGTGGGTTGCTGCCTTTGCTGTTGCGGTTGTCGAGAAGGCGGGGCTTGAGTCGGAGCTTGCTTCGGAATGGGGGCCGGGACGTCAGCAGCTTGTTGAGATTGAATGCCTACATCGCTCATAGCAAAAGTCCGCACAACGTCATCCATTTTCGCCAAGAGCTCTTCGATGCCATTTCCTTGTCCAGCTGCACTACTCATCATGGCTCGCCATCCTGGTCCAGATGTCGTCCACAGAGGCTTTAAGGCAGTATCAAGATTGTCCCAGTCCTTCAGTCGTAAATTGTCGGTACGATGAAGGTGCCACCAAGGCTCACCACGACGCTGTCGTAGCCTTAAGTCGAATAAAACCCTTCGTAGCCTTGGAGGGGTAGTTTGATTTTGCGCCGCCGGTTGCCTCAGGTTGTATCGTATATTATACCAATCAGTCGCCCTGGCGGTGACAAAAGCTTCCCCTTTTTCGTAAAGAGCGCTGTCGTTCCACGCTTCTTCGATGGCGGTCAATCCTCTCAGGAGTGGAAGTGTCAACGTCAAAAGAGTAGCAACACCATTGAGACCCTCTGCGCTGTTCAGAACATTGGTCAAGAAATTCTTGATACGCAGATGTGGGTTAGCTTTTTCGAGAATTAAAGTCATTGTATTCTCCCCCGTGCTGAAGTCGACTGTGGCGCTGTACTGCAGCGAAGGACGGGTCGCGGGACTTGGGTCGGACTGTGTTGAAGACGCTTGCCCGTACTTGAAGACGATCTTGCCAAGTGAGACACTTTCGCACTTCAACGTCTTCTCGTGTTTTTGTAGAACATCCACGAATTGTACAAGCCTACCAATGCCAGTGATCCGCTCTATAAGTTCAGGAATGACCGACTCTCCGATTTTGCTGTACAGCCGCAAAGCGAAAGATCCGGTCGTAGGGTGAAATGCAATATCTGGATCGACCTTCTCGTTCAGGATTGCAAGATTCTTGGGTAATGGGACAATCATGCGTGCCTCTGTGACAAGTACAGCTTTTTCTTCCATGATTGTTGGACGTCGGATCAACGTTGCATTTGATGATTGAGTTGCAGTAATGGAGGTTTGTGACAGCGCATTGATATCATTAGGACTTGGTGCGTGGACCTCGACGCCCTTGTATGTCAATTTAATGACATCTTTTTTGGCCCAGAAAGCTTTCGAGTTCATCATTGTAGGGCTGTCTCGTAATAATTCCGAGATTTTGACGAAGATTACCGGCAGTGTCAACGATCTAGATGGCGGTCCTTGTCGAAGCATTTGACGAACACGCTTAGCGTGGAGGGTTTTGAGGTTCGCGTAGTACGACAGGAGACCACCAGTGTAAATGTTCAGAGCGGTCAAGAACATGTAGTTAATTGTGGGCGAAACGGTCTTGATTTGCACCTTCAAGAAAGGACCAATTCCGAGAGCATTCGGATTAGGGTCTAAGGGAGTGGCTTGTCTCATCCTACCGAATTTAGCACTTCAGTGTCAACGGGAAGGGTGAAAGACTTACAGTTTAATTAAAAACCAATTTGCCCCACTCATACTTAGGCAAACCAGAAGATACCAATCCTCGGCCCATCCAGGTCTCCTAAGCCACAGGGACATTTGGGTATTTTTGGGTATTGATTCAAATAGGACACTTCGTTTGATACCCGGATCCGGTAGTCGTCTCCATCCCAGAGACACGCCGCGAGTTACAATGTCATCTGTGATAAAGGAATATCGAAGATTTTCGAGAACGCGAAGTGCTTTGTCGATTGTATCTTCCATTCTTTTACCAGTTGAATCTTTCGGGTCTCTGGATGGTGCATTCATCATCACCTCGTATTTGTGTGCCATGAGCATGGTCGGCGAGAACACAAACCGGCCAGAAATCGGATCGATCTTAAGAGAAAGTCGCCGTTCATTTGTCAAGCTTACTTCGAGCTCTGGTTTAGACGGGTCATCTGGAGACGTAACCAGAGATATGCCCAATTCGCGATTGGCGTAGAGTGTATGTGCACTCAGCTTGTCGAATATAACAGTCAATATGTGGCTGATGTGCATCGCAATTACCACTCTCAACAGAGACTCTGTAGATATGTTCACAGTGTCGAACGAGATGTCCGCATCCTTGACTTCCTTGTGGTCCCGAAACCACCTGAGGGACAAGCGGCTCGTGGAGTTCGCGTCTGGTCGGCCGTCTTCTCGCTTGCCGCTATGCACACCGAGGATGATCCAGCTCTTGGTTCCTGAGCCATTGTACCGATCGAGCCAATATTGAACAGACAGTGCCCTATTTAGAGCTTCTACTTTCAGAGTTTCCACCCATTTCGCCCTGCCAAGGTCAATGGCTTGATGTCTGAACTCGCTAATCTTGTAGGTCAAAATCATTTCGTGCAAGAACTTATAACACCCGGAAAGGCCATCTCTGAGCAGTATCTCGTTGACCCTACTCTCGATGAAAGTTCGAGCTCTTGGCGTCAGAATGGACGCAGAAGGCCAAAACAAGAACCGAAAGTCAATAAACCAGAATTGAGATTGCGGTTCCTCATCAGCAATCGTCACATCCAATTCAAATTCTCCTTCAACCTTGAATGTGGCACGACCAGATTTGATGGTGAAATCCTTGAATTGAAGAGGAATTGAGTCGTAATCGTCGAGATTTAAACGCGCCGAAAGCAGAGTATTCAGTTTCTCCAAAGACTGTAGTACGTCTTTAGATGTCAACGGTGGCTGCGAGATGTAGCCCAACTGTCAAATATTAGCACTAATTCACTCGTTGTACAAAAATTCTTACGTCGGGCATCCAATGAGCTTTCCCCGTAGTTAAAACTGGCACCGCTGTTTTCAAATCTGGATTTGGCCACCTCTTTTTCGGATCGGTAGAAAATGACCTCCTTCTAAAAGCCAGCTCATCTATACAAGCAGTATAAAACGCCTTTTCCTGGTCCACATGCACTTTTATGTCAACGGCCCTGCTAACCTCGTCGGCCTTTCGACTCCAACCGGTGACTACCAGCGCCTTCGTCCATGACTCGTGAGTGTTGGTAGCAAAGTCCAATAAGCGTTTCTTCTTCGCCTGGTTTTCGGGAGAATTGTCATCTGTAGACGAAGAGTGAGAGGTGTTTCCATTAGTCATTGAAGCAGGTAGAGGCATCTGGGCCAGCTCCGTCAATGTCGCTTGCAGGGCTGTGTTAGAATGTTGCGCCAATCGACTTAACAGGCCTGAGAGCGGCATATAACCCTGCGTGATGTGAAGAATCTCCGGAGGCAGCTGGTCCACACGATTCTGCATGTCATGTCCATTGCCAGCTCCATTTGCGTGCTGTGGATCATCTGAGAAGGTGCCATTGATGCCATTCGGCATGGTTGGGCTGATCGGTGTCATATTCTGTTGAGGCTCAACACGTCCTTTGCCCTTGTCTTGCGTCTTCTCGGAGGTGTAGATGATTCCATTGACGCCGTTATGCCGTTCATCTCTGTCGTGATTCGTGTGCGATCCGTTCCTGCTCCCGTGGTCCATGATGACGCCGGGCATACTCGTCGTCGCTGAGTCCCCTTCCAATCTCTCCACCCCCCGCTGGACAGCCCCAGCAGCCCCCTCTCCAGCCTTGGTTCGCTCCGTCGACTCTATCTTGGCCGATATGATGTGGGATGCCAGCCGAGGCGTTCGAGGGCCCCAAGGAGCGATGGCAGAGGCGCAAGCGCTATCTCAGATGACCGAGGAGCATCGGCGCGATCCAAGGTATCGCACGACGGTGAGCACTGCTACGCCGATGAGTATTCGCAACCAGAGATGTTGCGCGGCTCTTTGGTTGAACGGGGGAGAATGTAGAGCGCGACCTTGCAGAAGATGGCTGGGTCGTGTTCGCGGCTGGATCGAAAATGTCGAATTGTTCGAAGGTGAGAGCGCGCCGAAGTCAAGAATTGGAGGTCGTCGAGTGTGGGGTATTCAGAATGGCAGTTGTCGTTGCACAATCGTAAGTGATAAATGCGGCATGAGTTGTCGTTGATCGAGCTACAAAGAGTTGGCGGTCCTTCCCTTCATCATCCGGGAGTTTGCGAGGCACTAGAGAGAAAGGGCGTCTGGGCGAGACACGTGACTGGCCTTATTTCCAGGTCGGTTCTGCGCTCCTGGATCTGGATCTGGATCTCGTTTCTGCAGTCGCGCGAGCCGAAAATAGGTAGGGGACGGTACGAGGGAGCAGCTGGGTGGTGAATGATAAATTTCGATGAAATTATGTCAGGATGAGGTTTTGGAAATGGCTTGCAATCAAGATATTGGTTGCGTCTGTTTGATGGTGAGTGTACCTATTCAGGACCGACGATTCAAACCATGCCTAAACCACGTGGTCTCCTCACGGCGACCTTTGATCAATGGATCAATGTTCTGGGCGGAACGAATGCCCGATTCTTTGTTCTCCGGATCAATTCCAATGCATGGGGATGCGTACAGTATTCGATCAAGATCTTGTCAAAGAGCCAAAGACTACCTTGGGTCCTACAGTACCTACTCATTCTCAGGCCAGTCACCCGTCTCCATTATTGATTCATTTTACATAAGCTTGCGGTCGCTTCCCTTGTATCAAATCGGCGTGTACCCCGGCCTCTGCCCTGCTTTTTGCTGTTGAATGGGAGAACAAGCCAACCGTCATCGAAGTGGTACAGTAGGCCAGAGCCAGCTCCTGGAGCCCATCACAATGCTATATCCTCAAAACCGACCTCTGCCAGACGAGAATACCTTCACTTTTCATGTGAAATACCTGCAATGACTTTCTCTGATCTCTCCCATAAGCTGCAGCAACCTGCTTGCCTGTCTCAAAAAGTGGTCGTGACAGGACCCCCTGGTGCCCATCTCTTTTCAGGGTAAAGCTCACGTCTATCTTGAGCACCTGAGCTGCGACTCTCTTTATCTCCCACCCATCGTGCTCTGGTTCTCTGGCCGTCATGACCGTTGGGTCTCTGCTCTCTCCGCTCGCTGTCCGACTCTCACACGCAGCCACAGCTCTGGATGTCTCCCGCAACGCAAATGCTTGAGAGTCGTCTGTTCCACAAACGCGGTTGCACGATGCTGACGTTGTGCTCGTTACTGGTCGGAACCCCAGCTTTGTAGTAGTGTAGCAGCGCTGCACCGCACACCTCAGCCAACAGCAGCAGCACAGGCACCGATCGAATCATGGTACCTCGGAATGAACCACGACTTCCAGAACCGCGCCCCTTCCCTCAACGCGCCATCTCCTCCAACAGCGCAAAACGTTCCTATCGATCCTACCAATCTCATTCCTCGTCTTTCGAGGCAGACGATGAACGCTCGAGTTCTCCAGACAATCAAAGCATGGGAGAAGACGACGGTTTCCGGGATGTCCCTTCGCAGTACCCAGGCGAGGATACGCGCTTGACTTCACGCAAAGAGCTGTCGGGTTGGTATACATACGCGTTCGCGGCCGAAGTCTTCGTGATTTGTGGCATAGGTGCGTCCTATTATTATTTGAAGCTTCAAGAATACTTGGGACCTTGCAGACAGCTTGTGCCGTGTTGTATGTGCATAGGAAGAGTGGGGAGCTCAAGTCAAGCACTCCAGAAGCTGCACACGGCTCTGCGGCATGCATCTTGAAACCCCCGCATCCCCATACTCGTTCCCAAGCTGTGTCACCAAGTACTAACGCTATAATTCAGGATCCTTCATTCCAATAACCCTCGAGCAACTCGCCCGCGAAAATGGCTATCTTGTCTCGGACCCTTCGAAGCCATGTCCCTCGAGCTCAGATCGTCTGCCGCCTGGCTTAAGTCCTAGTCCAGACTCTGCAAAGGATGCACAATGTGTGATATACTTTCTGGGGATGCAGATCAACACCGCCAGCTTTGCCATGTACACTTTCTCACTCAGTGTACTTGTACAATCCCTTCTTGTGGTCTCCATAAGTTGTGCTGCGGATCATGGCAACTACCGGAAACGATTGCTCTTGACATTCGGATGGGTAGGGTCAATAGCGACCATGCTATTCCTCCCTGTCGTGCCCAAAGTATACCTGTTAGCATCTCTATTTGCGGTCATTTCAAATACCTGCTTCGGTGCAAGCTTCGTTCTTTTGAACTCTTTTCTACCACTCTTAGTCCGGCATCATCCAAAGACACAATACCAAACTCCAATCCTTACACCAGAACTCCAGCCCTCTGAGTTCGAAGAGCAGGAACATCCAAATGCAGAAGAGGGAAATCCTCCTGATGATACCACTCCTCTATTGTCCTCAGCTCCGGACACGACTGTTCCACTACCACCAGCTGAGAACGTCACATCTGTTGAGCTCCAGCTTTCGACTCAAATTTCCTCAACTGGAATTGGTATTGGCTACAGCGCCGGGCTCTTCCTCCAGTGCATATCGATTATCACCGTATGGCTGATGGGTAGCACAACCTTCTCCCTGCGATTCGTAATATTCTTAATTGGGCTCTGGTGGTTCGTTTTCACGATTCCTGCTGCTATGTGGTTGAGACCGAGGCCAGGACCTCCATTACCTTCAGACGACCCCGATAATGCAGAAGCTCAACGTAGCTGGTTCTCATATATTGTCTATGCGTGGATGTCTCTATATAGGACAGTCAAATTGGCACGACGCCTGAAAGATATCTGCCTTTTCCTCGCCGCTTGGTTCTTGCTATCCGACGCAATCGCTACCGTCTCCGGAGTTGCAGTTCTATACGCCAAAACTACATTACACATGAAACCAGCAGCTCTCGGCCTGATCAATGTCATTGCCACAACAGCGGGTGTACTTGGCGCATTTTCTTGGTCCTTCATATCTCGCTATTTCGGTCTCAAACCCCACCAAACGATTCTCGCCTGCATCTGTCTTTTTGAGATAATTCCAATCTACGGTCTTCTAGGATTCTTACCATTTGTGAAGCAATGGGGTTTCATCGGTCTACAACAACCATGGGAAATGTATCCTTTAGGCTTCGTCTATGGCTTCGTCCTTGGTGGTCTAAGTAGTTACTGCCGATCACTCTTTGGCGAACTCATTCCACCCGGATCCGAGGCTGCATTCTACGCCTTGTACGCTATCACAGACAAAGGGTCTTCGATCTTCGGACCAGCGATCGTAGGAGTCATTGTTGATCGCTACAACGACATCCGACCCGCGTTCTGGTTCCTCGCGTGCTTAGTCGGGATACCAGCCCCGTTGATATACTTCGTGAATGTGGATAGGGGACGGAAAGAAGGTGCCAAGCTGGCAGAATTCATCGAGGGGTTCAGGTCGAGGGAAGAGAGTACAGAAGCGAGCGGAGCGCAGAGCTTATTGGATAGTGAGGGCGACTATGAGGAGAGAGTGCATAGGGATTAGGATCTCGGCGTTTGTTTGATTGGCATATAGGAATTCTGCATGGCGGCGGCGTCGAGGCATTTTCTGATGTTTGTGTGCATGTGTTGCTATTTTTGTATTCGTTATATCATTCATGCATTTTGTTGTGCTGAAATATCCAGCTACGTTGTTCTCTTCCATCGAATCAACTTTGTTTGTGCTCAAATTGTCCCGGATCACTTGAAAGACTTGGCTTGTTGCAAAAGTCCGGAACCTTGAAACATAAGGTTCCGGAAACATAATTCCACAAGCACTACTCACAGGCTTGAGTATTTCACTCCTGTTGTTGTCAACAGTCCACTCCTCACTCTATACTCCTTCAAACTTAAGAAATGAACTGTTACCTAAGTCCTCCCCTTTCCCACAACTTCATCAGAATGAAAGCTTCACCACAGTTCCAAGGCAGCTGGATGCTTGGAACAATGATTGGACGATCTATGCTCTACCCAAAGCTAAGCTTCAAAGACTTATACACTCGTCTAAATGTTGTCTTCCGCGAGACTTAAAGCTAAGACAGCTTAAAGATAAATGTTCACCTGAAATAAATTGCTGATGGGCGAAAGAACAAGTTGAGTAGCTATTCTACTCATCTCACAAGCGAACCGTCTCACAGGCAAACCAGTCGTGACGCGACATGCAACAAAACTTTTATTGTCCGTCCTTGAGGACTGACTTTGAAGTATAGTTAAGTATTAGACTATTATTTGCTACTTAATATACTGTTGCTGCTATGCGATTTACCGTTGCTACTATACAAGTTACTGCTGCCACACAATTTATCGCTGCTATTATGTGAATTGCTATTATTTGTAAAAAAAAATGCGACATGCAACAAAAACTCTATTGTCCATCTCCGAGGACTAACTTTAAAGCTATTTAAGTGTTAGGCGGTTATTCTGGGTTTACATTGCTACTCGATTTATTGTTGCTGCTTTGCTAATTATTGTTGTTGCTTTAAGGGTTATTATTGTTGCTATACAATTCATTGCTGCTATTATGTGATTTGCTATTATTTGTAAAATGCGATCTGCAACGAAAAAAAACCCCTATTGTCCGCCCTCAAGGACTGACTTCAAAGCTGCTTAAGTGTTAGGCGATTATTTTGGGCTACTACTCGATTTACAATTGCTGCTTTGCAAGTCACTATCGTTGCTTTGCAGTTTACTATTATTGCTATGCAATTCTACTATTATCAAGTAATTTACTATTATTTGTAAATTTACGATATGCAACAAAACTTTTATTGTCCGTCCTCAAAGACTGACTTTCAAGTTACTTTCATTGAATATCAAACTACAATTTTAAGTTGCTTTGCTATTCATTATCGTTGCTTTGTAGTTTATTATTGTTGAATTAATTGCTGCTATACAAATTACTACCATTTGTAGAAATGCGACGTGCAACAAAGTTTTTATTGTCCGTCCTCAAGGACTAATTGTAAAATTGCTTAAGTCCTAAACCTTTATTTTAAACATAACTTACCAGTATATACCCCACTCAAGTTTCACCACGAATTACATAATATGTCCTCTCACCACACTATATATACTCGGCTACACTTTTTTATCGTTTTTTTTTTCTCGTTATACCACTAGTTCACTATTACCGAAAGCACTATGCTCTGCCCGCTGGGCTCCATTTTTGAACGGATTTTTCCGCGGATCAGTAAGATTTGCATAAGGTATAAGTAGTCGTGAAAGCTAGTGCGTATGTAGTGTTAAAGAACGACAGTGGGTATCTTTTGTTGGCGATAAAAGTTTAGCTTTCAATTAATTCTTGTTTCATTAGTCGACAGTGGCAATTTACAGTCATTGGTCCCAATCCTTTCTTTCACTTTTGATTTGCACACTTTCATCAAAGAGGTATTTGCTGCCAAAATTGCCTTCACAAAGCTTTGCCATCCGCATTGTACGCTTTCTTCTCCTTCTTTTTCAACTTCGTTCAACTTTTATGTACTTACATCAATAATAAACGAGCCTCATTGGCCGGGGGCAAGGGGAATAATATACCGTTTGTGGACTTCTAGATCGTATAACGGTTCTTGATAGTGGGTTGCCTGGGTATATATATATTAAAAAAATGCGGATTCGAGGTTTTGAGGTTGTGTATTCACTATTTCAAATTCGGAATTCCAGATGCTCTGTTCTCTTCTCCGTATTCACTGCTACTGACCGTGAAGCTGAAAATTTTTTCTGAACGTCTTACCAAGTATAAAAACGACGCTCCACTTCTCTATATTGTGAACCCACAGTGTTCATAAACCTAGCAACCACCTGCCCCGGCTCAGGAGGCTTCGCTATCCGTTCAAAGCATGTTTATTTCTTATTTTTTTTAATTGTCTCTCATTAGCATACAAGTTCTTTCTGAGTTACCTACGGAAAGGAAGGAAGAAAGAAAGAAAGAAGGAGAACAGTGAAAGTTGACAACAACAACTATTGCTGTCACGCAATATCATATTCTCAAAATGCCCGTGATGTTGCTTCACTTTGTGAGTCTTGAAACAACAGATTGACCCCCTCCTCATGTAATATACTACACGCCGTCTCTCTTTTTGCGACCAGCTCTTTGCTTTTCAGTACGTACACGAGGTGTCTTCTTGGATGGTGTCGACTCGTTGCTCTTCTTAGAGAAGTCTCCTGTCGTAAAGAGGTCTCGCGTAAACATTGTATCTAGCATCGTTAGCATATTAGCATAGAGAGTGTTTTTGTGTAAACAATAAAACTTGGTTTGTAATGTCGTCTCGCATAGATAGTGAATCTTGGTTTCACTTGCTTTCAACCAAGTAAAGTAATACAATTCACTCTGTAAACGGACTGGCGGACGGATGAAGAGTCACGGACCGACGAAGAGTGAATGTAAACCACGACTTGATTCTGGAAAAGCCACAGCAAGGCTGTGAGCGTCAAGGTATATATAGGCCGGGCCGGTCTTTTTTTTTTCCGCTCCGTCAAAAGTTGGTCGTAGAGCTGAAAGACTTATTGGGGACTGGAAGGAGACACTGTTATTGTTGAGGTCCTGGAGCGACCTCCTTTGCGTTTCTATCTTAGATGTTGAGAGTTATAGCGACGAATATCAAGTTATCAAAAAGGTTGACAATAGAAACAATTTTGGCGACAAATATTTTATCTGAACCTTAGGCGAGGCGATGTACATGTCCATTGCACTTTTCTACTTCATCTGCTCTAGTCTTTGTTGTCCCATTCCCCAAAATCTGCTCCATGCAAACCACAAACCGTAGATCACAGATGACTTCTGTGCAGACGATATTTCAAGTACTTAACAGCTCTAAACTAGCAGAAGTGGCGGTATTTATCGTTCCCAAAAAGGCGGTAGTGAGCACTCACATGTTCTACGTACGGCTGTGGAAGCGTGAATTTGACGCAGTGTTTGTGCGATTTGTGACACATAACTTGGATGGGAACATTCTATTCTGCCCATTCATTTCTTTGTCCTCGAAACGTGAACTATTATCGTGAGGTACAAATAAGTTAACTTTCGACCAGGAACTAGAATGATAATGAGGCCTGCAACCGCAGGACCTGGAGGCTACATGGACGGGAGATGAGGAGCTCTCCCTGTTTGTTCTGTGGTTTATGGCCCGGTTCATGTGTGCTAAGAGATTACAAGGCGTTGAGAGGAAGGACACCAGTGCTGACGCGAGAAAGAATATGTGAATCCAAGGGAAAAAAACTATGGAGGGTTTGCTGTCAATTGTATCTATCACCGTCACTTCGCTAAGTCGTTGATTTCCTCCCAGTCTTTCCCACGTCCGTAGTCCGTCTAAAAGTCACAACTTGACATGGTTGCCGCAGATCTTCCTGATCTACAGTTGGTAGTCAAGCTTACCCTTGCCCTTGCCCATACCGAGTATCCTACTGCGCCTCACCTACACTTTCCCAGGATGTGGACAAGGTGCACTTCATGTGTGGTGTGGCAACATCAAAGACGCAGTAATCAGCAACATATCGAGTTCTATAAAGATGTTCAAGTCGTGGTGCTGTGAAGGCTATCTTGATTCACTCTCTTGACATCAAACCTACTCTACCTACAAAAGCCATCATTAGGCTTATACGAAGCACAATGAACGACACTCAACTCCAACAAGCTCTCATGAGTACCGCAAAGGTATCCGAAATTGCAAGATGGGACATGTTCGCACCCGAAGCCGCTCGAGGCAACGACAACACCCTATGGTCAACAATGGCCGGCACAATCAGAGTTCTTAGTCGGACATATGCAATGTCAGCAAATCCCATACAGCTTTATGAACTCGAGATCCGAGATACCTGGTTCCTGTTCATCCTTTCAGCAAAGGTTATCGATGCGCATCATCCTGCTCAAGACCGTCTGACACGCTTGATTCTTTGGGCACGCGAGCTTGGTGTTCTTAAACGAACTTTGAATTCCTCCCAGACCCCGCAACAACCAATTGGTCAAGATGATGGAACTAATGTTGGATTTATCGTCGGCTCTGAAGATGACGTTGTTGTCCAACATGCTGCAACGTCAGCAGGACGCATCTGGCTTGACCTACCTTTCCTGATCCTCGACCTTCAGGACGCTTGGAAGACGGTCATGAATCCTTCTGAACCTGCGAATCATCGCTGTAACCTTGCCTCCGCGATAGCAAGACTTGCTGGGGTTGGTCTCCTCGACGAAGCTCTCGCCGGCTGTGGGTTGTCTGTTCTCAGTCTGGCACTCGAAACCCCTGAGAGCGAGTCCACTTCGAAGGGTCTTATGTTGCAACTATCACAATTATTGCCGATGGTTCAAATATGGTTACACTACGCAGGAGATAAGCTCCTTCAGTTGAGTCTTGCCAGTCATCCAGTTGATGACACTGCTTGGTATACTGAAGGTTCAGCTCATGGGCAACTAGCTTGCGATGCTGAGATTGATACTGCGAGCTTGAATAGGGAAAGATTTCAATTCTGGAAGACGAGATTGTCGGAGTTGAGAAAGACGGATCATGAGGCTACGAGCAGGGTGGCTGATTCTTGCTTTAATATCATAGAGGGAGTCTGGAAATCTGTTTTTGGGTTGAGTTAGTATATGGATGGTAATTGTGAGGCTAGAGATAGGGCTGCGACTGTTATTTAGTAGCTCTTTCATTGATTTTTCACGGCATTCACATCGGAATATGGGACTACTTGCAAACGAAGTTATGAGAAGTCAGATTTTGCAAGTGGCTATTTGAGAACATAAATGACGCCGTTTTGAGATACATGCTACATAGTCTAGTAGGGAAATTTCAACCGAAATAAGTGATATGAAAGAAATCTTTCTCATTAGCATGCGCAATGAGATCATGATTTTTCTGCTTCAGATCATACCCTGTCATAGAAAGATGTTCATTTGCTATGTCCCAGCTAATACTCCCTACCGTCTCAGGTATTCAGAACAATCCTCCCGTGTAGTTGAAGCTGCAATCTTCCCTTGTAATCCGGATTTTAATAATCACACGAAATTTGCACAGAGGTAGGTGGGTCGCAGACAGTGGTTGCGGAATCGTCGTAGCAAAGACCTGAGAACAGAGTAAGCATATAACTTAAGCTACAGAATATCTAGCAGTGTCGATGGGAGCGAGATCTTCCCAAACGCACCATCGCCTTCGCAATAACAATAGTTTCCGATCCCAGAATCGGGGTCAGCCCTGTGTTATTATCAGCTGCTAAAGTCTTTATTGCTCAATTACCAACTGGCTGTAGCAAGGTCCAACTTGGCCCATAGCAAGACCAAGGAAAGCGAAAGTGAGGGCAAGCATGGAGGGCTGCAATTTTAAAAAGCAATATTATGGGAAATCAAGTAAATAGTAGTTATGATAGCTGACTGTGGAGTTGACGTTGTTCTGGTCTTATCCTAAGGTTGGAAGAAATTTATGAAGAAAGTGTCAAGAACTACTTATAGTTAGCCTTTTGTCAACTTGACAATTGGTGCATAATATCAAGCTTCTAGACTCTCCATGCTGGCAAGGATTAAGATTCCAAAGCTACCTTGAATCAGCTTCTGCGCGCGATAGGCTAATAGCTCAATGCGTCAACGAGGATCGCTCGTAAGCGTTACTCCATACACCATCAGTGGTTGATCAAAAGGCGCAGTATATGGTGCCGTGCGTGAGAATAAGCAGTTGTTACCATGGATTGTAGGTAAGTTCCTGCCATGAGACCTCTTACAAGTGTTTTCAGCAACCGACACTTCCGTAAGGTGGACTACCACGCCGCTGGGGGGCAAAAACACAACAGGGTTACGAGTCTTGAAAGACTATGTTACAATACGCCGCACAAGAAGCAAATGCCATCAAGCAAAGAGACTATTACGATAGGTTTTAGCTGAGACGCTGTTGGGTGGCATAGACAATAGGTCATCGTAAGCAAGAAGGCTCAATGCTGTCATAAAGCTTACAACAAATTTCATAAACAGGGTTCCCCTCTCGGAATGCAAGCACAAAATAGTAATAGCCTCGCGGTGGACAAAAAAACCCGGACTAATTAAGCGATAGTTCGAGCAATACACTTTATTTAATTCTTAATTCTGACGTCTTAGAAAAATCGGGAAAGTAAAGAAATTAATTCATTAGATAGCTGGGATTTAGGTGTTTTTTATCGGATATAATTTCATGAGTATGCGTTAAGTATTGATAGTTTAATATTGTTGTGAAGCGAGGGTTATTGTTCTTGAAGTGTCTATTTCGTCCGGGTTTTTTTGTCCACCGCGAGATAGCATACTCGAAGAATTTTGACTCTTTCCCTCAGTCAGACCAACATTGCATCTTATTTTAAGGAATATTCTCTGTTTTGGTCAATAAAACAAAGCCGACGTTTCACAAGACACAGCAGACTTTGGATAGGTCAGAAAATGCGGATGCGATCATATAAGAAAAGAGGACGGCCTCCACGGTTGTGTTTGCAAGTATATAAGTAGCATGCATCTTGATCATAGCTCCAAGCTTTACAGAGACAAGTATTCCACACTAGCTTCCAACTTTCTAGTAGTATTTTTCAGACATCAAGATTCTAAGTTCAAGATGAAGTTTACTCGAACCATTTGTCACTTCATTGCTGGTCTTACTTTAACTACCGCTGTCCTCGCAGCTCCATCTTTCGACTCTCTGCTAGCCCGAGCAGGCCTCGAGCGCCGCACAGTATGTCCAGGAGTAAGTATTTCTAGCTTACCCCTCGATTTGATACTACAGAAAAGCAGAATTAATTGTTCATTAGTTCCGTAACATCGCTGGGAATTATTGTGACTGGGCTTGCCAAGATGGCAGTGGTAGGGTAGGCATTTGTACATGCAGCACAGGAAACAATGTAAGTTGTCAAAAATCTGCCGAAAATACATGTCTTGTATTAATGGTCAAAGTGCGGGGTTACCGATGGTCGTTGCTATTATGACACTGTGACCTTGAATTGCGTTTGCCCCACAGGGACGTAGAGCAATCTTGGGTTTCTTTAACAGAAGGCAGATGAGACAGATCGGACTGTGGACCATCTAGACTATTACCAAGTCTGGCAAATTTCAATAGAAGATAGCACAGCCTTGCACATCAATGGTCTCTTTTTCCATTCGTAAATCGCTTGATCTTAATCTCTAGTGAAGCTGAAAAGGGAATTTGAAATTTGACATGGACGCTAGTTTACACAAGTTACAGAAGGGGCCGAAGAAAGATACACTCCCATAATCTTGGAAATTTGACACACCTCTAGACCATCATACAAAAGCAATTAACTAGATATTGCAGAGCTCAAGGACAAAACAGAAAGGAGAACGATGATGGAAAGGACATTGCAGCAGGTAAAAGCATTCAGGCAAATGTAAACACCTCTTCTCGCTCAACGATCACGACCGTAATAAATGCTGCCATCAATTTTATCAACACCACCGTGTCCATATGAGCGTACCTGAGGCAATACTGCCTCGATATTTCTTCGCCAGACATCGAGCAAGACCCGTACTCTTTCTTTCCATTCAAGCTCACCCCTGGCTCCAAGTCCTGCGATTCAAGAGTCTTTGCTTTTCATTTTACTCATCGAAAAGGACCTAGCATCTGAAGGCTTTGCCGCTTTACCTCGTATCTAAACTCGAGGTAAACCTTCTTCGCATCTCTTCGGGACGTACTTTCTCCAGGTAGCTAACTAGTGCCATGAGGCATCTCCTTGACTTGATTGGATTGAAACATAACGATATTGACTGGCTGCAGATATTGCTTCGGGGTCAACTCAAATTCGGTTTCTTCCACCCAGTGGGGGATTTCGAACATGACGTGGTGAGAGGCGGCATTTATTGGTACGTAGTGCATTAAGGCGTCGTCGGCGGAAGAGTAGGGTGCTAAGGCAGCTGCTCTTGTGCCGACTGCGGTGTTGTGCCAAAATCGTCAGGTCCGTAGGGCTGGGATGGAGCCACGCGTTGAAAGCGACCTATTGTCGGGCCTTGACTGGTGCTATGGACACTAGAGCTGGAAGCATTCATCTTGGTGTGGTAGCGCAAGTACCCTTGGCAGATATTCCTATACAATAGCACTTCTCTGTAATCTGAGTAGTCCCACCTTTCTGGAACAGGGTGCTTTTTCCAGTACTGATATCGGTTCACTGCCCCCGCATCGAGTAGTAGGCAAGCGGCTTCGGGAGACTTGCCCATTACAGCATGGTCTAATGCTGTATAGCCAGTCAAGTCCCGCGTTTCAATTCCGACACCATGGTCAAGAAACATCTTAAGCAATTTGAGCTTCGTTATATCCTGATCAGGATTCATCGGTTCATAGTCAGGCAGCTTTGCAGCCTCGATAAGAATGCTCGAATACTTGAAAGCATTGATGTTTGCTCCAACAGCTAATATCAGTTCGATAATTTCGAGTGTTCTTGTAGTCCTGTTTTTTACACTATGGAGGCATCGAAAGGCCATGTCCAAAGTGTTATTAATATCCGAACCGCAGATAGATGGGCCGCCCTTGCTGATGACAAGTTTCGCCATGTCTCGTATGGTCGGATTTGAAGAATTTCTTGCGTAGAGTACCGAATAACCAAGGCTTGTTAGGTTAGGCGGTTGAGGAGGTACTGACGTGGAAAAAGATATTCGATTTAAGATAAGACGCATACTTGCTCCGCGCTCGCTGAGGAGTTCAACTATTGCCTGGTTGTTTTTCCGAAATGCTGCTTGCAGAGCAGTTTCTCTGCGCTCATTCTGTGCCTCGATAGCTGCTCCATTATCGAGTAAATATATTACCATAGGTACAGAACCTTTCCTGCACGCACTGATCAGTGCTGTGTCGGACCCCCGCTTCCCATAACTCCTCCTCGCATCAACACTTGCTCCCCTACTCAGTAGTGAAGTGGCTGTGATTGTGTCTTCTCTGTCACAAGCATGAACAAATTCGTCGTTCAAATCGAGGATCCAAGCCATGAACATTTTCATTTTCGAAATCTTGCGTTCCGAAGAATGGGTCCTGTGGGGATTTGTAGGACTGTTGTCGTTGACAATAGGTTTGAGAAGGGCGCTGCTAGCTGTGGCAATATCTCTGGTCATTTCGGCCTGACTTTCGTTAGCACCAGGGGACTCGAATTGCCAAGTAGAGCAGAGTATGTTGTTACAGGGTTTCGAGATGGTAAGCTCGGATGTTCCCTGGACTTGGAATGATTATGGAGCCCTTGATCGTAAGAGGCATTACTAGGGTTCCGGGAATTCTGTTCTTGCATCATATCCTCAGTATCGATGAATTCTTGAGAAGTTCTCGTAGATACGTCAGAACCATCGGCTCATGAGAAGGGGTTCGAATTATCCTCTGGTGGCCGTTCATCGAAAGCTCCGGTTTCGACAGCTTTCCGAAACCACTCTAAAATGAAGTTCTTATTGGCATCGAATGCAGCGACAGATATCCCGATGCCCTCTAGTTCTTTTCGGATCGCTCGCCACATTATTTTATCGTCAAATGACAACGACTCGATAGACATGACAGATATAACAGAAGCTTCGTGCTTTCCATCTTGGCATTCTTTGACGAACGTGTTCAACCTCCGCTTTAAACCTCGACAATAGTTATTCATAATCTCGAGGGGCAGATGTCTGACATGGCAGCTTACCTTTGGGAGTAAATATAAGAAGACGATCTTCAGTAGTCGATAGAGCCAGCTTTGACTATTATTGGGGCATGCCAGACAAGCAAATCAAGCGGTACACATTAATGCAAATGCAAACTGGAAATCAGACTTATTGAAGAATCGATATTTGGCCATCATATCCTCTACTCGTACACCCGAAGCCAGACAGAAAGATGGACTTAGTGCTAGCATCATGCATTCAAAAAGCTCCGCAGACTCCCAAGCAGCCATGGTATCATATACAGCCTCTCCTTGGCAAACGTCTCGCATCAATCTCTCACCTCGAGAAGAATCTGCCGATCAGTCCACTTGCAACATTCGTTGCAATACCACCAGAGCTCAGTGCACCTCCAGCAAAGTTCGAAGCTTGCCCAAACTTATCACACCTCGAGAACGCAAGTGTATTCGTGAACGTTAAGCTCAGCGCAATGACTATGATCCATTAGCACAACTCTGCATTACCCGTTTCCCATCACTTCTGACACCTGCCACCCAGAAAAAGAGAACACAACATACCAACAAGCGTCAGCCAGATGAACTCAAACTTAAAGATAGCCAGAACAGCCAACGCGACCCAGAGCAATGGCTGCGAATAAAGCGCAATCCAGAAGAATCTCGAATCCGTCGCATTGATAACCTTGACCGCAGGATCCGAGCTCTCGAACACCCAGTGACTCTCTCCATTCTCCGGATTCACTTCGTTCCACCATCTGAGACCCACGAGACGGCGTCCGGCGATGTTCTTGAGGTAGTAGAAATCGGCTGCTAGGAGGAGGATCGTGATGATGAATATCAGAACGCTGGAAGGCGAAAGTTTAGCAGAGGAAAGGTGACTTTGGGAGGTGGGAAGACTTGCAAGTTCTTGGTGAACAGGAGACCAAAGAGATACACCAGTAATGAAGCTATTGTAACCATCAGCATCTCGCTCTTCTGGACACGCAACACTCTTCACTCACAGATTCGGAATCCCAAGAAACAGAGAAGCGTGATAGGATGCGAACTAAGTCTCCAACTGAGACTTCCCTGCGGTTGATTTCCTTCCATCTTGCCTTTGTCGTTGTCGAACGTTGTGGTTGAAGCTCTGGTGTTGACTTCAAGCCGCGTGGATGTCAAGCCAGCAGTAATTCAAAGTGGGTCATTATACCCCTGTCCCGCTATTGCTCAGTAAGGCTGCATTCTAGCCTTGCCGAGGGAGCTTGGACTTTTATCACCGGCGGGGTTGGCTTGGCCTTCACTTCAATGTTCGAACTCAATCAACAATGTGAACAGCATAACTTCTCAATTGAATACTGACAATTGATTTGCCATAATGTCCATCAAAGCAGCTTCCACACTCCGCCGAGCTCTACTTTACGGTTCGCTCCTCCTCCTCCCCACCCTCTCAAACAAATAGCTCACAACATCCAGTCCCCTCTTCCTCCCCCAAATTCCTCCAAAAATCCCTCACACTCCCCTTCCCTCTCGATAGTACGTCCAAACCACCTATAATCTCAGAAACAATCTGCGAGCCGAATTCTCAGGACAACCACCTTCAGCTCCCCAACAATTCACAAACCCCCTACTAATCTACAATACCAATAGCCATAACCTACGACCTCGAAGACTCCGTCTCCCCCGCAAACAAAGCCCCCGCCCGACACTCCCTCCTAACCCACCTCTCACAACCCCGACCCCCCACCTCCCACATCCGCGAGCTCTCCGTCCGCATAAACGACGTCTCCACGGGCCTCGCCCTCGCCGACCTAACTGCCGTCCTACAAGCCCCCCACCTCGACGCCCTCGTCGTCCCCAAAGTAAACAAAGCCTCGGACCTCACATTCGTAACCGACGTTTTACGACACCAACTTCCGGGCCGACACTCTTCTTCTTCTACGAACCCCGTGAAGATTATCGCGTTGATCGAGTCCGCGGAGGCTATTACGAATCTGAATGAGATATGTAAAGCGAGTCCCTACCTCGACGGCCTGATTTTCGCCGCTGAGGACTTTGCGCTCGATTTATCACTCACGCGAACCCCGTCACTGACAGAATTCCTCTACGCGCGCTCAGCGATCAGCACCGCGGCCCGGGCTCACGATCTCGGGTCCACGATCGATTTAGTATGTACGTCGTTTAGAGGCGAGGAGGGAAAGAGGGTGTTGGAAGAAGAGTGTGTGGGAGGTAGGGGATTGGGGTTTAATGGGAAGCAGTGTATTCATCCGTCGCAGGTGGAGGTTGTGCAGGGTGCGTTTGCGCCGGGGGAGAAGGAGGTGGAGTGGAGTGTGAGGGTTGTTGTTGGGGATGAGAAGGCGGAGAATGCTGGGAGGGGGGCGTGGACGTTGGAGGGGAAGATGATTGATAAGCCTGTGGTGGGGAAAGCGAGAGCTGTTGTTAGGAGGGCGGAGCTGTGTGGATTTGATGTTAAGGGTATGAGGGAGAAATGGAAGGATCAGGAGCCTGAGTGAGAGGTGGCTTTTGTAAGGCGAGGTCTGATATACCATGAGCTATGTCGTTATTGAATAGACTAAGTACATGAATAATGATCTGAATAGAACCATCAATACTGGATATGTGGTCGCCAGAGTCCTTGCATCTGATCTGCATTCTGAAGTTCATAACCATCTGATTCGACAACTTGAAATGGAATCTCTAGCTCCTGGCTGACGAATTCTTCTTCGGTAAACGCAGCATCTTGGTATAGGTTTTCAACGTCCTCAGTTTGAGGTTCATAAGGTTCTAGATTTTCGTTTACCATATACGATGGATCGTAATTCGTGCTTGGCTGGTTGACATTGCTCTGATCATAAGTGCCGTATTCATCACCCACATTGACATTCGATTCGTAATTGTCGTTCAAAGAACCATATGCCGTATAGTCTGCATGGGTATCATGGGCCTCGTACGCGTCATGGGCGAGATTTGGTTCGGTTTCCTCTAGTATGTCATATATCTCATATTCTGTAACTTTAGGATAAGTATGGAAAGTATCTTGCCCAATTGGTGATTCTTGTTCCATCTGATGAAAAAAGAATGGCTTCTGATCCGACACAGGGGTTGGTTGACGATGCTGGCCCGTGTTTGGAGGGTGCCAAGAACCCCTTATTGGCAATCCCAAGTAGGTTGATGTGGTAGTACTTCGGTGGGAATTCTCCTGGAGCTCATTCGCTGGGAGCTGCTGGTTCATTTGGAGTAACAATTGTTCACCGCAGGCACGTGTATCATACCCTGGACTAGTCGTAGATGTGTTTTCGCCTGTTCTTGAATATGCTTGTTGAGGAATTTCCTCGGACAATATACTTTGTTCAGGGAATGTGTATTCCGCATCAGTATAAGCCTTGTTCTCATCGATTAGAGAGGCATTGTTGGCCGAGACAGAGACCTGGGAGCCATTACTAATCGCTTCAACCACGCTATTGTTGATGGCTCGCTGACTGATAGCTCCTATAGGAGCTTCCCATTCTTTCTCTGCGATCCGAGAGATTGGTAATGTAGTTGATGGTCGCTTTATTCGAGCAGCCTTGGCAAGATCTTGCCTATTGAGAGGTGTGCTTCTGGATTCTGGAGGTAGATCGGTAGAAGTACATTTCGGCGAGAGCCTTGAAGTCTCAAGCCATCCATGCTCCGGGTCAAAGTGTTCTACAACAACTCGTGTTCGTAAAGTTCCAACGTTTTGCAGTTTTTGACCATCATCTGCCGCGGTCTTTTTCCTTGGAAGTTGTTGAATCTCCTCTGCTAGAGGAGTTCGTTCTTTCTTACGAGATGCCGTCCGTACATCATGATGCGGAGGCTCAAGGTGCTGATCAGATCCACTAGCTGGTGGTACTGTCGTGGACTTCATGATTTTAGCACGATGAAATGGCTTTGGTTGATTGCTCGCTGCCTTGTCCCAATCAGCAGGAGAGGATGGTCTCTCGCTTTGATGTGCTGCCTTGGAACTCCATCCAATGCCAGTGTCTCGGAAAATCCCAGTCTTTTCGATCGATCTCCTTACAGACTCTGGTGTAGGACTAATGCGTCTATGGTCGACTGAATCTTGACAATGTGAGGTTACAGAGGGTGATAAGTGTGTCTCGGACCAGGATACGTAAGTAGTAGCTTTCTCAGAGGCTTTACTAGCCGATCTAGAATGTCTTCGAGGATCAGTGATAATTGCGGGAGTAGTATGATGAGCTGTCAATCGCTCTGAGAATGGTGTTGATTGCCTCAACCCAACCAATGGTCTTTCTCGCGAGTTCAGTGATCTGATATCGCTGTAACTTTCATGTCTATTCTCCTGCTCTACTTGTCTAACATAGACAGAACTCTTCTCGCCAGGCTTAGTCGAAGATAGTCGTCTGTCACTGTTTGAGCGTATTTCCTCCAGTGGTTTTCTGCTAGGTCTGAAGAACTCTGTTATTTCGTCCTGGGCTCTGGTTGCTTTGCGCTTCTCCTTTTCCCGAGACTTTGAGTTGACTTTACTCTTTTGCTCTACTTGAGGCTGTCGAGTAGAGCTTTGTAGGAAGTTCATCTCCGAAAAAGCCAGGTCTGACACTGTATGTAGTTAGTCACCAGTGTATCCTTCAAAAGATCGAATCTTAGGCTTACAGCTTCTCCGCCGAGCCGGTGAAGATGCACGACCATTGTTGAACAGGCCAAGACCTTGTGGAGGTCGAATCTAGCAGGATGAGCACCACAATTCATAAACATTAGAGGATTTACTTACAGTTAACCTGTCTTGACCAATGCTTTTAGAGCTGAAGTTGTTCATCAAATCTTCGCCTGATTTTCTGGCGGCTTTCTTCCGATCACTCTTCTCAATTTTCTTTCTCGGCTTCCTCTCTGTTCCATCTTTCTTCACCTTCTTATCTACTTTTCTCGGTTCGTACTTATCTTCTCGTGTTTTGTGCCGTGCTCTTCTCTCGAACGTTTCTTTGGGAGGTCTTTCGTCTGCGAAAGGGTCCGAAGAGCCAGAGTCAGATGATTCTTCCCTCTGCTTCTTGAGGAAGTCATCTGCAGGCTTCTCTCGCTTCTCTGCGATCCTTGTCTTTTCTCTAACTTTGTCGAGCTGTTGCGACTCCGGTCTTGTCAGTACGGCAAGGATAGAACTGTCAGAAGAAGAATAGTGTTTTCTTTTCCTGGCTGGGGGTAATGCTTCTTCCGTTTCTTGTTGGTCTAAGCAATGCTTGAGCTTAGCTTGTGTAGATTGACCTGTCTTGGGTTCATGTTCTAACGGTTGTCAGCAAATGGCTCGCTTCTGCAAGCTTGAGCAATGGGAACCAATACTGACTTGTCTCTCGCCTTTTTGGATGTTCAAGGTCTTGATTGGTAAGGCTAGTCTGCACAAGCCATTTCCTGACAAAGTCATCGTCTCCGTTCAGCGGCTTTGCCACAATCTCCTTCGGGAGCTTCGCATGTGTGCTATCTCGATGCGATTTCGTCTTCGAGAGTTCCTTGTGAGGCCGAGCTACCTCTTTAGCCAATTCGTGCGATCTGTGATGTCGTGAACTTCCGGGATGCCTTGACTCTCTGGGTTGTCGTTCGTCTGCAGCTTTTTTCTCCCGCGAATGTCGCTCCATGGTTGTTTGGTAGTGGGTGAGACGTTTGTCAAATCAGGAGTCAAGACCCTCATTGTAGGGCAGTAATAGCCATCCCAGTTTGCATGTGTCGACGATCGCAGCGCTTGAGGACGTCATGCTTGCACAGTGTCATCAAGATCAAGGTAGCTCGCAAACACTTATTCTGAAAATTGAGAAGTTACGCTTACCGGGTTAGGAAAGAACAGTGTATGCACTCGACCCTGAAAAAAGCTTGATGGAAAGTTGAGGCAGGAGATGCTTTCTTGGCAAAAAGTTTGGGAGATGCGAATTTATCAAGCATCTGGTCTGTACTTTTGAGTTTTTGCTTGGGCAGCCCACAAGAGCTTCTCCGCGTACTGAAAGCTTCCCCTATCCGAAGAGCGCCAATCATCGACGATCAGTGATTTGCAGGCTTTTCACGTTGTCCCTGCATTGCAGCTGGCCTTCCGAGAGAGGACCGGCAGAAGCCATGCAGTAAGATGGTCTGCGACAGGCAAAGATGACGGCGAAAGGGTCCAAAAAGCGGTGTGGATTCGCCAGCCCTACAACAATTCCAGCGATCTCTTCATGCACTATGAGAAAATGCCCCCAAAGTCTGTACCGCTTGCTGGTGCTCTTCTATTGGGACTCGATCTGACGGGTCGCATCTGTCTTATCAGATTCTGTGAGAGCTATCACATGATACGCGATCCATGCGACCCGATGCGAGTAATGGCTGTAAGAGGTGAGCTGTCACGATGATTCGTGATACCGGTAGAGTGGGATTTGGGCAGTAGTTGCACAGATCTGCAAACATTTTTGCAATGTCCCACTTTGCCACATATCTTATTTGGACTTCAGAGACTATACCTGGGTTGCACACAGACTTCTTGTACGACGCCCCGTGGGATGAACGTGCACCGGTTGAATGAATGTTCTGGCCGTTGGAGAGACTTTTGAACTTCTGGACGGGAGCTTCACGCAGCCAGCCGGCCGGCACTCCCCGGTATCTCCATCATATTACCGTATTGGCTGCCGCGTCATGCTGGGTTAGAAGGGTGATGGAGTTAAGGACAGACTTCCATCGGATTGGCAAAGAGGGATCGGGAGAGAATCCAAGTTCATCATCTTCCGTCGCTCCGTCTCCAACGAAGACTCAAATGGCCCAATAGAGTTTGCCGAGTGGTGTGGATGGGTGGATGGGCGATTGGATGCCATGAGCCAGTGGAAGCAGAGGAGGGGAAAGATGAGGACTTAGTGCAGCACATGGCTCGGAAAGGGGAATGGAAAGGCAAGCATTGGAGAGCAAATGAAAGGAGAGACAGATGGTGAATAATTAAAGTTGAAGATGGAGAAGGATTTGAGGTGGAGTGAGCTGGGTGTCGGCGAGAGAACGACGTTGGGTTGAGGGACAAGGACAAGCCAAGCTCCCTAGTATGGAGCTACCGAGCGGTCGTAGCTCTCGAAGCTCGGGCTAAGATCGGGTCTTTGCCCCTCCACTCAAGCTCTGCTCTGCCTTACTCTACGCGGGAGCAGAGAGTGGAAGGGGGGAAATCTTATCGATAGTGATTCAAATGGGGTAAGTCTAACAAACAAGACAGGATCCATCCGTATCGATAGGAGAGTTTTGACCTGGTGCCCCACGTAGGTACTTCACTATCTCTAGGTATATGTACGTAGGGACTGCTAACGTTAGCTGGCAATCAGTTGCTGCTGCTGCTGCTGCAAGTGGCCGTGATGCCTCCCAACTTTCGAGACCATCGACTGACACTAGAAGAAATGTGTGTGACTGAAGCTTGAAAGCTGCTTCATGACAGCCACCAAAAGCCAAAAGGAAAGGATGCCGCTTCAAACTGACCACAGACTCTCCAATGCCGTTCCCAACCCTGGTGTGTCGTTTCTTGTCTCCACTCCTTTGCTCTCCGCTATCTTCCTCAAAAATCTAACTTCGACCCCACACCATTACCAGTGATCCCCTACCATACCGGATGGAGAAGTAAACTATCCATCCATACCATGGTCCCCCTACAGTACAGTACGCATCCAGCAGTGAATGCATATCCCTGGTCATCGAACGAACAGCCAAGAAAGCAAACGCACAACGCAAACCGGTTCGCAGACTGCATCCCAATTGTTCACTAGCAGGCACTCAAAAATTACTTCATTGACCTCGCACATGCACACTCACACTCACATAGACTCACTCAGCCTGCATATTTAGGCGTGAGCCCGGAGCAATCGTGAGCCATGTCCACGATAACTGCACTTGCCGCGCTGCATCGAGTGATTGGAGCTTCATCGCACCTCTTCAAACCCGTACCTGGGCTATAGCATGGCCAAGATGCTGAGCGAGGAGGGTGCCAGCCGGCAGCAGAAATCTCCCCAGATGCGGAGCCCTACAGATAGAGGGCCAGACGGCGAGGGGTCTGACCCACCAGCGGCAGGCGTAAAGTAAGTCAACTCGACGATATACCCGTATATCGGCATCGATATGCATCTGATACCAGATTTCTTCCGGCTGCCACACGCTCGAAGCAAACATCATCCATCGCAATGCGCCACCAGTACAAGCCATTCCAGTCAGTGCGCATTAAAGTTGATTCAGCCGGGCTGCTTGCCGCATTACTGGCGCCTGGTGCTGCACCCTCTGCGAGTAGCTGGATTGGAGGAAGAACCCTGTTGGCACACCATCACAGTGCTCGTCAACGGAGTGCTATTGGATGCGTCGACTGCGAACAATGCCAACTCCCCAAGTTTCGTCGTAGCAGTGAATCAGCATCGTAAAGCCATCGAGCCAGAGAAGTAAAATTTGCAATCGAGCATGGAAGAAGCATGGTTCACCAAGTTTGGATTGTGTTGGAGGAGAATCTTGAAGTCCAGGAAGGCAAGGCAAGGCAAGGCAAGGCAAGGCAAGATCAGGCAACGTATCGAACGGCAAGGCAATCTGATCAGGTCGAAATAATAAGGCAGCGCAGGCCACAACTCTACCTACCTACTTAGACAGCACAAGCAAAAAATAAAAAAGAGCGCGCGTGTGGTGAATCGAATCGCGCGTTCCCTTTCCCTCCCATTTCAATTCACTCTCAGCGCTAGTGGTTACGCGAGGGAGGGGCAGACAGAGACTTCAAATATCCCCCGCTACTGCTGCACCCTCTCCTCTTCTTCCTTCTTCCAACAACAACCACACCAAAACCTGTCCTTGTTCTCGTTTCCCCAGTTCGTTCGCACTCTTGGTAGTGCTTTCGATTATCTTCAACTTCGTCTTGCACTGTCCTTTCAGTCGTTTGACCGAGCAACTTCTTTGCGTCCTCACGATAAACCTACCCCTCATCACATATCAACTTCGTCCTCAGCTGTCAACCAACCGCCCACAGTTCTCTCAACAACAAATTCAAAAATTCTCAACACTTGATCAAGAAGTTCGTCTGATTCTCCTGCTTGCATGCACTGACCTTTATCCTCCTCCTACCTCCTCGATCTCATCACCTTCACCTCCTCTCCTCTCCCTTCCTTCTCCGTTTTACGGAGGTCCTGTTCTGCCTCGATGTACTTTCTTTGCGTGATCCGCGTTCCGTCCGTTCCCGTCTATCCAACTCCCGGATGAACGCGCTCTTTTGTGTTTGAGGGTCCGCGTGGAAATTGAGACTTTGCCCCAGGTTTTCGAGATCAACATCAATCATCATGTCTAAGCTCTTCATTGGGTAAGTTCACCTCTGCGCACAATCCCCAGCCAATTGAACGTGCCATACTAATCGCGATCGCAGTGGCCTCGCATGGCATACGGATGAGAAGGCTCTTCGCGATAAGTTCGAGGAGTTCGGCCAGGTTGAGGAGGCTGTAAGTAACCTTCCTGCTATCGACATTCAGTACATGGCTAACCTTCTGCCTGTAGGTCGTTGTTAAGGATCGCGATACTGGTCGCAGCCGTGGTTTCGGATTCGTTCGCTATACCAGTGAGCAAGAGGCCGAGGCTGCAATCAATTCCATGAACAACATCGAGTGCGTCCCAAAACACACATAGTGTCACACAATTGCTGATCGATGCAGGTTCGACGGTCGTACCATCAGAGTCGACAAGGCAAGCGAGCGTGGTGCTGGAGGTGGAGGCGGCGGTGGTGGATTCGGTGGTGGACGCGGTGGTGGTATGTTACACAAGACGTGATTGTTTGATGTCTTCTGACATTTTTTAATAGGCGGATATGGAGGTGGCCGTGGGGGTGGAGGTTATGGTGGAGGTAGTAATGCTCTCACCCTGAATGGTCTTGATCATGTCTAACTTTCTCAGGAGGATACGGTGGTGGAGACCGTGGAGGATATGGTGGCCAACAAGGCGGCGGTGGTGGATACGGAGGCGGAAATGGCGGTTATGGAGGCGGCGGTGGTCAGTAACTCATGGTTGGCATTTTGCCAACCGTCCTATTTGGTGCCTGTTAACACTGACCAGAGGCAGGATACTCCGGTGGTGGAGGTGGATATGGTGGCGGCGATCAACAACAAGGTGGCGGCGGTGGTGGCCGTTGGTAAATCCTTTCGAGTGTGATCTCTCCGACCTTGCGCGTGCGTTCGAAGTTACGAATTCAGGACAAGAAAAGTCAGCTTGGGTTGCGGCAAACGGTTCATTGTGTGGTCGCCTTTCGACATCATCTCTCGATGAGAAGCATCGGTCAGCCTCGTGGTCTCTGGAAGCGGTTTCTCTGGCGAGCTTTACGCTCTGCTTGGCGTTGGGGGGATTCCTACCTTGTCTTATGACACATTGTTGCGCAATTTTCACACAGATCGTTGAGCTTTCTCTGCTTTTCGACCAAGATCACTTTGATCAAGGTCATTTTCATTAGACTGCACTTCTTGCAGATCTAGTCTATTGCGATGGTAATTGCCCTGAAGGGAATGGAAAAGGCTTCGCCGAAAACTACTTCTCCGTCTCCTCTTGCTCGTCTGTGCTTCCGATCCTCTTGAGCTTGTGATCTATGGCTTGATCCGTTGTGTGACTCTTGTCACTATCGGCTCTTTCGATCATTCTGACTCTGTTCGCCAGATCTTTGATATGCTCATCCCCGCTTTCAGAACTTAAACCACCCAAAGCAACTTCCAAACTCAAAAGATAATCCATGTTGGGCCCACTGGGGCCAACACTTCTGTATATGTGCTCTGCTAACTTCTGAGGATCTTGGGGACCCATGAACTGATCATTGTCTGGCGTCCCAATATAAACCAACGTGCTGATATGATCTGAACCATCACTCGGAAAGAAAGGCGTATAATGGATCGTATAGCCATTAATCTCTCGAATATCGAGGTATTCTCTGACCTCAGCGACCTTGTCGGCTTGAATTCTGTACGCTGTTCCCCATACTTTGTCGGACTCGGAAGTATGGTGATCGTCTAAAGTCTCCCAGAAAGATCGTTCGATCAGAGTTACGACTCTTCCAGGTGCTTCAGGTGTTCCTCGATGGTCTTGACTGGATTTGACGTCAGCATAAGAGGTTCTGGAGGCTCAGCACAACTTCTGCTTACCTGGCCTGGTTCATCCATAAGCTGCTGCCGTCTCATGTTGAGTCTGTGGAATACAAACCTGCCAGAATCGACGGACATATCCAGTCACATAGCCTGGTATCCTTCTGTCCTTGCATTGTTCAGCAAGGCGGACTTGTAGTAAGTAACAAAAATACATGCAACATACAAAGTGAGGTGGGGGCTTCCAAATCAAACTCCTAGCAAAGTTTGTTAGTATATTTAAGTAAGATATGTGGGTCAGCACAACTTACCCGTATCCGAATAACCAGAATTCGGAATCTGAAGTATGGACGGACATATTGGAAAGGAAAGAATCACAAGAATGCGAGATGTGCTGTTCTTAACCGGTGAATATCGGTAGAAAAGAGTTCCCGAGTGATTGGTACATTGAATGCCCCTCAATCTTGGCAATGACTCGCTGGCCAAGGCGTTCGCTGTCAGACTTCTAAGCTCAGGAACCATTCATCGAATGCGCGAAACAATACCAATACGACGATCCGAACTGCTTCGCATTTCTCTCCAGATGAACTTTCCCCATCAACGAGGTCTCATAATCAATCCATCAGACCGTGCGCAGCTCCTTCGGGCACTGCCAGTGTCTCAGACTGCGAATATTCGGCCCAAGCCCTCCTCAGCCTGGTGACGGGGCTCAGTTGACAGCTCCTCCCGACTTGACAACTTGTCAGAGGATTCCCCTGTGCAAGTTAAACACCCACCTTTCCACAAACATTCTGATCGCAATCTTTCCTCTTCTCCACCCAACACATCAAGATGGCATACAGACAGAATTTCAATCCAGACTCTCTGCCTGCGTAAGTTCTACAACTCTGCCCCACTCTGTAACCTTTCAGCTGAACATTCACAGATTCGCAGAGCCTGAGAGGGTATGCATAAACCAAACCTTCTTTATACGCAATATACTAAACAAGAATCGCAGAAACATGGCAATAGCTCTTCTTCTTCCTCTACCCCGCAATATAATCAACCCCCACCACAGCAAGCATACTCATCGAAACCCCCTCCTCCACTTCCTGCAGACCAACAAGCAGGTGGACGACGACTCTCACCACAAATGCAACCCCATGGGTACGGCACACCTCCTCCAAACCGCGGATATGCTTCTCCTCCACCTAATCAGCAATACGGTGGTGGCAGACCGGGCCATTCTTCTCCTCCTCTACCACCACAACAACAATACGGTACTGGCAGACCTGGCCCAGGAGGTCGCGCCCCTCCAATCTCCAGACCACCTCCTTCTCCAGCACCACCAGCAGGCGCAGACCCCGCTCTCTGGCCCCTCTTCAAAGCCGTCGACAAAGCAGGTAATACCCTCCAGCCCATCTAAAATGCATGGAATCATTGCATGGAAATGCTGACACGCCCCCAGGAACCGGCAACCTCACAGAAAAGGAGCTCCGCGCAGCCCTCGTCAACGGCGACTGGACCTCCTTCGACCCTCACACGGTCAAGATGATGATCCGCATGTTCGACACGGACCGCAGCGGCACGATCGGATTCGAGGAGTTCTGCGGGCTCTGGGGATTCCTCGCCGCGTGGCGGTCGCTCTTTGATCGTTTCGATACCGATCGCTCGGGTAACATCTCGCTGGATGAGTACACGAATGCGCTGGTGGCGTTTGGATACCGACTCAGTCCGCAGTTTGTCGATACGTTGTTCAGGACGTATGATAAGCGCGGGGAGGGAGCGATTAGTTTCGATCTCTTCGTGCAGAGTTGTATTAGTTTGAAGAGGATGACGGATGTTTTTAAGAAGTATGATGATGATCGGGATGGGTATATTACGTTGTCTTTGTGAGTTTTCCCTGTTCCCCTGTTGTGATGGAACAGAGCTAATGAACGAAAGTGAGGATTTCTTGACCGAGATCATAAGACAAAGATGAGGGACGGAAGTAGAGCAATACGTGTTTTTGCGAGGTGCGGTGCCTTTGCATTTGTTGTCAGTTGCGTGCGTTGATGTTTGGATGCATTTTATAGACAATACGATACCCAAAAGTCCTCTCACATTTTTCGTACATTGGAACTTACTTGCTTGTTGGACTCGAAAACCACGCTTTGTTAGTCTTTGGTCACCGTGTTTCGAGTGAAGCTTTAGAGCGTCGATAAGATACTAAGTTCTTATTCGGATTTCGCACATTGACCTGTCGCAAAGTGCTTGTTCTGAGACTAGCCTTGTAAGACTCCTTTATGTTTAATATCTTTTTCGGTGAATATACAATTCTCTGCTGTGCGAATATTCAACAAAGATTGACCTAGAAGTCTTCTTGAAATTTCGGTCATTGATTGATAGCAAAATGTCTGTTTAATGATACCGAGAATGCAGTTAATCGCTTTTGACCAATATCTGGGACATCGTTCTTTCTCAATTGTGCGTTCGAGCCTGAAATCCTTCGTTCACACAATGAAGATAGTCAAAATTTCTGAAGTATTATTGCATATTTTCTATCACTTCGAATTCATTTCAGCGTCCGAAATGAGCCTCACGACGTGTGGAACACTTCTCTGCGAGGCAAGATGTTATTCGCGGCATGGTCACACAATAGAATATCCCTCGTTTCCGAAAAGCCGAAAAGCAATCCTAGGCTTTCTGCAGCCTTACAGACCACGTTCCAAATGTCTCTGTCATTCTGCAACATTTCAAGGCATGCAACCCTCTTCCAAATTATTAAAAAGCGAAAAGATATTCTATTCGCTACCATTCAAAGCTGTGTAATTCTGCAGCCTTAAAAATGTTTCGGACAATTGCATTGTGTTTCAGGTACTCGAGGCTGCAGATACGTAGAGCCCAAAAATGTCTCTCGTTCCTGAAAAGCAAAGTTGCACAAAAGAATCTTCAATTCCTCCACCCTGTCTATCCAATTACGACTTCCGTTCAGCTGGGCCAAATAATCGGTCCTTCGCCCCAGAAAGGGGGGTTTTTCCGTCCCGCGCCCACAGCTCGACCGGGCTACGCAATACGGGATGCGAGTGCGCGGGCTTGAATCACATCACACTCACCACCACCATTCCAGCCGCCCATCCTTCATCCTCTCACCGGACGTCACTCCCTTCCGGCTTCCTTCGCATCACCCCATTCATACTCGAGATGAGAGCGCTGATTGGGAGCCCGAGGAACGTCAGCCTTACGAGCGGGACTACGAGCTGAAAATATTGGCCCCACCCAGTCACGGCTTGAGTCAGGGGTGCAGGAGGGTCCTTACATAGAGGGGAACGGGGGAGCGTTGTTATTCGTGGGTTGGCTGACGTGAGGCGCAATCGCCGCCCACCATACCAGGCCATGCCATGCCGCTCTGGAGCTGAATGATTGTAATTGAGGAGGGTGTGAGGTCAGATACGGTGCTCGTGAGGGCGGGTTCCATTGCGGCGAGGTAGGATTGTGTGAGTTAGAATTCAAGTGTGTCCTTATTATACTTATCATTTCTCTGTTCTTCTTCTTTCTACTCTTCCTCTTCTTCCCCGTTTCTCAAGTATCCAGTATATAATGCAATTCCTTTGCTTCCCCGCAGCAGTCGATTTCGGCAAACGTGTATTCAAATCCGAACCCAAGCCCACTAAATCTCAGCCTCGCCCCTCCTCTGAATCGAAACCGACGAAGATGGCCGCTCCCTCTTCTACTGCCCCGTCCACCGTGACTAAAGCGACGGGAGCTACCAAACCGGCGAGGACGCTGGATACTTTGTTGCCTGTTCCCCCCAAAGAGAATTTAACAACGAATTTCGTGCTCGAGGAGATTATTGCGCAGATTGATCTTATTGGTGATGAGTATGCTCTCCCTTCTTAACCCTAACCCCACCAACCCTCCAATAGTGAAGTAGAGAAACTAACAAAACCCTACAGATTCCCAGCAATAAACATCCCACTCCTCAAATCCCACCTCTGGGACATCAAGAACAGAAACGTGAACCCGGAACTCCACCTGAGAGGCTTCCTCAAGGTCTTCGAGAAAACGCAGGTCTATAAAGATGCGTATGCCGAGTTGGATCAGGATACGAAGCAGAGTCTGGATATTTTTGTGAAGGGCGGAGGGGAGAAGGAGGTCCTGGCTAGGAGGGGGGGTGCGTTTGTGTTGCCGCCGAGTCCGGCGGTCACGAGCCATTTTAAGGAGTTGGAAAGGAGGGTTGAGGGGTTGTTTGGTCATGGGGAGGGGGAGGGGGTGAATGGGACGAATGGGACGAATGGAGTGGTTGCTAATGGGGTGGTGAAGAAGGTGGAGGATGTGGAGGGGTTGCCGAGGATTTTTGAGGATGAGGCGGAGACCAGGACTATGGAGGTGAGTTTTTTCAATCCTACTTCCCGTTGGACATTTTTGGAGCGCATTTGTTGGTCCTGAGCAGAGGAGATTTGATGTTCCGAAGTCTCCGGTCAGGCTAGGTGATTCACCTCTTCAGACGAAGTTCATCTAGAGCCTTGAACCAGACATTGAGGAACGATCAATGTCTGTCCAAGATTCAAGCTTCCTTCCGCATCAATCATCTATCATTCCACCCAACTAACACCCCCCAGGTCCACGCCCGCACCCCCTTCCACAACTGGGGCCTCTCAGTCGAAAACACACCCCTCTACACCTTCATCCCCCGCACCATCCACGGGCTCACCAACCTCGTAAAATACGCCTCCGCCAATGGCTTCCGCGTCCGCTGCGCCGGCTACCGGCACTCCTGGTCCACCATCTTCTCCGCCGACAAGCAGATCCTGATCTCGCTCCTAAATCTCGAGGAAGTGACCAAGATCCCGGATCCGATGAGTATCGAACCAGAAAAGGGACTGGTGAGTACCATGGACGGAGGAGAGAAGATTGAGGGGAATGAGTTTATGACGATTGAGCTGGTGGAGCAGGTTGGTGGGGAGGCATTGGGTGATGGGGAAGTTAAGGCGACGCAAGGGAAGCAGTTGTGTAGAGTGGGGGTGAGTGTTACGAATGAGATGTTTAGGAGGTGGGCTGTTAAGGGGAATAAGTGGTCGTTGCCGGTTGATGTTATTCTTGTTGAGTACGTTCCCCCTTTTCCCTGCTCGCTTATTTCACTTCCGACGAATTACAATGTCCAAGCTGCATGCTCGACATTTGGCAACCTTATGGTTAGACATTCGCTGACTATACCCCAGAGTAACAATAGGAGGCGTCAACGGCCCCATCTGTCACGGCGCGGGCCGTCAAAACAAAACAGTAAACGACTACGTCCGCGCCGTCGAATACATCGACTGCAACGGCATCCCCCGCCTCATAACCTCACCCGCCCACCTCCGCGCAGCAGCCGGCCACTTCGGCCTCCTCGGCATCATAACCCACATAACCTTTGAACTCGACCCCATGTCCTACGCGCTCCTCTCCCCCGTGAAACCCGACATCGGGCTCGCCATCCCGCCCCTCGCCCGGACCGACATCCCCATCGCCCTCCGCAAGACCTGGACCGACGCCCAGTACGCCGCCGCGCTCAAGGACTTCGAGAACAGGGCCACGAACGACTATTACGCCGAGTGGTTCTGGTTCACGCGCTCGCAGCAAGCGTGGGTCAATACCTGGAACCCTGTTCCTGAGGAATCAGGGAGCGTCGAGTATCCAAGCCCGTTCCTGACCTTCATGCAATGGATCGAAGGCTGGCTCGGCCAAATCATCACCTCGAACCCCATCTTCCAAGCCTTCCCGGGCCGCTGGCAAGCTGCCATCCTGTCCACCTTCGGCATGGTCAACCTGCCTCCCTTCGAATTCTCCGAGTTCTCGCAGAACAAGACAGAGGTGATCAAATGCACGCTTCCCAACGCGCTGCACTTCCGGCGCGGCATCCAAAACATGCGCGTCCGGGACCTGGAATTCCAGATCCCGATCCCGGGTGGGAAAGATGGCAAGCCGGATTTCGACGTCGTGCGGCGCGCGTGGTGGGATATTATCAAGTTGTGCTATGAGGATGATGATTGTCCGATGCGGCTGACGATGGAGATGCGGATTATGGGGGACAGTAATTTGATTATGGCGCCGCAGAGCGGCAATCGGTGGGGGACGGCGAGTATTGAGGTGTTGAGTATTATGGATGCGGTGGGGGATGACGAGTGGGTTCCTTTCTTGCAGCAGGTTGCGGATCTTTGGTTGAGTTATAGGGATCAGGAGGGGGCGTTGTTGAATGTTAGGCCGCATTGGGCGAAAGAGTGGTGAGTTTGAGCCCCCTTTTTAGACGAGCGAGGTTGAAGTGTCTTTTTGCACTTCATTGTCGGGTGAGAGATTGGACAGTGGGCTAACGAGACGCAGGGAATCAATCAACATGCGCGGTCTCCCAGCCCGTCAATACCTCAAAGAACAAGCCTACAAAGACGCCATCCCCGAATTCAAATCCGTGCTCGCCGATATCGGCAAGGGTCAAGGCTGGGAATTGAAGGATATCCAGGCTAGGTTCTCGAACGAGCTTTGGGATTATATGATCTATTCTTAGGGAGATGTCAGTTTGATTTACTGGGTAGGAGGAGTATCTGTGTAAGATTGGGAAGAAGGAAGGAAGGCGTTTGATACCATCTTTTCTGGATAGCTAGCTAGCTGTGCTGTTTTTTTTTGTGTTTACCTACATTATGGGTTTGCGTTAAAATAGCTGGATTTAATTAATGCATTGTTACTTGCCAGTTGTTTTGCTTGAGCTTCTGTGTGTGTCTTGCTGTTCACAAAACTCAGCATCTACAGTGAAGTTGGAGCTTGTTGGACAATGCAGTGACAGCTTGGATGGTTCCAAGGTGGGCTGACGTGAGACGTGCGTTACTGGCTCGTATAGTAGATGTGTATGTGGGATCATGATACAGTTATTCGGAGCCTCTCATACTCTCTTGAGCAAGGAACAGCTTTAGAAGTAGAAATTGTAAAGCGAGGGCAGAAATGGTAGCGTAAATGGGCAAGATGAGAAATTACAGATCAAAGGTAGACGCAAGACATACTTTAGGATGAAAGATGCTAGCTCAGCACGTACAGGATGAAATCACTTCCCTCACACAATAGCCCGAAAAGAAGTCAATATCTTGAAACTTCGACGTGACCCGAACCACTTTTCTTATATCTCGATTATAAACAAAAGACTTCGTCCAAGGCACAATATAACCAACCAAGGAACGTATCTCGTCCTCAAATACCCAACCCAATGCCAGAAAACCAAAAACCCTTGTGCCCAAACCCAGAGATCCAACCCAAACCGCAAAGGAAGTATCCATCCTGTATCCCAGAAAATCAAAATGAGAACGCCAGTATCCAAACTCCTCTCTATGATCAGAAGTTAAAACGACAAACTCCTGTACCCTACCCCCTAGGCTCTCTCAATGTATGAAGCGAAGCAAGAAAATAGAACGTATGAAAAATCTCATCTAATGTCCAATTGGAATGGTTTGAATCTACCACCAATGGTGGCACATCGAGGACATTTTCTTCTCGCACCTTGCTCTGCCATAAGCACGTCTACGCACGCTTGGCAGATCCCACAAATGCACTCGGTGCAAGCGTAGGATTCTTTGAGTAATGAAATGCCTTGACATGCAGCGCAGTAGATCTGGATGCTTTGGGATGAGAAGCTTGGTGAAGAGTCGGAAAGACCGCGGGATTCGATATGGAAATTGTCTCCACTCTCACCACTTTCAACTGAAGGGAACGGTTCTGGTGCGTCGGGAAGGTTGGATGGTGGGGTGAGTGCTTGTTGTAGAGGTGAAGCTTGATATCCTTGAAAGTGGGATGGGGCGAACGGTGGTAGAGAAGCACGGTTGACTGATATTGGCGATGGAGGAACCTATACTACTCAGCATTGAGAGTAAAATCGAGGATGATACTTACCGGTGTTCTATCTTCGTCGACATCCTCTGTTGCGGAAGTTGCGGCATCGATCAGATCTTCCCATCGTTTGCCATATGCAGCTGACAGTCCACTGGAAGGTTCAGCTGAATAAGCTTTGCGATCATAACTCATTCTTCTTAAATGTGCGTTTTCTCCTCGAGACTTCTGTCGTTTGTGTTGGGGTTCTCGAGCTCGTTTTGAAACAGATTGTTTCCTCGGACGGTTCGTGCTAGGATTTCTTTGAATTGGAGGAAGAGTAGATGAACGACCGGGAGGAGAAGTAGAAAGTATGGATGGAAGAAGCTCTCTACGTCGGTGGGGATTGAGATGCGAAAATGGATCACTTGTAGGTTCGATATTGTTGGAATGCAGGGGAGGTAGCTCTATGGAGGATCGCATAGCTTGCTTGTGTGCTTCAGTGTCCGACATCCAATCCTGAAAATTGTTAGCTATATAACACAAGAATATTTGAAAGGAAGACGAACATTTTCGGACTCCCAGTCTGGCTCAAGTTTGTGATTGTGTAGCTGTGCGAGTGCTGCTGCCGCGGCGCTAGCGGCTGGCAGCATGGAATTCGACGTATAATCGTCCAGGTTCCTCGGCGTATTAGGAGTACTCGAGTCTTCGCCATAGTAACTGTGTCGGTCATTGCCATAGCCTTGATGATTGTTAGCACTGTCGCAGACGTCGTGAGAGTTCTGCAGACCATGTGGAGCAAGATTGGAGCTTGTTGGTGGAGGAGGTCGCTCAGATGGAGGGGTATTAATCATAAGTTGAAAGCTCTCTTCGGTCGCAGGGAGCTTCGATATGTAGTGTTCGGGATGCGCTCTTCGTATATGCTCTTGCATTGATCGATATCGCTTTTCCTGTGTCACCAGATGCGTTATTAGCATGACTGACCCAGCACATCGCCAGCGAGCTGCTGAGGGGTACCGCAGATGCAGCAGAGTAGGACTTACACCGAGGCAACGTTTGCGACAGCTGGAGCCATCTTGATTGCGCAATGGACACACAACCTCATTGTTGGCATCCGAAACAGAGAAGGACGATGTCAAGGACGATCGTGGAGGCATCGTCAGTGTCGAGCCCCCGCCCATGCCCAGACGAGGGGGAGATTAGATACGGTGCGGCAGTCGTAATCGCAATCGGAAACGAGCTCTCAATTGATGGCGATAGCGAGAACAGTGCTGCGCATGGTGATGGTGGAATGCAGTTCGCGGATGTCGACGACAACGACGAAGCTCGGAGGAGGTGATTTGGGTTAATAGTAGGAATAGTAGGGTGCGCTGTGTGAGAGCTTTCGAATGGGGATTCAGCTATTCCCTGCGACTCACACAATTGGTGTTTGAAGAATGTGTGCTCACAACGAGGGGTCAGGTAAGGTGCAGGTAAAGTCAGGAGCTGCGCACCGTGGTAGGTGGGGTTATTCGGTTAGGGGCTGGGCTGGCAGCTTGAGCTCTAGTGTACGGAAGACCAGTGGTGGAGGAGGGAAGTGAAGGATGAAAGGTGAGAGCGAACGACTGGCGAAACAGCGACTCGAACACCTGCATCTGGACAAGACAGACAGGATAGGACCGTCTTGCTCACCACCCTCAGCACAGAGCACAGAGCACAAAGCACACTGCACACTGGATCTCGGACGAACCTCAATTCTTTGCCTATTGAGCTTGAGACCACCACACACGGTTGTAAGAGCTACAGTACTGTACGTCGGCAGTCGCATAAGCGGTGAAAACGACGGTGCTGGCTGTTGATACCCTTCCTTATTAATGCGGTGGTGGGCGATGGACAGACCCTCACTGGCCTCTAGCCAATCTGGAGCTCAGTGACGGTCGATGTGGTCGGTGGGGAATGGAATCGAGGTACCAGCACAGCCCATTCACGCCCAATCAACTCCACATGCGAAGGGGAGATACAGGTTTCCTCCCAATCCTTCCACTGGGTAATAGTAAGTCAAATCCAGTCCAGTCCAGTGCAGTCCCGTCCAAGGTCAGGTCCAGAGCGTGGTATTGCGAATCGATGGAAAAAGCAGGCACAGCTCGCCAGTCTGAGCTTCCATGGCTTCAAATGCAAGAAATCCTATCCCGGTAGCCCAACGTCGATCTGTCTGAGGTTGATAACGAAAAAGAGAGAGGTCTGGGAAGCTCTTTCATCCTCCGCACTTTGTGAATACAGCCTTCGGACGCACATCCCGACTCGTCCACACCCCAAGCTTGCTTCCTAAAGGACTCGACTTCCGAGGATCTCGACCTAGCAAGGAGCTCCGCACGTAGGTAGGTACTCACATGCAATCGAGGGGATGCACGTGATCTACTTCTCCTTCGGATTGAAGTTGTTGATATTGTTGATATTGTTGATATTGTTGATATTGAAAGTAGGGAAGACATATTTCGAGATTGGAATGGTGCAAATCATGAATTGACGACTCGTCAAACGTGACTTGACATTGGAGCGTCTGATGACGGTCACTCGACTTCATGCATCGGGAAGTAGCGAATGAAAAGGGTGATTGTCATTGGACCAATGAGACATCCAGTGTGCCTGGTTGAGGTTATTTATATAATGACGCTTGATATACTTACTTGGTATCTGGCTCGAGTGTCGAGCCCTCCGTAATCATTGACTGGAGTCGTGAATCAAAAGAGGTCGAGACTGAATGAGAATGACAGTCAAGGGAAAAGAAAGATTGGAATGGTAAAGAATTTGTTCCTCACAGCAACACTGCCCATGGACATCATGGCGTGTGTCTCAAGGAGAAGAAAATTTGCAATCGAAGCAGAAAAGAAATGAAAAGAATCTAGCTACCACGATAAGATAGGCGTCGAGCAGAAGTGCGATGCGAATCACGTGATGACCATCTTTCAAGATTGGCAGGAGAAGAGACCTGGGATACATCCGTCAAAGAATCAGGGATCGTAATTGCTCAATGTTATCAATTTGAAATATACTGAAATCGATCAAACGTCTATCAAGATTGGACTTAAATCAAGATCTATCCGCCCGGCCCCCCTTTCGAATTATCAATACTAAATCTAATTCCCAGGACTCTCCTCTTCACATGAGTGATTAAAAGACGACAACTTCATTCTCAATTGGTTTGCTAAAAATGAGATAGACCCTTCCCGTGCTTCCATTGTTGTTGTCGAATATCTGATCGTTCGTACTCGTGTTTGAATTCCTCGTTCCAAAAAGTCAAGTCGTCGACCAGACATTACAAGAAGCTTCATTGAAACAGCAACACTATCTCGTCCGTCAGCCAATTATTTAGTTTCTGGCTGGCTCACGAATCATGTACTCCAATGTAGAGTATTAGCGATCATTCAATAGCTTTGTAATTTAGCTTCAGCTGCACCAGCTAGAAGCATTGAACAAGCCCAAGTCGAGTCGCTGAGAAAAGGGGAGTAACGGCCCCAACAAAGAACACTTTTCGACTTCCCGATTCTCATAAAGAATCTCGATGAAACACAAAACCGGCAAGTCGAGGCACACTGCCGTCAACTGAGGCAAACAATGGTGCTCTAATGCATACCAGGGGGGTCGTTGTCTGAATGTGGGATGGCTGCACAATTAGCTGAAGTCAATTCAGAATTGAATTGAAACATCATTAATGCTTCAAGTAGCTCACAAACCCGTGGAAGATATCGACTTGTAAATAAACCAAATCTTATACAGTTAAAGTTCAAAGTTAAAATTACTGTAGACCGGAAATCCAAGTGAGCTGAAAATTGACGCTTCTGAGATCTCGACAAGGATGTAGGTCGCCAAAAGCTGCTTCCTCGGTCGGGACTTAAACCTAATGCAGCAAATTAAGAAGCCATCGACGCCAAGAAAATTGCGCCTCATCGCCTGTGCCTGCCGATTCAACGACAGTCTATGTACAGATCGACGTCTCATCTTGCCGAGTCGATCCTTTTCGATATTCGGTTACCTTAAAAGTACAACCAGAGCCGGTGAACAGACCAGGACGCAAGTGCCTCCCCGATGCGAGAAAGCTGGAAAAGACAGTGGCCTGTGATCCCTATCTCTGTTGCACCACTTGTATTTGCAATAGGGAAGCATGAACGGGGAGAAGAAAGAACATCTATGTTATTATTCATAATTGTATTGTTGTCCAGAGCAAGAAGCAATTGTGATGGTGCTTCCCAGGTCAAAGTCTCCACTATTGTAAGGAGGCGCACAGCTCTCGCGTCGAGTAACCATTTCAACAGCCTTTCCAATCGCGGGAGATCCACTCCCAAGGGAACCCTGTTGGTTGACGTTTCTGGAGAGTACAAGATCTTGGAATGCCCCACGCTTTTCTCCTTTTCGCATTTCACGTTCTTCTGCGTTCTCGAACCATGCTATTGTTGTCACGTAGCTATGGCTTTCTCATCTTTGAATGATGCATAGTCATGCCATTCAGACAAGAGTTGTGAGTGCCAGAGACTTACTCCACCGCCTCGTATCCTCAGGATCATAGAATCGTCGCCTTCTAGCTCCCAGACTCGGCGTACCGGTCGACTGCGATACCCCTCATCGATATTTGTTCCAGCTTGCAAAAAGATCACTTATATACGAAGTCGTCTTGAACCTTCGACTGAAAGATCTTTCGAGTCCGACATCTAGACAGTACCTTCGCCTTGAAAAGTCGGTCACTGGTTCAGAATGTCTTTGAGCGTTAAGCATTTGAACGATGATGCTTCGTTTCTTCTTACCTTTCAGCCTATAGTACCATTTCCTCCAACGCCCGGCCAGTCTACTGCTTTCACAGTAGTCATCGATCCGTGGCTTTCCGGCTCCTCGAAGATATTCCACTCGATTTTCTCATCGACCAAGAACAAACATGCTTCATGCGTTTCAAGCCTTACAGACCTTCCCGCGCCGAATCTTATTATCATCAGTCAGTCGATGAGCGATCACTGCCACAAGGAAACTCTCACGAAACTGCCAAAGAAAGGAGGAGACTTCACCATACTCGCCGAATCGGCAGCCGCAAAACTTATACGAAGCTGGAAACACTTCGACGAATCCCAAGTCATCACATTAAAAGAATGGACGAAATCAGGGAAAGGCAACACCTCTTCTAGCATACACCGAATACCCCTCTCTCCCCTCACATCCCAAGGCGAAGCAGGAGAAGTGACCATCAGTCTCATCAAAGAAAATGACACAGCAGGCCTCAAAAACGCAGTAGCAATCACATACCGAGCACCCACCTCCGGCCTATACTACGACAAAGACCTCGACTTCCTCCCCTTCACCCCTCCCGCCTCTCCACGCTCCTACAACCCACCAACGACCACCGCACGCGCCCTCTCCGTTCTCCACGCCCCCCACGGCATAAACTACAACATCCTCAGACCCTTCGTAACAACACACCTCGTCTCGTCTGCAGCCCTCCCGCTCACCGCGCTCCTGCATTGCTTCGACAAAGTGCAGAACCCGATCTGGCTCGGGGGTAATATCTGCCTCGGCGCTCCGTCCGGTGTCAAGATATCGGAGGAATTGATGGCGAGAGTATGGATCAGTGCTCACGATGGAGACAAGGTGTTGAGCGGGGTCGCGAATAAGAAATTGAAGATTACCAAGTTTGAGAGGGGATATATTGCAGAGGTGGTTAGTCCGCGGACGCCGAGTTTTCCGGACAAGGAGCAGGGGACTGAGGTTGTTGTTTTGGGGGTGGGGGAGGAGAGGGTTGTTAGTAGTGTGGGGTTGTGGCCGGAGGTGAGGAGGGAGAGGAGTTGGGGTGGCGGGGATGGAGATGAGACGGAGGTGGAGGTTGAGAGTTTGGGGGAGGGGAGTGTGATGAAGTTTCATGCGCTGTGAGGAGATGGTGTTTGTTTAGGGTTGGGAATATAATGTTTGGATGAATAATGATATGTAGGATAGCATGGCATTGGCGCAAAGACGAATACGACAGAGATACCCACAAGAGATGTAGCAGACGATATTTTAATAAAGAGAAACGAATACATATACATTTATCCAACCTTGTCCCCAATAGTGGAATTCTTAGTTGCTATACTCTATTCTCGAAATGTCTGTTCCTAGTACAAAGCTTTCAAAGTTTAAAATATTTAGCCTCATCAACAATCTACGTTCAAGAATTCGGCTCAAACAAAGTCTTGATGTCCAAAGGAATAATAAGCCGGAATTCTCACTCAATAAAAAAAATCCCTATACCTATCAAGAGCATTGGTCTCTCAAGATCTCACTCCCCAAACTCGGCAACCAAACCAACCCCACTCCACCTCAATACATCCCGAGTTAAAAATTTACCCAAACGTCGAGTTCCAGGGTCGTTTAAGTAAAAGAAGAGTCCTCACCTCAACGCCTCGCTTCACATCTGGCTTATCGTGGATATCTAGTACCCGACAAAATCCGGGTAGCCCGAGAAGAGCCCGGTTACCCGGTCATAGTCCGAATACCCTCGGATGCTTGTGTATTGCTTGAAAGTTCAACAAATACTATAAATAGCTTCGAAATCGCTCGATTGGGCCAAATTTCATGCGCGTACGTTAGCCGGGGCATGATTGGGCGGTAGTGTGTGTGTGGGTACTAGGATCCTAGGCCTAAGTAAGTCAGCCCGGCTGCGCATCATTAATGTGCATTTGTGCGTTAGGCTCCCACATGCTGTCCACATCGTGTGGAAATTCCACATGATGTGAGTATTTCTACATAATGTAATTATTCTACATAAAGTTGCAAGAATTAATTAGCTCCACACCCTTTCGAGAAAACGCCTCGCTCTGCTAAGGTAGTGGCTGTGTAACCAAACAAGTGGGCGGCCTGCCACAAGAGACCTCGATCAGCCGTTCAGCTCGTTCCTCATGCATACCCGGCATCCACACCAGCAAGCCAATCATTCCGAAGAGCAACGGTGACTATCTCATCGGAAAAGGTAGCAAACAAAACTCTGGCTTTGGGTGGCAAGATAATTAGCGCAGTGGATGGTGGAGAAGCGCGTATTGAGATCGATGAGAAGTTCGATGAATTGACAGTGTTGTACGAACCGACCGGAGGGATAGAAGCAAACATAGAGTAATGATCTTCTCCGGGCTGGAGAGAAGCTTAGCTAATCGTGTTTCGCAGTATTGTCTTGATACATGGCTTAAATGGACATGCCTGGAACACCTTTTCTCGTGAGCGAGCCCAAGACTCATCCAATGCTCCACGCACGGAAGTGAACTGGTTTCGGGATGAGCTGCCAACTCAAGTTGGAAGCGAACGTGTATTCCTAAGAGTCATGACGTACGGTTACAACGCAAACATATGGAAAGACACCGCAATTGGTGGTGTGGAACAGCCCGTGTCCAATCTCGTTCGTCTCCTACGACAGGAGAGAGTGAAGGTATGCGCTCTGCCTAATATCAATGAACTAGAAACTTAGTTTCTTGCTGCAGTGCCTTACTCGTCCGATGATTATCATTGCCCATAGTCTCTAGGAGGTATAATCGCAAAACAAGTCAGCCACAGATCGACGTTCCGCCGGTTGTTATCTGTTAATCACTTTATAGGCTATCAATCAGATATGCGATACCATTCCAACGCCTGCGTCCTGTTTTGTGAAAGGATGTTTATTTCTCGGTGTTCCTCATATAGGGTCCAAGGTTGCAACCGACTGGGCAACAGTTCTTGGCAGATTTCAAGCCCTAGGGGTAGAAGCTGGGTACATCAGAGATCTCACAGAGAACTCCGACAAGTTGAACGAAAATCTCGGACTTTTGAGCCTTACGGAAGCAACACAGAATCACAGTCGAGAGCTGTTACGAGCAGAAGGAAATGAAGGGCTACTATGTGAGTGCTAATGAACAAATCTGGCATAGCATAAATTGACATTGGTATCTGAAGGTTGTGACACAAGAATCGGCGGTTCTGGATTACGATGGCGCACCCAAGCCAATTCCTATTGATAGAAACCACGTCAAAATGGCCAAGTTCGCAACAGACGCATTGAGAGGAGCCATTCTTCAGATGTCCTCTGTCGCGATTCGGACTTCAGAGGTCTCTGAAGAGATCACTTCGGGAGCTGCAGACTGACAAGACGTGGCGACTCCGCATGAGTCAAACCAATACATTCCTTCTCCCAACACAACTGTAACAGATTGTGGAACTGGAGTCGCCGCAAGTGCCAATGAAATACCGCTCAACATTTCCTCAATGAGTCTGCAAGATCCTGCGATGAAACCTCGTCGGTACATGCCCGGAGCCAAAAGAGGAGAAAGTTCAAGATCAGCTGGTACTCAGTCTCGCGAAGGTGCTGGAGGGAGCACACATAACCACAATTACCAACTTCATAATGGGCCTGGGCCTGGCTTATATGGTACTTATAATGAGAAAGCAAACTTCGGAACTGGTGGGTCATGAAAATGTTATGTTTAGTACCAGAAATTAATTGGTATTTCTTAGAACGTGCTCCAACTATCTTTCTCTCTCAGAAGGTAGCTGAGTTTCTCCTCGCCACGGTAGCTAGTTCGGACGTAGACTTTGAGTTTCGCGACCTAACAGTGTCGTGGCAAATCAGGCTTGCAGATTTGTATCTGCGGGGACCAATTGGTGGCTCGGTGAATGGGCTTATTCTACTCAAGAAAGCGCAAATCACCGTGGAGTCTATGAAAGAACGAGGCGAGACCTATCGAGATCAAGGCAGATTATACTCTATACACGCTGTGTTTCTGATAAGGACGGGTCGGAACGAGGAAGCTCTAGTGAATCTGGAATTGGCTGTGAAGATTCACGAGATAATCAATGGCAAAGAGGACCACTCGACTCTACGCAGTTACTTTGAGCTCGGGGCACATGCTCTTAATCTTCGCCATTTCGAAAAAGCCGAAAGGGCATTGGCAGCAGTGATTTCTGGGCTTGAAAAAAATCAGGGCCCGGCATCATCGGACATGAAAGACATGAAAGCCCAGAGCTACATGGCTATGGCAATGTTGCATGAGAACAACGGCGATCGGAAACAGGTGCTTTTTCATATTTCGAAACTGGAGGGGTTGGGTGATTATCTAACCGGTCAGTTTTACCAGTCTGATCAGAGTACGAAGGTTATGGCCAATCAATTTTTAACATATATGTTTGGGAGAATGGGGCGGAAATGGAGGATTGTCGATGGGAAGCTTTGTGTTGGGGAAGACGAAAGGGGTATATCGAGCTTGATTTCTTGAAGACAAGCTCGAAACAGCGGATATTTACAGAGAACCCTCTGGCGGGTTAATATTCATCTTCTTCGGGTATCGCTTGTAAGTAAGAACTTAGAAGCAGCGAAGACCATGCGATCGAGTGAGAACGGTAGAAGAAAAGGGAAGGCAGACCCGATGATGAGTATCCTTCTAGTTTAATTTGAAAAAAGAGCTACCTTCTCAAGAAAGAAAGATCTCACAAAGCTGTACTATGCAAGAAGAATTGAGACTAGACAGTCGACATACACACATTTACCTATAAATCTACTTGTATTAGGGAATATTAATGTCAAACTTGTCACACTCTTCTCGCACCCTACGCTTGACTCTCACATATCCAGGATTCTCCTGTTCCCAATGCTTCTCCACGCTCGGAATTTCCACCAGCTTCTCTGCTCTCCATAACCCAAGCATTCCTTCTCTTTCATACCCCTCCTTAATTTCGAGACAAATATCTAGAATAACTTCATCTCTCTCTGGGCTGGATGGCTTGTCCATAATACGATGGATAATCAGACACTGGCGTGCTTGCTCTCGAGAAAGAACGCAAATGCGCCAACACCCGAAGAAGATAATCATGAGGCTGATGATGAAGCATGACCATAGGTGCTCGTGGTGGAAATATAGGGCAGCAATCACCCATTTCATCCAGGTGTCCCATGTCAGCAGGTAGCTTATTGGAGCTTGAATTTGATGGTAGACTTCGTTCCGGAATGCGGCAGGCCATCTGTGACACATGATGCTTTCCTTGACAGCGGTCATCGGAACTTGAACGTGATCTCGCATCATATCTCGTAAAGCAGTTCGCCAGCTTTCCAGCATGACGTGTGTAGGAGCTTCAAAGGGCATTAGCGTTTGGTAGGCGGAAGAAATGGGAGAATATACCCGTTGGAATGATCTGCTGCGTCCAAGGTGGTCGTGGATCCCGAATTTCGAGGTTTCGGTAATGTGACAGCCACGTACTCAAGACTAGGAATCAGGACGTACGCACTAATTTGTGAATAATAGACAAAGAACTAAAAGAGTGGAAGAGTGCTGAGGCCAGATAAGCTGAATCTTTAGCACTAGCTCAAACACTAAATAAAATGTGACAGCACGGTGGGAAGCTCAGTACGTAGATGTTACAAGCAACATCATGACTAGGCCCAGTAAGCTTCGCTTACTGGAGATACTTCGGAACAGGAAGGTTCCAGGTGCACGGGACCAGCGGTCACGTGATGGAGTCCCTGAGATAAGGGGGAGTCCTCGAGTGCGACGGACTTTATGTTATTTAACGGACTCCTAGGAGGACGAAGGTTTTATATAAGTAAATAAATTTCTTAAATAAATAGAAGCTTCGTGTTTAATTTAAATATAATTTCTTAATACTAAATTATTAATAATTTTTTTATATTATTTTTTAAAAATTAATTTTTTTTAAATTTTTATTGTGACAGCACGCACTCTAGACTATAGAATCAAGACGTACATACTAATCTGTGAATAATACAGTAGGATTCGAAATCGGCTTCAGTCGGAATAATCTATGATTTTTATTTTTAGACCCACATTTTATGTGCACTAACCCTTGTGCTCGCTTAAATTATTCCCGATATCACGTGGACGCCTGGGGATTAGCCGATGTCGGCTGAGGCTGAAGCTCAAAGAGCGAGCAGCACGTGCCATTTGCTAACAACACCAATGCCAACTTTGTGCTTTGCCTCAATATTAAGCTGGAATTGATCATCCGCTAGATCAGGTTTCTCAAGCAAGTATTCACACAGAGCGTTTAACATCGGAGGGGTAATGCTTCGGGGCCGTCCGACACCATTTGAAGGGGCTTTCGTGGAGCCAAAATGACGAAGGTTTGACTGTATCGCAAACGCAGAACGCTCACTGCAACATATGGCGTCAGCTATTTTAGCAGGAGGACAGTTACTCAAGGTCATATCGCGAATCTGCACATGCTACGACTCTGCAAGGTTCGGCGCCATTCTGGGGAGTGATGACTGTGAGCGAGAACATCTTCAATCATCGTCGAAAGGACACGACGTAGGGTCCGTGCGCATCTGGCACATGTAAGAGAGAGCTCTTTAGCCCTGTTGAAGTTCAAAGATTTCACCGTTTCTACCAAGAAATGTAATCAGCCGTTACAATACAACGATAATCATATTCTTACTTTCCTCCAAATTTGATTCCACTTACTCCACCGTTGATGTTCCCAACTTGAAAGCCCGAGTTCTGCGCCCCGAATGTCGCTGTAATTGAACTGCTCTGGGGTTTCGCTGCTCTCGCAACAGCCTCTTCCTGCGACTTCGACAGCAGCTCACCTAGCAATTTCTGCGACGCTTTCACACCTTTGAGTTCCTCTTCAAGTTGTCGTAATATATCAGTTTTGCCTTCTGCTGCTGTAGCCACTTCCTCATCACCGTCGCTGAGATTCATCTCCTCCACCTTGTTCTCTAATACTGTAAGCTGCTTATCCGCCGTGGTAATGGCACCTTTGACCTCATTCTGCCTTGTAGATATTGTCTTCTTTATCTCCTCCGTGAGGTGTGTATTGCGGACAGAGCTGTACCTGGAGGGAGGTTAGTCCATCTTCCAGGAGAGGCGGGCAGGAGCTACCCACAAAGTTGCAACCCCGACGATGAGGTTAATGGCGAGCTTACAGCTTTGAAGCTGCTCCGACATGAATTTAACTTGGTCTTTCTTAAAGAATCCCACATTTGCTCGGTCCAGCCATGCTAGCTTTCCATCTTCTGAATGTCTAGTCCACTTCTGGAGATCGTCCCTGAAAAGGTTGCATGCTTGCGTGCTGCTGCTGATCGTTGTCTCTGCCTGCTTAGCTACGCCTCCCCCAAGCGAGCCCCATTCTCTCTCCTCTATACTTTGGAGCAAATCGAGCGTCGTGGTGACAGAGTGCACATCGTCCACCAGGCGCTTGACGGTTTTGGGTGCATCTTTGAGCTGCTGTAGATCTTGTAGAAGTAGTCGTGTGGCGTGTAAGGCTGGGCCAACAATACCTACGATACTAGCAGTAATACTGAGAGGGTCAGCCATTTGTATCTGTTAATAACATAGGTAGGCGTAAAACGGAGATCGATACCATGAGGTGAGGCTTGGTAGGCGCGGTTCAATCTGATTGGAGGCCCTCAAGCCATTGCGGCTGAAGGATGGCGACCAACATCGACACACTCTGCTGCTGTCGACCCTTCGTCGTCAAACTAATCTGTCGCGATGGCATCCGCGATATCCTTTGGCGACGCCAATGCCGGCTTCCAAGCCGGAATAATCAACGGTCCGACCAGTACTGAGTTTCATCACCATCACCATGCCACTCCTGGTAAGTTGTAAGGTCCAAGCTGACCGGCGCTAATGACAGCCCCGCCCAGAGAGACCAGAGACCCCACCGAACCCGTCAATCGTCATACCCTTCAGTCGCGACACAGACTTCGTCGAGCGAGGGACAATACTTGATCAGATCTATCAGAAATGTGCCGTCTCCGGATCCCGAACCGCGCTCGTTGGCCTAGGCGGCGTCGGGTAAGCGCAAATGCTCTCTCTATTATAAATGGCTAATACTACGAAGCAAGTCGCAACTCGCCATCGAACACGCGTACCGAACTCGAGACCTGTCCCCGGAAACGTGGGTGTTCTGGGTCCACGCGAGCAATGCGGCCCGGTTCGAGCAGAGCTTTCGCGATATTGCAGACCGTGTCAAGATCTTTGGGCGGCAGAATCCAGCGGCCAATATTTTCCAGCTCGTGCACAACTGGCTGTGCGACGATAGGAAGGGGAAGTGGGTTCTGATACTAGACAATGTGGACGATGCTGGTTTCCTTATCAGGGATCAAAGTGGCAGTCAGGATGACCAAAAAGGTAGCAATGGCTGTGGCAATGTGCGACCTCTTGTATCATACCTTCCGCGAAGCCTAAACGGATCGATTCTCATAACAACACGAAGCAAGAGCGCCGCGCAGAAACTGGTCGATGAAAAGAATATTGTTGCAATTGATCCAATGGATAGGGCGGATGCGCTAGAACTCTTTGAGAAGAAGCTAGGAAAGGACGACGGGGGCGATGACGCTACCAAGCTCGCCGCGGCGCTCGAATATATGCCACTTGCCATAGTTCAAGCTGCTGCATATATCTCACAAAGGGTGCCGCGCTATTCTCTACAGCAATACCTTCAAGATTTCCGTAAGAGCGATCGCAAGAAAACCAGTCTTCTTATCCCCGAGGGCGACCACGAGGGCGAACAGCTGCGGCGAGATTGGGAGGCGGAGAACTCTATCCTTATCACATGGCAAATATCATTCGATCATATCCGTGAAAAAAGACCATCAGCTGCTGATTTACTGTCGCTTATGAGCTTTTTTGACCGGCAAGGAATTCCCGAGGCTCTACTTCGGAATCAAGACGAGCGGCGTAACTCGCAACAAGACCAGAAAGAGAGCAACGACGATAGTCCTACCAATAACGATACTCACGATAGTAACGACGATGAAGATGACACATCACAGTCCAGCCTAAGTGATGGATTTGAAGAAGATGTCTTGGCCCTACGAAATTACTCATTCATCTCTGTTAACACGGATGGCACAACCTTCGCAATGCACGGACTGGTACAGCTAGCCACGCGAGACTGGCTCAAATCTCACAAGCAGCAAGAGCGGTGGAAACAACAGTTTATCAGGAATCTTGATGTACAGCTTCCGACCGGAGAACACGAGAATTGGGTAACGTGCCAAGCGCTTTTCCCGCACGCGCAATCAGCAGCACAACAGCAGCCTAAAGAACAAGACTCGTTGGCAGAATGGGCTTCAATACTATACAAGGCAGCATGGTACGCCTGGAGAATGGGGAAAGGCGTGGAGGCGGAGGAGATGTCGGTTCAGGCAATGAAAGTCAGAAAAAGGATTCTTGGTCAAGATCATAATGATACGCTAAGCAGTATGGCGATGGTAGGCCTGGCGTATGAGCTTAAGGGCCGATGGGACGCTGCTGAAGAGCTGTTTGTGCAAGTGATGGAGACGAGCAAGAAGAAACTCGGCGCGGACCATCCAGACACGCTGAC